TGAGTGGAAATCAGGTGTTGAGCCTGTACTGATACCTCCTCCATTTCCAAGGACATGGAGACATGGGTGTGAACAAACCTTGCAGACCCAACCCTCTCAAATGAGTGCCCATTCATTTCTCCAGCTGCTTGCACTAAGTGTTGTGCTAACTCTGCTTTTTGAAAGGAAGGTGCAGGGGAACATCACTTGTTGCATCGTTGTCTTAACATGTGCTCAGCCATGAATCTAAACCTCTTGAGTATTTCCTGCACCTTGTCTTATATCTTGCCCGTGTACCAGTCTGATTTATGCATTAAAGCCTTTGGCAGAAACAAAGCTGGGAGTTTTAGTTTTTTGTCCAGCAGTGAGGGTTAGGACACCAACCTTACTTGTAGATGCTGAGGGCTGAACCTGGAAACTTTTGCATGCAGCAAATCTGCTTTGCCACTGAGCTGTTGTCCTTGTTTATTTTCACTAGGAGATAGATAGGAAGAGTGATTCTGTTGACTGTCTGGGACTTCTGACCAGCTTTTGACACTTACTCATATGACATCTTTGGTTGGCAGTGTTTTGCTGTGGCTCTATGGTTCCTACCTTTCCTGAAGATTCCAGAATGTATTGGTACTTGTAGTAACTTTCTTGTGGGACTTCATATCTATGTAAGCCACCATGAGAGGTCACTTGCAGTTTTTGAGTGGGATCTCTATTTCTACTTTTCTTTTGTACCAGATGTGGTGGTGTCATCCTTGAATGACAACATGAGGGCTGGAATTAGCAACTTTGAAACTTAATCCAGACAAGATGGAGTAGTTCACGGTGGGTAGTCTTAAAACTAGACAATTAATGGAATTACCTGTTCTGGGTGAGATTCATCTCCTTGAGCCATGCCAACATCTAGATTTTTAGGTGGACAAAGTGGTTGGGAACATGATCTGTCAGCTTTTTGCCCCAGCTTTCCACCTTCCTGAAAAAGTGAGACCCTGATTGAAATACTGTGTTGAACTTTATGTGAGTCTGCCCTTGGAGCCAGTTCAGAAGCTTCAGTTGATGCAGAACTCATCAGGCAGGTGTTCGCTGCTGGGAATAACTGCAATACTGTAAGGATTATACTGTGTTGGTTTCTAGACTAAATGTCATATTTCTGGTTCTTGCTTTTGAAGTCGTTTACAGCTCCAGTGTATGTGTTGCCCCAAATTGAACCTCTCCAACCATTTAGGCCCAGTAACAAGTCTCTTCAACAGAAGTTGAATTGTCTGTAAGGCTGATAGAGCATTTTCAGTTGTGGTCTCACATCTATAAAGTTTCTTACCATCTGGGTAAGAATGTGGTCTTCTCAGAAGTGTGCTTTTGAAATTTTTAAAAATTGTTTTTATAAATATTTAGACTTCTATTGTATACCCTCTTACCCAAGAGTAAGCTACACTGACAATAAGGGGAGTTACTTCTGAGTATGTGTGTACAGTATAGGATTGCATTGTTTGTCCCTTTTTTTACAGGCTGGGAGTTTACCTGAGCTGCATCTGTTTTTTGTGATTTGAGAATAAACTTTAGATACAGCAACTGTCATATTTTATTATTGCTTTTAAATCATTCTCTCCCCCCCTTATAGAACCCTTGCAAATGGAAAAGCTGAGTATACATTTTTTAAATAAATAATACATAGCAACTATACATTTTCTAAAGAAATATATCACAGTAACAAAATATAGGTCCTGGAGACACTGGGGCAAAATATTCAGAATATGTATAAAATGGAGTGATGTTGTCTTAAAACATTTAAATGGAAGCATATTTTGAAGCATCTAAGCATATTTTTTAATGACCAATCAGTTTTCCCCCCCGGAGGCACCGTGCTTATTTATGTCATGTGCCACTGGGAATATAATTGCATTTGTCCTTAGATTTCTCTAAACGTATACCATGCCTGTACATGCAGAGTGCATTGAGATAGAAAATTTTGTTCCAGCTACCCAAGCAAATTGACGTGAGTCTTGGGAATTTTCTTACTGTTAGGAATAAAGTGATGATGTCATTCCACCTGTTTTGGAAGCTATTTTCCCTAGAGGCAGAGAAAGCCAGAAGGGACCATGTCCACATACATAAGGAAGGAAGACCCACTGATCTTTCTCCATCCATTTTTCACCTCCCCCTGTCTTTCCCTTTAGAGGCCAATTTCCTTGACCTTCCCTTTCCAACTTTTTAGGGGGCAAAATAGCAATTAAAAATAAATAAGATGAGCTAAAGAACAGGTTCTGGGGTGTGCATACATGCCAGCAGCTCCTCTTTCTCTGCACATGTGATTGTGATTCTCCTCCAGCTTTCTCAGCTTATAGGTTGAAGAGCATCCATGAAGAACAGGGTTGCTCTTATGACTGTTAGTAAATCTAATGTGCAACCTAGTTCTTAAGAGCCTTGTGATGACTTCTTTTTGTTTAGGGTACTGTCAGAGGTAGATTTAGGGCAGCATGACTGGTTGCCTTGCACAGGATACAGGAGCCAAGGGGGCGTCTTCCCATCACTTTCCCCAAGTACTTTTCACCTAAGAAACCACCATCTTTGTATAATCAGGCTGTGTTTTCCCAGTGATGGTTCTATATTTTTCCTCTGCTACAGAAAACTCAACTTCTCTTTCTTTCTTTTTTTTTAAAAAGTATGACACATTAGCAAATACTCCACAGGTTTTGGGAGTTTCTTTTCACTGTTTTCTCTTCTTTTTAAAAGATTCCTCCCCCTGGTTTCTGCCTGATTAATTACTTCCTCTTTTTTACTTCTGCTAATATAATTGCCCCTCCCCCTGTAATTAGAGACATATCGTTTCCCATTGTGTGTGTGTTCAATTAATCAGGCTGCAAGAGGGGAGGAGTGAACTTTCTTAGGGCAGAGCGGACAACACGCAACCGGAGGAAAAGTCACTGAGCATAAGCTCCTTTACTGGCTCACCTTGTAGCAATTGTTAAGCACTTGCAAGAGGTTGGGAGAAAGGAGAAGAGACCCATGCCTGTTGCATGGGTAGGCTATAACAGAATGCATAAACACACCTAAGTGAAAATGTTCTGCCCCCATTCCTGATGCAAGAAAAAAGAGGAAAAGCAACTGTCAGAGAGCACTAAGAGCCTTGTAACTGGGATCCCCCCTTACTTTGACTTTACAACCTCATAGTACTTGTTGCTGCAGACAAAAGAGAAAGTTGCTAGGATTCAAATTACAGTCGCTAATGAAATGAACAGACCAAGGATAAAAAAGGGGCCAGCATTAACCAATCTATTTATAATTTTCAAATGGGAAACCATGTTTCATCTCAAATAAAGACATCCCGCATCCTCCCCGTATATTTTTGGAATATACTTCATAGGATGCCATTTAAGTGGTGAAAGGGTGGCAATCAGAGAAACTTCTCTTAGGGGCCTTTGAAGTGAAGGTTGAGTCATTATTATTCATCACCAGGCTAGTTTGTGTGCTCATTTAGGTGACAGTTGTTTTCTCGAAAGAAAACAGCCTCTTGATGCTTTTTAATTCCTGAAAATAAAAGAAACAAGGACTGTCAAGGCATCCGGATGTAGTGCTTTGAAAGCAGTGTGCAAGGAAACAAATTTAAATCCAAGGGGAAAACTGAGTGGCATAAGAAGGAAAGAGCCAACAAGAACATTGCTGAGCCATTCTTTAATGCTTCAGAAACAGTGTTATATGGCTAAGCGCAATATATCTCTTATACTACATTTGTAAATGATGTGCACTGTCTGTGCATTGCATAGTGCTGAACAAAGAAGGAATATGCTTTCATTGCTCTTCTGTGTCACCATGGCAATTTTAAAGTACAGTTTCTGTAGCATTAATCAGAAATGCAAAGGCATAAGTTAAGGCCAGTGGACAGTGTATTGGAAAACCTTGGTTCAAATTTTGCCACAGCTATGACTCGCTGACCCAATTCAGATTACACACTAAACCAGGGTTATGGAAGCTAAACTGTGCTTTAGTGTAAAGTCTAGATGGACAGACCATGGTTTACAATTGGTAGGTGAAACAGAAGTAGGGTTGCAGTTCAGCAGCGCTTCCAGGACAATTTACAAAAATCATAATACAATATATAACTGTAGAGTTGGAAGGGACCCTGAAGATTGTCTAGGCCATGCAGCTGTCCCATACAGTGATCAAACCTGCAACCTTGACATTGTCAGCACCGCGCTGCAGCCAACTTTGCTATCCAGCCTCTAGGCAATAAATTGCAACAGATTATGATAGCTAAATGGAAAGTAACTGTGACTCTCAGAGGTGTAGCTTACATTTCGGTCCGGGTTATTCTGGAAAAACAAGAGGCATCTAGTTGGAGAAGCTGGAATTTGGATTTACTCTGCAAGGCGGTTCTTGTAAAAGAACCTGCCTAATAGAACAGACAATTATGCTAAATAATATTCTGTTCGCTGGAGCTTGCGTGTTTATTTTCTTTGATAAGAACTGGGCTCTATAACAGTTTCTGTAAATAAGTTGCAAGTCAAATGTAGATTGTCACTTGACAATGGCATGCTTAGTTTTTTTCATGGTAAGTCTATGAAAAGTCCATGTAGTTTCCCAGCATAATTACACGCCACAAAAAGGGCAGGTACACATTGCATGCCATTTCATACAATGGGATGCTTTCCATGTGGGAAATCCATAGCATGGAAGTGGCCTTACATAAGGTAATACACTCAGGGGCTGGATGAAGGGGGTGTGGTGGGAGCGGCCGGCCCAGGTGTCACCACTGAGGGGGGTGACAAAATGCCAGGCACTACTCACTGCAGGGCCTGCAGTGCGCCTGAGCCATGCCTGGGAATGATGTGGTGGCTTGGGCACCCGCAGGCTCCGCGCTGCCACAAACGGTCTGCCCATTGCCTCCCCCCCCCAGCTTAGGGTAGCTGAGTGGGAGGAGGCAGGCAGACTCCTCGGAGGCCCCACAAAGCATCCTGCCCCAGCTTGCCCCACCCAGCAGGTGGCTGGCCCCACCCCTGGGAGCAGGGCACGCGCACCACCCCAGGCGCCAGATTGGCTTGCTCTGCTGCTGAATACACTTGATCATTTTCTCTTTGTATGCACAGGCTTCTTAACACGATAGAACTTTACAGAATTAACCTAGCCACACTTCCTTCCGTTAAACAATGCACATAAGTCAACTCTTTTCTTCAGAGCCCTTTTAAGAGCAGATTGATGTGGTGAAGTGAATTCACCGTGCGTTTTCTTACACTTTGCCTCTCTTTTTTCAACTTCCTGCACCCATTAAGAAATACCCCGCTTCAGATCTCAAAAGCAACACCCAAGGTGGGGCAGGGAGAGAAACAAGACAGGCTATCATGTTCATGTAAATGAGGCTGTTTTGAGTTGTGCAGATGCGGAAGCCGCTGTCACCGGTGAACGGAAACAGCCCTGCTGTAGTACTAAAAGCAGCTTTATCATTCAATTCAGTAGTTGTTTGGCAAGCTCATGCCCAAGATGCACATGGAAGAGGAGGATCTGGCTGTCTCTGATGAAGCAGATGATATCTTCTGTGAAGGTAAATGATCTCTAACAAAGCTGCTGCTGCTTTTGCCGTCACATGTTGAAGATAGGGTGTCCACATTATATTTCTTAAAGGATCAAGTGTTCTTGAAGAGTCAGGAAGCTGCAGGGATGAAAACACACCACAAAGGGATGCCTTTCTCCTGTTAAATAAAAAGGCATTGTGGGTGTGATATAACGAATGAGATTCATATTAGTTACAGAGAAAGCTTACTGCAAAAGAGGGCAGTAGGCTTTAAGCTAGTCCTGCAGCCCTAGTCTGATGCACGCTTACTCACAAGTAGAGTTAAGGATTTACACCCTACCAAATATGCATAGAAAAGGTATAGAAAACTATAACACTAAATCTATAGTTGCAGGTCGCATGTCACTAAAGTCGTTGCCCTTACACATGTGCATAAACATTTGCAACTCCTACTGATGTAATTTTTAGCATGCAAGTAAAAATCAACTTCAGAGCGGCTTGGCTGGCTTAAGCAGTTGTAGATCATGTCTCCACATCTCCAGAAGCGAAGAGTATTACAACCACCTGAGAGCCATTTTCAGCTGGATTATAAAACTGTGAAAGCAACAGAGAATGATTTATCTGTCTATCATTGTTTTTGCTATCCTGTCACAGCTTTTCTTGTGTTGTATAATGTTAGGATCTGCATAGAACTATAGCACGAAGTTCAATGAACTTTTGGGTGGTTTAGCTCATGTGCTGCAAGCTGCAGTTCCCAGTTGAAATCTCAGCTTGGCCACAAACCTTTCCTCAGCATTCAGTCTCCAGTCTATATTAGGGAGCTAATAAAATTGACCTATTTTACAGTGTACCTGGAACACCAGGATTTTGCTACATAAATGTAAGAGACCCTCTGGGCCCACCACCCATGATATCCTGATAACAGCATGGTAGGGAGGTAGGATGGGTGGGGTATATGTTTGTGGGACCCATCTCTCTTGCTGAATTTGTATTTTCTTCTGTCTGGAACATTTGGAACAGTTTTGCTTGTTTTATAATTGCAATGGTTTTATCTGTTTTCATATTTGTGCATTCTGTTGTTGGAACCTTTGGGTAAAAAATATTTTGAGTAACTAAATAAATAATGGCAGTGGGCTGCCTGCGACTTGTAAGAAAAGCGCAGCCAATGCCATCTTAATTTTTCCAGAATGCCACATTGGGGCTCAGAGGCCTGTGTGCGTGTGTACAACTTGCTGAAAGGTCATACATTTTGGAGCCTGAGATAGTGAAGGGTCATTAGAAGCAAATTTAGTGAAGGTCTCATCGGCTGCTCTGAAATATTTCATTGTTTGGTATGACATCTTTGGTGTGGTAGATTTGCACAGGAGTATTGATTCATTCACTAGTGGACAGTACATTCAGCATGGCAGTACATACCAGAGAATCCAAGAATCCATCCAATTTCTTTTTCATTGTATGATGCTTTCTAATTTGAAAGTTAGCTGGTCTTGAGCTGATGGAGCTTGGAGGCAACTGGAATGACTGTTGATGATGGGCAAGCATAGCTGTGGATACAACAACAGTTTCATGACAATAAAAAGTGGAGGCTGAATAGAACTCTGCAGTGCACCAAATCTTTAAAACAGCACATTAACATCTCTCAACAGGTGGTGAAACTGAGTCACTTACTGCTACCCTACCACAACAGGTGTATCTGTTTGCAATGAAGCAGAAGGGAGCATATGCCTTTAGTTACTGGGTTCTTACGTATTTTATTCTTGCCTGCCAAGGATCTCTGTGCATCTTTATTCTGATTAATCATGTATGCATAATCCATAAGAATTCAGTTTATACAAACAACTTGGTTCTCCTTCCTTTTGAACAGCTGGTGATTTCACACGTCCCCATCCCCCCTTTAAGTCTGTGTGTATGACAGCTAGAGATACGTACTCAAAGTAGCTGACAAAAACAATCCCCTTACCTAGCTGGGTAGGACAGGTTTCTTTCCTACTCTGAATTGCTTTGCCTGTCAGCAGCGTCCACTCACTTCTGGTTTCAAACAGAGTAATTGTAAGATCAGAAGTGAAAACACCTACACAAGCCAAATGATTTGGGTCAGGCCCTGAATAAGCTGCAGGTGGTAAACTGCTCCAAGGTTGTTTTGTTTGTATTGCCTTTATCACCATAACATTCTGGCAGAGTGAAGTCACTGGAGAGAAAGAGCATCTATTGAAAGAGGCGCTGTTTGATTTCTATAGCAAAACATGGTGAACACTTCTGTACTTCTCCACCTGCTGTCATTCTTTAGAAGACAATTTAAATATCTCCAGGTCAGATAAACACCCACATGTGTGCCAATGCATTTAGCAAAGTCAATGTACCTTTCTGTATATTTCTTGAAAGCATAAGCCTGTTACCCTTTTTTTATATATTGATGGGAGGTTCTGCTGCTGCTAAGATTTTTCCATGATTTCACATTGGCTTGGTTTGCACAGCAAGTGGAGAGGAATTCATAGCTGCTTTGCTCCTCCCAGTCCCTTTGCTGCCATGCTGAGATAAGGTTTGGCTTAGCATGCCATCCGAACTGGGATTTGTGGTTAAGGTCTGTCTTCACTAAACACAAGCCGTAGCCAAGGTTTGTTCTTTGCTACTGTTCATGGTTGGTGGTGAGAGAACTTAACTATGAGTCCAGGTTTGGATGACACACTAATCCAAACCTTTGCTGAGCTCAATATGGTACTAAAAAGGACCACAGAGGAGACAATCAGTTAAGACCTCCCCAGAAGTCGGCAGATTTGTGCAGTCCCAGTATGCCATAGTTTGGTTTACTGTGTCATGTGAACCAGTGCTGGCACAATGAATCATAGAATTGTAGAGTTGAGAGGGATCACAAGGGTTGTCTATTCCAACCCCCTGCAGTGCAGGAATCACAGCTAAAGAATCATGACAGATGGCCATCCAACCTCTTTCTTAAAAACCTCCAGTGAGCCTGACTTGGAGAGTCATTGGCCAATTACAACGAAAAATAAATTATGATTAAAAAGCACCATAGATTATCTTTGAAGATGTTTAGTAGGGCCAGTTCTAGGATGACTTCTAATACTTGCTTAGTTCTTTTGCATATTTTTTGTATGATTGATGTCCAGATGCGTTGGATTTTAGGACATTCCCACCACATGTGCCTGTGGAGGTGCATCTTCTACAGCATTTTGATGAGGTTCCTGGGCGAATTAGCATTAGTTTCCATGGTGTTAGGTACCACCTGTAAGTGAGTTTAAGAGTGCATTCTTTTATTTTCACTGATATGGATTTAAAGGGAGGTTTAGACCACATTCTGGTCCATTGGGTGGGGTTAATCTCATAGCCTAAAAAATGGAATGGCTCTTCAAAGCACATACTTTACAGTGCCATACTAATCATATCTAGTAAGCTGTATTGAATTCAACAGGGCTTATACCCAGGTAAAACGGGGGTTATTAGATCTCTCTCAAGACATAAGAGATTAATTAATATTAGCCCCTAATTTATTGCAATGTCCATGAGACAGCTACCCAACACCATGCCTATGCTTGCCTTTAGGGCCTTAATTGTTCCCATTCTTTCCATTTTCCAGCTGAGTAACTTGCTTGGATGCTCTTATGCTACATGACATATTTTTCGGCTGTTTCTGCTAAGATGACACAAAGTTTCTCAAACATTCCACAGCAGTAGAGATATCTCACTTCAAAGATGTTTGAGCAAATAGTGAGCCTGAAACTTGCCACCAAGAATCTCTGAGATCCTTCTCATTTATTTATGTGTTTACTTTATTGAATATTAATTGCATCATTCTCCTTTAAATGGATCATCTTTCCATTTGCCCTTTGCAGTAAAGACATACAAATCCCTACGTATGTGCATATAACCCCGAAACACTTTTATTTATTTATTTTAAAAAAATGTTATACAGAAGGTGGATATTGTGGTAGCAACGGTAACTTGCTGCACAGCCTGCCTGCCATAGAAAAGCCTTTGGTGGCATTGGGCTTACCTCTTCTGATTCTGAGCGACATTGTTTGCCTTTGGTTTTGCTGCTTGGGAGAGATAGCCAGGGCGAGGCAGACAGTAAAAGAAATAAGAAGCGAGGAAAGGAATGCTGGGAAGAAGGTTCAGGGCAATGACAGGAAGAGAAGAAGACCTGAGGCAAAGAGACAAAAGGCCAAAATGAGCAGAGAGAAGAATTACGTGTGGCTAGGAACTACAGAACTGAGAAATGCCAAGAATCACATATTGATTTGAATAACTACTGCAATTAAATCTTTAATTCTGGTGAACAGTTAATATCCATAGCCAGGTAAAAATACCCATTGCGTCCCACTCACCTGGGAGTAAGCCCTGTTGAATTCAATGTGGCTTTCTTCTGAATAGACGTGATTAGGATTGCGCTGTAAAAGCCTTTTGAACAGGGAATGTTTCAACAACTTCTGAATGTCAGAAGTTGGGCACCTGTGTGTCCCTGTGGGGCAGTGTTCCAGAGGCCTTGGGACCCTGTTTCTAATCCCCACAGGTAATTCATTGCCTAGAGCTGATTTGCTTATTGGGTCATGCAGCCACAATCTTGCTTTGCCTTCTATTGAGATGTTCCTTCTAGAATTGTAATTGCATAGAATTTGGATGGTATGGTTTAAAAATTTATAAGCTGCATTCTGCCTCCCCCTCCCACAGCTGCTGCCAATGCATGTTATAAACTCCATTTTTGAAGCTCAGGAAGCATTATATATATAGGTTAATACTCTTTCTTAGATAGAAAAGGTGCAAGTAGCACTGCTATCAAGACAGTACATTGAAAGGGTACCTTTTGCTTTGAATAAGTGAAAGGACAGACAGATGGAATACATAATGTGAGCACTGGAGGGATAAAACATGAACATATAGTGTTGTTCAGGAAGGCCATTAACATTCCATAAGGGTTTAAGAAAACAGAGATGACCTCTTTAAAATGTACAAAACACTTCTTTAAAATTCCAAACTTGTAGATTAAAAGAGAAACACTGAAATGCACAAATAGATTAGGGAGAGAGAGAAAATTAAATGGGCTTCCCCCTCGTAAGTAACCACAAAGCCATACATAATTTATGAATGTGTGTGTATATATACAACTTTTCCCCCTTAAGGGTTCATCAGACACATTGCATGACCCAGTAATGGCTGCCTGTCTCTTCTAATCCTCGAGACCAGAAATGATCAGCTAGCAGTTCACAGGCCAGCTCTCTCCCCGCAGAGCAACTTTATCTAGCCTCCAGTTTCCCTACCAATTTTTAAAGCAAGCGGAGTAGAAGGGGGAAATGTGCAAACGATTTCCTTTGCAAAGGAGAAAATGCAATGGGATTGTGTTTGTATCTCATACGCATTTCATTTCGTGTCCCTTTCAAACCCATACTGGTAAGCAAGGAGGCCAAGGAACACTGCCTTTTGAGAGCGCCTCAGCTTTTGCCACATCCTCATACCACCCAAATGTTCATGCCTGTGAGGCCGTTGCCGGTAGGTGGGTAATGCCAACTTTATTACCACACAAACCTTTCTCAAAAGTTTTCCTTTGGCAACACACTGCCTTTGACTATGTTTTTTCTGTCTTAAAACACAATCCTATGATTGCTATATTCAGAAGTAAGTCCCACTATGTTCAGTAGGATTTACTCCCTAGTAAGGGAATTCAGAATTTCAGCTTAAGCTATAGTTTTCGTACTGAAACTTTCCATAGTTTAAATATATTTAAGCTTGGCTAGTATTATAAGAACAGAACAGACTATGCAATGGAGACTTTATTCTGATTTTGCAGAGCATGGAAAGGATTCTGATTTTGTACTTAAACCTGATTATTAATAGATCACTTCTTCAGTACAACCCACCCTCATACTTGGATCCTAAATCTCTCCCCTACCCCAACAATGCCATCAACAAGCAATTTTTGGAAATATCCTTTGAAATTTTGCATTTCCCTTTCATAATGATTTCCTTTAATAACGATACTGCTTCAAAATAAACATATGCAATAAATATTGCAAATTCTACGCATTTTATGGGAAGCGCTGTTCTATTTTAACAGACACGCCTTCATATATTTTTTCTTTTTTCATTTTAAAAAGGCAAGTCAGTCATCTCCCATTCCTCCAAAAAACATTGGAATATTACCATGTATTATTTGGTAACGATTCTGTAGCTGCCCAGTCTGCAAGGTATTCTACTTGTTGGGAGACTGAGAGCAACTTCTCATGAAAGCTTTCACAGCTCATTTATTTTGCCTATCCCCTTTGGTTTATCTCCCACTCCAAGGGAACATGAATGCACATGGAACTCCCTGAGCCCTGGTGGAAAGAAAGGATAATTCTCTCTGGTTCATCACCAAGGCAACTGAAATTTCCTATAGAATTTACTTCTCATAGCAGTGTTGTTTTTTTTAAGTTCCTGCTGTACATCAGCCCCTTGAGAGAAATCTGGAGCTCTGGGGAAGATGGTGTTTCTCTTATATGTGTCTCCCACCATTGATTTGATAGAACTCCTCTTCCACAGCCTTCCCACAGAGTTAAGAAGTGTGCAAAGCCCTTTATGCCTCCTAGCTTAACACTTGCTGAAAAACAGCACTGTCCCTTGAGAGAAGGCTTACACGAACACAATTTTATTTAGTCTTTAATAGATGTCTTCACAAATGTTGCCCTGGTTCATGCATTGTTATACTTGATGTCTTTGCATTGGGGGGGGGGGAGAATGATAAACCTCCTCCCTTCCATCATGGAGATTAATGGATTGTCTGGGCTGAATGCCTCTCACATAATTTATTTCCCACAAAAAGGGAGGGAGGACTGAGCCTCCATGTGATCAGACCTTCACATGGAGACCCTGACTCAAACATTTGGGTTGGGTAGAGGGGATAGACCGCATTGTTCCTTCACCTCACAAAGGCCCTAGGGAGTGTATGAACCAGGCCCTTGACATTTATATATATAATGTCAGTGGCTTTTTGTGTGCTGGCACCACACACCTTTGGAATGGTTTTTTCCTTCCAAGCAGCTCGCACTGGCCTGATATTGCTGGGACACTCTATTCTAACCATTCACCAACAAGTCATACCTTAGGCACTAATGATTGCCTTTTGATTACTTCATTTAAAGTAATTAAGGCATCAAGTCCATATTTATTGGTGTGATGCTGATAATGCCAAGGTTGTTTGGGTGTTGTCATTTTGTTTAATCCTTTAAGCCACAGCCCTTGGTACTGTTCATCAGTAGCATCTCATCTGATGCAAATTTGTTGGGTTTTTTAGCTCCAAATCTATAACAATACCAGTAATTAATGATAGATTCCAACTAAATGTCAGGAAGAATTTTCTGATAAGAGCTGTTCAACAGTGGAACAGATGTCCACGAGAGGTGCTGGACTCTCCTTCCTGGGAGGTTTTTAAAGCAGAGCTTGGATGGCCATCTGTCATGTGTGATCTAGCTCAGATTCCTGCATTGCAGGGGGACATAATGGGGACATAACAAAAACAACAACCTAGAAGCTATTTCCCCAGAGGGGAACCATACTGGGCTCTCCCAGCTAGCTTAATGAATGCCTGTACAGCCCAGCATGACATTTTTCCTGTCAAGGCAACCAACACTGAAAGGAGAAGTGTCAGGCACAGTGCATGCAGCCGCATGTCCCTTCTGCTTGTTCCTGCTACTGCCTGCCCCCCATCCTGCAATCTAGAGGCCCCACTAAGGAGGTGCTTTGGGAGGTGGTGCCACAGGGAAAGCACACTGGGTGGGGTCTGCCAGGAGCTGCCAGGAGGGAGGCAAGGGGCATTTTTCCTGGAGGAGCCTCAAATCTAATCCTAGATCTGCAAACATGGCTACAGAAAAAGCCATCTCTTCAATCCTAATCCATCTTGTATCTGCCACTGATGTGATGTTTGAAGGAGAGCCTCTAGAGCAGCCTTTCTCAACCTGTAGGTCCCCAGATGTTGTTGAACTACAACTCCCATCACCCCTAGCTAGCAAGCTCAGGGATGATGGGAGTTGTAGTCCAACAACATCTGGGGACCCACAGGCTGAGAACCGCTGCTCTAGAGCATACTTTAAAAGGACAGACGGGCTCATGCAGGAGGAGCATTCTTGTAGGTGTCCTGGACCCAAGCCATTTACAGGGAGCACCCAACACTTAAGGTTGCACCCCCAACACTATTCAGCGCCTGTATTTGTTGTGGATGAGAAAGGGTGTTGGATTTCTGCAAGGTTGTTTAAAGGGTGCATTATGAATGTTGGAGGGAAAGGGAAGGGACAGTGCCAGTGAAACATGAGAGGAAAGGAGAAAAGGGAGAGGCACAAGAAGAAGAGGATGCTCTAAATGAAAAAGTTGATTTCTCTGTTCCTAGCATTTACCCACCACCTGCTGGGTATCTGAGTCCCAAATTCCACATATTCACTTTCAGCGGGGTAAAGTCATTGCTAGCTTATCATACCTCTTCCATTTCACACGGCATATAGTTCTTATAAATGTTCCTCCATATGTTTGACAATTGCTATTTACTGCATAAGAGAAGCTGTTGGTCTTGGCGCCTTCTACCTGGCATTGTAAATGTCAGAAATGGAAGCACATTCATTAAAAAAAATCTACCACATGTAACTTACAAGGGAAAATGAACCCAGAGAGTATCATCTCCCAATATCTGCGCATAGTGGGGAGTCTTATTGGAGAAAACTTAAAATACAACGTACACTTACCTAAACTGTAGCAATATATAGTTGCACCATTGCTTGCTTGTGCAACTAGTTCAGTTCTATGTTGAATTCTAGCGAAGTCCTTTTGCAATTCTCTCCTCCACCACAGCCCTTCCTCCTTTACCATTAGATTCCATGACATCACATAATAGGAACATTCAGTGCAAAATGTCTTGTTACATGGGATTAGTGACAGCAATAGGAGTACAGAAACATTTCCTCACCCTTCTGCTATGGGAACTGCATAGACTGGTAGTTTAAGCTAAGATACAGATGCAGCAATTAGAGGGTTGCCACAAGATTACCAAATATTTAATGGGGACACCCATTTTCTTTTCATTGGTTCTAGGTTTATGCTCATCTTGTGGCAGCTTCAAAATCATTGCATGCCAATCTTGCTCATCTTATAATAACCTCCATGTAGAGCCATATGCCCATCATATTGTCACATGTTGACACCTTTTTGAGGGTTTCAGCTAAAGTATGTTTCGAGATCCTCGCTTGTCTCAATTCTTTTGAGACATTTCCCCGTAATATTTTTATTTAATAGTATTTGCTTTAAAATCCTGAGAAGTGAGCGGATTTAGCATAAGTCGGCCACAGAATAAATCCAATTTTACTCTTTAGCCACTTTCACGCGCCATGAAAACATGGCCTGAGTGGAGTTACAAAAATGAAAATCTAAAGGAATTGCATTATTTATTAAGATGCACTTAATTTCTAGAAAGCCTACCATAATCATCTTACCCAGCATCCTACATTATAATTGAATTATCTGTTGGATATACTAACAAGCAAATGGTTATATGTATGTGCATTATCTCAACAACTAAAAAAAGCTTTCTTATATTAATTAGATTCTGTTCTGCCACATAAGGGAATCCAAATTGTAGAGATGTTATTGGTGGAGATGGCATGGTGAAAAAGCATAGCATGATTTTTCTTTTTCCTTTTGTCTCCTTGAACAAAATTGTTGCGTTGTTGGGGAGAAGCCTCAATAAGTTATAATGTTGACTCAGTTGGGGAAAACTGCAAGGATTGAGAAGTGTAACCACGTTAATCTCTTGCCGCAAAAAAACAAAACACAAAGCAAAAGAGTCTTAACCACTTTTTTTCCAGCATAAGCTGTTGCAAACTACAATCCACTTCACTAGATCCAGAAAGTGCTATCCTGAGTTACACACACAAGAAAGACCACAGGTAGAAAGGATTGAATTTTTTTTGGGGGGGGGGCACTGTAGTATTTTTTAGATCTCTGGTGCTTTGCAAGCTTTTTGTTTTGTTTTGGCATTTTGCTTTAAAATATCAGGACTATGAAATGTTGCAGTTAAAGAAAAGATGTCCTGCTTTTGTGAATGTTGACTTTTCTTCAGATGAATGACACAATATGTTTGTACCTTGCTTTTGCTACCAGGGTTGTCTGTGAGGTTGGCTAGGCTACATTAATATATGTAGCAGTTTTTGCGAATAGATTGCTGGGGGTGGGTGCGCCCAGGCACCGAGGCACATATATATAGCATGCTAGGCCCAGGGAAATCCTGCTGGCATTCCTGTTTACTCATGGAGGGGGTACTGTAAACTGTGAGGTCAGAAGAAAATGAAATTCAGAAAAGCCCAGACATTGATAATTATGTAATTCACAGTGGTTCTTCACAGAACAGTTGCTGATAACTCAGACATCCTAGCATTGGTAAGACAATGCGTGCAATGCCAAGAGAACTTGTCCTTTCATCATTACTTGCGAAAGATTTATTAATACATTTATTCTTTCTTTTTTTTTAAGAATAATTTTTTATTAACCGACCAATCACATCAAATCAAACCAAATTACATAAATTCCAAATTACACAGCCGAATTTTAAATTTTTGTTGGGGGTACCCATATTTCAAGTTCCGAAGGGGATCCAATCAACTTCTTGCTTCTTACTGCTGTTTTAATGTCCACAAATCTAACCTTATGATGTTCACAGTACTATCCAGTCCTTTCTTATTGTTTTTCCACATCTCTTGTTGTTATTTTCATATATTTTTCCTTTCTCTTTGTGACCGCTAATAGTCTCCACAAGCTGGTTAGAACATTTTGTAATCCTGCGTGGATATTATTTTTTTTATCCAGTAGCCATATCCAGACGTTTTCCATATAACATCACTTCCATACATCAAAACAGTCTTAGCGTCATTAATCTTCACCAATCTGCCTCCTTTCTCAAAACCTCTGAGGAGATTCACCAGGAATGCACTCTGAAAACAAGTCCGTTCCTTCTCTCGGCTATAAAACCTTTGGCAAGATGGCGACTCCGAATTAATTGCTGCGCCATTCCAAAAGCTCTTATTGCTTCTCAATCTCCATAAAGCATACTTTTGGTTAAAGTTTATCTCCACACAGACCTTAATCATCCTGCTTGGGTCAGTTCAACCGACAATTCTAATGAGGAGGGGTTCTCGTAAATCACATAGAAGGAAAGTAAAAAAGGTTTTTCCCCGCCATTCAGTTCCATTGTCAACATACCCAGCCTTTGGTGTATCTTCATCGTAAAATATTCCTGTTTCTCTAACCCATCGTCTTCTTTCGCAGAGGTCACTTAAATTAGCAGACTTCACTCCCCTTCTTCACTTGAAATATGTGCATTTGCTTCTTTTGTAATTAATTATTCCAAATTGCTGCAACTAGTGCGAGATCAGAGACAGCGTCCAGGAGAGCCGAGGTCCACACGGGGGCATTCTGCCTAGGGCCCTCACCCCCTTCTTTCGAATTAGGGGGTGATTTATGGGCACAGCAGGCAAGGACAGTGTTCCCCATTTCCTTGGGGCAACAAGGGAGGCTGCCTACTCCCATAACAACCTCTTAATTACCCCGTGTGGGTCGGAGAGATGGTATTGTCGGCCATCTTCCAATGCACCCCCTAGTGCCCCCCCGATTAATACATTTATTCTTAATGGTAGGCCAAGTTTATTTATGACTTTCGGATACCCAGGCTGGAGTTGCTTTTAAGACTGCTGAGGACAGTATGATTGAGGCAGACATTGCCTTTTTGTGCATACTTATCCCATTGCACACTCTGATTAAACAGTCTCTGCAAATATTTGAAGCACTACAAAACCCTGCAAAGCCTGTTAAACAGACATGACACTGGAATGAGTGTGCACACCATGAGCGTATTTCATATCACCTTTAACAGCCTGCAAAAACTGTTCTTTGTCTCCAACCCCGATTTATCCACCCACACACTAGCATTCCCAGACATGTGCGGGGGGGGGGGGATCCTTCATACTTACCAGTTTACCCAGGGGAAAATGGCATGGCCTCGTTTTATATAGCTTCCACAAAGTATGGGGTGGCACTGCTAAGCTCTTCTCTGTGTCCCTCTTTACAAATCCTTGGTGCAGTCCCTGTACTAGACGCCCAGCATCAATGATCTCATCCTGGCCTCCCACCCTAAAATTAGAAAAACATCTTTCACAAAAAAATAAAAAAAATAAAGTGAACTGAATAAGGTACACAAATATAAAGGTAAAGGGACCCCTGACCATTAGGTCCAGTCGTGACCGACTCTGGGGTTGCGGCGCTCATCTCGCTTTATTGGCCAAGGGAGCCGGCGTACAGCTTCCTGGTCATGTGGCCAGCATGACTAAGCCGCTTCTGGCGAACCAGAGCAGTGCATGGAAACGCCGTTTACCAAGGAATGGGAGCTCACCCCATCGTGGGGATTTGAACCGCTGACCTTCTGATCTGCAAGTCCTAGGCTCTGTGGTTTAACCCACAGCGCCACCCGCGTCCCGCGGTACACAAATATAGTGCCTGTCCAATCAGCACAAGCTATTTGACATGCGTTGGCTTTTCTAATTGCAAAGGTTGCACTGCTTTAGTACAGAATTATAGACTGCTGGATTCAAAAGGGTCTAGAATTTTTGTCTGAAATGAATTATGCGGATTGGACATGTACTTAATTTGTACACAGACAACTCTCTTTTTGTGGAACATGGTCAGTGTAATGGGCACAGTCTGGGCCAATTAAAATTACTGAGAATTTTGAGCTTGCATCCAGTGGCGTAGATCTCTTCCTCTTTTCTCAGTATCCATGGTGTTTCTTCCCCTCTTCTCTCTCTTTGTCCCTTCCCATTCCTCGCACTTACCACAAAGCAGGAGAGGCAAGCTTAATAAAAAAACCACAAGCTGATGATTAGCATAGCAACTACTTATCCCTAATCGCTTCAAATGCCGATAATAGCATTTGTGGGTCATAAGTTAGAAAACTGGATATATCCATCAATGCAATGATGATAAATAAATAAATGCAATGATGATAAATAAAATGGATTATTTCTCATTCTGTATTGGCTATTTTTTAAATAATAAATAGAAAATCTGTTTTCTGATAGGTAGGTTAAAGAATGCCAATGTATGCAAAGCTTTGTTAATTTTATACATTGCAATTTGTCTCTTTAAAATTATTAAGAGGTTAATCCCCAAAACTTTTTTGTACAGCATCTGTAAAACATATGGGAAGGGCCACAGCTTTTGCCTGGCTGGAGTGTGTCCTTCAGTGTGGTAATGCGTCTCCTGCTCGCCTGGGTGGAGAAGGGGGCTAGTGTATGTAGAAACCTCTGACTTGCCTGGTTGAAATTTCCCTTTGTACAGTAGCCAATGAGTCACATCCATTGTATCAAGCCCCTCTAAACAGTGGATGTGGTCCCTGGAATTTTGCCATGAAAAAATGCAGCCCTGACCAGACACTCTGGTTTTAAACAAACTACGGTCAATTTCATAGCAACACATCCTCAAACTATGGGCTAGGGGACTCCCTTGTTGAACTAACCAGAATTCATTTTAAACCAAGATCTCTGTGTCTGAATTCATATACATATTATACATATTATGCATCATGTTCACCTAGGTCAGTGGTGGCAAACCTTGGCACTCCAGATGTTTTGGAACTACAACTCCCATCATCCCTGACCACTGGTCCTGCTAGCTAGGGATGATGGGACTTGTAGTTCCAAAACATCTGGAGTGCCAAGGTTCGCCACCACTGACCTAGGTGGTTGTAATATACACAACTCTGGTTGACTCAGATAAGAAACATTTATGTCCTGCCCACAAGTCTCTACTTTTCTCTACTTCTTACGAAGAAAGAAGAAAGAATGATAAGTCCATCAGTTTCAGTGGCTATGCTGAGTGAGTCATATACTTGCCACCTATAGTACCTCTAGCATTAGATCCCATTATTGCATTTGCATTGCTAATCTTTGCAGTTATCTCTTTTTACTGTTGCAATAAAACATAACAGGTTTCCAGATGCTTTTTAGGCGTATTAATTAGGGAACACAGAATTCACTCACTCTCTCACGCACTCTCTCTCTCTCACACACAACATGTAGAAAAGCTGCACAGCCAGTTCTGGTTGCTAAGCATTTTGAGAAATTGGAATGTACAGTTCTATCAAGCCCACTTGTGAGCTCCTTACTTCTGCCATAGAAAAGGGGGGTGGCATTGAGGGAAATAGTATGCAAGAATGACTAGAAATGTCTCTTGGTGTGGTTGACAGTTTGTGAGAGAAGTCAGAACTGGAAACGTATTTCAGATGTGACATTTCGGTGGCGAACGTGGCAGGAGTGTGCCCAAAGCAGAGTTGGCAGCTGCTTCTAGAAATCTGCATGCCAGGGATTGTAACCTCCCAAATGGGTCAATGCCTGCCTCTTACATTTGTTACTATTGGTGAGCCAAGGCCCTTTAAGAAGAGCAAAAGGATAGACTAAAGAAGGAGAACCCTGGACAGGTACAGTAGCATAACAGGTACAGTGGTACCTCCGGTTACGAACTTAAATCGTTCTGGAGGTCCGTTCTTAAGCAGAAACTGCTCATAACATGAGGCGCACTTTTGCTAATGGGGCCTCCTGCTGCTGCCGCGCGACTTCCTCTTGCATCCCGGGGCAAAGTTCACAACTGGGAGCATCTACTTCTGGGTTAGCAGAGCTCGTAACCCGAAGCATTTGCAAGGAGGATGGTGCATAACACGAGGTTCCACTGTACAGCCCGTGTTCCGCTGCCTAGAGAGGTCACTTCCAGGTTTGCATGGAGAAGCCATTTTCAACAGAGCCCAGCAATGGAATTGCACAGCTCTGCTGAGGCAGACCAGCTGTTGAAATTTTGCACCCCTAACAATTTTTGTGCCTGAGGCAGCTGCCACTGTGCCCCCCCCCTTGCTACTCCACTGGACAGGTGGGAAGCATATTTGTGAAAGGTTGTTCAGAACTCCCTAAAGCAGCTAGAAAACTAGCAAATAAATGACAGGACTTCTTTCTCTCAGATATGCTAGCGCACCTCAGTCTACCTCCCAGTTCTACAGCGGCCTTCCCCAATCTGGTACCCTGCAAATGTTGCTGGACTATTTCTATCATCCCTGACCCATGTCCATGCTAGCTGGAGCAGAAGGGTGCATTTTGACCTGCTGTGAGCCTGAAGGGCCGTGCCCTGCTTCTCTCCACCTGGCTTGGGGCGGGGCCTGACAGGCTCCATAAAGGAGTGCTGTTGCTGCTGCTGCTGCTGCTGGGCAGAGAGGACTCCGTTTTTGTTTTCTTTTTGTTTTTGAATTGCTTTTATTTTTTATCTATGTCATTTTAAATTGTGATTGATATTAATGCTGTATTCTTAGTTTTAGATTTTATGATTTATGTGGAAACTTTTTTATTTGGTTGTGTACTTTTTGATGTGTTTTATTTATTGTTTATTACTTTTGTTATGTTGGTAATTATGTAATTCTTGTCATGTTATAAGCCGCCTTGAGCATCGTTTTAACTATGGAAAGGCGGAATACAAATAAACTGATGATGATGATGATGAACAGCTGGAGGGTACAAGATTCTCCACTCCTGGTGTGTTTGGTGTGTCTGCACGTTCTTTGTGTGTGTTTTATTGAAATGTAATTTATGTAGCTTGAATGCAAGATGCATTTTTTAATATTATGAGAATTGCCATTAGGAGTGGATATAGGGTACGTTATAAAGAAATGAGTAAATTGTCAGTAGTAATAAAAATAGATTGTATTGTTAATGTTAGGAGATATTTTCCCATTACTATTCCCATTGCACATTTCCCAGATTTTCATAAGAATTATCACATATTGTGCCCCCAAGGGAAATGCATCTGCAAACGTGTCCTAAATGTTCACCCCTGTGCAAAAATTGCAAGAGAGTTGAGCGTTAGCAGCACAGATTGCAAAGGTAGGATGCTTTTAAGCACCCATGTGATTATTTGAAGAGTTAATACATGCAAAGCATTGAAATATTACAATTTTATGATGTTGGTGAAGAAGAATCCGTTTGTGTTCATGTAAATATAATACAGTCCAGAGTTAACACAGATTGGTGTTTCTTCAGTTGCCCAAGGCAAACCTTGCTTTTGTGGTTCTTATTATGTGTTTTGTACTTGGCTGCATCCTGGGTGACCTATTTTTAATGCAATGGCAGATTACACTTCAATAGAGTGAATAATTCATAGGTATAGTAGCACTATCACAGTAGCAATACAATAGAAGCTTTTATGCCTGTCTAATTGTGGAGAGAGGCAGCATTCTCTGGCATTTTCTACTGAATTAGCAAAACAAGATACATGTGAAATGAATGATTCTTTCAAATGCAGCAACATCAAGGACACTGAATGATGTGGAAAGGCAGGTTAGGGCTAGCCTATGTGGTAGTCAGATGTTTGTTATATAGCTATTGAGGTTTTGGGGGGATTTGACTGAAATAAAGGAAGACAGGATGAAACTGGACCTATTGGTTTTCTGCATTTGCTACTGCAAAGTTATATTGAAAACTTCCCCAGAGATAGCTTGTAAGTTGTATATGCACCAGTAGAATAGATACAAATTAGGAAGGTGAACACCCCAAAGCTTCCTGGAATATATATAGCCCAGGGAAAGTTTGTGCATGTCAAATACATACTTTAAAAGTCCAATAACAAACTGAGGCATTTCAGGTGTGCAAGTAGCAATAAAAAATATAGTATACTTTTATAGGTCAAATCAGCAGAATTCCCATTTCACAGCTATCAGCAGGTCTACAAAAGCAAACTCAAACTGAAATTGTTGTGTTGGTGGAAGCAGTGACATAACTACTGGGGGAGAGGGGCTAGCTGGGTTTTTTGCCGCAGATGAAGCCTTGGGGGGGGGGCACATTCAGCCCCCCTTCCTATGTGTGTATGTACACAAATGTGTGTGCCAAACTGGGTCTTTGACCCAGGTGAAATAAAGCCTACTTTCGCCCCTGGATGGAAGTGGTGCTTCTAAATGACAGGAATATAATATTACACCAGGGCAAAACTTCTAAAGGCCTGTCCATAGCTTGCCTTAATGTGGATTGTGAACCCCTTGTGCCTCCTTTAATTCCCCCTTGTCCGTGCAGAAGTCTCCTCCAACTACTTCTGTTGTCTACACTTTCTGCCCCCTAAATCTGGAGATTCCAAGTGCTCTGGAAATCCAAATAGGGGAGTCAGTTGTACGTCCCAGGCATGAAGAAGTCAGAGGTTTCTGCATGAGCACACCTCTCTTGATTTCAGCCAGGCAAGTTCAAACATACATTCCAGCCATCGAAAGTCGAAAGTCGAAAACTGTCAAGGAGGGTGTGAAGCAAAGGCAGTGACAGTTGTGACCAGGGAAGGCTAGAGGGCTAGAAAGGCATAGAGAAGCATGTTTGCTCCCCAACCCTGAGGTTAAGCACCCCTGCATTAGAGACTCTGCTCAACGCACAGCTGAAGGTTAATGCTGTGTTCATCTACGAGGTGTACCACTAACGCTGTTGATGGTAGTGATTAATCAACGATATAATGACACCTAGTGACAAAACAGAAGCGCTAATACTACCCATATATGCCCTGATCCAGATTAAGTCTGTGTGTACACCATAAGGCACAACTGAAGCGCATTCTTTCCGTCAGAGTATTCTGAGCAGAGTTGCAATTCCCAGCAACAAACTGCAGTGCCCAGAATTCCTTTTTGGGGTGGGGATGTGTTTCAAATGTATGTTCAAGGTATAGTGCATATGCAGCCTTAGTAGTGTGAATTATGTGTGATTAGTGGCACTAGATATGGACGGGGCTGCTCATGCGCACCAGAATGCACTAAACAACTAAAGCAGCAACTTCCAGAATCATACGGTTTAGGGGCTTCTCATCCGCAAATCCTTATGCTGGTCTTTAAGGTTCCACGGAACTCTTCTCTGCTTACATTGTTGAGAGTGACATTGTGCTTATAAACATCCACGCACAGAAACACATTTTGATGAATATACAGCGCCTGGTTTTGCAGTCACCTACCAGTCCCGTCCCCCCCCCCAAAAACCCCCCAGGTTGGATAGAACTGGGCATGAGGAAGGCTTTAGATAATTACCCACCCTGGTGGAACAACAGCGCGTCAGAAATTGAACCTGGCAAACTGCTGCGGCATTCACTCTCGCCACGGTGCAGAAAATAAACTCCTGTCTCCCCTGAGGCATGGGAGACGGCATTACATAAATATTTGCAGAGGAAACAAGAATGCCAGAGTGATCAAATGAAGGGAAAAGGGAAAGCCCTCCTCACCTATAGCAGCTAGTTAAGTCTCGGAGAAGCAGCTGTTTCACTGATCCCTATAGTCTCAGCACGGATGACGCTGGAGTCAGACGCTGCGACCCCCCCCCCGCTCCCTCCCTCTCACACACATTCCCTCTCTTCTCTACTGTAACTTTACCAGGGTAACAGAATTGTAGATGCTTCTGCTGGCAGAAGAGTGAGTCAGAGCAGCTAATGACTGAGAGCAAGCTGGTAACTGATGCGCTCTCGCTCTCTCTCCCTGCTCCACCTCCCCTCTCAGTCTTTCTCTCTCCCCCCCCCTTCTTTAAATCAGAAACACTAACTAAGCCACTACTGGCTGCACAGTAGAGAGCAGTACAGTCTGCTTCTCAGATCCTATTGCTGCTGTTATGAGGATTGACTGTGGAAGAGGAGCTTTGGGATTGCAAACCAGTGTGTTCAGCTTCCCTACCATACGTCTGAGTCTGTGCATTTAGGTGGGTGCTTTCCCCTTCCCCCTTTCAATTTTCAGACTCATGAGGACTAATATTGTTGCATGTTCTTTCCAAATATTGTAGTGTTTTATATCGTCCTGTGCTTTTTTGTGTCATCTGTCTCTGGTCATAAAGTTATTACAGGATGGTTTGTTTTTAACACTGTTTCTTTGCAACATTTGGATGTCAGTTGCTTAAGGAAATTGTTGCTAAACTGTTAAATAGTATTGTCCCCATTAAATCCGCCAGGCATGGCATTTCAGTGCAGTTGTGTTGGTATAGGGCTAGGCTCTGTACTATAGAGTGAAATATTATTGAATTAATTGTGTCTCAAAATCCTTAGTCCGATGCTTCTCTTTTAAATGCAGCAGAATCTTGAGCCTGATTAGTACTCTGAGTAAGGGAGTAAAACATGGAAATATATAACTGGTGTGTAACATTGAAGCTAGTAATGTGAAATGATTCTACTGAGTTTAGCAAAGTTGCCTTTTCACGCTGAGTGCTAACCTACCTCCGAAAGCCTGGAAGCACAGGTATCATAAGAAGGAAAACAAATATTTGAAATCTTTATGTTGTATAGTAATCAAGATTGTATTTTCAGTTTAGTTTGTGGCTTCAGTAAGGTTTGTGGCTACACTGATAAAAATCAGTTGTTGTTGTTTCACCCCACTGTAATGTTGCCAGATGTACCTTGGTTCCTGAGTGGAAAGGCTTTTTCCTGACTTTGGAGTGTTATAGTCCTGTAAATGTTATTGACAGACCCTGGCTTGTTTGTTTGTTTTTTTACAAGTCCGTAGAGCTGGCACTTATCATAGCACTTCAGTGCCCCTTGACAACCCTGTCATTTTCAGGAGCACTCTCATGGGGTTTGAAGGAGCTTAAAGCCATCTTTTGCACATCTTGAGCTCAGTTTGCCAAAAGATCCTGCTCAAGCTCCCATTCATTTCAGCACAGTTTGAGTAGCAGAACATCTCCGTGGATTGTGCCCTGACTTGTCTTTGAAGAAGTCCCTTCCATATACTATGCTTTCTTTGAACACAAGGATGCTTTTCTAGAGAGAAATGTATGCGTATTGCTTTATCACTGAGTGGCACTTTTAAATCATGCTTCCAGAAACATTTCAGGCTTTCCTTATGTGTGTTGTCCAAACAAACCTTTAGGATATTATTGATTACAATGTGGATAAAAGCTTTTTGCACTCCCATCCTCCATTCGGTGTGGGGATATCATCTGAGCAAAGTTGAAGCAAATGCATTGCATTGAAACAGAGTTGCAATAGTCTGTACTTTTTAAAGGAATTGATTGTGCAATATTTGATTCCTATGACTTTTGTGTTCTCCTGCCTTTGGGAAAATACTTGTAGTGTTAGTGGTGGTTATAGCCTCCATTGTCATGCGTCCTTCAAAATGCCAGTCTTCATTTTTTCCCCCCAAGCTACATATTCAAAAGCATTGCTTTCACATCATTTCGCTGCTGCCTGCCACACACCAGGAGACCTCAGCAAAGAACAGTCCCAATTAGAAACATTATTACTTGTATTTGCCCACAGCTAATTGGGATTCAGAACCAGACCTTCCTTTCTGAATTAACAAAGGCAGGGATGTGTTCAGTGAGGGTGGCATGGGAAGAGAGAAAGTTCCTTTCCACTTAGGGTAACTGTTCTGTGCTGACTGCCAGACCTGGCCAAGACACATTGTTTTATATGCAGCTCGAGGTTGGCAACTGTTGGTCGACGGGCCAAATCCAACCCCTTTGGTTGGCACAAAGTAACTTGCCAGCCCTCTCTTGCTCCTACCAATTCTGAGCATTGGCTTGGCAGAATCACCAGGAAGGCGAGACAGGAACAGGAACACAAAAGCATCCTCCTCCTCTTCTTACTCTTATGCCCCTGCCTCTTCCTTCTCTTGAATTGAAACAGCTTGATGAACATGATCAAGAGGAAGTTGGGTGCATGCCAGGTAGAGGAAGGAACCTTCTTCTTCTTCTTCTTCTTCTTCTTCTTCTTCTTCTTCTTCTTCTTCTTCTTCTTCTTCTTCTTCTTCTTCTTCTTCTTCTTCTTCTTCTTCTTCTTCTTCTTCTTCCTTGAACCACCTGCTCTACACTCCCCCAGTAGCATGGAGGAGAGGGCAATAAGGGGAGTGGTAACTTTGGAGAAGGTTTGGCGCACCACCCACCAGCATCTGTACAAAGTTAATGGCAAAACTAGGGTCATGCTTTCTGAGTATCTCCTTCCAAAAACCTCTTCCAATATAACCAGGCTATGAAGGAATCTGAACTTTGTTCTGAGTCGCAGAAAAGCAACCTTCCTGTGAGAAGAAGGCCCGTTTGTTCCCTTAATAACTTTGAACATTGGGAAATGGTGGTTTCTCTACTACCACTGGCATTAAGTACCTACCATAAATTGCAATAATAGCTTGTAACGTTATACTGGCATTCAGATGTCCCAACCTGGGCATTTCTGTCCTTGCTCAATAATTCTTGGGAACAGTAATACTAGTAAGATCTCTTTAAGATCTCCCATTGAAGAGACTGTGGGCGATAATAATAATAATAATAATAATAATAATAATAATAATTAATAAAATAAGCCCTGAAGTAAACCTGAACCTGGCTATTATATCTACATAAATTGTGGTTCCTGTTTTGCAATTGCTCCACTGTCTGCTGCCCCAGGGGACAAAACACTCAGAGTGACAGATCAGAAGCACAGCCTTGGACATGATCATTCATACATGTTGACAGATCTTCATATTATATCAACCTGAATGGAACTGCTAACACTGTGATCATGTACCTATACCAGCAGCCTTTTCTTCATTGCTTCTTGTTGCACTGAACTCTAGATAAGAAGCAGTGTCATTTCCACAGGAGTTAAGGAGAATGGATGACTGTCACAAGTGACTACTTGCAGCTGAGAAGTTGTAATAATTGAAAAAGAAGATGGGCATTGGACTTGCCTTCCATTTCTTCCAAAACTGTGGATTAGAGAAAATCTGGAAGGCTATGATTATATACAGACTTTCTCAGCAAACACAGCAAGCAAGGAATCCTAATTTAAAAACAGATATTTTGGCATCATGCTTTCTGTTTATTTTCTATGTGGAAACTCAAAACTCTTGATTAGTTTCTAATCAACTCCAGATGTCTATATGTTTCCTGACAATTATTCTTATCACACACACACACGTTATACAACTTGCCTATCCAATCTTTCCAAAAGGAGGCTCTTCCTCAGGCTGTTTTTGCTGTAGTCATCCCACAAGCATATCCATTGTATACTAAGGATTGTAATCAGTGAGTTATTTCTTCAGTGATCTTGCTGTGTATTCTCTTTTGTTGCCTGTACTTCTAACTTTACTTTAAAATTAAATTAAATTTCATGGAACCAGAGAGAGACAGACACAGAGAGAACACTTTGCAAACTGCCAAAGCAAAGAATACCATTCACTTGTGAACTGTTTGTGTGTTGCGGTTATTTTTCATTTGCCATGCTAAGCTGTTCTGTTTGCAAGATAGACCCCTTGTGTTTGTGGGCATTGAACCAGCGAAAAATACCAGCTGAAAATAGACAATGAAGGACCTGAACGCAGCAGTGCCCTCCAAGCGTGCACAGGCAAGGCAAGGCATTCCTCAAAGTAGATGGGAAGTGCAGTAGCTCTGCTGAAGCAGTTATAATGTCAGCCTCAAGGTATGTTCACTGCATGGTTCTCTTAGTGAACTGTAGGGGGTTTTGGGTGCCCAGCCTTTTTTTTATATACATATTTAAAAAAAAGGTCAACCAACTCTAGGTTTTTCTGTCATGTTTGCTCAACTTCCCTTGTTTATGCAAACCAAAGTCTGCACTTAACAGCCAAACTGTGTTTTGCACAAATCAGAATAGGAAAGCATCGTTTCGCCTTAGCATGATGCATACTCTTAACATTTATAAAGATCTTCCAAATGTTAAAAGAGCTTCACATACATCACCCTGTTGCAATCCTTATGAAACCTCTATAAGTTGCAATAGTATTATTATCCCATATTGCAGATGGGGGAGGAAGTTGCTAGGCCATAAGAAAGTGAGTTGCTTAAGTCCAACACCAGAGATGTCATGGCAGAGGTGATAAGGGAGCTAGATACTTCCTGGTTCATAATTGAGTTACTTAGCTGCTTCACCGCACCATGTCCAATTCTGGTTTGTAGCCAAGTATGATTAGTGCTTGTTCTTGCTGATGGATAGTGTCTTGTTGGAGCCATACAAACCATGATTTCTGGTTTAGATATAACACTAAGCCAAGGGTTGTAGTTTGTTTCCTCTGTGCACTATTGGGGGTGGGGCAGGGAGAGGAGAGGAGCAAAATGGACATAATTCGCTTATGCATAGTGAGCTATATGATTTTTGGCTTAGAATGAAGCTTGAATGTGGTCAGAGAGAGAAAGGGGGAGAAGTGGTTATTACTAATTCATACAGATTTAATGTAAGCAAGGAAAGGAGATAAATGATAATTACTTTTGTCTTTCAGTGATAACGAATGCTGTCAGATCTGGTTAATCCAAGCTTTGTTTATCCTTATGTCTCTATATTGAAAAGATTTAAGTGATTACTAATCCTGTGATGTGCAGAATATGGTGCCAGCCTCTTAAACTTGAAGGCTTTTGTAAATCTGCAATTCAAATGGAGTGTATTGCTTTTAAATTAACAGGCTTGAGCATAATTACTGAATCAAGGACCCAATCTTATCTTCAGTGACACTTGCCCAAATACTACATTTCAGAGAAAATTAAAACCCAAAATCTAGCTAGTTACATTATAAAAGGCTATAGTGATTCAGCTTATGTGTCTTAATTCCCATTAGCTTTTAATGAAACTTAGGTGTTTTAGGGTTCCTGTCTTGGTTCTTTCATAGGCCGTTACCACAGTAATAGCAGCAATATCTTTAAATTGTTTCTTTTTATGCTTCTCCCTGATCCAGACTCTGTAAAGAGGAACTGTGACCTGCAAAATGAGGAACAGTAAAAGAGATAAAGAAACACCCCGCCCATATTTTTAACAAGTCTTGGGTTTGAGAGTGTGTTGTATACTGGTAAGCCTGGGAATATGGATTCTTCCTTTGCCAGCGCAAGCCAGAGCTTAAAATGTTGGTTTCATTTTCCTGACACAGGCAAAGAAGTCTAACTTCATCATCTTCAACCTGAAGCAATATCATTAAATCAGGCTAAATGTCAGTGACACAATAAGCAGCCAGCACACACATAATTCAATTTTTTAATGCTTGATTAGCAAGCAAATTATGCAAATGTGGCAAAAGCATAAGGAAGGGATAATATATCCCCCATTCATCCTTTTATTCGTCTCGGGTATGGCCCAAGATTTGATCGTTTGATCTGTTTAGTTTCTAGGACAGTAAAAACTAGGAGATAGCCACTTTTTCAAAGAATGCCTTATCTTGGTTTCTCTTGTCAGCTGCTGATCCAGTCACACCCTGGTTTTTCCTCCTCAATCTGTATGCAAATCAGCTGTATCTTACACATGCACTGGCTGCTAAATCTGTTAACAATCGCATACATTAGCATTTACACCCAAAGTGCAATTCTCCTCTTTGGAAAAATGGCCTAAAGATTTTGCTCCCTTCATGGTTGCACCTGTTTTCCCCATTTTCACAGCTAACGTTTCCATATTTTACTTTTTTTCTGTACCTGTTGAGTGAGAGCTGTGATCAGGAAAGAATCTTCAGAGCCCCAGACACTTGTATATTGGCAACACCAGCAGTTGTGGCATTATAATACTGATTCAGAACAAGCAGCGAGAAAACTGGCCACCTTTTTGTAGTCTGTGTGTTCCTGTCATTCAGCTTTTGCAAGGGGTTCTTAATAATTACTGCATCTGAACACTGACATCACATCTATCTACCTGCTGCCATATCCCAACAGTTTTGAGCAGTAAGAGCTGCTGGACTATACAAAATACTCATGTTATTCCCAATTGTCCCCTTGTATGTGCTTGCATGAACAAATGTAATGGGTAAACATTGGGAATATCTTGACAGAAACTCCTGTGATTTTGGGACCATCTGTTCCAGAAGCAGCTGTCATGGGAGTACCTACTGGCCATATATGTAACTTCAAATATTGCACTTCCACAAAATGAACGTATTTTGTTGGAATTGTTTTCATATGGAAAAATTGATTGTGTGAATTGCCTCTACTACACCCACTGTTTTCTATGTCCAGATCCGGTACTTTGCTTCTGTGGTAAAGTTTCAGAAACTGCTTTGGCTGAATCATATATCAAACTGGGAACAACAGTCATTGCTGCTCAAGTTGCTTAAGTATTATGGAAGCTGTTGAGTGGATGATAATGGATGATAACACACATGGTCATAGTAGGACTGAAGACACCTCACACACACTATCTTAAACCCATTTCAGTCATCACAATGCCACTTGCCTCAGACACAGCTCCACATACCACTGTAGTTAAGTTGGCATATAGTCCACTGGGTGGCACCATTAATGCAATCTTATTTTTTTAAACCACAACTGTACATCACACACAAGCGCATATAATGCAATGAATAAGGACAGATTTGAAGGCCAACTGTCAACTTGAAGTAAATGCAGAAATTTAAATAATGAGACCAGACTCATTATTACCCAGTTCTGAAGCCATTTGCGACATCTAGGAGCCATGAAGTGTCTAGAGCTCTTATTTATTGCAACAAGATTTAGGCTGACTTGCATTTTTAGTTTATGTATGTAGAAGTTAAAACAGCAAGACCAAGCGCTGGTTCAATGTGGTCTCCAGATAATCTCCTTTGGGCTCTGGCTCACAGACATTTGCCCTCTTCGTGGATACAGTTGCATAGAAAGTGTGTTATGATGAGCAGAAGTACATGAGTACCCATGGACAAAACACTTATAGAGAAGGATGATTAATGCACCCCAGTGTAAGCTCTTGCTTCATTATTTATTTGTTATACATTTACACCAAAACCACTGGATATCTCACCAAGTGTACTTCCATTTTGTTCATTGCCATGCACTCCAGTACAAGCTTCAGGTGGAAGTCCAGGGTGTCTACCATGTTTTGAGATTGAAGGATGGAAACGAGAAATAAATCTGAGTGATACTGGCATAGTGATGACATTCAGCCCAGATCTCCAGATGGCCTCATCCATCAGCTTCATGTAAACATTAAAAAGCATGGGAGACAAGATGGAGTCTTGCAGTGCCCCACATAGACCAAAGGCCATGGCAAAGAATGAGCGTGCATGTATGTGTGTGACTGGTTTGTTTGTGTGTTTTAATGTGGTGCCCACAACTCTTCCACAGGTCCCCAAATGTACCCACAGCTCAAAAAGGTTGGTGACCCCTGTTTGTTCTCTACACTTACTGGCAATGGCTCTTCAGAATTTCAGACAGAAGCCTTTCCAGTTCTACATGGGAGACCCCAAGAACTGAACCTGAGTCCTCCTGCATGGACTATTGATTTTTGCCATTGACACGGCCCTTCCCAATTAACACTGGCCAGAAACACATGACTGGAGCATCTGCTGTAAAATCACCCAAAATGGATTATTCAATTCAGCCAAGTAAAAAAGTAGAGGTAAAACAACTTGCAATGCATGTTTGCTCAGAAGTAACTTTCATTATATTCAATGAGGCTTATTCTCAGATGAGTATGTGCAGGACTGCAGCTTTGCACTATGTGCAAATGTCTCCTGGCAATCAAAATCTGTTGCATGGATGGTATTTGTTGCTGTGGGGAGGAAAAAAACATCAGGGGAATCCTGAAAGGAACAGGCACAATTCAGTGCAAGGTATACATGACTGGAATAGCCCTAAAGCTGTGGATGACTCCCATAGCAGCATATCACATTTGATTTTGCAAAATTGTTTCTAATTTTTCCAGCAGCTGTTAAGGCGCCTTGAAGGTTGCAAACTTAGATTTATCATTCTATAAGCTTAGGGCCCCTGTACAATCGCAGTGACAGCATTCCTGACACACAAATGGCAGCAGTGGAAAAGTTCAAAAGAATGAAAGATCTTCTCTCAAACCTGTTCTACTTCTTATTAAAGATTTACTGAAAAGGACACAGATGCTGGTAACTTGCATAAGCCAGTGTGTCTCAGCTCAGTGGACTTTCCTTCAAGGAAGTAGGTTTGCTTTGAGGATCCTTGAAGGCGATGGTACGGTTTCTGGCTAATGGTAAGGTATCTTTTGTTCCTCTTCAAATATGATATGATAAATCTTTCCTGAAGGAACATGTCATCTACAATTTTGGACAACAAATGTGCTATTGCTGAAGAAGAGCAGAATGAATGTCACTCAGTTGTTATTCTTTGTGTCGTGATTTTGTTCCTTGGGTAATCTTCAGGTCTTCTGTAGTCACTTCAGAGCTTAGTCCAACATCTGTCTCCTTAACGACATTATCAGTTTGATCTGATCTCTTCAAACCAGAGACCTAAGGATATACCAGGGTGCATTTGAAGCTCCTGTATAGGTATTCTTTCCACATTTTTTCACTAGAGTAGGCAGCTATGTACACATATCCCTTTGCACATGTGGAATTTTGGCCCATCTGTTCATGTAGATGAGAAAGTTATATGTGTTTGGAAGCTGCCCAGAGTGGCTGGGGCAACCCAGCCAGATGGGCAGGGTATTACTGTTACTGTTACTGTTACTATATTCAGGTAGGTAGCCGTGTTGGTCTGATGCATGCACACGAAAGCTTATACCCAGAACAAATTTAGTTGGTCTCTAAGGTGCTACTGGACAATTTTTAAATTTTTATTTACTTATTACTATTACTATTACTATTACTATTACTATTATTATTATTACTACTATTATTAGAATTACCTCCAGGAGCACATACCTCATCTGTAACAGACACCTGAATTTGACCAGCTCAAGATATTTATAGTGTATGTAAATGTAAATGGGTGTACCATTTTCAGTTCTTCAAATCTCTCAGAAGGATTTTGTTTCCCTGAGTTTTACATTTGTAATTCTGCTAATTAGTCTGTAATCAACAGAACATAAACATCTGCATAAGCAATGGAACCAGTGGAGCCCCTTCAATTTATCACATTAAAGCATTTGGGCAGGGGGATATAAATCCAGTCACAAAACAAATCCTGTCCTCAGGCTCTCTGCTAACTAAAAGCAGAAGTGTGGAAATGGAAAAAGAACTCAGAATTAATATATTTAACTAGTTTAGAGAGCTTCAGCAGCTGAACACAGTCACAGTAAAGCACAAGTTCAACTACAGCCATAGAAACCAAAAGACAGAAAGGCATGCATAGAATAGTGTCTTCTCAGTACGTGTATTTTTCCCCGTGAACAATCACTCTGCACATTCCTTCCCCCATAATGTTTCTTAGTTCCTATGTAAACATGTTCAGCATCATTCAACAGTCTGCTTTGGTTTTTCTGTGTAAGCAGTTGTACTAGGTATAGATACATAGAGTTATCGAACTGCAGAGCTTATGGTTAGCAGAAAAGACCCATGTTCACATCACAAGACATTTTAAATTATCCTATCTAAGATGCTGCCTTACTCATTATAGGCAACTAGGCAAGTTGCTATTTGCAATCATACATTAGTTACAATTTTGTAGCATTTTCTGTTGTCTAAACAAAATGGTTTCTTCATTCAACACTTTGCTATATAGAAGGCACATTATGGGTGGTTCATTCAGCCTCAAGTTAAATATTTTGTAGAACAAGAATTTATGTACAAGCACTTTAAGATAAATATATATAAATGAAGCTTTAAAATATTTTCCTCAGTAAGCAGAGGCATATTATGGATTTGAAACAAACTTTATTCAGCAGAAAATGGTCAAATTGAAGTCCCAGAGGCAAAGACTTACCATGCACCTTTCATTGGAGCAGGTGTGCTGAACTGCAACTTCCAACATCCCTGATCACTGGCCATGCTTGCTGAAGCTGAGGGGAGTTGTAGTTCAGCAACATTTGGCAGGCCCAAATTTTCCCATGACTGCATCGAAGGGTAACCTGAATAGGGCAAAATCTAAACTAATTCATTCCTAATTCCTAAAATGCTGATCTAACTAAGCCCAATTGCCGATTCAGTTTCATTATGTTCCATCTATGGAACTCCTTCCCAGGTAGCATTCAGCCTTCCCACCACAGTGGCCACTTTTTAACAAAGGCTCAAGATGTTTTGGTTTGTCCAGGTGTTTGGAACATGAATTGTTCTGGTTTTGGATTGCGGTTTAATAGATAGTGTTAACATTCCACTTCAATCTCTATGAGCAGTGTGGGATTCCAGGGGTTGCAGTTGCACTTACCAGGGTCTGTGTATAGACCCTGGGAACAATGAGGCACAGCAGAGTCTGGGGTGTTTATGATACGTGGTTTATTTACACATACATACAACCCTTGTCTAGATGGAGAGAGCGCAGAGCTTTCACAACCCAAGAAAGTCCGGTTCCTGCCACTGCTGCAGCCATGGATTCCAAGAGACCCCAAAGAACATGTCTAGCCCTCGCAATAGCATAAACAGACTGTCTGCCTTGTGCTCTGGCCTCCCACCTCTCCAGCTTGCAAAAAGGACACTTTTTCCTGTTTGCTTACCTCATCACCCACTGTATCCCTGGAAACTACTCCCTCCCAACTGGCTGGGTCTGCCCCCTCTGTGTCCAGCAGCATCTTTTGTCCTGTTGATAGCTTTCGTCAATGGGTTAATGGCTGGCCATCATCATCTTTTGTCCTCTTCACCACCCACACTCAGCGAGCTCTGCCAGGCTAGTCTTCCTTGTTAGCATAAACTGAGCCCAGAGATTCCCATGTTTGGCACAGTTTAGTCAAATCTGGATTAATTCTGATTTTTACGGAATCCAAGAATTATGTGTGACTTGCACCCACATGTCCCCTAAATGGGTTCTGGGGCTTTCCTCAACCCTCTAGAGCAGATTTGGGGAGGTTAAGGGCTGAATGCAGAGATAATGCAGTGGGAGAGAAAATCCCACTGCATAAATGGAACTACTTGATTGGATAGTTGGTTTTATCCCATTGCTAGCATGACCTCTGTTATGAATGAGCTTTACAGTATAAATGTTGGTCTTTTTCTTTTATTCTTGTTTGTGCTCTTAGTTCCTGGTGCCTTTGTTTATGGTGAGTTTAGATATCCTAAAAACCACTTGGAAGCCCTTCTCCGCACACACAGGGATTTTTGAAATCTGCCTGATACTAAAAATATATTTGCTTTATATAAGTAAAGGTTGAATGTCCATTCTGTCCTTACATCACGTCAAAGAGCAACCAAATGCCAATTTCTATTTTAATCTTTGCAGAAACCCTGGGAGTTAGGTGCAGGGCTGTATGCTGACTCTTTGAATGAATGCACTTAGTTGCTACCTCTTTTACAGTGTCATGGTTCCCAGTTCAAATGTTGCATCACTCTTAATATAAAGTACAATGTGCTGAACTCAGATAACATGTTCTCGAGCCGTTACAGTAATATGCAACTTCTTGCTCATCAATTTGAACTGAAAAAGATACTAGGCCACTATTGTCAAAAGTTACTGACAAAATAAAAAAAAAATACATGACTGACCTTGCTCTCCATGTCACGCTGTGTCACCCACAACCCTTTCTTTTTGCCTAACGAATAGTTCTGTGTAAGTCAAAAGCCTGCCTGTTTCTATCCTGATGTAATTAATCCAAATGAAAGCTGTCCCTCTACATTTTTTAAAATTTTATTTTGTGGGTTTCCCATGCATCATAAATGATACTTAAATCTATCAGGAGGGCAGCAGTTTTGGGATTTATTTTATAGAAAGTCATTCATCAGAACATAACGAGAGCTCAAAGGCCCATCTATTCCAGCATCCTTGTCTCACCTTGGCTGACCAGATGTCTGTGGAAGCCTGCCAAGAGACATACGTGCCACAGGTAAAGGGACCCCTGACCATTAGGCCGACTCTGGGGTTGTGGCACTCATCTCACTTTATTGGCCGAGGGAGCCGGCGTACAGTCATATGGCCAGCATGACTAAGCCGCTTCAGGCGAACCAGAGCAGTGCACGGAAACGCCGTTTACCTTCCCGCCAGAGTGGTACCTATTTATCTACTTGCACTTTGATGTGCTTTCGAACTGCTAGGTTGGCAGGAGCAGGGACCGAGCAATGGGAGCTCACCCCATCACAGGGATTCAAACCGCCGACCTTCTGATCGGCAAGCCCTAGGCTCTGTGGTTTAACCCACAGTGCAACAGAACCGTCCCCAGTTCTGATTCTCAACACCTTGCATTTAGACGTGCCCTGCCTTTCATGCTAAAGGTGATATACCACCATCATGGCTACTTGCCTTTGATACCTTTATCTTCCATTAATTCTTCTAATCCCCTGTGCAAAGCCATCCAGGCTGTTAGTCATTACTACATCTTGTGGTAGCAAATTGCATAATTCAGCTGTGTGTTGGGTGAAGAATTACTTTCCCTTCATAGTGAATCCATCTTGAGGATCATGCAGAATGAAAAAAAAACCAACATTATTCAGCATTTCTTCCCAATGTTAAAAACTATCATTCATCCTTAAACCATTTAGCATCTTTTGCAGCCTTCTGGAATGTGTTCTCTTTCATATCATCATTGGTGATTTCAGCTTTATAAGGAGTTGCAGTGTTCCAAAGGAAATGGCATTTATAGTATTGGTGATACTTTACATCCACTAAGGTCAATGGGAATTTGTAACTGGCTTCAGTTGCTTTTGCATAAGGAAGTCAGGGAGCAAATGTTTTTTTCATGAGCTACAGATGCTTTTAATAGTGTGCAACCTTTGTGCTAGAGCACAGGTGTATTACCCTAGCTTAAACAAGTCCTCTATTAGCATGCAGTGTCTTCTAACACACATTCAAAATTAGTCTCAGTAGAAAACCCAGTGCATAAGTGTCAGTGTGTAAAATGTACAGTGCAGTCTTGAAAATACTTGTGGTGTTATATTTTTCTTTGTCTCCTGGATTAAATGTTTTGTAAAGGGTTGTTGGCACTTACTGATGGAGAGCGGAGGGGTGGTGCGGGGTGGGGCTAAGTGTGACTGTGTGAGCAATGCATGCAGGTGCTCACAGCAGAAATTGCAACCACTTCACTCCTCCACAGCCCTCTTGCTGCTGTGCTACCTAGAGCCAAGCCATGGTTTGGCTTAGCATTCCATCCAAACCAGGGTCCATGGATTTCCCCGCTTTGGTGGGGTGGGGTGGGGTGGGGAGCATGAGCTGTAGCCAAGGTTTGTTCTTGGGTAACCCTAATGGTTTAATCAGTCTGGTCACCAGAATTTTAAGTTCCCTTCTTCTCCTAATTGTGATTAGTGAAAAATCTCTTTAAATTTGCTGGAAGCATGATTTATCTTGCTTGAGATTGGCACACATATGCATTCCACAATAACAGAGTTTTGGGGTTTTTTGACTCCTGTGTGCATTAACAAGGACCTGATGGAATATATTAACTTGGCAGTGTGTTATTTTGTTTTGACAGGATGAGGCTTTTGACTAAGAAGCAGCTCATCATATGTAAATGAACTCCTCATAATTAACACTAGTCTTTGCTATCCTTCTGCTGTTTGATGTGCTGTATAATGTTTTTGCCACTGAACCCCATATGCCTGCCACTGTTTCTGAGCTCTTTCCTTAATAGCAATCTCTTAAGTTCATCCTCAAGGTTCGTAACTCCTCTAACATAACCTAGGCAAAGTCAACAGTTATCAGTCTGTAATTCCCACCTTCCCATTGCTTCACCTTTTGAACCCATTTGGAGTATGTGGCTAATAACTGCGTAAATCGTATTTTATTTTTTAATTATTATTTTTTTAAAAAATCAATTACAAAAGTAGAATATCTCATTTTGCAAAATGATGTCAATGCACATTAAGATAACAGAGCTGTTGTTTCATTTCTAGCTTCCTAGATCTGAGAGAAATTCAGATTCCTTTGCTCTCAGGTGCAATCAGTGGTTTCACTTTATGCAGGGCCCAGAAACCTGTATTTGGTCCTGATTTTAAGCATTTGTTTTACTTAGATGGGAGCTGAAGAAGTTCAACACTCTGCTGCTGTGCTGATATAGATAAATGAGAGAAAGAGGACAGTCCCATACCACAGAGAGAGAGAGAGAGAGAGAGAGAGAGAGAGAAGGAGGAAAGCCTCAAAATAAAAAAATAAAAATAGGGAACTTTAATAAAACAGTCAGTAAGTTCTCTGTTGTGTTTCAGTGGAAAATTTTCTCAAGGGCACAATAATTCAGTTTTGTTGAATTATTATAATAAGGGAAGTTCTGAGGTACTAAGGCATGGAAAGAGTTTTGATTTTATTCCAAAGTTTATAAATTTCCTCCTGGTATGGCTCAGGTACCTTGATGTTTAAAATAATCAGATACAGAATTTTCTTCATGTACTTTTTAGTTCTTTAAACATTTAAGCTCAAGATGTTGTTCTTCAGCAGCACCAATAAGTACTTGGTGAAATACACGAGACTTCTGAATAAGCATGCATAGTATTTGGATGTAAGACACAATTTTGTATTAATTCCATAATTCAGAGCTTCTGACTAAAGAGCAAAAATTGTCTGCTTTCCTAATTACTGAAAAAAAGAGTTTTTGTTAATCAGTTTGCATACTTTTACTTATGGTTCCTGAATTACCACACTGATAATATTCTACCTTTCCAGCCTCTAAATGCACCCACACTTCTCTTCGTTTGTTGTGCTTCTTTCTCCTCTGAATGAAGATGCTTATAGGGCTCTGGCAGTAATCTCCCAGGTTTCATTTCTGATACAGATAATCATTTTTCTACTCATGCAGACAGTTGCCCCAAATATTCCTCATATTTGATTCGATCACATTTACAGTGGTACCTCGGGTTAAGTACTTAATTCGTTCCGGAGGTCCGTTCTTAACCTGAATCTGTTCCTAAATTGAAATACCACTTTAGCTAATGGGGCCTCCCGCTGCCGCCGCACCGCCGGAGCACGATTTCTGTTCTCATCCTGAAGCAAAGTTCTTAACCCGAGGTACTATTTCTGGGTTAGCGGAGTCTGTAACCTGAAGCGTATGTAACCCGAGGTACCACTGTACTTTTGACAGGGGTGGGGAAGCAATATAATTAGTAAATGGATGTAGACTTTTGTACAAGCTAGAACAATAAAGCACATTGGACTTTACATTCCCATGACCAGTCATACACCAAGTCAGTAGTACACATGTGCTAGCCTGTGGATTATAGTACAGTGGTACCTCGGGTTACAGATGCTTCAGGTTACAGACGCTTCAGGTTACAGACGCTTCAGGTTACAGATTCCGCTAACCCAGAAATAGTACCTCGGGTTAAGCACTTTGCTTTAGGATGAGAACAGAAAACGTGCGGTGGCAGCACGGCGGCAGAGGGAGGCCCCATTAGCTAAAGTGGTACCTCAGGTTAAGAACAGTGTCAGGTTAAGAACGGACCTCCAGAACGAATTAAGTTCTTAACCCGAGGTACCACTGTACTATAATCCATGTTCATTTGCCCAATTCATTTTTCAGGAGCAAGAAACAAAGTTCTCTTTGCATGCACACAGCTTTGTTTGGAACACAAAGATCTCTGAAACACAGCAGACTTTCCGTGGGTGTCTGAGAGCAAAGGAGTCAAAGAGGGGGGAAATCCATGGAAATAAAGGGATACATTTCTCAGTCTCCTACTTACAGAGATACCTCTGGTCCTGAAATGGGAGTTCTTGTTGCTGAAAGAAAATGCAACTTCAGAATTTAGAGACTTGAATATCTTTAATGATCTCATGAGTTGTGTAGTTAATTTACCTTCTATTGTCCTGAAGCTGTAGTTTGGGAAGCTGTATCTTAAACCTGCCTGTAACTTGCCATTACACCTGACCTCCTTACTCTTACCTTGCAGGAATATCTTCCAGATTCCCAGAAATCATGTCAGTAGGATCACACTCGTTCTCCCCTGGAGGCCCTAATGGGATTATTAGAAGTCAATCCTTTGCTGGCTTCAGCGGTCTCCAGGAAAGAAGATCAAGGCAAGTAGCAGCTCCAAAGCCAGGCTTTCAGCTTGTAAATAGGGGGTGGGAAGCTTTGTTGGGGTCTGTTGTTGTTATCCCTTTGTTATCTATTGCAAAGGATGCCTCAGTTATGGACCTGACTGTGGTGAAATTTAAATTAAGCAAACAGAAAACAGCTCTGGCTTTACCAAAGGTTATCTCCTTGACCTATCATGTCTTTTAAGACTTCAGCAAGGTTTTTCATTGGCTTCACAATTGAGGATGGGTGATGGGAAGCGGTTGCACGCAGTCATAAGAAAACAAAGGAAACCATTCCACAGGGAATGCAGTCAGGGTCTAGCCCTTTCTTTCCCTTACAGATGTGTCAAATTGTCTGATTTGCTTTAGAGCCAGTTTAATCTTAACTGCTTCATGAATTCTCTTTGCTGCCTTAGTAGGTTCAGACATGCTGTTTGCAGCAATATTTCTCAAGACAGTGCGCACTCACCACCACAAGGCCAGAATATGGAAATTAACATATATATTTTAAAACAGGTAGCAGTGTAGGCCAGGGTTGGAGCAAGAAGTCAAGAGTAGGCAGCAACCCGTTTTTTCTCCTCTTCCTAGGATCAAAGTCAGCAACCTGGCATTGTTGGGCAGCGCTGAGCATCTGGGTCTAGCTACCACAACACCACAATGTCCACACTGCCAAAGGCAGCACTATATGGAGGAAATTGTGGGAACGGAAAATGGAGGACATAAACAAAACATTGGTGCTGCCAAAGCTATGCTGGCCACCAGGCCCCACTGATGGAGGCAGAAACCCATCAGAGGGTGCTTAGCTGAGGGCCCACTCAAACTTGAAGTTGTCCCTGTCTCCATCCTGTGTTTCTGTGCCCCTTTTGTCTCTATAGCTGAATATCATCTGCAGTTTACGTCACATATAGTAATGTTCTGGTATTAATGATGCTTAGGGACAGATGGCTATTACACATTAACTTTTTCAGCAATGTTGCAGAACTCCCCACCCCCACCCCCCATTTAAGGGGGTTTCTGTGGCCAGCTTGTTGCAGGTTGCTTTTTTATTTATAGTCTTTACTTGATATTAACTTTTTCCATATGCATACAAAGCATAAAGGCAAAGAACATCTATCATGAGCTCATTGCAGGTTGACGTGAGTCGCCAGGGCAGTCTCCTGCAAGAGCTCTATTAAAATGACAGAGAGCAAGCTGCTTAGCTCGTTTGGATTGTGCCTTTGTTTAATATTAATTACATCCTGCCTAAATATGAATCAAAGTGGTTACCGACCTGAAAGATCCACAGTGCAATAACCTGCCCTTCTCTTCTTCTATTTAGTTTCATTGCATGGTACATTTTAAATCTATTGTTACTCACACTGAGCCTTTGCAAGGGGACCCACTGCAGGTCTAAATAAATCAAAAGAATTAAATCAAATTCAGCGGCACTGCACATTTCTGCAAGTGGAATATCAGGTGCTGATAGAATATCATGTTTGCTCAGACCTATTAACCCATAAACTTTTCCTCCTCTGGCAGGCAGCACAGTAAGCAGATTTATTTGAGTCGGTAAAGATTAAGTTAGGGAAAGCTCCTTAGGCGATGCTCCTTTGAGATAACCAGATAATCGTGATTTATACCTTTTCTTCCACCCCTTGCTCCCCTTTAATGTTTGTTTTGCAGGTGTAACTCCTTTATTGAAAATTCCTCTGTGCTCAAGAAACCCCAGGCAAAAGTGAAGAAGATGCACAATCTGGGACACAAGAGTAACAGCGCTGCTAAAGAGCCTCAGCCTGAAAGGATGGAGGAGGTTTACAGGGCCTTAAAGAATGGACTGGAGTAAGAGCTTTTATAAGTCTGGAGCAGCACTAAAAGTGTCTTTACTGCTCTGCGGAAGAACAGCTTCTTGCCCCCCTGGAGTGAATAAGACTTTAACTTCTGATGTCAAAGATAGGTTTATCAGCTCCCCCAAAGCAATGAGTTCCTGCTTCTCCTCTTAGCAGCTCAGGGCAGATCTGCAGAATCTTTAGATGTTCAGCCACAGTGGTACAGCTGGGTGATTTTAGACTCTGGACTTAATGGACTTACTTGGGGCGAGGGGGTGGGTGACTTTAGATAGCTGTGTGTATTACTTTAGTTGTGAAGCTCACAGTTCACAGTTCTCTTTGTGCACACGCTCACCATGTGCCAGTGGTGTAGCGTGGGGGGTGCAGGGGGGGCCAGCCGCACCGGGCGCAACATCTGGGGGGGGCGCGCTCGCGCTCGCACTCGCAGCTCTCTGCCCCTACCTGGCTCACTCACTCTCTCTCACTGCAGTGCTGGCTGTGCGAATCCGATCCGAGCCGCTGGGTCGCCGCCCACTGTGGAGGGGGTGGGTGCCAGGCGTGCGGTGCGGAGAGAGAGCGAGGGACTATCTGGGGGAGGGACAGTGCAGCGGCCGCCCAGCGCAGCGCTGAGCGCGGGAGAGAACCACACCAGACCAGACCAGGCAGCAGCAAGAAGAAGCTGGCAGCGGCGGCAGGTTAGGGGTTAGGGGGTGCAAATTACTTGCCTTGCCCCGGGTGCTGACAACCCACGCTACGCCGCTGCCATGTGCTTTACAACTGCTTTTACATTTTCTTTATTATTAAGAGAGAGAAACAAACACAAAACAGTTTGCCAATGCTGATTAAAAAGCATAATACTTGAGCATACTTTTGTTATAGAAAAGGAGTGTATAAATTTAATGTTAAAATAATAATAAAATGAGCATCAGAGGCCATATGCATGTCTGGCCAGCTGCCCCCTGACTTTAAAATGTTTTTAAAGGTAAGAAGAATGAAAGCATCCCATCATCTTCTGATTTAAGATTGTGCAGATCCTTACCCAGACCAGCTCCACTCTTTCCCTGCCTACCATGGTGGGAACATACTGCTGACTTTAGCTTTCACTTGCCCATATTTTTGGCAGATGCAACAGGGACTTCCATGGTGGTGAAGGCACTGCCCGCATCCCCACCAGTGAAGCCCAGAAAATCTGGTACAGAGGGAAACCTCAGCTGCATCCAAAAACTGTTCAGCCAGTGTAGTGGATTGAAGGGAGGGGGTAGACTGCTCTCTAAGGCTGCAATCCTATACAGTCATACCTCAGGATAAATATGCTTCAGGTTGAGTGCTTTTGGGTTGCGCTCCATGGCGACCCAGAAGTAACGGAACACATTACTTCCGGGTTTCGCTGCTCACGCATGTGCAGACAGTCAAAATGATGTCATGCGCGGAAGCAGCGAAATGCGGCACGCGCAGATGCGCTGTCACGTCTAACGTTCTGTTCAGGATGCGAAAGGGGCTCCGGAACGGATACCGTTCGCATCCCTAGGTACCACTGTACACATTTCCCTGTGAGCAAGTCTGACTGAATTCAGTAGGACATGCTTCTGAGTGGAGAGGATTGCACTGTTAATTAAGCAAACTTTACTTGGTTGAACAGTTCGTGGCAAGAGTAAAACTTAGCAAAACAGCTTTTCTATCCACAGAAATCAGCAATCGGCACTTCATTACTGAAACGTAACAGGGCTGATGTTTCGCTTTTTGTTATCTTTGCAGTGAGTATCTGGAAGTGCATCAAACAGAGCTGGATAAGTTGACTGCTCAGCTAAAGGACATGAAAAGAAACTCACGGCTGGTATGTCTTTGTCGTAGGACTCAAAACATTAAGGAGGTTCAGGTAGCTGTAATGCAAGTGGTACAGTCCCCCCATGAGGTCTCCACAACCGAAGATTTCAGACTAGGAGGCATTTGTGTTAAAGTGTCCACATGTTAAAAATGTACTGTCTGGGTAGAACCTTCCCTCTGATATTGTAATTTTATGATGCGGTAGCAATTGTCACAGATAGATGATCTCACCGCTGGAATGCATTACACTTTAGGAGCTGTGCTACATTTGAATAAGGCCCTGACACAAAGTAGTGCCTGACCCACACTGGTACTGTTCCGTGTTGCCATCCACATCATCACTCAAGGCAGATCCATTTGGTCAGTTTCACTCTTTCTTTACTAGTTGCTGTTTTGTGCAAAGCTACATGTGGTTCTCTCACAAACAGCGCTGCAGAAAACCCTGCATTGCTAGGCATATGGTGATGAAAAAAAATCCAAAAGTTGTTGAATACTTTTAGAAGTCTTCATGATCTATCCACACATTTCAGGGCCAGCTACATAAGTCGCTTCATCATGGGGAGGGAAAACTTGCCTTCTTAAATTAACTTAAGGCCCAAGACAACAATTCAGCATCGCACTTGAGAGAATGTCTACTGAACTATTAATCCTTTCATTTCGTTCATTACAGGGGGTGCTGTATGATCTAGACAAGGTATGTCTATCTGCAACTTATCTGCAAAAATAAATGTTAAACCCAGTCTTTGTGGCAGCAGACCATAAGATTAGTTGTGCAAGGGAACCTTTCTGATTGTGCTACAGTTATGCAAGGAGACAGTAGAAGGATGGGCATAATCAGTCCTTATTCATTCATTTTGCAACAGCAACTTTTAATCCAGAATAATTATTTCAGAGAAAGTGGTTTGAGGATTGCGGTATGAACTCAGTATTGCTCTCAGCAAGTTTTTGACCCAGACTTCGTAATAGTTCTACTACTATATTTTGAGGAAACTGGTAAAAGGCTGAAAAAGCCCCTCTTTGTCTAAACCCGCACTGATTTTTACATTTTCTTTTAGAAAATAATCTACTTTCAAGTACATGATTCTATTATTAATTACAAAAAGGTTGCTATGAAATTAAAAGTATTCACCTTTAAGGAAAGGCAGTGTTCCTTCCGAATACCAAACTGGTTTGACAGGAGAATATGACAGTTCTGCAAAAAGGCCAAATCAGTTCAGCTCATCTCAATTGCCTGTCATTCTTCCCATTCTAATTATTTTTAATTTATTTTGCAGCAAATGAAAGCAATTGAAAGATATATGAGAAAGCTGGAGTTCCACATCAGCAAGGTAATCAGCTGTCCTTTCATCTTGCTTTTAACTTTGTTCTTAACCTATTTATCAAAAGCCAGTCTAGCATTCTCCTTTATTCCACAGAGATCTCCTCACAAAGCACCTCTTCAAGAAGGTTTTGGTTAGGTGGTATTGCTTATGTCAGCTGCAAGTGGGGTGTGGGGATTCAAGGGAGTTCACAATGTGCCCCCAGTTGTTGCCACCATCCAACAATTCAGCATAGCACTGCCCTGAGGCATGTTGCAAGAGATGGTAGGCCCAGCAAACACAACACAGGCACCACTGTTCTGTTCATGCTCCAAAGGCTGATACAGGCAGTCCAGTTTTCTGCCCAGTTGCTAAGCAGAAAACCTGCCAAGGGGACTTAAGCGGGAGACAGGACATTTTTCTCTGCCATCAAGTGAACCTGCAGATATTAAACAAAAGATATCCACTTCAGGTTAAAATATGTGCATGCTATTTAGCTAATCCTTTCCCATTTTGACTAGGTAACTAATTCATATAATACTAGTAAATTATTGTCATTTTAATGAGAGTGTTCCTAGAGAGAGTGCCTGTGCATTGCTTTGATTCCTGAGGGCGAGGGTGCACTGCAACTCTAATTGAAGAGACACCTTGCATGGACCACAAAGTTCCTATAGTTGACACAGGTGGGGCTGTGGTCTAAACCACGAAGCCTCTTGGGCCTGCTGATCAGAAGGTCAGTGCAAACGGGGTGAGCTCCCATTGCTCTGTCTTAGCTCCTGCCAACCTAGCAGTTCAAAAGCACGGCAGTGCAAGTAGATAAATAGGTACCACTGCGGTGGGAAGGTAAATGGCATTTCCGTGCACTCTGGTTTCCAGTGCTCTGTCACAGTGTTCTGTTGTGCCAGAAGTGGTTTAGTCATGCTGGCCACATGACCCGGAAAGCTGTCTGTGGACAAACGCCGGCTCCCTCGGCCTGAAAGCAAGATGAGCGCCGCAACCCCATAGTCACCTTTGACTGGACTTAAGTCCAGGGGTCCTTTACATTTTTTACCTTTTACCTTTATACTTGATGGCTGTGTCAGTAAATGCCAGACTATCCTGTGGACCAAATAATTGGATAAATTAAATTCTCTTCTCCCTCCCCTAAGTTGCAAAGCCTGATTAGGCCCCCTGCAGCGGCTGTTTGCATTTTTACCATTATTCACACAACCTAAAGATACTTAGATATAGTTATTTTGGCCCTGTGCTAGCAGTGCCATTCCAGCGTTACACTGCAGTTGTGTCCCCAAGGGCAGCCCTTGCTTATAGCAAGGAGCATAGCAGCAAGTAGGAATTTTTTGCCTGCTTTCAGCTAAAATCTTCTGTGCTAGGGCATCCAGAACACAGCCATTATTCCCATACTCACGGATCAAATATTCATCAAGAAAATAGTTCCTAGAATAATATGTTCCCTGCCAGCAAAATGTCATGCAGCAGAGTACTTTTTGTTCAAGTCCCTCCCACTCAGAGCCAAGTGATTTCGGTGTTTTTAGCGAAGAGTGAGTTGCTACAGAGCTAATTCCACACTAAATTGTTCAGCATATTAGCTTTCTGTTCTGTAGCCCATGGTGACAAATAAAAGGGACTTCATGTGAAGCAAGGTTTTATGAGGCCAGAATGTAAGCAACTAACTCATGGAAACCTTTTAATGGAAAGTAGCGAAACTTAAGCTGAATGTCTGAGGACCAGTGCATGCTGGTCTTCCAGTGAAAGCTGTGAAATTATACTCTGAACAGGAAACAAAGCAAGGAAAACAGGAAATGTGGTAACTAATGTGTTGCTCTGTAGCACAGCAGACGGGTCTGTGATAACTCCACTCAGAAAGAGAGTGCAAATGTCATACCACACCCTTGTTAACAGAAGTAAACAGCAAAGTAAACATTTTCTAGGATGGAGACAGTAGCCTGACCCACAAGTGCTATACCATTTACAACCTTTCTAAACTGCCTCCCCTAGGACTGAGCTTTGAGGATTGGCGCATAACATAATACTAGCTGTAATGTGTGTTGTAGGCATCTATATCTTATTTTTTAATGAAGCAGGTTTGGCTAACTAGTTGTTGCTGTTGGCATGTGTCTGTCTCAAGAGACAATGGAGTGCACTTCTGGGGGTGAAGTCAAACAGCTGCATTAGCAGCACCGAAGTTACCTCCCTGGGACTCAAGCCTGGGCAGTGAATATGGAGGTTCTGGGCTGCCAGACAACAAGACCCCTCTCTTGGCCTCGCTAATGTGGTCCAAAGAAAAGCAGAGCAATACATTTGACACCAGCTTGGCTGCAGGAGCTGCTGGAACAAGGCACTATCCAACCATCTTAGGGACTCCATTCTGGATTTCTGGAGGGTTTACTCCTTTGCCTTTTATTCTTCCGAAGATATCCCTCAAAGCAGCAGAGATTTAGGATCAGAGTTCTCCTTCTCCTACATGGGCTCCCCTCCCAGGTTGATGAGCCCCATCTGCCCCTCACTTCCCTGTACAGCACGTGCAGAAACCACCTTCTTGACTGTTGGACCCACTACTAGTCTTGCCGGCTCAATCTCTCAGAGCCTGTATTCACATGCAGGGTCCCTAACTCGCCAAAGGTTTGCGACCCATTGGTTACCCTCAGCTGGTTTAGCCAGCCAGTCAAAGACATTTCCCGGGGTGTGGCCACTGTTGCATGCTGACAGCTTCTAGGAGCCACAGGTGAGAGCTGCATGAAGGGTGGGGACCAAAGGTGGAGAGACTACCCCATGAAGCGGCCAACTAATGTAGAAGCTTGAACTTCCTGTGGAGGAGCTACTTCACTGCAATACCGTGGCATATTGCTGATGCATTTTTCTCATTCTGAGAATTAATCCAAGCAACTAAAGCTGATAAGCAGGGATCTTTTGTAAGTTTTTAAAGAAAGCTTAATGAGAGAAGGGAAGGTTTGAACAAATTACAGAAAAGCATGAGGCAGTGACAGAGATACGAGAGGCTGCTGATGAATTCATTGTTGTCATCATGACATTGTAAATAGGAAGGTGCTTTTCCACACTGGAATTATTTTCAATTTGAAGGCAGGGGTGGCATCAGCAATGACGTTGTCTACACACCAATCTGTGTATAGAAAAATATTCTGGATTGCTTCATTTAACTTCCTTTCAGTTAACTTTCCTTTTTCTTTCCCTTAAAACAAAACTCAGTGGTCTATTGTTTTTCCACTCAGGTTGACGAACTGTTTGAAGCTTATTGTATCCAAAGACGGCTCCGCGATGGTGCCAGCAAAATGAAACAAGCATTTGGGTTGTCCCCTGCCAGTAGGGCAGCTCGGGAGAGTTTGACAGAAATCAACAAAAGCTACAAAGAATACACAGAGGTACATGATGGCCCATTACACGTAATCTTCCCCGGGTTAAATTTACAACTAATTTGTGGTGGGAGCATTGATTGAGTTGTTATAGTGCTGAGAAGACAGATTATGGATTGATCAAAGCATGGAATCTGCTGCCACTCATAATAGCTTCATATGTGTGCAGCCTTGTGGATTCTACCGCCCAGAGTGGAGGTTCATACTGTGGACCTCATCTTGCTAACTCAAGAGTTACAAGAAGACCAACACTTGTTCAGTGTTAACTGCCCAACAGATATTGAAACTGATTTCTTCCTTTACCATGGAAGTAATCGGCAAGGAAGTATTCTTTCACCAAGGAAATCCTGACTGGTGTCATAATTTCAATTCCAGAATTTTTGAAAGGTATCTGGGGGAACAGAGGTTTAACAGACTGGGAAATTGTCTACCAGGGGCTTCACTTCAATTCTTCCAGTGCCCATTTCTGCGTGGAATAGAATGAGCTTTAGAAACACTTGTGTGGGAGTTCTGGACTTGGGGGGCAGAAGATGAGGCTTGCAGGCTAGAGAGAATTGCAGTGCGGGGGGAGCTGGAGTACTGAAGGCAGAGCTAGACTTCATTCCCAGCTGCAGAAGGACTGAGAGAAACTTCTAAGTGCTTGTCTGAGACCAAGAGTTGGAGGGTTGTGGGCTGTTACAAAAAATATTGTTACAAAATTCTTACTTGGAAAGCATTTCCATATGGAAATTGGTGTAAAGCTTCTCTATAAATTGTCACATGTAAAAATTTCACAAATGTGCATTCACTGTGTGTACATGCCCTGGAAGAGCTACAGTTGGCCATGGCTTTCTAGAAGTCCTGAAAGGACTTCTAAGCCCTGCCAGCAGTCAAAGGATTGCTTGCGCCAGCATTTCATGACTTGTAAAGATGTCAGCCTGGCTCACTAGAGTCTAGACATTGGGGAAGACTTGCTAAGCTCCTGACTCCATGGACAATGAGGAAGAAAATAGCCATTTCTGGGAGCATATTCTCATTCTTTAATTCCCTTTTCCTTTCCACCTTCTCCAGGCTTCAGCAAGAGTCAGGACTGCACTGGAACTTTCTACATATAGTTACTTTTTAAAAAAACAACAACAACAACCCAGTTATATAGTGTATTTTAAGGCACTTCTATATTTTGGATAGTTGAACTGATACTAGTCTCCTCTTTTCCCACACAGAACATGTGTACTATTGAAGGAGAGTTGGAAAATCTAATGGGGGAGTTCTGCATTAAGATGAAAGGTAATTGGCTCACTTTTCATTACTTTCACTGCACAAATAGCATGGGGAAAGCACTGTCTCTCTCCCCTCTCTCTGTGCTTGTGTTTCTGAAAACACTGAGAGCACAAACCAATTTAGATGAGAGGTTTGTTTTCCTCCTCCCATCACATTGGTTATGGACGCTTAAGAACCCCACTACTCTGCTCAACATTCAAAGCAACAGGCAGCAATTGTACATGGTGAAATATCAAGTATTTGCAGCACATTTTTCTAAGACTTTCAGCATGCGTTCTTCTTCAAAGTGATATGGTTGGGGTGAAGCTTGGGGAACAGCTAAGAAATGCTGTCACTCTCAGGGATTCTGAGACAAAGAATGGGAGTGTTTTTTAATACCTATCTAGATTATAATGGGAGTGCAATATATTTTCCAGAATCAAGCTGTTGATTTTTAAAAGCACAAGCTCTGTCACTGAGCTACGGTCCTTCACAAACTGGGCAATTGCGATTTTGTCATTCTGCATACTGATGTTGCAAAAGCCTGGTTCTCCTTTGCATGTCAACCCAAATAAAACTGTGCAATAAAGGTTTCCCCAGAAAGTAGTAATGAATGTAGGTGCTGGGATTAAACCAGAAAAAACACTTTGGAGCCTATGTTTCTGGAAGCTGGAGCTTAAACCCTAACCATATATGACAGGATGTAATAGACTTTCATTAGGCTCCAATGTGCGCAGGAGCACAGAGAACTGATGCAGGGGCAGTTTGGGAATGCCTTAAGAGTTTTTCACTTCTCATTTGTTTTCACCTGCTTCTGTTTGCCCCATGGTAGGCCATGTGTTTAACAGGGGAGATGGGCTGCAGAGATCAAGTTGTCCTATACTAAGGCATCAAAAGGGAGATGGAGCCAATGGCAGCGTGCTAGTAAATTTAAATTATTTATAAATAATAAATAAATTAGAAAGTGGGAGGTAATATGAACCCGAAAGAGGGCTGCATTGTTCTGGAAGTTGGAGCAGTGCGGGAGGAGGGCAGGAGAAACAAGGTCTTTATTTTCACAGGCAGAGGGAAAGATCCCCTTGGCTATAAGAATGAAGCTACAGGGCACAGCCGTGTCAAGATATGTTAGACCAGCCATTAGTGCAAGAGTGACATTTGCCCCAAATAATGTTGTTTTAATAAATGCTATGTGACAGCAGAAAGGAAACCAGTTTCCATGAATTAAGGGAACTGGGACTCAGGAGAGTCCTGTGTCCTATTTCCGAGTTTGACACAGGATTTCTGTGGCAGGTTTTCATTGATTGAAACAGAGCACCTTTTCTCTTCCCTGCTGTTGTGCCAGTAGGAGGTTTCCCCTGTGTATGTTATTTATGTGAAGTTGCTCCAAAATAATTATTTTGTAGACCGCAAATGAATAATTTCTCCAAAACCCCTTTTAAATACATGAAAAGTCAGCACAGTTTGTGAGGAGCTGCTGCCACCAACGGGCTGAAAATAGGAATGCCATGCAGCTACACTCCCCTTGCCATTCCTATGTATTTAGGCCACTGCCATCTGATTCCATAACCAAAACTAGTGCAGTGGTGCCCCGCAAGACGAATGCCTCGCAAGACGGAAAACTCGCTAGACGAAAGAGTTTTCCGTTTTGGAGGTGCCTCGCAAAACGAATCTGCTATGGGCTTGCTTCGCAAGACGAAAATGTCTTGCGAGTTCCTGGGGTTTTTTTTTCCTTTTCCCCCTCTTTTTCTAAGTCGCTAAGCCGCTTATCTGCTTATCCGATAAGCTGATAAACTGCTAAAAGCCGCTAAAAGCCGCTAAAAGCCGCTAAAAGCCGCTAATCCGCTAATCCCATCAATGGGCTTGCTTCGCAAGACGAAAAAACCGCTAGACGAAGAGACTCCCAGAACGGATTCTTTTCGTCTTGCGAGGCACCACTGTAGTTAAGGTGAGCTGTTCATAATGCAGCAGTGTGTCTTTGGTGCCAGTGTGATCATGTAGCTGAGTGCCTTATGATTAATGATAATAATGATTGTCACTCATTTAACCTTGATCTTTACTTTCTTCGTGCTCTGCCTGTCATGGAGAATAAATGTCCCAAATCTGTGCCCCCAGTCAAGAGGCCCACGCGTGTGCTGATATTCCTGAGTGGGGTTACCATTTCACTCCAGTAAAGAGCACACCTAGTAGACAGATTTTCACCCTTCACAACAGGGAGCTGATCCCTCATCTTACATTTTGGGATAGTCAAATACCGTATGTGTTTTGTACGTGGAATGTGGGGGTGGGGAGCATATTTGGAGTGGCCCTCTCTGGGTCAGAATTGTGAGGATTTGAAAAGTTAATAGGAAAATGCTCCCTATTTCATTAATTAATTACTGTTCGCACGGTGGCGCTGTGGTCTAAACCACTGAGCTTCTTGGGCTTGCCCATCAGAAGGTCGGCGGTTTGAATCCCTGCAAACGGGGTGAGCTCCCGTTGCTCTGTCCCAGCTCCTGCCAACCTAGCAGTTCGAAAGCATGGCAAAAAAGTGCAAGTAGATAAATAGGTACCGCTCCAGCAGGAAGGTAAATGACGTTTCCGTTCGCTGCTCTGGTTTCTGTGTTCTGTTGCACCAGAAGCAGCTTAGTCTTGCTGGCCACATGACCCGGAAAAACTGTCTGCGGACAAATGCTGGCTCCCTTGGCCTGTAAAGCGAGATGAGCACTGCAACCCCAGAGTCGTCTGTGACTGGACTTAACTATCAGGGGTCATTTACCTTTTTTTATTCATAGTAATAGTAGCAGCTGCTGTTACTTCATGGAAAGGAAGGTAACGGATTGTCCTCATAATTCTGCCTATTTCAAGAAATATAATCTAGCAAAGCCTGGCATATGGGGAGGGAGAATGTAAGGTGGAAGATTTTGCAGTAGCCGAGTGCTGCCCAATGCATTGCTTGTTTGAAGATGAGCTTGATTCTTTATCTGTCTTGGCAAGCTGTACTTAAATAGCCTGGTCCGAAGTCAGCAGACAAATCCTGCCAGGAAACAGAGAATAAATTAGGCATTCAGGGCTCCCAAATAAATGAACCTACCAACTACCCCAACAATCTCCCCATGCATCCCATAATAAACCCTAGTAACAGAAACAATAAACCAGGCATCCATCACTACCATTTTCAGAGGAGCAATAGTTGAAGGAGTTGGATGGAGCAGCTTGGATCCTCCTCCTTTGGCGAGAGAGGAGGATGGAGTTCAGAGTTGCTCTCTCAATGGCATAAGAGGTTTGGCAGCATTGTGGAGTGTTGGTGATCAAGTTCCAAGTATAGAGTCACTGATGTAAGAAAGAGAGGGCATAAGCATTTCTTCTGAAACGGATCTCAAATGTTGTTGGCTCCTAGGTCTGGCTGGTTTTGCTCGACTTTGCCCTGGAGACCAGTATGAGGTGAGTGACTTTGTAAAAATGGCATTTTCCATCACGTTCAAAGGTTTCCACATGGCATTTCTTCCTGTTCTCATATCCTGCACAGCAAGAAAGGTCCCACTATTCTCTATTTATGGATGAATGCACTCTGAGCCTTTCCCACGTAAAGACTATGAAATTGGTCCCAGAGAGCTGATGGATGGCTAGCAAGATAACAACAGATCTTTCTTTAGCTTTGTTTTGGAAGGGTGTCAGCATGCCTCTCAATATTTTGTTCTTGGCATAGGTTTTCTTCCTCTTGTGGCTCCCATATCCAGCCAGGACAGGCTGACTTGAGCTGATCAATTAGAAAAGTTCAAGCCAGCCTCTCTCTCCCTTTCATTTCTTCTCTTTTCCCCCTCAAGGACAGAGATGTAAGTTCATCAACAAGTAGGACCTACAACATAATCACTTGTCTCTGGCCGGGCCACAATTTGTGAGTCTGTGCTCAAGTGGGGTCTGCTGGTGATGCTGCATGAAAACACATTGTTTGCATTGACATTCAAGGTTTCCAAGCTTCCATAGCACCCCTAAACAAAAGCAAGCATTCCTTAGCTTTCTCTTCTTCCTAATGTTCTAGAACTACAGAGTACAAATCTGTTTGGCTTGTTCTCTGGAAGACTACAAAAGCTATGGTTTACAGTGTCGTTGTCATTGTTTTAAAAAAAGAGGTCGAACAGTAAAATGCATAGTGGTGTTTTGTCACTGTGCATGCATTGTAGCTACAGTGTATTAGGTTGGATAAAACTCTTATCCTTCTCACTATGCTTTGTTCAAAGAGACAGAGTGTAAGAGAAACAGATAGTACAAATATGTGGGTTGTGAGAACACACTACAGCTTTCCCTTTTTTCACAGATTTTCATGAGGTATGGCCGTCAGAGATGGAAACTGAAAGGCAAAATAGAAGTCAATGGCAAGCAAAGCTGGGATGGAGAAGAAATGGTCTTCCTCCCTCTTATCGTTGGGTTGATCTCCATTAAGGTATCAGTATAAGTATCATGGTTTTCATTTAACTAGCCACATGTGAGCCAAGCAGGACTATAATGCTGCTCTACAGGTAGTAAGCAGTGCCATTCAGACTTCCCGCTATTAATTGAACTTATGTGTATTATCTTCATACATTTATAATCCCACCTTCTTTTCATCTTGGAATCAAAGGCAATGTGCATGTGGTTCTCCAACCCAGTCACTGACCAAACTCAGACCATATCCTGGATGCCTTTAATTTTTGTGAGAGACTCCAGGTATCCTGCAGTGATTTTATATATTGAGTCAGGTAAGGAACTCGGTTGTCAGTGCGTCACTACCCTTCTCAACCATACTCTTTTTTCAAAAAGTGTTTTTAATATTGTTTTCAATACAGTAACCCATCCTGGGACCTTAGGGTGAAGGGCGGTTGAATCCTAGGTAATAATATGAAAGCCACAGTTTGGTGCACCAAAAAAACCCACAAATGGCATATGTTAACAAAAGTGTGCTAGGGCAGCCTACCTTTCTTGTCGTGGATAAAACAAATGTCCCTTAAAAGGCAGATTTTCATATCATTGCTCATGGGCACAACAGTCAAATGCTGATTGTTCCATCTTCCGGTTCAGAAAATATGCAATATTATGTAGCAAGGTCACTGTAGAAAAATGCGGAATACAACGGAACCTCAGTTGTCGAACGTAATCCGTTCCGGAAGACTGTTTGACTTCTGAAACGTTCAACAACTGAGGTGCAAGGGGTTGTCAGCAATTTCCATTGAGAAAATGAAAAAACACGCAGCAGAAGCCGTTCGACTTCCGAGGCATGTTCAAAAACTGAAGCAATTACTTCCAGGTTTTCGGAGTTCGGGTTCTGAAACGTTCAGCTTCCGAGACGCTTGAAAACCAAGATTCCACTGTAGATGACTCTAAGCACTGCTACCGACCTACTGTGCCATTCATAATACATAGTTATTCTGTTTCTAATTTTTAACATATATTGCTTTTGAAGGTCACAGAAGTTAAAGGCCTTGCTACTCACATCCTGGTGGGAAGTGTTACCTGCGAAACAAAAGAGTTGTTTGCTGCTCAGCCTCAAGTTGTTGCTGTGGACATCAATGACCTCGGCACAATAAAGCTGAATCTGGAGATCACCTGGCAGTAAGTGAAGCTGACTTGGTGGCTGTGCGAATGGTGCTTCAGATCAAGTGGGTTCCTGCCTCCCTGCCCATAGTCTTTTGCTTCTCTAATAAGGAGACTGAAGAAAAGACTTGCTGTAAACTAAGATTAGTAATACGAGACAAAAACCATAAGGTTTCATATTTCAATATGTACTTTGGCCCTCCATGACTGTAAAATGTAAACCAGTAGGTCATAGTTATTCCAGATTAATTAGCACAGAGTACCAGAGGGTTATCCTGTGAATGTGTTATTTACAGAGACTCACTGGGAAGATGATGGAGGTCCCTGCTCTGATGACCTAAAAATGAACAGAAAACAAGGGCTCCTTGTAACAGTAATTCAGTCTAATGAGAGGCTTTTTCTTTCTTCTCTTTTTACAGCCCATTTGATGTTGAGGACTTGACCCCATCCGCAGGCAACACAAACAAAGCATCCGCTCTCCAAAGGAGAGTGTCCATGTATAGCCAAGGCACTCCAGAAACCCCGACCTTCAAGGATCACTCATTCTTTGTAAGTTCAATGTGCCTCTCTAATACGGTCTCAGTGGATAAATAACAGTTATAGTCAATGCATAGTTTCACACCACTTTGTGATTACATAAGTTCAATGCTGATGCTCCTCAGTGCTCTTCTAAGCTTTTTTAAAGCAAAACAAAATTATTTCTAACTTCTAATAACCACTATTAAAATACCTGTCCCCTTTAACTATGATAGCGGCTGTTAATAGATCCCTTGCTATTACCCGAGTTGCAGTAATATTTTTAACATTTTACCTTAATATGTGTATTCTTTATTTGTAAACAATCTACTGCTTTATTGATAAACTGTTGCACATAAAAAAGCTTCATTGCAGAGATAATAATAATAATAATAATAATAATAATAATAATAATAATAATATATTATTTATACCCTGCCCATCTGGCTGGGTTTCCCCAGCCACTCTGGGCGGCTTCCAACAAAAGATGAAAATACATTAAAACATCAGTCATTAAAAACTTCCCTAAACAGGGCTGCCTTCAGATGTCTTCTAAACATCAGATAGTTGTTTATTTCTTTGACATCTGATGGGAGGGCGTTCCACAGGGTGGCTGCCACTACTGAGAAGTCCCTTTTATTGGATGGCCATAAATTTGCTTTAAGGGGAGGGAGCTGAAGGCAGTAGCAGCATAAACATACATTTGATCATTTAAACTTCAAGACTACTTTAAACATATATATTAGTTGCACACGATCCCAATCCCCGAGCAGTGCAAGATTCCAGGGTTTGTGTTTCCTTTTGGAAGTGAGGCACTGCAGAGACTGTGGTGTCTTTATGATATATGGTTTATTTGCTGACATATATACAACCTGAGCCTGCAGTGGAGGGCTTTGCAGCATGAACACCCCAAACGGGTCTTGTTTCCCCCATACAGTAGTCACAGCCTTGGATTCAAGCAGAGGTCCAGCATGGCGCTCTCTCTCTCTCTACTTTTTGCTTTGCTTCTAGGTCATATCACAGCCAAACTCAACTCTAAACTCTGGATTTTGTCCTTCCCACTAGCTGCAAGTTGAGGGAGAGCCCTCAATCATTTGCCCTTTCCTTTGTTTTCCAAATAGATTATCACCCAGGCAATGACCTCATCAGGAAGCCAGCCTGGCTTTATTTTAACAAGTACTGGATCCAGGGGTTCAGGAATCTAGCCTGGCTTGATTAGCTTTTAACACTTATTGGATCCAGAGATCAGAAGGCTTGATCAGATTTTAACACTTGTTGGATGCAGGGCTTAGAGGCATCTGGCACCCACAAACTCAGAACAACATATATAATATAATATATATATATATAATTTATTACTGTTGCAGCTCCCTATAGAGGCCTTTGACATGTTCTAATTTTCAAGAGTTGCTTTAGCCAAAGATTCCTATAACGTACAGTCTCATATAAAAGTGATTCAGTTGAACTAATTGCTTCCTTTTTGCTTAATGGTTGAAGAAATGGCTGCATCCTCCACAAGACAGGCTCCAGCTTTCCATTTTAGATCCTCTGCAGGATGCTTTCTTTGACAAGCTGCGCCGCAGTCGTTCCTTTAGTGATCTGCTGTCTCTCAGGCTGAGACCTAGAGCAGGGCTAGAACATTATGTGAGTCTGAATGGTGGGAGCTCTCTTTATAAGTTATCTCCCTGCATTGCTCAAGCAATTACTCTTATTTTCATGCTTGCCCAGATTCTGATACTCTCAGTGAGATCTGTCCAGTTTGCTGACCATGTGTTGAAAAAAATTATTGTACACTCACGCTTGGAATTAACTGATGTTCATGGTTGACCTTAGTTTTGTAACCTCTTTTTAGACAAGAGGTCAAGAGAAAACACATGAGCATCGGAAGAAGACATATATACATGTATGTATGTATATGTGTACAGTGGACACTCGGGTTGCGAACGTGATCTGTGCGTGATGCATGTTCGCAACCCGCAGTGTTTGCAACCCACATCTGCATGTTTGCGATTTGGTGCTTCTGCGCATGCGCAACTGCTAAAACCTGGAAGTAACCCTTTCCGGTACTTCTGGGTTTCGGCAGTCTGCAAACCGGGAGAAAAAAACGCAACCTGAAGCAGCTGTAACCCAGGGTATGACTCTATGTACATTGAAGGGGCTCATATCTTGTAAACAATATTCTGGCAATATTCTATATGCAGGATAGAAAGAAAATTTAAATGGGGACCAATTTTACTGAAAGGCAGGATGAAAATAAAATAAATTTGATGCAGACTAGAAATTAATTGTTCATATTTATGCCCCATTGGGGTTTGAGGCTGTTTCTCTTTGAAACAAAATACCAAAGAGAAACAACCTCAAACTTGAAAAGTATGCCTCAGTTTAGTGTGAAAAATGCTGAGCAAGAAGAGAAAGATATTCTCTAACACTTTCACCTATTATCTGTCAACACGTAGTAATATCAACAAAGTCATGCTACATGGCATTACAGTATTCCATATACATATTTTGCATATGGCCAGCAAACACAAATCTTTTTGTTCCTCTGTTTTGTGCATGAAGTTAAGTAAGTTTGCAGTACCTCTCACAGAACATCACTTCAGGATTGGTTTAGAACCTTCCTATGCTCATTCTACACCAACTCTGATCTTTTCTGTTTGCTGTGCTTTTTTCTGGCCTACTGATATCTTCCTGTACATATCATTTCATTTTTGAAAAATCAGTATAATAAAAGGTAAGTTTCTTTTACAAATAGGCTTCAAATAAATCAATTGACCTTTAACACTTTTCCATTTTCTGCTAGTGGCTTAGCGTTAATTTTGTGTGGAAAGTTTTTCCGCTTTCCATCTTTAACTGTTCTTGTTTACATTTGCAGTCAAATTCACCTAATGATGTCTTTGAAAATGGGACGGCAGAAAATGAGAAAAGGCCAATGTCGTTCAGCTTCAGTGATATTCCCAATGGAGATTTCACTCAATCATCCAGTTTGATGGATTCCTGCACCATAGATAACCCTAATCCTGAAATTACTGTCACGCCCCCAGAACACAATGTGCAGAAGTTATCAAAAACTCGCACCATGGACAATATCAGTACAAGCTCATCTGTAGACTCTACACCTGAATCCAGAGACTTAAAACCACAAGAGCATGTGCTAGTGAATGAGGAAAATAAGATTTCGTGCATAGATTCTGAAGTTTGCCAAAAGTCTCTAGGTTCAAGAAGCAGCAACCTGTTCTTAGATAATAGTGCCCAGGTATCACTTCTGCAGGACACAGATGAGTTGTCAGAGCTCAAGCCTGTGGAACTGGATACTTTTGAAGGCAACATCACAAAGCAGCTGGTTAAAAGACTCACTTCAGGAGAATGCCCAATGACACCTGAAAAGCTGCACTGTGAGGGGTCAATAAGTGGTGAATCGGAAGGCTATAAATCTTGTGTTGACGGAAGCCTAGAAGAAGCATTTCAGGGACTTATTCTAGCACTTGAACCTCATAAAGAACAATTTAAAGAATTTCAGGATTTGGACCAAGAAGTAACACACCTAGACGAAATCTTAAAAGTAAGTTGTCAGGCATCCTCGCTTTTAACTTTCTTGTATCTCTTGAATACTGTTGTTGTTGTTGTTGTTGAGACAGGCCTTTGCAGCTGTTCAGTTTTTGATTAGTTAGTCATCTGAATGATTATCTGTAATTTTTTCTTTTAAATGATGTTTTCTGTTTTATAGTGTACACTGCCTTGTACACTATACAGAACCTCAGTTTTCGAATGTAATCCGTTCCGGAAGACCATTCTGAAACGTTCGAAAACTGATGTGCAAAGGGCGGTCTGCAAATTTACAGAGAAAATTGAGAAAAATACAGTGGTACTTCAGTGGAAGCCGTTCGACTTCCGAGGTGCGTTGGAAAATGGAAGCATTTACTTCCAGGTTTTCAGCGTTCGAGTTCTGAAACGTTTGTGAACAGAGACAATCAAAAACTGAGGTACTACTGTAGCTTTATTTATAAATAAATAAATTAAAAGTGAATACCAGACATTTATGTGACTAAACTCAATGAGCACCCAGCTCACACAAGTAGACTACACCAATGGTAGAAAGTACCCCACAAATATACTAAATTTGTATCTTCTGTACTGACATATTAAAAAGATTATAAAATTATAAAAGATGTTATAATTAAAAACAAGTGTCAACGAAAAGTTATTTCATTGGTTGGCAGACAACTTCCAGACAGCATAAGAATCTACAAGGAAAAGATTTATGTCACATATTGTGAAAAACTGTATTGTTGAATCTGGTAGTTTCAGGAAGATGCAGAGGATTTCTTCTTTGTTATTAAAATATATATATGTTTCTATGTCTTTTTGTTGCGGGTGGGGGAGTGAGAGTGTATGGATTCATCAGCTCCCTTATCCTCACATATTCATTTTGCTTTTCCTGTTGCAGTGCAGACCAGCAATCAGTCACAGCAGGTCATCCAGCCTAAGCCTAACAGTTGAGAGTGCACTGGAAAGTTTTGATTTCCTCAACACCTCTGACTTTGAAGATGATGGTGGTACTGACGAGCTTTGCAATGGCGGTCGAGGCACTGACTGTGTATTCTCAGATACGGAAGTTGAGAAAAACAGGTACGGAAGCCAATATCTTGTTCTTTTCTTACGTAAGCCCAAACTCTCGCACTTGTCCTTTCAGTCCTGGCGCACACACATTGTTAAAGGAAGATTAAACTAAATATTGGGCTTTATAGATAAGCGATTTCCCTACAGAGCAATTATAATTAAGTTTAGAAGAAAACAACAACAGCTGGTAGAACATGAGACTCTTAATCTTAGGGTTATGGGCTCGAGCCCCATGTTGGGCAAGAAGATTCCTGCATTGGTAGCTTCCCTGCTGCTGCTTTAAAATTAGTCAGCACAACTATTAACACCCTTTAGCTTTTCTTAAATCCATCTATGATCCACTTTCCACTGAGAAATACTGGAACAATTGTTTAAAGAGTGAAACAATCATTTAAACCTTGAGATTTGCATTATTCTGTAAATAAGTAAATAACTGGGAAACCTGAGTTCTGTGCCTGAAACACCTGATGAAATCATCATGTCTTCTGCTTCAATGACTTGTGGGTTGTTGTTTATTAATTTCTTGGCTGGCAATTAATCATGTGCTAGTAGAGCACTGACAGATTAAGTCTTAATTGTATAACTTTTCAAAACCACTAATCTAGAACCCAGTGAAATCTGCAAATCCATGTTGTCAACAGATCAGGGTGGCTGGTGCATTTTAATTATTTTTTTTTTAAGAAAGCAAGTTCTAATGAAGGCCGATTTCAAAGACTTCACAGCGAGAGCTCTTTACAAAAGGGGCATTGTTTGAGAGAAACAAGTAGGCCACTGTGGAAGCCATATATCCTTTAAATGTGGACACTTACTTGGCACAGGCTACCTTGTGCCACTGCCAGTTTTGAGGTATGATGCTTTCATTAAAAGCCTTTTGGCCTCGCGAGGGCTTTTTGGTTACAGGTCGGTGCTTTCAACAATCCCTCTTTTGCGTGGTGTTAGTCATGTTGAGCCTGCATAAAAAGAAATCCAAACCACTCACTTACCTCCCAGCATGAACAGTTACAGGTCAGAACACCCAGAAGCCAGGGGGCATCTCAGCGAAGCATTGACAGAAGACACAGGAGTTGGTACCAGTGTCGCTGGAAGCCCTCTTCCGTTGACCACAGGGAACGAAAGCCTTGATATCACCATAGTCAAGCACTTACAGTACTGCACACAGCTTATTCAGGTACCTATAGTGGGGTGTTTTTTTGGGGGGACCCCCTAAACCCTAGAAATTAAAAAAAAGTTAGGATTTTGATTATTTGGGATGTGAAGGGAGAAATACAAGCTGCAGAGGAATTCCTGGGCTAGGTCTTGCAAAAAACAACTTGGGCAAGCTAGAGCCATTAAGAAACAATACAGAGCCATTGAGGGCCGTTGGCAATGCAAGAGAACTGTCGCTCCCTCCCCTTGCCCTGAGGTGTAAGAAGACTGGGGGGTTGTAAGGTTGCCAGGGTAACTGGGTGTGAGGTGACAGGAAAAGAGACTTGAGCAAGGGTTGCTGGGATCCATCTTGAGCAGGCTGGCTGGGAGAAATGCCTTGAACTTCTCAGCTGCACTGCTGTGGGAGACAAACCCCTCTTGAAATGACCATTCTATGAGATCTAGACTCCATGCAGACTGAAGGTGTAAATAGAAATAGAAATAAACCATATTTCTTAATGCCATGACAGTCTCCACCGTGTCTCAATTCTCCAAAGGCCCACAGAACCTCTGAGTGCCTAGAACTCTATGGGCTCTTGCCACTGCTTGGCAGAGAGAGGGAGGCACCCAACTTCTGTAACATGTGTGTGTGTGTTTTGTTGGGAGGGGATTGAAAACTTGGAATGATGGGGTGGAATATCTTGAAAGATGGCATGACTGGATGGAATCCTGAGCAGGACAACCTCACACTGCAACACGTCATTGCAGATCCCATCTATAGAATAAAATACTATTTTTGCTTGTTAAAATACACATGCTTCCGCATTACACACATCAGCAGAATTAATCTAAGTTCTATCCAGAGAATTTATTATACATAACGTGCTAAAATTTTGCTCTTCTTTTATTGTTTCACTAGCAAATTGTATTCTCCAGTAAAACTCCCTTTGTGACAAGAAACCTCCTTGATAAGCTGTCCCAGCAGGTTCTAGTGATTGAGAGTCTTGCAGAGATCAGCAATGAGAACACTGGGAACATCAGACCTGTAAGCGAAGGTAAGACCTGGCATAGACAGTTTCCATTTGAAAGGATGGGTACCTATTTAAATATTCCTTAAGCATGGTGTGCAATACAGTCCTGTATTCACAAGTATTTATTCAGGGTGTGTTGTTTTTAAAGTGTGTTCACGATAATTGGATTATTCATGTCCACCAGATCATTGAAACAGCCATATTTCTAAGGACTATAAAACAGATTAGCAGTTTCTGTTTCCTGTACTACATGCATCATAGGCTTTAGTCATAGGTTAGGAAACAAAAATGTTGAAAACTGAAAGAAATTATTCATTTCAGAAGTGAAATGCATTTTCACAAACATTTCCTAGTGTATTATCAATGCATATCTCTGCTACCATGTGGGCTAGATGGAAGTTTGCTTCTTCCTTTTTTTAAAACAACGAGATCTGAAATTCTTAAGAAACCAAACCCTTTACAATAGTGCCTGGATGTGCAGAAAAGCAATAGCCCTAGGTTAAGGTCAGTTTCTGTTGTAAGCACATACAATCCAGTCAAGCTTGTGAGCCATTGATTTTCAATAGAAATGTACATGGTTAACCATGGAATCAATGGGATAAAGGTGCTTAGATTGACCTGGATCCATGTCCAAAGTATACAAAGGGTGATTAGCAATTGAATTATGGTTATCCTTTTCAAATCAGAACAAATCTGCTTTTGCCTTTTAGATTTTTCACTCCGAAAAGCCAGTGCAACCCTTATAATTTCAAATGAAATTGGCATTTTCAGTCCGTGTTCCTTCAGTGGGGCCTCTTAAGCTTTGCAAACATTCAGCTGTAATTAGAATATTTATCTTCCTTATACTGAAAGCAGTGACAATCTCTCTTTTGTGATCTTCTTTCCATTCAGCAATTCCGGAATTCCAGAAAAGGGTCTCTCTGCTTTCCTTCTGGAGTAAATGTACCAATCCTTCTGGGTTCTACCACATCTCTGCTGACAAGATGATCAAGCAACTGGATGCCATGTTCGCTACAACGCTGAATGACGAGTGCCCGGGACTTGCAGAAACAGGTACAGTTTTCCAGTGTGTTTCTATAGTAGCAGCAAAGAGCATCAGTCTCATTGATGATGTCTGCAAGAAATCTCTGCAGCAGAAATCATGGCTACTGACAGCTATATTAAGTCTTTCAAAGTTGCTTGCTGACATTAGCACACTGAAATATTTTGTTATATTTCCCAAAATGCAAAATGACTTAACCCAAACAAAGGGCTTTTGGAAGCACAAATATTGATTTAGTTGATGATTTATATAAACTAGCGTATCCAGTCAGGCAAAAATTGCTACTCTGCTGCAGTCTTCCAGTTACTCGTCTTTTGTTTTATAATACTTGCAGATAGATATGCTTTGTGTGCATTTTCCAGCAGATTCTGGAGAAATATAGGTTTCCCTTACAAAAGTAGCAAGCTTCTATTAATCAAAAAACCCATTAGCTGGCTCGCAGCTGAGTTTTGGCCTACCAGAATGCCTTAGATCCTCTCAAATTGCCTATTGGCTAGCTGCAACAAAACATGTCTCTCCCGTATCAGTCTCTGCAGTCACAGAAGGCACTGTAACTCCCCAATGGTTTAATTTCACAGTCCTCCATTGTCTCCCAAGAGACAGCTACCACCAGGCTGGCGCCATTGCTTGGCCACACATTTAGCAATAACTGAGCTGTTGAATGTGGTACTTAATACTGAACTACTACTACTACTACTACTACTACTGCTACTACTACAGGTTGATCAAATTGAGGGTCAAAGTGGTGCTGTTGGTTTCCTTTCCAAGTCCTGCTCCTTCCACCCTCTACCTACCCCATGTCCACTGTTTTTCCACGTTGAAGTTTATTCCATGAGGCTTTACTCTCATTTACAACACTCGGGCCTTGTTCTGTATGCTTGTAACTGTTGCCCACACCGCCTGTGTGCTACCACCTTTTTATTTGCTTAAAATCCCTCATAAAAACCCAACTTTTATGTAACGCGTTTGCCTCAGTTCCTTAGTCGTTGTGTTCTACTGTTACTTAGAGAGCAATCCTAAGCCCTGATCCACTGCCTGCAGGTAATTAAGATGGGACAGAGGTGCCTCTCTGCTGGTAGAGAGCAGCTCTGAGCTGGGGGCATGTCCACAGAAGAGACGCGCATAAAGCACTCTTTGTTTCTGCTGGTCATAGGTTAGGGTTGCCATGTTTCAAAAAGTGAAAATCCGGACACAAAAGTAGTTAAGCTTCCACCCCACCCCCCAAAAAAACCCCCTAAAAATAATAACGAATTTTTGAGTTAAGTAAATTTGCCAAAATCTACACTCCTGACATGAGTTGCCATACATCCAGATTTTCCCAGGCATTTCAGTGATTCCTGCCCAGACACTGCTTCTGATGACTGAATCCTGGGCATGTCTGGGAAATTCTGGATGTGTGGCAGCCCTATCATGAGTGCCAGTAGCAGGGTGAAGGTAGGCTCTGTTGCACTAGGGGAGGAATGTGACTCAAAAGCAACATCCGCATTCACTGTACCATGACTTGCAAACTTGCAAACTTATTAAATCAGCACAGTGCCTCCTAGAATTTTAATCTGCTTTTTTTTTATCTTGTCACCACAGTGTTCAAAACCTTGGTATCACATATCTTGGATCGAGCGGAGCCTGTCCTTTCCTCTAGTCTGTCCTTGGAAATCATAACAGTTTTCCAGTATTACAACTATTTTGCCAACAAAAATGTCCACGATCTGGCAAATTATTTGCTTCAGCTTGCAAGAGAAGGTAAGGATGATCATACGGTTTCCTAGGGAAGGTTATCTTTAAAAAAAAAGCACAGCATGAAATAATTCCATTTGCTGCTCCAAAGAATCCAGGAGTATGTTTTAAGTTAAGATTCACAATGCACACATGAACGGTGTGCTTTGAACTGAGACAAAAACACCACCTTTTGATACTACGGCTGGGGGAAATCTGAAGATCAACTCATGGGCTCTCCCTGAATAGCAAGATCTGCTATGTGTTAATTCGCATAAAAACCATACACATTCACACACAAACACATAACTTCTATTAGCCGAGAGTCTTGAAGCTATTGCGAATGATGTAATGTAAAGTCTGTTTTAGTTGAAGGGTGATAGTTCGGTGGTAGAACACATAATGTCCCAGGGTCGATTTCAGCATTTCAAGGCAGGTCAGTGAAAGAGTGCAATGCAAAACTCAGCCAAGCAGTATACATTACACTGAGTTAAATGGACCAATAGTTAGGCTAGCTTCCTGTGTAAACTCTGCAGTTTGCCACAAGGTGTCCCATATCAAAGATGCCAGCAAAACAACCTGGATGGTTGAAGAAAGTAAGATGACTGTTAAACTAATTTTGACTTATGGAGGCTGCTGGAAAAACTCACGGTTGATCCAGTTCCTCACATATTCCTTAAAATTTTCTGTGTTCAGGTTTTGTTTTTTGGTTTTGGTTTTAAAAAGAAGAGCACTTTTGGAGATGAATGAAAGTGGATTTCTAACCAGTAGCACAGTAAAAAGCAGCAAGGTTTCCTGTGCCCTGTCCAATGAGCTGCAAAAGAATTGGGCTAAAGGACAAGCACTGGACACTTGATATTTTTTTTAAAAAAAAAGGTTTGGGGATTTTTTAATAATCTACATGCAATAGAATTAACAATTGCAAACAAATTTGGCAAGATATATTTATGCTCTATTGATTCTCCCTCCTCTGCCATCAGTCCCTTTTACCACAGAATTTCTGGCTATGGGCTTTAAAGACATGTTGGCCGCTCCAGGTGATCGCAGTGACACCTAGAGTGCCTCGTCCTCATTATGTGGATGAAGTTGCCAGACTTCCTGGTAGCAGTTGGTAGTGATGTGGATGCTGCCTTCCAATGAAGGCAATCCACAAACTGATTCTAGACTTTGCCGTTACTATATGGAGTAGCTTAAACACATGCGAAAGCTTGGACACCTGTTGCTGGAACTCACAAGCACTCAGGTCCTGCTTGCAGGTGTTCAATAACCACCTGGTTGGCTATGACTTTGAGACCAGGATGCTGAACTAGGTGGGCCTGTGACATGATCTTACGTTTGTATGTTGTCGCTGTCTTTGTGTGGTGAACCTAAGCATGCCCTAACTTAGAGCGACATTCTGGTTCCATTTCAGCCTTAATGGTGCAGACTCTACAGTCCTTAAGAGATGAAAAGTTCTTGCAGAATAAAGCCACTTTAACCTCCTTCAGCCTCCCACCTCAGCAAGAAGTACTGAAATCCTTGGCTCTCCTCCTCCTGACTGAAAACAAAAGGGAGACCCACGAGGCTGTGGCATCTTTGTTGTCGGCTGCAGCAGAAGACAAGGACTTCAGGGAAAAGGTAGGCACAATTGGAAACGGTAACAAAATTATGAGTACTGGGGTAGAGCTGTTAGATTTCAGCTAGGGCATTTCTCTGAGGCTATTAAGGCTTCATAGAGAGGGAGGGAATGCTCTAGCAAGACAGGGCGGTCTGACATTTCATATCAAGTAGGCCGCAAGAGTACTTTGACCCAGAACCCATGGTCCCTATGCTGCCTTGTATGGTGGGGGGAGCAAGGCCAAAATTTGATGTGTCGCCCCCAGCCCTCATGCTGCCTTCCCAAAGCTAAGTGAGGCACCAGGCTCTGTGAAAGAGGTGTTAGTCTCTGGCAGAGTCCTAGAGGCCTTCCACCTCCTTCCCAAAGGTGGGAAAGTGCTAGTTAGGCTTTGGGAAGGAGGATGGAGGATTCGAGGACCCTGTCAGAGCTCTCACACCTCCTTCCTAAAGCTCCATGCCTTGCTTACCTGGCTTTGAGAAGGCAGCGGGAGGAAGGGCCTCCAATGTTGCTGAGGACCGGACCACCCTGAGTTAGGAAGTGGGGTTGGGACAATAGGACTGTTTAGCCCCAGTTCCAAGCAGCAGCATGTAGAGAAACAGCATCTCTCTATATATAACCCCAGCTGGGATAGCTCAGTCGGTAGAGCATGAGACTCTTAATCTCAGGGTCGTGGGGGCAAAAGAGACCTTTGTTGAAAGGAGTTGGACTTAGATGTCCGTCAGGGTCCCTTCCAACTCTATGATCCTCTACACCCAGGGAAGCACTGCTTCAGGTATTGCATTGATTCATTGTGAGTTTGGATTAGGGCCCTGGTGTAAAGGTATTCAGGCTTTTTACCTCTGTTTTTGATTTCAGATTGCATTAGTTAGGTGGTGGTTTTGCTATAATTGTTGTTAATCCTAATTTATCTTGGTTTAATAGTTTTGAATTGGAATAAGTAAGCTGCATGCACCACACATATGCCCATAATTTGGAATGGCCCCTGGAGCACATAATCTGCTTTAGTTACTCCTTCGTATGGGGAACCACATGTTGCTGAACTGCAATGCCCTTCATCCTTCATCATTGCCCATACTGGGTGGGGCAGAGTTGGAGTCCAACAACATATGGAGGACTGCTGGTTCTCAATCTTTGCCTTAAGTGCTGCCTTAAGTCTTTCTGTGAGATGCAGTTACAGCTTCCTCCTCATTGCCTCCCTCTTTCTCCCCCTCCCAGGCTTTAATTTATTACTGCGAAACCCTTGCACAGCCCAGCCTCCACCTGCAGAAGGCAGCTTGTCTGGCCCTGAAATGCCTCCAGGTAAAGTTTGCCTTCTTTTCTTTCCCAGGCACAACAAAAGGTCAAGCAACAGCAAGGGTTTCAATAGCCCCTCTTGAGCAAACAGCAACAATCAGAGTCTTGTTCTTCTGCATTAGCCATCCTGGTATTACTTTGCAAAAGTGAGGATATTATTTTTTTTGCACAAGTAATTTAGAACCTTGAAGTATCTCCAGGATGAGAAGTGTGAACTGTGCGTGAGAACTCTTGCCCCTTTAGGAGGTGCACAGACTTAACTTATGATCAGAAAACTAATGCTTACGCGTAGAACAACAACAACTAGTTATGGAGGACACAGGAAAATAGGGAAGGAGGGCTTTGCCAGTGCAGTAGCACTAAGTTCTGCCGTTGCACCTACATTTGGACTAGGATCTGTTTAAATCACTATCATGTTGTGGTTTTTGTACTTCCAAACAAAACCACCACATAGATTGTACCACCATTTCAGTTCACAAGAAGTACTGGGGCAGAGCGATTGCACCAGTGATTGTGGGCGGGGTGTGTGGCAGATCCACTGCTATTTCCCAAGCCCTGCTCGGTCATGGCAGCCAGGGCAGAAAGAGATGGCGGCGTGGGAAACCAGTTGTTTTTCCTCCTCTCCCACTGCCTACATAACTGCTGGCCTAGCTTCCAGCTCTGTTTGGGAAGGGGTTGTTGGAAGAATGAAAACGCTGAGTATCCTGAGGCAGTGGCAGAGCTGGGTGCTCCAGCACCCAGAGCAGCACACATGCCATGCACGCGGGGCCGGGCGATCCGCCCACGGGGGCGAGGACAATCCTCCCCAGGGGCAGGGTGATCTGCCCATAGGGCTGACTGGCACAGCTGCGTGATCCTCCCTGGGGGCAGATCTCGGCATAGGGGTGCGCTGAATGTTAACTCCTTCAGGCTGAAGGGGGTGACATTCAGCACACACCCACCCCAAGCCTACAGCAAGCTGGGGGAAGGGGGAGAGCCGCAGCAGCTGCTTTGCCGCTTGCCACTCACTGGGCTTGGGGGAGTCGTGCCAAATGTCACCCCCCTTCAGGATGACACCCAGGGTGAGATGACACCCAGGGTGACCCACACACCCCTTCCTACGCCCCTGTTCTGAGTTTCCTCAGCCCCCCCCCAATATGCTCCAAACACTCCCCGTTTTAGGCCTCACTAGTGGTGGAGCACTACCTACAGGATATCCGAGACTATAGCATTGCACCCTAAACTTCGCTTAACCTGTGGGTGCATTGCCTAATCTCAGGGAAGACAGAATTAAGAGCAAGTCATGAAATGACCAACATGAAATGACCCTACAGAGAAATTTGCCTGTATACACCCAAATCAGCTGCAGAATGCCACTGTAATACAGAATTAACGAAAGGTTTTTAGTAATAACCTTTTAGTTATGACAAATGTGGCTCTTGTAGCATAGTGGTAGTTTAGTAGTAATAAATCTATCGTTGTGAATAATAGTCATTTTAAGAGCGTTTGTTCATAATGCAATAAGGTACATAAGACAGTAAGACAAAAGTTAACAAAGCTCGTGAAAGAGAACCTAGGACCTGCAACAGCATTTCCTGCAGGGATCCAGCTGACGTGAGCTGTTTATCTTTTCCTTGACTGTTTCGTGCATCTTCAGTTTCATGCCACAAGCGCTACCAAAATGTATCAGGTGTCTCCCAATGGAGGGAGCAGATCCACACGATATTTCATTTTGCATGTGGCTCTGCTGTCCCCACTGAAATTACGTAGTGAGGAAAGTCATATGTGGATAAAAGCCCTTCTCTGTTGCACTCTGTGGGTGCATCACTGACAACACATGTGGGATTCTGGATTTGAGCTCTGAGCTTCTACAGAGAAATTGCAAACTCCAGATGAGTTCATAAAATGTTTCACACAGATTTGAACAACTGGACAGAGAATCAGTGATTATCATAAACCATTTGGAACGAGAATAGAAAATAATTAACTTGTTTATGTTTTTGGTATAGGCAACTGAAAGTATTAAAATGCTAGTCACGCTTTGCCAGTCTGACAATGAAGAGATCAGGAAGATTGCCTCTGAAACCCTTCTTTCTCTTGGTAGGTTGACTAACTTTATGCCATTACACTATTAAATAAATAAATAAATAAATAAGAGAGTAAAAGCAAACTGATGAAAAAATGGGACAAAAGCAGAGTGTGGGGTGTGGGTAATAGAAGAGCAATGACAAAGAGAAACTAGGAAGCACTAGCACAGTACTGGTGATTCCCAAACTCTTATTTCTCCATAACATCTGAATCAGGAGAGGCAGTTAAAGCCCTCAATCTGTGGCTGGATGCAATGGTGGGCTGGACTGAACAGTCAGTGAACTCAGCTTGGACCCTAGGAAGATGGGGTTGGTGGGTGGGTGGCTCCTACATGCGGGAGATAGATCTGTCACCTGTTCTGATTGGCGTTGCACTCCCTCTGAGGGAGCAAGTCCGCAGTCCTCTGTGGCTAGGGGTGCTTTCTACAAGCTCTGGCTACTATGCCAGCTGTTACAGTTCCTGGAACACAGTAGCTTAACCGCAGTGACCCACGCATTGGTAACATCGAGACTTGATTACTGTAGCACACTTTATGTGGGGCCACTCTTGTATCTGGTTCAGGAGTTGTAGCTAGTACAGAACACAGCAGCCAAACAGCTCACAGGAGCAAATTACTGGCAGTGTGTTTACTCCTCTGCCGAGATGTGCCCTGGCTGCCTATTTGCTTGAGCTAGCTTCTTTTACTAATTCTCAAAGCCCCCCAAAAAACCCTTGGGCTCAAAGTATCTTAAGGACCATCAGATCCCTTATCCTCCATCTAATCACCGAGATCCTCTGATGGGGCATTTCTTCCACACCCGAGGTTTGGTCAGCCTTTATTAGGGACTGAGCCTTTACTGCGGCAGGCTCTGCTCTGCAGAACTCCCTGTGGTAGAGGTTCAGCAGGAATTATTCCTGTCCTTCCTTCAGCATCTCCTAAAAGCAGTGCTGTTCAGACAGGCCTTTGCAATGCAAATTTCTTTTTCCCAACCAACATTTATTGCTTTTTTAATAGACGCTTTTATTGCTCCAGCTGTTTTGTATGGTATATACCTCTTTGTTGGGGTCTGCAAAAGTGGAACTTTACAAATTTTTAAATCCATAAATTTGCAGCCACTAAACAACAGCACCTAACCTTCCCTTAATGCAGTGCTTCTCAAAGGGTGTGGCAGGAAAGAATGGCAAGCATGGCAGGAAGATTCAAGGACAATCAGTATACTGTTTTGGGAATAATTCATGTTCTTACGTAGCTGCATTGTTTTATATTTTCTGGATGTCCCATGATCATGTTATAAAGTAGTTGTGTTCTATGTTATAAATCAAGCACTGCTAGTTGTTTTTTTGTTTCCCAATGTATTTCTCAATTTTCAAAAAATGGGTGTGGCACAAGCATATTTTTATTCTGAAAGTGTAGCCTGGAGAACTTCTGCCTTCATGCAACATTTGCCTTGCTTCTCATTTTTCTCTGCTCAGGAGAAGATGGACGGTTGGCATATGAGCAGCTAGATAAATTCCCTCGTGAATTTGTTAAGGTTGGTGTACGACGTGGGACTGAGGTAGCCACAGCCTTTTAAGAGTTAAATCTGCATATTAACACAACAGCTTCAGAGGCTGGTCTTCTTTAACCACAACGGTGCTGTAGCTGAACTGCAAGAAGATTCACAGGTGTTCGACGAAGAAGAATGAATTTGAGGGCTGTTACTGGCTTCGCTCTGTAACTTATAATGAAAACAGTGATTTGTCACAGATTGCAGTTGCTTTGCTTTTGAGTGAAACTAGTGAAACTGTATGTCACTGCCATACAGTCAGCCTCGGCAAATACAACAAAAGTTTTGTAATCATAAATGAGGCATTTTAAATTGTATATGGTGGGTTTTCTGTGGATATAATTGCATCAGCTTAAAACTTTGTGATGCTTCCTCTAAATCAGTGGAAAGGAAAAAGCAAACTGAGTAGGACTTTTAACAGCAGTTCTGACTCCCATCTGTGCTGTGCCTCAGTAGCCTTCAAGTATCTCCTGCCTTGTTTTTGTTCTTAGTAGCACCATTTAGTATGAACAATCTTCAGATGACGGGCCTGACTCTGGAAACAGCTGGATGCAAACTTCAGGTTTCAGTAATTCTCTGACTCATTTCCTGTTTCCATTCTTGCTCTTTTCTGGCTTCCAGTAATGACCTCTGATAAATCCCAAATGATTTTTTAAAATAAAAACACACACTCTCAAGCAGTCGTGCAGGTTGTATAAAACAAACAGGTGTTTTCCTTTTTTCCAGAAAGGGCATATGGCCACATTATACTTTTACATGAAAACACCGAGATTTAATCTTCCTTTCCCTTTCCCTTGACATTTCAAAAAAGAATGAGGTTTTGTGCATTTATAGCTGGGAGCTACAATGATTTCAATGTAAAAGAGAACAAGTGGTGGAGATCTCTGGGACTACTTCAAATTGAGTTGTTCACCCACTCTCCCTATCTGCAACAATCAAGGTGACAGACAGCATGCTATGATGCTAGTTTTCTTAGAAGTAAATCCCAGTGTGCAATGGTGGTTACTCCCAAGTTAGTATGCATGGATTGTAACTTGAAGGTGTTTTATTGAAGCCCTCATCAGACAATAAAGTTTGAAGCGGCTCATAGCTCTTCAACCATTGGGCACTCCTCCTTGGAGACATACAGATTGTGAAGTGCTGGTTGTTGGTTTTTTAAAAATAAATTTAACAGAAGTCTTTCCCCCCTTTTTTGCCAAAATGCATTGGCAAGCCAGTATTCTTAATTGTTAATGTTGTAACACTGTATATACCTGTATATTATAAATTATAAATATTATCTGATTAAAAGCTGTACAGTCACTCAAAGGTTTTACTGAAGGGGGAAAGTCTCTTTTATGAAATGTGAAATAAGTAATTGTGCTCTGGTTTTTACAGCACATTGCTGCCACAAGCCTACAGTCTTTCATTGTCGTCTTTTGTATTGATTTTTGGCTTACATTTGCCTTCTAGGTTTGTGGTATTTGTACTTCTCATATATACGGCTCCTGTTTAAGTTATAATAAAGATTATTTTTGAATTACTAAATAGCCTTGTTTTTACTTTGGTCGACTTATTTCTTTCACCAGTGCTAGACCTGGACTTCCAACTTGATCAAGATGGTAGTTCTGAGAAAGAAACAGCAAGTAACCTCAAATGACAATATGTCCAGGTATCCCGTACACTGTCACCCAAGCTTTGTTTGCCTATAAATATGTCAGAAGAGCTGGCAAAAAACATGTTTCAGCACTAGGGAGAAAGCACTGCAAAACTGCCTCCCTTCTGAGTTTTTAAAGCTACAGCAAAGATCTGCAAGTACACCTGGAAGTCTAAGTGGGCTGCCTGCAGACAGTTGCTGAATTACCTCCAGGAAACTTTGCAGAGGAACTAGCCCTTCTGCAGTTTGTTGGGAAGATGGTGGTAGAGGTGGTGTTTGGATCTGCCAGCCTCCACCGCTGGACAGGTAAGGGAAAATAGCTATCTGTAAGAAGGTATGAGCAACAATAAAGTATCGGTTGTGGAGGGAAACAAGTTTCTTTACAAAGATAATTTAGACCCATGGGGCAGAAGGATGAATCTCACTTTTTAAAAAATGTGAAAATATAACTTATTGGCTTAACCCACCACCAACCGCAGGATAGGATAGCTAAGAATCTACGTAAGTATGACATCATACTATCTCCATTTTCCATTCTATTTACTGCACTCATTGCCTAGTTACCAGCTGCGTGGGCTTGCAAGTCAAATGTGAATCAATAATTCAGTCTCCCAACACTTTCCTGTGGGTAGAGTGAAATACAGCTTTAGAAAGACATTTTTCCTGAAACAAGTCTTCAGGCAATATGGGAAGCAAGTTTAGCAAACTAGCAGCCTGGTATAACAAGCATATCAAGCATGAGAGGGAACCCGCAATCAAGCTCATAGACCCTGTCTTTCACCACCATAAAATCAAAACCTATGGCATTGAGCTGAGAGATCCAGAGCTGCCCCTGGAGGACAGAGCCACAGCTGCATGCTATATTGGACTTCTAACTTACACAGGTATGCATGTAAATAGACAACAGCTACCAGTTTGAGAAAAGTGTATTGTGTTCAACTAAGTTATAGTTGGGCTAGGCCCATTAAAATGAAGAGACCAAAGTTAATTGTGTCCTAGTCCAAGTAGAAATAACACTAGATACGACTGAGTAAATGTGCGGTAAAATTGTAAGTATGTTTAATAGCTCAAGTGTCAGTATTCAAGGGACTCCATCTCATGGCTAGGAAATCTCTCAATTTACATTAGCCATTAAAAACGGACAAATATTCAGGCGTAGCAGTGTTCCAGAATATTAGTGAAATAATCAGTAACATGTCTTCCTTTACAGGTGGTGTCAATGCTGCTTTGCTTGCATCAGAATACATTCAGGATATGATTAATATTTTGCTTATGCCAGATACTTCTGGGGAAGTGAGGACCTATGTATTAAAAGGGTTGTGTGGCACTTGCTACCTAAGCTACTTAAACCAAAATGAAGCCAAAGACAGACATCTTATGGAAATTCTCCTTGCTTATCTGGATGAAGATGAAGACCCGGAAGATGACGACCCTCTAGATATAATCACTATGAAGCTCTGGGTTTGCTACCTTATGACGGTTGTCTGCTGTAACAACATCCCTTATCTCAGGTTATTTAATGAAGTGGGTGGCCAAAAGCTACGTAAATGTCTGGAGGCCCTGTCTAAGTTGGAATGGTTTAGCTGGCCGCAAAACTATGCCAAGCTAATGCTAGCGCTTCTAGCCTACCAAGAACAGATAAAAGAATCACTAACAGGTAGAGCTAAGAAATCCAGCTTACAGTAAAAGTGCCAGGTGGTAAATGGTGTTTAGGGAAGTATCCAGAAATACTAAGTAAATTACTGGTTGGGGCTGACATAGCATATGTACTACACTTCTGTTCTCAAAGGTTTAAAGGGGGTGGGAACTATTATTCCATGTCTATTACCTCTTAAATAGCTGGCTTAGACTTGCAACATATGTTCTAAAGTACAGCATTTTACAACTGTGTAATCTGTGCAGAGAAGTTTATTTGGCAGTTCCACATACATGAATAAAAAACTATTTACAAATTGAAATACATAGTATTCCCATTTAATCAAGTAACCAGATGAAGTCTAACACTTCCATTATACTTCCACCGCTGCAAAACCCACCCTTTGAAATTTCAAGTGAATCTTTAGATTTCAAAGGATTCTACTCTTCCCCACCCCAGACATGACACACGGACAGTTCATTTTCCCTTTCAGAGGCCCAATACTTTCAGAGATTACTTGTTTCATTTGTCAGCAGATCTGTAGAATTCCTCGAGAGCTGTGAAGGTTCCCCTTCAGTTTCTCCATCTAAATCCTCCTCAGTAGAATCACTTTCCTCATATGCAATTTCTTCCAGGTCTAGATTTTTCAGTGTCTCTAGACTTTCTGGTGCCTGTCCAGTTAGTCGCTAGAGAGGTATGATGAGACATTAGTGATACTGTCAGAACAGTGGTAGAATTTAGCTTTTGAAGCCAAGTAATATATTATACAGCAGTTAACTTTTTTAGAGATATTACACCATCACTACATGCTTTATACAACAATTTGCAAAGCACCTTGCACATTCTCCTAATATTATCTTACATGGCGGTAAGAATTATTATCTTACTTCAAATCGTGGGGGGTGGGAGGGAAGGGAGATAATGCAGAGGCAAGATGTGAATGACTGACATAAAATACAGGATTCTGTGCTGTTAGACCTGGCTGAGATGAAGTAAAAAAAGTTCACATTGTCTCAACCAGGTCTATCAGTCACAGAATCCTGCATTTTATTTTTGGATATACAACTTTAACCTGCAGAGAAGTGTACAGTATATTCAATTTTGACTTTATAGTCACTTTCTCTAGAGAATACCTTAGAAAATAATTTTGAGGCAAGGCTGGGAGAGTCCTAGCTCATGACTTCCAAACTTCAGATTAGACAAGATCTCTGCAAAGCACAGACCCCCAACACTGATGTTACGTGTGTACAAGCTACAAGTATCAGTTGTTAGGTTATCAGCTGAAATATATGACCTAAAAACTGGTGCCTACATTTAAAAAGGGGAAAGCTAAGTAGAACACAATACAATTCACATTTGACATTTTGCTTTTATATCAATGCCAGATTAGACTTCTTACACAAGATGGCAAAGCACTTTGAAACACTAACTGTTTATCAGAAGCATCTTCTCCAAGAGATATTTTATAAGCATAATGTTATAACAATGGTGAAAAAAGCACAAGCCAAGAAAAGGATTCATGTTCCAAGATATCCTGCTTTTAGACTTTAGATCAGGATGCACAAGATTAGGGGTAGGCAACCTAAGGCCTGGGGGCCGGATGCAGCCCAATCGCCTGCTCAATCCGACCCACAGATGGTCCGGGAATCAGCGTGTTTTTACATGAGTAGAATGTATGTTTTTATTTAAAATGCATCTCTGGGTTATTTGTGGGGCATAGGAATTTGTTCATTCCCCCCCAAAAAAATATAGTCCGGCCCACCACATGGACTGAGGGATGGTGGACCGGCCTCCAGCTGGAAAAGGTTGATGACCCCTGCACAAGATCTTTGTGAGATCGATCAAAATAACACATTTTGTCTGGGTTTATCAACAGGGCACTTGAGCATATGTTCCACCACCCACATTAGTTCACCATTTACTCTGTTTTTGCAAAGTAGCCCCGATAATAGATGGTAACAATCCCTTGTGCAAGATTAGACAAGATGCAGAATACAGTTTGAGAATATTGCTGTTTACCATCACTGTAGCTTACCTCAATCATATTCGCCATATATTGTACATGGCTTGCTAGCTCTGCAAGCTCTTCATTTTCTTCTTTTAGACGAGCAATTTCACCATCTTTTAATTCAATTTCCTTATGGAGCTAGGGGGGAAAGCAGACAGAGTTTAAGCATCAATGGTAGTGAAAAGCTGATACTTTTGCTGATACTACATAAAATTACCTTTTCATTTTCTTGCAACACCTCATACAGAGCTTTCCTCCTCTCCTCAGCCAATTCCTTCCAATACCGAGATGAAGGATTGCCTGCAAAGAAATTAAGGATTTTAAAGTCCCCATGTGCACATCATAGAAAACCACTGTTAATGGTTTACAGTGAACATGCAGACAGGTTCTGCTTGCTCCTCCTAGTGTGAGCAATAAGCTATGATCCTTGGTTTTTCCATTCTGTCTGAACCAGAGTTTATGCTTTATTTGCTCAAATCAACCACAAATGGCCAGAGCAAATGTTGGCTTTACAATGTAGTTTGTTCAGAATGAAAAAATGCAATCCCCAGTTCAGACATAATGCCTTATAAGCCAAGGATCATCACTGATTGCTCCCACTGTACATTCATGACAAGCCATTAGCTATAACTTACTGTGGCATACAAATGCAACAACAAAGACTGCGGCTCATGCTTTACATGCACACAGTTGAAGGTTCAATCCTTGGAATCTCCAGGTAGGGCTTGGAATGTCCCATCAGAAGCCCAGGGAAACTGCTGTCAGTCAGTGGAACTTGATGGAACAATATGGAACCTGGTGGACCAATGGCCTGACTCAGACAGCTTCCTATGTTTCTAGGACTGCAAACTATGGTATTCAGAATTTGATTTCTTGGACTCCCTTCCCAAACTTTTCACTCAAGTCATATTACTACAGTATTAAGAAAATATATAGCCAACTTTTCCACTGCAGAAACACTCAGGCACCTTACAGTTACTAAAACCATCCACACAAAAAAAAATACAGCATTAAAGCAGAGACAGGAGCAGCAAATCATGACCTAAACATAAGAATTGCTGCTGATCAAGCTGCTTATCTCCATGCTTCCTTTTGATTAGACTAAGCCTGTTCAACTAACTAAGAGTATTGGGGGGCCCCAATACATGATGTGTCAAGTCAAATGCCATCTGCAAAGGTAGTGTGGCACTATTACTAAGTGAATCTTCATTTCAATACAGTGCAGCAGTTAAGTAATTTCCATATTCTGCCAAACCCGCCCAAGTTTGTCAAAGCAGAAACAAAAACCTATGCATGCAAGAATGTGCATTTGAGCAACCACACTGAGAAGTGTGTACCATACTATTTTCTGTAGGTTCACACTTGCTTATCACTGGCAAAGTATGAAGAGGGAAAGAAAGCAGCAGAGGAGAGGAACAGAAGCAGAAAATGTTTTGCCCTATTTTCATCCCCTTTTTAGTCTATTTGACCCAACTAGTCCATTTTGTTCATATTTACCATATGTTACACAGTTCCAGCACAGCAACATAAAAGGAAACCAGACAAATTCATAAAGGATAAAACCTGTCAATGGCTACTAGTCAAGTTGCATATATGTTACCCTCCAAATTCAGGGACAGAATACTTCTAAACACTAGTTGGAAAGGCCATTGCCTTCATGCAAGACTAGATAGATCTTGGGTCATATCCAGCAGAGCTCTTTCACCAAGGCAATTCATGTTTACGTATATCTTCCAGCTAAGCACTTATTAGAAGATTGTCACTGCTATTTTTCTTAAGAAGCAACTTACCTTTTACTGTAAGATCAGAAGCCTGAACTCCTCTTACAGTTCTGTATTCTGTTTCAACAGCAACTTCTGGTTTGGAAGCCTTTGAGGTAAGCTGATCACTCCAAAGTTTCCTCTTGATTGAAGATTTGGCCTGCTGAGAGTTTTATTAGTTGAGAATTCCAAGCAGGCATGTCTTAACAAGCCATTCTTACCACCTACTCAGTTATATTCCCACTTGTCATCTGGTGCAAAGTTTTAGGGATTCAATCACTGAAGATGGATCTTCAGGTGCATTCAACATAGCATTCAACCCCATTGGTACATGCAAGCCTATATACTGTGTAGACTAGCAATCTAATTGTATATTATCAATGAAAATTAACAGAACAGGCAAATTTCAGCTTAACTGTCAGCTCACTTAATCTTTCTAGCTTCCAAAAATATATTGCTAAGATTGCATTCCAGCAGCAGTACATACCTCCTTTGCCCTTCCAACAAGACAACCTGTAATAGATGGTTGTATCATCTTAAGGGTCTGTCTTTGTGATGTGCAATTTTTATTGCTTGTAGAACTATTGCTTGTAGAAGCCTGCTTTGAAAAGAACACATTCAGTGAATCTACTTCACCTAGAATTGAAGGTTTTCAATTCAAAATTTTCAAGAAAGCTTGTATTGACATTTAAGGGTTACATACATTTCAGTTACATGCAGTAAATCAGGTCATCTTTATACAGAAACTGGATCTCACATGATGTTAAACACAAATTTTGCATCTTAAATACTGGCTTTTGAACTTTGTCTTAACTGCAGGCCTGAATTTCTGCTTAATGTCATTTCACCAATAAGGAGTATTGAGAGCACCTGAGACACACATTTTTACATGACAAAAAATTTACTTGAGTGCACATTTCCTTTGATTTGTGCTGGGTGCCTAGTTGCTTTGCCTGAGACATAACATACTGATCCAGCCAGGGTATTGTTTTGGAGGAACAGAATGTCTATCACCTTCCTTGTCATATGTAAATACCCATTTCCTGCATTAGTTCTTTTTTTAAAAAAAATGTTACACTGCCACCATGAGATAGCAAACAATGGTAGATAATCAAACAAGGATAGCAGGAACATAATGTCATACTAGCGTGAGAAAGTTAGCGATTCACACTGTACTTCACATGGCAAGAGCTCACCTTTCCCACGGTAAAGTTTCTACTGCCAATTAACTTTACTATTGAACTAAAAGGACAAGTGCCAGGTACTCTGGGAACCAGCACTGTGCTACACTTCAAATAATACTTACTGCTGTTGAAGTAGCCAATGAATATTTCTGACAACTGCAGCCTATCACTTGCTTGGATTAACCTATTACTTTTAATATTTTATGTTTAACAAGGTAGTGCCTTCTGAACAGCAAAACCAGACAGCAAGTACAAATTTAACTAAGGAGGTTGGCAAAGTGGAGGGAGGGGGAGAGAAGTGAGCAGCAGGGCCAAGAACAGATGGGTGTGAAGCCAACATCCCAACAACCCCCTTTATCGCTACACAGTTTAGATTCCCTCTTCAGTTTCCTTTATTCTACCAGAATGAGCAGCATCACTCTTCGGTAAGAACCCACAAATTAGCTTGCTGTGGAAACCATGATGAGTATTCCTCCCACTTTAGCAATTACAACCTTAAGTGCAGCAGAACATGCCTCTCTGGGCCAAAATATGATCCAAACACCTTTATAGTGAAGGGTGACAAGGACAAGCTAGAAGATGGGTGCAAGATAGGCGATTTACACCTACATTGTGCTTTAAAGATGCTACAAGCACCTCCTTAGCCTCCTGTGAGAGAATGGGTTTCATCTCTGACATGCCAATATGTCTTGTACCAAGCTAAACCCCGTGTCTAGACTGACTAGCAGCACCTCCACACCATTTCAAACAGCAAGCTTTTCCAGCCCTACCTGGAATCAAGTCTGGGACCTTCTGCATGCAAATCTTACGATTTACCACACAGCTATAGCCCCTCCAAGCATGTGAAGGGGATGAGCAAATCAACCACCTGTGTATTTCAACTTTGTACTAGTTACAAAGAACATAGGGAATGGATCCTCTTTGTTGGCTTGGCTGCCAAGCAATGTGCCTTGTAGAACTGAAAGCACAGAACATCCATCACTCAGAGGGTATAGGATCTTTGCACACAACTATGAGCAGATCACATTTTAAGACACTAGGACAGATGTTTTCAACCTTTTTGAGTCCACGGCTCCCTTGACCAAATACATTATTTCTCCCTTGACCAAATACATTCTTTCTGCGGCACCCTTGTGGGGCTCAGAAGCCTAGTTACATCATCCCTTGCCTGCAGAGCTGGCAGCCTTTCATGCTTTCTCAAACACCCTCCCTTGTGGAATGCTCCCTCAGCCTCCTCTCCACTCTCATTGGGAGTCCTCTGGGCAGCTTCTGCCGCTGCTCCTAGCCAGCCCCAGAGGCACCATTAGCCTGGGGAGCTTGTAGCCAGGGTTGCTGCAACAAACAGCGGTGCAAGCCTTTAGGAGGCAGAGATGTGAGGGCATCAGAGAAGGAGGGGAAAGGAAGAGGGACAGAGGCCAGTGTTGCTCGTGGCACCTGTGACCATCATTTAAGGCAACCAACGGTGCCACAGCACATTGATTGAAAATCACTGCTCTAGGGCAAGACACACATAATGTCTGTACACGTTTAAGTACTGGCCAAGACATATTATCCAAAACATCTGAATTAATAGCACCTAATTATTATTAACAGGTGCTTCCTCTCTTACCGTATTTTCATACCTTTCACTCTCCAATTAAACAAAAACAGTATTATGAATGCAACATTTTATAGCCTCTGCCATAGAATCCTTCAAATCCCTTGGCAAGGCTACCACCATTACTGTACAGTGGTACATCGGTTTAAGAACAGACCGGTTTAAGAATGATTCGGTCTACAAACTCTGCAAAACCAGAAATAGTGTCCCGGTTTGAGAACTTTACCTCAGTCTAAGAACGGAATCCGAACGGTGGAAGGGCACCGCCGGCGGGAGGCCTCATTAGGGAAAGCACACCTCTGTTTAAGAATGGACTTCTGGAATGGATTAAGTTCATAAACTGAGCTACACTGTACATCAAACTTCCTTGTTATAACTCAATTAGGTTCAGACTCATATGTAAAACACAAATCCTGGTGACAATAAGCAAGGCAGTAGCATAGACTGTAGTGCTGCAGAGGTATCTGTGGTTGGTTCTAGGCCAGGCTTCCTCAACCTCAGCCCTCCAGATGTTTTTGGCCTACAATTCCCATGATCCCTAGCTAGCAGGACCAGTGGTCAGGGATGATGGGAATTGTAGTCTCAAAACATCTGGAGGGCCGAGGTTGGGGAAGCCTGTTCTCGGCAATATTTTATCTATACAGTTCTGAAGACAATTTTGAATACATATTACAAGTAACGTATGATAAGGGCTCCTATGCTGTAGGAATCATGTGATTAGTTTGAAGCCGGTTATGCACTAAACCTATTGAACAGATCTTCAGTCTTGGTCTATTTATAAAAAGAAGTACAAGCTTAATATCTATGAACTCTATGAAAATAGCGCTGTATACACATCACCACTTGTCATTACACCTTGGCAAGTATCAATATTACCTTTGTAGCAAGAGGCTTCTCAACATCCAGTTTCTGTTTCATCCTAGAATTCATTGTCTGCTTTCAAGTAGTCCTATATGGGCATAAAATGTACAAGCAGCACATTAAAGTAAACAGGGATGTCCAGTGCAGCCACAAATCAAAAGAGTTCATACATTAGGTCTGGATGGTTCTCTCCCAATTCCTGAAAGCAGTTTCAAACCTCCGTTTAACTCTGGGTTTAAAAGCCATAAAGCAAACTGAGCTTACAATCATCTGCATAGCCCTCAGAGTTATGGTTCGCTAACAGCCGTTTTCATCTACCAAGCGAATATCAGAAGAAATATTTTTTCCTAACTTTGAAGTTCACCTTAACACCTTATAACTTCCAGTCATAATAGCAGGACCAGCAATTTCAATATCACAAGCGGCTACTCCATATGACTAAACCGAGGCACGGGAGAAAAGGAAAGCAGGGACACCATATTTCCATTCCAGCTGATTGTTATAATGCTAGAATGATTAATCTGAGCTAAGAAATGTGTCCTTATGATAGCCCTGTGATGCCTCAGCTTTACATGGCAAACGTTTTATTGCTTATATTTTGAAAAATGCACATACATAAATCTCACAGTTTAGCCGACCACATTTCTGAGTCGGAAGGCAATGAGTATTAAGACTCTTTTGTGTTACAGCATAACCCTGAGCCTGTATTATCACCAACCGGGACCATCTTTTTTACAATGTCAAAATAGCAAACTTGTATATGGAAGTAATGTGTTAAACATGGGCAAAGTGCTAGAACTGTCCTATGGAAAGGACCTCTAAACATTCCATAAGTAGCAAAGCTGGTCAATTATTCAAAGATCTTATGTTCTAACTACAGTGATTTTACGTGTCTCCATTTCGTTTAGCATTTCAATGTTCCAAAGCACTAAAGACAAATTGCAATTGTGATTACAGAGTTTTATTCCTATGCTATCCTCTTCCACTTTATTTACCACTACTGGTTTCATATGCACAATCTCCACTGCACCTGCAAGAATAAGAAGGCAAACTACCGTAACAGTAAAGGATGGTTAAAATATAGCAAGTAGTAGTTTATCTTCAATAAATGCTCTCAAATGTGCACCTTAAATGTTATTTTATCCTCTAAAAGAGAGACAAGGCAATAGACAATTCTGACCTGGCCACAACCTAATTCAACTTTTAATATTGCAGTTAAATCCCTGAAGAGCCTTGAAAGCTGTAAAAGGTACCCCTCTTGCATTATATGCAAGAATGAGAGCAATTTCTAATCACACCCAAACAGCACATATTCCTTCCTTCTGAAGCTAATATAGTGGTACCTCGGTTTATGAACTTAATCCATTCCTGAAGTCCGTTCTTAAACCGAATCTGTTCTTAAACATTTATCAGTAGTAGTTTATGTGGCTGTCAGTTTGTGAAAATATCCAGAGCACTTGAACAGCTGGAATATGAGTTTTTTAAGTGCAGGCTAGGTAAGTGCTGCATTTGGTACCAAGACCACTATTCTTATAATAGGAAATAACTCAGGAAAGAGTTAAAGCAGCCCACATACAGTTTAGCATCTGTAGCTTTCCCCTCAGACATGGCAAGCCTGCAATATCATATGCAGCTGTAGATCTTTTTTAAAAATAATCAAGTAGTCCTTGCCAAACCCATGAAAAGATAACTTGTGTGCCTCTCGCAGCCACACCAGATTCCTTTCAGCAGGAGCTCGGCCTGTTCTGAAGGGTAGCTCCAAAAAGGAAATGTGCATGTTCACTCTGTGTATGTCAATGAATACTGTGGGCCTCTGGCTGTGCTCCCTCACCAAAAGCAAGGAAAAGGTCTTCCACGTGGAAACGCGCAGACTTCCACACTGCCCCCAAAGTTGCATTGCTGAGCTTGGGGGGTCCCTTTTCGTTTCAAACAAGTGTGTGGGGAAGCTCCTTCACGTGTCGAGTCGGGTCACAGATGCAGACGAGGTTCTCAAACGATAATAACCAAGCACAAGCCACAGCCCCACGAGCACTAGCCCCTCTGTGAAGAACGGGGGGGGGGGGCTTCCCTGCTTTAGAAATGGCTGACATCACAATATACTTAAAACACCTTCACCCCACATCGCCACCACAACCTGGGAGCTGTAGTTCACTCCCCCTTACCGAGCTACAACTCCCACCACCCTTCACGAGCTACAGTTCCCAGCGTCGGTGGAGGGGTGCGTGTGTGTGGCCCCTCAAGATAACGACTCTCTCGCCCCTGGACTCACCCGCCTCGATACTCGCTCAGCTGCCCGCGCGACCAAGACTCCCGGCGGCCACCGCTGCCCGCCTTTTTTTTCCTCGCACGTTAATCCCGCGCGCTCGCTTGAACAAGGAAAAGCCTTTCGCTCTCTCTCGCGCGCGCAGCCGTAAAAATATATCGCGGCGTCGGGTGGGCGGGCGAGCGTCGTTGCGTCGGGCGGGCTCTCCGCCAATACCCTGTCCTCCGGCGAACAGTTTCTAGCCAATTACGTTCGGGGGTTGGGCGGGGGGAGCCGCAGCCAATGGTTGCTTCCGGCGTTTCCTTTGAGCCGCCCCACCACCCGCGCGCGTTAGCAGCATAACAAGCTGTTGGGAGGAGCTTTGGGGTTGGGGTTTTTTTAAGGGGGGGGCAGTGGGAGGCTGTCTAAGGTGGAGCAAAGGAGAGCGTCGCTTATAGCCACAAAGCTAAACTGAGTGCTGAGTTCAGTGGGGCTTACTCCTGAGTAAAGGGAGTTTTCATGCTTACCTGAAAGCCCCATTGAGCTGACTGCAATCCTGTGCATAATTGCTCAGAAGTAAGTGGCAGTGGATTGCAGTTAGTCCTCAGTCATTTACTCCCAAGTAAATGGGTTCCGTACCTGCATCAGAATAATAGAGCTTTTGTTTTAAATGTTTACAAACTCAGGAGAAAATCACGTTTTTGTATGAACCGAGTGAGGAAGAGCATGAGCTCCTATATCTATGCTGGGTTTCTTTTCTTGTTGACACACTGCTTCCCCATCACAGCTACACAAATCCCGGATCCCGGATTTGTTTTCTATGAGAACAGGCATTTCATCAGGGAAGATGAGTAAAAAAATAAAACGAAAAGGTTAAAAACCAAACTAAAGCCCAACCTTTTTGGACCAGTGGGCCCATTTTGAATTTGAGAGAGTCATGTGGGCGTCATTCACAAAATGGCTGTTATAGGGGATCTTGGCATAACATCACATGGCTGCTGTGGGGTGCCTGGCATAACACAAAAACAGTGCACAATCATCACTACCACCACCCTGACAACCTCACACTTACCACGGGAAGTCAGTTATGTACTACATATTGCAGAATAGTTTAGGGGGAGAGAGGGCATAGCCTGGAGAAAGACCTGATGGCCAGATAGACAAGTCATTTGCCAAAGGGAAGAAAAGGTGGCAAGCACTCTATTTCACCTCTTTGGGTCTCCAGCAAGGGCAGGGTCCTGTAGCGTATTTCGGCGGCAAAAAAATCAAATAGAGGAACTTAGCTATTATCTTCGTGAGCTCCTGATCTCTCCCCTGTAATAGGAAGCGTATGACCCCTCTCTCTGGTTTCCATATTGGGATACATAGATGGTCTAAAAATTGTTGGCAGAGATCATCATACATTTTACATTTAAGGGCCATGTGAGCTAGAGTTTCCACCAGGTGGGCATCGCATGGGCAGATCCTATCTCCTTTTGCCATACCCTCAAAACTACCCCAAAGAAGGTTAGAAGGATTAGAATTTAACCTAGCCAGTGAAAAAGCCCTTCTTTCTTGCGGGTTAAACAAAAATTAGAGATAATTTGGGTTTAAAAGAGCAGACTTCTTGCAGTAAGGAAAGTGTCTGGGAAATGCACTGGAAAGTGTGGGGTTACACTTGTGACTGAAACCTCCCTTCAAACAAATCAGGACAGGACAAACAATAAATAGGTCAGCTGATATCTTTTCACAAATATTTGGAAACCTCAGATATATTGCTTGTGTGAGTTCCACAATCATTTAGTTAAAATTTGTAGATTAGAAATGAGCAATATGATCACTTTAATGTAAGAAGCCTGAATTTCTGTTTATTTTCCCTTTACTTTGCCTCTGGCTGTGGATGTGTGCTGGCCAGGTGTTCCTAATAATGGAACCACTCCTTCTTTACCTGATGAAAAGGTTTCCTATTGTGCACCATTATGATTCAATCAGTGTTCTTAATTTCCTCAGCTTGGAGGGATTTGTAAAGAATCCCTCATTACAGAACTGAAAGAATTTCCCTTCAATCATTTTAGACGAGAGGCTCATTTGTGGGAACTGCCATATATAATTAATCCTAGATATCCAAAAGAAAGGTTTCAGGTTACATCACTTTATTTCAACCTGCTGAGCACAAAGGTCTGGCACATATAAAAACATGTTGTGACATCTGCATTCATTTAAACATTTTGCCAATCTCAATATTTCTTTTCTCTACTGCTGCGTATCAGAATGGGTTCAGTTTATCTGTTTCAAAACAAATTAATACTTCTGATGTTATGACCGTTTGCACTTCAATAGGCTCTTGAACAAACAGTGAGGTTTCCCACTGAGGTCAGCCAATTTGTTTTGCCTGAGAAGGCAACATTAAAAAAAATGCAGAGTTATGGAAAACAAAATGCCCTCTTTTCTTTTTCTTTTTTTTACCAGAACATAAGAACAGAATCACTTGATTAGAGTACCGTAATAGATAGTAGTGACACTTCCATAATCATACACTGTTCCCCCATCCTGGGATTATAGCCAATATCTAGGACAAAGTTTCAGAAATGAATATAGGAAGTTCTGTTGAAATAAACTATTTCCAACCAGGCTTTATCGTTTGAAAATTGATGTTATCCAGTGGACAGAGTATTGCTTGATCCTGGAGACGTCAGTGCTATTTTTCTAGAAAAAGAGGTGCCAGAACTCACAACGAACATCTCCATCATTCTTTTAGAATGGCAATGGTGCTCACCTGAACTGAGCACCAGCGAGTTCCAACAGAAAAAAGCCCTGGTTCAAGTAGTACCACAGCTATCATGGATTATATGCCATTGACCGTGGAGTTTCTGGCAATAAGTGTTTTTTGGGTGATATGCAGCCCTGGCACCAGCACGCAGCCAACTGCTGAGGCTCAAGTGTAACAGCTGTTGCTGCAGGAGCAGCCAGCGAAGACTAGGAGTGGTATGGCAGCAAGCCTGAATGGCGCTTTGGGCAGCACACCTGAACCCCCTAGCACTGTGGCTGTCTTCGTAATTGTGGTGGTCCTGCCCCCAATGTGGGTATGTCAGGGGCAGATCCAGCATTAATAAGGCAGTGCTGCTGGTGAATCTGGGCACATGGCCCTGATCAGTGCTGCTGCCAGGCAAACTATCTGCAGCAAAAATTGGAGAGACACAGCAGCCTCACTGAGTGGCTCTCCAGGTTGCATGCCTGAACTTGGTGGCAACTGTCAACATAATGCCAACTCTGATGTACCTGTAAATCAAAATACAGCCCAGAGTTCTGTTCAGCACTGCCATTGCTACCACCATGGGTGGGCAGGCATGTAGCCCTTCTGAAACCAAATTAGGGAAACCAGGTCTACTGAGTGCTGAGGGGGGCACCTTGCCCCGACCCTCCAAAACCTATAGCTGAGTGTGATAATATGGAAAGTTGACAGCTTTAGGTTGTAGGGCAAAGTGCCCACTTGCCACAGGACAGCATGCCATCACAAGCAGAGCATGGTGTGCATTTAGCCCTCAGCATCTTAGTAGTACTCCAGCCCTTTGTAAGATTTCTTACCCAGCCTTCACCATGTCCCAGGACAGGTTACAAGTATATAATAATATACAGTTATAAAAACAAAACCATTGTAATGATAAAAAACTACAATAGTAAAGCTGTTCCAAATGGAACAAAACAGTACACATTCAGCAAAAGAGGCAAATCCCACAAAATATACCTTAATTGTCAAAGGCCAGGATGAATTGGTGTGTCTTCAGCATGCGACAAAAATTGTACAATGAAGATACTAGACACACCTCTGTGGGAAATTCCATTTTCGAGGCTGCCACAGAGAAAGCCCTCTCCTGTATTAGCAGAGGCACTTGAGACATGCAGAGACCAAGAAGAAAATCCTGGTAAATGTTTATTGAACACACTGAGCAAAATCATATACAATTTAAGCTTTCTTTTTGACAGGCCTTCTCGAGAGCAGGGAGACATTCGTCTAGATATCCAGAAGAAAACTCCCTCACGGCTAGACAGCCTATCAAAGCAAGTGATACTTTACTGAGCATCTTTACTTCTGTAAAGATCATGCCACCTACCCTCTTGGGTAGTTGATGAACACGAAGAATAGAATTAACCTTTAAGTTACACACTGAATGATCTCTGCTGTTGCACTTCCAACATTTTATGCTGCTGTTCTCCACATTTCTGAGGGTGACAGAACTACCACCATACAGCCCCTCTGAAGATCTTACAATGCAATAAGGTTTTTAGGTATGGAGGTTTCCGATATTTGTGGCCTAAATCAATTAGTTTTAAACACTCATGTGAGCACCTTAATGAGTTTACTTGGAAGAGATACCCCATTAAAACAAATAAGGAACGCTTACAAATAAATGTGCTTCTGTGACTGCAGTTGTATAATAGTTTGGAGCAGAAGGAAGTTCAAGGAAAGAATACAGTGGTGCCTCGCAAGACGAAATTAATTCGTTCTGCGAGTTTTTTCGTCTAGCGAATTTTTCGTCTTGCGAAGCACGAAATCCCATAGGAATGCATTGAAATCCAATTAATGCGTTCCTATGGTCAAAAAAAGTCCAAACAAAGCCAAATTTGGTACAACAAGAGTTTATTAAGTGCTCTTTAAAGTCACACATACTGTAAAGAGCATTTCAAAAATTGAAGGAACAATAAATTAAGTTTCTAAACATGACAGAAAAACATTTAAAAATCAACAAAGTGTACAGTACATTTTCTAAGACTCTGGGGGACAACTCGAAGAAGGTTCCTCTTCCACTCTTTGCTTCTTGCTGAAGAACCCCCTCCTCAACTGTTCCCCCAGCCACCCACCACACAGAAATTCAAATCCAGATTTTTTTTTAAAAAACAGCAGAGTGGCCCAATGGTCACAGAAAATCATAAAAATGCAGGAAAAAAACACACAAGCTTCCAGATTCTTGCAAACCCCTCCCCAACACCAAGTCCTTGAATTCCAAACATCCTAACCCCAAATCCAAAAACCCCCAAAAAAGTTTTAAAAGTTTCAAAGAAGTTTTGGAAAAGCTTCAATAATAATAATAATAATAATAATAATAATAATAATAATAATAATATCTTTATTGTCATTGCCCCCTTCGGGGACAACGAATCACCAAAGTCTTCAAAAACCTCAAAAAAAGGGATGTGGCAGATTATAGGCTTAAAACAGAAATACAAACGTTCCGTCTCTATTTATGTACAGTACTCTGGTTCATGGCTCTCAAATCAAAAGGCAATGTAAAGGGGAAACGTTTAGTTTGTCCCCAAACTTGATTAGGTTGTACAGTATGTAACTGACACACAAGCTACTGGCAACCTTTACATTTCCACTAGATGGCAATACAGTATAACATGAACATTAAAGGCATAACCCTAGACTGCAGAACCATCTGCTAAGGCGCCACAGTGGTACCTCAGGTTACAGATGCTTCAGGTTACAGACGCTTCAGGTTACAGACTCCGCTAACCCAGAAATATTACCTCAGGTTAAGAACTTTGCTTCAGGATAAGACAGAAATTGCACGGCGGCAGCGGGAGGCCCCATTAGCTAAAGTGGTACCTCAGATTAAGAACAGTTTCGGGTTGAGAACGGACCTCCAGAATGAATTAAGTTCTTAACCCAAGGTACCACTGTACAGGAATTGGTTAAAGCCCCACTATGCTGGCAGAATGCCACATACCTCTGTCATGAGGAATATTCTGGTGCAACTGCCCAAATACTCTGGAAGAGCTCCTTATCATGAATTCATTGGCTCCCTCTGTGTCTTTGTGTCATGTGGGCATTGTCACCAGCATAGTCCCTGATTGGTGGGTTGTGGCAGTATGTCCAGAGACACTGAGGGTATGTATGCATGCTTTTATCCCCTGTGGGCTGAGTATGCATTAGATAATATTAGTTCCCTATATTTGTTTTAAATGTTTTTCTAATTTCATTTATGTTGCAATGATAATTATGTTGGAGTTTTGTTTCAGCGTATTGTCTATGATACATGTAGATGGGCTTTAGTTTTATTATCCACACTGTTTAAAGAACATTTAGAATACTGTAGATTGTCAATAGATTTTTATGGCATACGTCTTCATGGATGTCAAGGATGAAGATGTTAAAGCAGGCATCCCCAAGCTCGGCCCTCCAGATGTTTTGGGACTACAGTTCCCACCATCCCTGACCACTGGTCCTGTTAGCTAGGGATGATGGGAGTTGTAGTCCCAAAACATCTGGAGGGCCGAGTTTGGGGATGCCTGAATCACATAATTATTTGGGATCAAAGGGGATGTGTTGGGGAAAGTGCTGTAGCTAGTGGCAGAAGGACCGAAATTCAATCCCTGGCATCTTCAGGTAAGGCTGGGAGAGACTCCTGCCTGAAACCCTGGAAAGCAGCTCCAGTCAGTGCAGACAATACTGAACAAAATGGCCCAACTCAGTAGAAAGCAGTTTCCTATGATACACTGCCTAAGGCCACTTCAAAACTGTTGCTACCGGGTTCAGTTGCATATTGGCAAATTAAAATTGTGCAACAAACCCACTTTGGGGGGGAAATCAGAAAGTGATGGGGAAATGCGTGCAAAATTATGACAGAATACTAAAAACAAAAGTGAACTTCATATGCAACCTCCCATCAAATTTCGTGCAAACGTGTTAGTAGTGGAAAAGTGCTCAATAAAAAGGTTTCCTGGATCACGGGCGTAGCCAGGATTTATTGCGGCGGGGCAGAACTGAGCTATTTAGTATTTATTTTGATTTGGGGATGGGAGTAGCTGCCCCCCCCCGCCTACGCCCATGTCCCGGAAGGTGCCTCTGCGTGGGCTTTCGATGCGGGATCGGTGCCGCCACGCGTGCAAGTTCTTATTTTGCTGCGTCCACACACTGTCGTCAGCATTAAAACGCCAAGTCCCAGTCTCTGTGCCTCCAACCGGGATTTACCCTTTCCGTGGAAAATCGGATGAGTTAAAAACACCCCGCTGGCGACACAGCGGCCCCCTAGCGCTGTTACACAACCAAGCGCAAGCCCCGTGTCCTCTGTTGTTGTGATCATCATACACACATGACACGCTTTACCCGCGTGCTTCGCCCCCGGGAGGTGGCGCGGTGACGTCTGAGACGGGCGGGGGGAGCCGTTCACTTCACTAGAGGGAGAAGGCGGGGCGAAGAAACTTGGAGCCTGTCTCTGGGCAGAAACTTGTTCTCGCATTAAGTTTTTTAAAAAGGTGCGGATGCGCCCTCCGCCTCACTCGAATCAATAGCGGAGCGCGAGGGCGCTTTAAAACAGGTTCTGCAATGGTGGGTTCTTTATGTGGGGACAGACCGAGACCGCGGAGCTGGTGACGGCGGAGCAGCCCCTGGAGACTAGATGCGCGTTGTGCGTCATGGAAAACGCAGCAGTTCTCTTGGATGGGGAGAGGGAGGGGATGGGGGGCAGGTGTGGGGCAAGTACTCTAGCTTTTGGTGGTCTCTAGACTATTAGCAGCTGCTTTTCATTTGCTGAAGAAGTGGCTCAACTTAACACGCCGCCGCTTGCACTATGGCCGTCGAGGGAGAAAGCGCGCTGCCGTCTAAGTCCACTGATCAGACACCCTTTGTGTATCTAAACAGCTGCGCTGCAGGCATCCAACAGGTGCAGCGGTGTGTCGCCGTGCAGCTTCTAGAGGAAGAACAAGGGAATGGGCTGCGGGCCACTCATAACAGCAGAAATAAATTGTTCAGGCTTTAAAGTGCCGCAGGACTCTTTGTTATTGTTGTCTGGAAAGGGGAGGGGAAAAACAAGAGGTAGCATTCGAGCTACAATACAGGTTGGGGGCAACGAACGGTCGGAAACCTTTTCAGTTGCATAGCATCGTTTAAGATGCAGTCCCAAATCCACTTACGTAAGAGTAAGACCCAGCGAATTCAGTGGGACTTCTTTGGAACGGAGCCTTCCGTTAGGGCAGGCGCCCGTTTTGTAATCTCCGATGCGGCTTTTTGTTAGTTTGGAAGCCCAGCCACCATGCTAATGGGTGTAGGACCGGAGTCTGACAGGGCTTGGGGTTCGGCTGAAGAGCGGGATCTTGCTCTGCATTTCATCATCACAATTTAAGAGGCATACGACTGGAAGAAACACACTCCTGGTGAGCAAGCTGTGCGGCATAGACATGCTGCAACAGACAGATGATTTCAAAGCCTCCAGAAGCAAAACTGTAAGGGAGGGTACACGAATACCTCCGACTCCACATTAAAATAAACAAGTAGTCAGCAATCGGAAGAACGCAAAAGTTACCCCAACGCCTTTTAATCTTGATCTTGCGTGTGCGGTGAGTTTGCTCCTAAGAGCCCATTACTAGTTAATGCACCGTGTGCGCTCTTTGTTACTCCAGTAAAAAGAATCGGACTTCCATTTTCGAGTACCTGCTTGCGGGTGACACTGACACAGGCTAACAGGCCGAGCCAGGCGGACCCAAGCCCCTTGATTTTTACACCACGCAGTCCTGTGCACGTTTGTTTACCCGGGGACGAGTCCCACCGTGCCCACTGCGACTTTAACTTATGTCAAGTGGCTGGGACACATCGGAACTCTGCAAAGGACCGGGGCATAGACGCACTTCGCCCCCACTGGAGACAGCGGGTAACACTCAACACGCAGGCTGCATAGAGTACCCACCCTACCCCACTTGCCCCGTTCGCTTTTCTTCTCCCCACCCCTCTCCCGAGACGGAGATGGTACAGTCCATCCCAGGGCGCCTGCGCAGCGGGTCGCGGGGCGGAGCCTTCCCGTGTGTGTGAGTCAGGCGAGGAGGAGACGCGGCGGTTGCCATTTTGAGGGCTTCTCCGCTCGGGCTGCTGCCGCTGCTTCTTCGCCGCCTTCCGCGCCGCCCGGACCGAGAGACTCGCCTGCGCCATCCTTCGCCTCAGAGGGGACAGGAGCGGGGGCTTCTCTCGCTCTCTTGCCTCTTTCCCGCCGTAGGAGCCTGTAGCGCAGGGACTTTTCCCGGCCCGGCCTCGCTTCGCCGCCGCCTCTTCCTCCTCCTCCTCCTCCTCCTCTCGTCCTTCCTTCCTCCCTCCCGCCGCCTCCGCCGCCACCATTTGCCACCCCCCGGCGGCTCCGGGGCGCCGAGCTTAGGCTATGGGGACCAGGCTGCTGGGACTGAGCAGCGGCAGAGCGGGCGGCCCGGTCACCGTGAACAGCGCAGCGGGGATGGCGGAGCTGGGCGGCTTCTTGGTGGCCTTCTCTTGACATGGCTCCTGCCCGTGCTGCTAGCAGCGCCGCCGCCGCCGCCTCCACTGCTCCACCCGCGCCCGCCGGCTGCGGGTAGCGAGCCAGGCCACGCCACAGTCTCCGGTCCGGTTGGGTGTCTCTTGCCGCCTGAGCCTCCCGCCGCGGGGGCTTCCAAGGAGAGGGGGGGGGAAACCGCCTAATTATTATTATTTTTACGAAGAGGGTGTGCTTGTGTGTGCTTTTTTTGTTTTTAAAAAGCACAACAACTAAACAGCTAATAAAAAAAGGGGGAAGGACGGGTTAGTAATCCTTTTTTCCTTTAAATTTTTTTTTATTTGTTTCCGGGAAAACGCGTTTTTTCCCTTTCCAAATTTATTCAAGTTCGCTGCGACAAAAGCCTCTTTGCAAACTCATTTTTTTCCAATTGAAATTTTTTTTTGCGTGATACTTCCCTTCCTCTCCCTTTTTTCCCCGCCCCCTTTTTTTCTTCCCCCCTCCCAAGAACCCGAGTTGTTGGTTGTTGACCATGAATGCAAGAGTGAATTCCGGGCCGTAGACTTGAGTGGCCCCCGCTGCGCTGAGCACAGGCCCGCCTCTTCCTCTTGAGCAAGGAAGGGAACAACCCTCGCAAGGAGGCCAATCGCATCAGCCATGCCCAGCCCCAATTAAAGCGGCAGAGGGGAGGAGATTTTTTTTTTTGTCCTGCCCGGGGCTTAGACTGAGGGAAGGAAGGCTAGTGGGGTGGGTTGTAGGCCTCTCCCTCCTAGGGGAGTGCTAGATCGAGAGATCGACTTGGGATTCAAAAGGCCAGATAATCTCCCAAATCTTCCCTCCACCTTTTTATCAATGGCCACCATGATCCCTCTTCTCTCCCACAGCCGCAGCCTCAGGGCAACCATGTGCCTGATGATGAGCAGGATGAAGTTAGAAATGACTCTGCTGTTTTCCAAACTCCTTGCTCCTCTGCAAACCAGCACACTGTTGTCTGTGGTTGATTATTTTGTTGTTGGTAGGGAAACGTCTTACCTCCCAGGACATCCACTCCTGTTCTGCACTCCCTCCTTTGCTTTCTACCAAGTCGAATAATTCTTGAAAAAAGAAAAAGCCAGGCAGCATAGCAATAGCAGAGATCTTGAAAATAATCAGCAGTCATGAATCTGGGCGGGATAGAACACTGTCTTTAATTTCAGTTTTTTGGGGGGTGGCAGCGTGGGGCAAGAAACCCGCCCAAATGGATTGGGTCCATGCCCGTTATTGCTTTTTATTCTACACACAAATTGTGATAAGATTTTTTTCCCATTCTTGCCCACTTATTCCTGTGGTTTAAACTGTGTATATCAGTGTATTTTCTTCAAATTTCTTTGGGCTTTTGACAATACTGCGCAAACTTTTTGTCCAATGATGTTTGGACTAATAGTTACTTTGTTTTATGACCCCTCTAATAAGACAGTCTTGTAAAACATTTGCCTAAGGTGCATTTTTGGGTTACGCCTGTGTTCTATTGATTCAGTGGTATTAGCAGGAATAAAATGACTTGTTTCTGTTGTACTCGAGTCTTATGAAAAAGGGCCCATAGTTTAGTGAAGGTTTCAAAAGGCTTTAGTACCATCTGTATTACAAAATGGGGGACCCAAACTCCCGGAAGAAACAAGCTCTGAACAGACTTCGTGCTCAGCTTAAAAAGAAAAAAGAATCTCTAGCTGACCAGTTTGATTTCAAGATGTATATTGCCTTTGTATTCAAAGACAAGGTAATTTCCTTTTTGGTTGTTCGACTTTTGTATTGAGTGACTCTGTACCTCTGTTAGCACTCTCAAAATTACAATCCGAGAATGAATGTGGAGAGCATTGTAAAAATCTGTTACACTGTGTTTTCATCATGCCTAGGCTGTAGCTTTGATGTTTAGTTTTGAATCATGATGTTCATTCCTTATGCTGGGTATCTTAACAAAACCTTGCACAGCTTTCAAAATGTGCCATGTGAGAGTTAATACTGCATTATGGGCTATGGTTGTACACAAATCTGGGGAATACGTAAAACTGAATTTTAGAGACTCAGCACTTTGGATTTTAATGGGAGATGCATTTTTGCTTAAGCATGTGCTTCAGCATCCATTTATCTCTAAATTTAGGTTTGCAATAAGTTTAGGGTGTTACCCAGTTCTTAGGTTTGCAGTAAGTTTATTTTTCTTAAATTTTAAAAGCATTGTAATGACAGACTGCTTAGAAATGAATGAAATGCAACATGTTCTTTGTTTTCCCTCATTAGAGGAAAAAGTCGGCACTCTTTGAAGTGTCTGAAGTGATACCAGTCATGACCAATAATTATGAAGAAAATATCCTGAAAGGCGTGCGGGATTCCAGCTATTCCTTGGAAAGTTCCATAGAGCTTCTACAAAAGGATGTGGTTCAGCTGCATGCACCCCGCTATCAGTCTATGCGCAGGGTAAAACATTTAATGTTCTGTCATTTTGTTTCAGAGATCAACATTTTAAAAGGCTATTAATGCTGCTAGTAATATTTCTATATCAAAGATCTAGATATAATCAGCAGGATTAAAAGAACTACTTTAGATGTACCCAATGACTTACATGTCTTAGTGGGATTCCCCCCCCCCCTTTGAACAGACTGCGCACCAAACCGCTGATGGAACTTTTGCAGCATAGAGGGGGTTGAAGTGTGGGTATGTGGTTTGACGTTCAGTGTGTCGCTGCGTAAGGGTTTTTTGGATTCTGCCTATCAGGTGGTAAATCTGTACAGTGGACCCTCGAGTTACGTACCGCTCTTGATACGTAACTTTCAGGTTGCGAACGTGGCAAACCCGGAAGCGTATACTTCTGGGTTTTGCCACGTGCACATGTGCAGAAGTGCTTTGCGCACTGCGCGTGTGCGCAGAAGCGGCGCCTCCAGTTAAGGGCTTTTCAGGTTAAGTACGGACCCCCGGAACGAATTTAATTCGTACCCGGAGGGTCCACTGTATTTGAATATTTAGTATGCTTTGTCTAGTAGACACACTGATTTACTTGGGTCTTTGACACCATCCACCCTATTCTCTTGACTGTCATTTAAGTTATTTTAATGTTGTATTTTTAATTGTAACCCACCCTAGGACAGGTGGATAATATTAATACTACTGCTAAATAATAATAGTTTTGTTGCTGTTTTGCTCTATCCCTCTTGTATTGTATACATCACTTAGAAACTTTGTTATTAAGTGGAATATAAATTATTTATCTAAGTTTTCATTATCCTGGCCCTCAATATTTTAACAAGTTTGTCTCTTGGTAAAAATAGATGTGAGAAAGAAGCATGGAGAAAAAATTAGAATTGTGGAACTGGAATATTGGCAGAGACATCTCAGATGAATGATTGCTTTATATCTCTTGCAGAAATTCAACATAGTGGCTTAAGTTCTATTCTGAGAGAGGAGGGGCTGCTTCTGTTCACAATTCAGCAGAGGCTTATCCTGGTGGAAGGGGAAGCAACTTTTGCAAAGCCCCTTCCCCCACTGTTCTATAGGGTTTCCTATCCCTCAAACCTTTTTTGCAGGGTGGGAACAAGAATTGCATAGGGAAGTGAGAATTGTAGAAAGCTTCCTCCCATTTCTGGCAGGAGTGTCCCATGTGTGGGAAGGGAACTCCGGATTCAATTCATACCTGTTGAACTGAAACAAAATAGGGAATAAACTCTTAAGCTAAAAATACAATTACTATAAGCTGTGTTTTTGAATTTAAATATTCTTGATGAAGACAGCAAGACAACATAAAAATGTAAATGTGATAAAAGTGGGTGTATTTGCCGATTGGCATCTAAAAAACTATCCTGAGGACATCATTTTAGTTTGGGCAGTTTTTCAAATCCATAAAGTTCCCATAAGAATTAAATTACTGGGACTGGGTTCCGATTTCCACATTATAAATGTTAATGTAAAGTTAGCAGATAGGCAGGCTGTGTTGTAGTGCTTAAGAATAAAATCCTATTGTTACCAATGTATGAAAGGTATACAAACCATTTGAATTACAATTATATTTGCTTCTCAAACGTGTGTGTGTGTGTGTGTGTGTGTGTGTGTGTGTGTTCTCCCACTAGATTGTTGGGACACTATTAATTTTATTCATGTCCTTAACAGGATGTGATTGGCTGTACGCAAGAGATGGACTTCATACTTTGGCCTCGGAATGATATTGAGAAGATAGTCTGTCTTCTGTTTTCTAGGTGGAAGGGATCGGATGATGAGCCCTTTAGGCCTGTTCAGGTATGATACAGGTCCCAGGCAGAGTGCTACTAAAACCCAAATAAGCCATTAGCACTTTTAATGAATACCACTTTTTCTTTATGGTGGTTATAGTGAATTGTGGTATATTTTTGTAATCATTAAGGTGTTTGTATGATTACAAAAGCAGAATGTTGCCACTGAATGTACCTAAGCAGATGTTTTGAAGTTGCTTAGTTTATTTTGTCTCTTGATTGGTAAACTTGCCAGAAGCTTTTACCAATAAGTATGGAGTACTGCGTCTGCGATAGTCGTCATTTTTGTTTACATAAAGTTAAATATGGGGTTCTTCAAATGTACTGCCATTAGAAAAGGGGGAGATACTGACGTAATAATCAGTCTAATTTAAACTATATCTCCATTAGCCATAATTTCAAGTTGTACCTGAGATTTTTCTATTCTGCACTTGGATGCATTGCATATGTGAACCTTGACTTTAGATTGGTGTTCCTTGAACATATTTTATTTAAACCTTTTTGTTAACATATTCCCCACCCCACCCCACAGGCCAGGTTTGAATTTCATCATGGTGACTATGAAAAACAGTTTCTGCATGTACTGAGCCGAAAGGACAAGACTGGAATTGTTATCAACAACCCTAACCAGTCAGTGTTTCTCTTCATTGACCGACAGCACTTGCAGGTAGCCATCTCCCAGTGCATACCTGTTTTTCCTTATGCTCTTGTTTGCCTCTTTTCTATTATTTAACAGCTGTCTGCTTGGCTTCACTACAGTCAAGAGGTACACATACAGCCAGTTTTGTCATGACAGAATGCTAAATGATCAGCATTCCTTTTCTATGGCATAATGTGCAATATGTTCCAAACAGTAAGTTTGTGGGATATACTTTATAAGTATTGAGTTGCTCTGCCTTGAGTGCAGTGAAGCCATCTGATTGGGTGTATTTCTATTAGATTTCTGCTCGTCCGCTTTTGAAACAATAAGGATTTGTATATGTACTTAAGCGAGAAAAGATGGTACAGGTCCCCAGCTGGAGAAGGCAGATTTTAGAAATCTGGTGATCAATTTATATATTCAGCAAGCATCATAAATTCTTTGCTATGCTTTTATGTTGCGCCACCATTAGTTTCATTTTCTGTTGCTTTTGAAAGGATGAGTTGAGGCAATATGTGACGTTTGTTTTTACACACAGTGCTGTTTATATAATATACTCTGTCCTGAAATAATTTATGTATCTCTTTCCAGACTCCAAAAAACAAAGCTACAATCTTCAAGTTATGCAGCATCTGCCTATATCTGCCACAAGAGCAGCTCACCCACTGGGCGGTTGGTACCGTAGAGGATCACCTCCGTCCTTACATGCCAGAATAGGGTACTGGCCAGCAAAATGGGGAAGATCACAGAATGCAGGAGTGCAGTTTTCACTTTTCTCACCATTTATTCTTTCGGAATAGAAGAAAATGGACACATGTTCAGAACACTATCCATCGTGGAACTTGATCATCCTGGATTGTTTTCTTTTATCATTTGTATCTCAGAACTTTTAAATTTTTTTTTAGATGTTTTCTGCATGGACCTTGTGAAAGAGAATGCTCTGCATATTTCTGCATTGTATGAGCATCCTACCAAAATGTGAAACGAAGGGACTGTTATACACTGAAAGAAATGTATCTGAGAGCACAAAGTGATCATATATGGTGGTGTTCCCATTTGTGCTGGTCATGTCCCCTAATATCAGTATTCATAGGGTGAAGAATGAATGTAATGGTGTGAAAGCCATAAGCTTTGCTGTTAACACGATTGTATCAGGTTCATGAATAGGTCTATGGCTTGTTACAGTAGATGGCTAAATGTGGGAAAGAAATCTTTTAAGGAAAAAAGAGCATCTCATTTGGTGTAGGCATTAATTGCCTCTTTTATTTTGCTTGGCCTTGTTTGAGTTTCCTGGCATTCTCACTTTCGGATCTCTTTCCCCAGTTTGCTGTGTAACTAAATGTAGAGTGTTCTGTTGAGTTGAATACATTTTTACAGACCTGGAGTCTGAAGTAGCCTAAAGCAGCTAAATTTAAGATAGCAGCTGCAGAAACCACGTTGGCAGAGGATTATTATTTTTTTCCTGACAGTTGACTTGTGAACTGTAGGAAATACTGGTTTCCAAAACATTTCTTATGGAAGACCCTCTGAGGTTCTTTTTTGGGGGGAGGGGAGGAATAAAGCAGTTGTGGATTTAATTGTAAAATATTGTTTGGAGTGTCAAAGTTGGTTTTGACAGAACATATTTTGTTTAAGATTGTGCAATGAACATAAGGAAGACTACTGTATAGCTTTGGCAAAGGAAGCTTTGCTTAAAGGGTTGAGTAATTTGACTGAAGTAAATCTGTATAAGCCTACTCCCTTTGGGTAAAACTAGTGCTTATCTGTTTAAAAAAATCTGTATTTAGCTTTTGTTTGGAATTGGAAAAAAATTAAAAAAAAACAAATTAGGTGACCAAAGACTTCTACGTTCATTTATTTTAAAAACTTGTAGACACTAGCTTATGACATGTCATAGCCAACTTTAGGTAGACAAGTCTTTGCATATGACAACAGTTAGATACATCAAAGCGTATCGTATGCAAAATAAGCTGGAGATACCAATTCAAAATCTATTGGCAGTAACAATAAATTAAGTTTCCTGGTTTATTATGGATGAGTGGCAGTACACATTCATATTCCTCCCATGAGTGGGATACACCGGGAAACTGCCTTTCTGTTACATTAGAACCAAGGATTACCTGCTCTTTAACAAGTGATTATCAGGAAGAAAAAAACCATGGCATAAGGTTGGATGGGGTAGTTGCTTGCTAGGGACAAGCAAGCTCTGTGCTCTGGTTTGGACAGAACAGGAAGCAAAGCTTCCTGGTTTGTTTCCTCTAGCAATAGCACAAGTGGAATATTGAGCAAGGTCTATCACTATGCTCACAGAAAGCCTGGCTTATAACATGGGCGTTGTATAAATGTAGATTTTCATAAGGTTTCTATAACCAATATATTAAACTTCTATACAAAACATGGCAATTCACATTTGAAACCCAGTTAAAGGGAGAAGTCTTCATAATAAGGTTATAATAATGCATGAAGGATTACAATTTGGATGGGATGGAGAATGTCACATTTCATCAGGCCAGAGGTGTGCACCTAAAATAGCTATTGGGAGCCAGGCTGATGTTACGAAGTACCAAAGGGATTTTTTTCCATTCCCAACCCATTTTAAAGGAGAAAATGTTCTGAGAATTAGCAGAGTATATTTCCTTACAGCACAAGCTTGAGTTCTAACACTACACCCTCAGAAATTAACGTTATGGGCGGGGAACCTTTGCCTCTTCAAATGGTGTTGAACTACAACTCTCATAAGCCTTGACTATTGATCATGTTGGCTGGGACTGATGGGAGACATAGTTCAGCAATATGGAGGGCCGAAAGTTCCCCAGCGCCCCTCTAAGCAGTCCATAGGGAAGGGCCACAGTAAGCAGCACAGCACATCCTTGGCCTCCAAAGGATCCCAGGATCAGTCCACGAAATCTCCAGGAAGGACTAGGTAGGACTCCAGTTTGGAAAGCTGAAGAGCCGCAGCTAGTCAGTGTTAACAATGCTGAGCTAGATGGTCTGACTTAGTACTGTATATATCTCCCTAATGAATCCTGCAAGAGGAATCGCAACACCAAGATCAATATGCAGCAATATAGGTTCTGCCATCAACAAACCACAGTGATCAAAACAGCTAAATTTTGTGAGCCGGCAATGAGAGCTGCTCCTGTCTATTAATACAAATGTCAGCCACGTAACCACACTTCTGAAAGTAGCAGGCATTTTCTATCTGTACTACCACCACCCATTCATTACACCCACAGCCATTCCCCGTTGCTAACTATTTGATTGGCTTCCCTACAGTTTTGCTCTCCCTGCCCCCTTCCCACTTATATTCCCTTGCTCAGATCGGGGATCTTTGAAAGCGGGGAAGGATGAGATAAGTGCCAAGCTCAAAGCTGCAAGGAATTGAAATACAATTTCACTCAGGCAGTCCAGATTCTAGAAAGCTTTTAAGAGGAATGAGAACTCTCCAGTGAGAAGGAGCTATCTCACCCCCTGCCACTCCTATCACAGGACATTAGAAGCACTTCACAGAATCTGGGCCAGATTGTTCTAAAGCAAGACTAGCAGGTGTGCTGCTGGAATAATTCAAACTCTGCCGCTGTCATCTTCACCCCAACCTCCCAGTTTTGCATCAGTTCTCTTAAGTTTTAATGTTGTTGCTGGTGTTAGGAAGCAAATAGGACCGGCAAGGAATCGGTACTCTGTTGTTGTGCTTTAGTCGTGTCCGACTCTTCGTGACCCCATGGACCAGAGCACGCCAGGCACTCCTGTCTTCCACTGCCTCCCGCAGTTTGGTCAAACTCATGCTGGTAGCTTTGAGAACACTGTCCAACCACCTTGTCCTCTGTCGTCCCCTCCTTGTGCCCTCCATCTTTCCCAACATCAGGGTCTTTTCCAGGAAGTCCTCTCTTTCTCATGAGGTGGCCAAAGTACTGGAGCCTCAGCTTCACGATCTGTCCTTCCAGTGAGCACTCAGGGCTGATTTCCTTAAGAATGGAAAGGTTTGACCTTCTTGCAGTCCATGGGACTCTCAAGAGTCTCCTCCAGCACCATAATTCAAAAGCATCAGTTCTTCAGCGATCAGCCTTCTTTATGGTCCAGCTCTCACTTCCATACATCACTACTGGGAAAACCATAGCTTTCACTATACGGACCTTTGTTGGCAAGGTGATGTCTCTGCTTTTTAAGATGCTGTCTAGGTTTGTTAGGAAGCAAATAGGATCGGCAAGGAATCAGTACTCTATAGGCGCACAATTCTGATGGTTGTAATAGACTGCAGCCACTTGGTTGCAAGTTTGTGGTGCAAATCTACCAAACCCACAGCAATGAAGGCAGCCTGGGAATACAGCTCCTTGAGGGCATGAGGCCTTTCCCAACCTTGGGCCCCCAAATATTGTTGGACTACAAACCCCATCATCCCTAACCAGCAGGAGCAGTGGTGAGGGATGATAGTAAAGTTGCCTAATGATCGAGAACCAGACGGACTGCCTTATGAATCTTTGCGCCACCAGGAAAGGCGACCATTAGACCCTTGGGGATTTCAAATTACAATTTCCCACCAAGCTAACAATCTGCTCCTGGGCCAGTTTTAACACCAAAAGCAACAGTGTCTTGTAGCACCTTAAAGACTACCAGATTAGTTACCGTATTTTTCGCTCTATAAGATGCACCAGACCATAAGACGCACTTAGTTTTTGGAGGCGGAAAACAAGAAAAAAAATATTCTGAATCTCAGAAGCCAGAACAAGCGGGATCGCTGCGCAGCGAAAGCAGCGATCCCTCTTGCTGTTCTGGCTTCTGGGATAGCTGTGCAGCCTGCATGCTCTCTATAAGACGCACGCACATTTTGCCTTACTTTCTAGGGAAAAAGTGAGTCTTAGAGAAAAAAATACGGTATTACATAAGCTTTTTTTGGATTCCAGCCCACTTCAAGGAGATGCATGTACTACTGTATACACAGTTGGCAGGTATAATATGGGCATCGTCAAGATGGAGGAAGTTAACCTGAATCATTACTTGTTAGGGGGGCACTTAAATTCACACAAATTTGTGCATGTAGCACTAAATCACAATTTAATGTTAGCAGGCCAATAAATGTGCAGTGAATGATCATTTACAATAGCGGTATTTGGTGATAACATGATTGTTCTGGTTCTGCTGTGCTAATTCAGCAACTATAGTCAGAGAACTTCCCAACTTCCCGGCTTGTCAATCAGTGTGAACCAGGAGTTGTTGTTTTTTTAAAAAAAAACTAGTCAACTGCAAAACAAGGCAATGCCAAACCTCCAGTAATAAAGCTAGCTTGTTTAAACCAGAGTTTGTCGTTAAGAATTCATAGTTCATACTTAAATATAAGCAAAATGGAACCACGGGTTATTTCTTATTCCAGACCCATAGAAGGATGGATGGAGGGGGCAAACAGAAGCCTGGGGCCTGGCTCACAGAGGCTCATGCAAGAAAACTAAATCATTGTTTAGTGTTTTTTCCAAGTTGGCCCGTTGTGAATAAATTTGAACTTTGCAGAGAAATGTCACATAGTAGATCCAATATAATTTTTGGACAGGACATAAGTGGGTGCATTATGCCCTCAAACCAAATTTTTCTCCTATGCTCTATCCTGATTGTAATTAGCAGTAAACACTCTCCATTTACATAATTGTCCCAAAAACACAAGAGGAAGAACTACTCCATAAAAAAGATTAAATATTAATAAAAGACCACAAAATCCAAATTAGCTAAACCTCATTGGACAAGGTGAACATTGGCTCTCATTATAAACATCTGTAATGATACAATCAGACTGGCCTCCCTTTGACTAGTTCCATAATGAAGGTACCATGCTTGATCAATATCTGCATACTTCCACTTCCACCTCAGATGGTCTCCAGAGGAATCCTAATAGACATAAGGGCCCATAAATTATAGCTTTGACATACATCAAAATAAGAATATAAAGGCATTCTGTGATATGCCTCCAAAGTAAGTTTTCAGAACTAGAAAACACCCACAACTTTTTTAGTTGTGAGAGCCCCTTTGTAGGCCAATAGTGCAATCCTACATATATCTACTCAAAGGTAAGTTCCACTAAGTTCAATGGGGCCAAATCCTAGGTGAGTATAGGACTGTAAAGGTAAGGTAAAGGTAAAGGACCCCATGACAGTTAAGTCCAGTCAAAGGCAACTATGAGGTTGCAGCGCTCATCTCGCTTTCAGGCCAAGGGAGCTGGTATTTGCTTTCAGGTTGAGGGAGCAGCGTTTGTCCACAGTTAGTTTTCTGGGTCATGTGGCCAGCATGACTAAACTGCTACTGGCGCATGGAGGACCGTGACAAGTGCCAGAGCGCAAGGAAACACCGTTTATCTGCAGCAGTACCTATTTATCTACTAGCACTGGCGTGCTTTCAAACTGCTAGGCTGGCAGGAGCTGGGACAGAGCAACGGGAGCTCACCCCATCGCGGGGATTCGAACCACCGACCTGATCAGCAAGCCCAAGAGGCTCAGTGGTTTAGACCACAGGATCCTGTATTCTAAATCAACCGGGGGGCGGAATACACACAAGCAAGTTTACAAAACCAAGTTTATTGAAAACTGTTGAGTTGTCACCATACTGAACTTCCTTTTAGCACAGGGTTCATGCTTTAAATTCATTATTTTGGGAGGAAAAGTACCCTTTTAAGATCAATTCACTTCATACATTGTTCAATAATATCTACAAATTAACAGAGGAGAAAGTAGTAGTTTATGCTTAGTTTGGCAATCATTCACCACTGAATTCAAAGTATGCACTGGTCAGTCTAAAGGCTCTGGCTGAAAAGAGCAACACAGAAGTCATCAAATATTCTCAGCTGGACATATAGCCACCCATCTGCAAAGAGGAGGACTCCTTCAATTTGCAGAAGGGACTGAGATTTCACAGAGACTTCTTGCTGGAGTAACCATGTGTGTACATGTGCACACAAGAGGCAATTTTCACCAATTCCTCCTTTCCTCCTGCAGCCCTTGGCACCACCTCTCATGCTGTTCTGGAGGCTTCCTCAGCCATTGAAAGCAGAATCCACCCCATCACCACTCCTTCTTTCAATGAAAACATCCTGGAGGCAGAGGCCTACCCCTGGGGACTCTGAACCCATCCCAACCCAAAAGCACCAGCATCAGAACCTCTTCCACAAATGGTTCCCAGGTTTCAGATGCTGGAACACTTGAGTTCAGACAGTTTTATCCATCTTTTCTTTGTATCTTTCTCTTCAGGGCTTCAGAAATCAAACCAGTATTAATCAGAGCAACACATTTTTTTTCCTGTCAATGACAAACTGTTGCTATTTACATTTGTATCCTGCTTCCTGGCGCATGCACACACAGCATCCCTTCCAATCCCCAAGAGATGGCTTACAACAAAATACACATGGAATAATAAACATGAACTTGAACCATCACCTTAGTTTACATGAACATTAAGGAGGATTCAGGTAGTGATATTTCACCTCTAGTGGCTGTACCTAAGAAAGTGTTTTGTTCAGTTAATCCATTCTCATCTTTACTGTATTGCTTTGTTTGACTTACTTCCATAAAGTAATGCTACCCCATTCTTTTTCTTCTAGGCCCAAAGCTTCCTTCTGTGACTATCCCAGGTATTTGGTATGCCTCCCTTGGGCTATCAATTTCCCTGTCGCCTTGTTTCTTAAGTCCACATTGGCAAAGGCCAGTGTTCTTCCTTGCTTCAGAATCTCCGCAGTGATCTGGATTTCGTCTCCCATCTTAGCTGCTGACATGTAGCTTGAATTTGGAAAGGGGGTGGGGAGAGAGAAAGAATCCTTACATTTATGGTTCATCTCTCCTTCAAGGAGCTCAAGACAGCATATAGGGTTTGCTTCCCTCATTTTATCCTCACAACCACCCTGTGAGGTTCAAAACTTATCTGATAACCCACCCCTCTACTTTTAACTACCATATTTTTTGCTCTATAGGACGCACTTTTTCCCCTCCAAAAATGAAGGGGAAATGTGTGTGCGTCCTATGGAGCGAATGCAGGCTTTCGCTGAAGCCTGGAGAGCGAGAGGGGACGGTGCGCACCGACCCCTCTCGCTCACCAAGCTTCAGGCAGCTATCCGCAAGCCTTCGGAGCACAGCAGGAGTTCCCGCTGCGCTCCGAAGGCTTGCGGATAGCAGCCTGCAGCCCGGGGAGTGCAGCGCCAACTCCCGCTGCGCTCCCCGGGCTTCAGGCAGCAATCCGCAAACCTTCGGAGCACGCCCCCAGCCCCACAAGCTCCGGGAGCGGCAGCAAGGCTGCACGCAACCTTGCCGCCGCTCCCGGACCTGTTCTGGAGGCTGGGGTCGGGGGAAGCTCAGGCTTCCCCCGCCCTAGCCCCGCGGCTAAAAACAAAGCCAAGACAGCGAGCGGGATCCATCCCGCTGGCTGTCTTGGCTTCTGCCAAAGCCGTGCGCAGCCTCTCCCAGCAGGAGAGGTTGCACGCGGCTAAAGAGGAAGCCAAGACAGCGAGCGGGATGGATCCCGCTCGCTGTCTTGGCTTCTTTGCTGTTTGGGGCTGGGGGGGGGGGTTCTTTATTTCTCCTCCTAAAAACTATGTGCGCCCTATGGAGCGAAAAATACAGTAATATAAGCCACGTAAGTTGCAGAGTCAAGGCCCAATTAAACGAAAGCGGGCACTGAAATAAATCTCGGATTTTGTCATACGTACGTAATATTCATATCCACACTGACTCCAGGTGCTGCTCTTTCGGTGTGCAACAAAGCAGCGGTTGACACAACATCTACCAGAGTTGCTGTCAATCCTCCATGAAGAATCCCGCCTCGGTTTGTGTGCTCCTCTTCCACTTTCATTTCACAGACAACTTTTCCAGGACTGGCAGAAAGAACTGTCATCTGGGAGCAGAGTGGGTGAGAGAAGAAAAGTCCCATTCCATTAAGCTTCAGTAGGTTTTCTACAGGATACTAAACTGAAATTAAATGCTTGCTTTTTAAAATCTAAAATGCACGTATGTTGCCTTTTGGTCTCCAAAACAGCAAACAGTAGGAGAAAACAAGTGAAACCAGCAACAAAATAAGGTTGAAGTGTGCCGTTTTTTCCCTCAGGGTACCAACCATTCAGTGGTGCCCTTTTCAAGCATACTCCATTCTATTTCCCTCCTCAATGTTTTTCTGCTGTTTTTCACCCAATCCAAAGATCAGCCAACATTCTGGACCCACTGAACTTGCTCAATCTTCCTACACACCAGAAACCTAAAGCACATGACCTGCCCTAAAGAATCATGGGAGCTGCAGTTTACCACTACGCTTCCCAGCTCCCTTAAACTACTTTGCCCAGGATTCTGTGGGGAGGTCATATGCATTAAATGTGCTTTCAAACCTCTTCCAATTATTTCTTCCCTTTTTCAAAAAGGAAATTTCAAGTTTCAGTAAGCATATGTTACAAATAGTGCTTATTTTTAATTTCCACAATAAGCAATTTGATTGGCTGAAACCAGCTGGGGCATTTAGGACCAGAGGCATAGCAAGGTCAGGTGGTACCTGGTGTGAAATTTTTTTTGTCACCCCCCCCCCCACATTGCAATTTTAGGAAGGTGGCCCAGAGTTGCGCAAATCCGACCAACGATCACATAAAACCGTGTCAGCACCGCGGGGCGTATTTGCGCAGTCGGTGGTCGGATTTCTGTGATCGGTGGGCGGCACTGGCACCCCTGCGAAAATCCGACTGCCAATTGCATTAAACTGCCAGGGATGCAAGCGCCACCCGTCGGGGTGTGTGTGTGTGTGTGTCAGGCTGATTATTGGGTGTATTTGCGCAATCAGAGGGCGGATTTTCATGACGACGATCGCGTCAATCGCAGAAATCTGCCTGCCCACCGGGCGTGCAAGCGCCGCCACATCAATCCACCCGGGAGGGGGGATTTTGTCAGCCCCCCTAGGCATGACACCTGGGGCAGACCACCCCCCCTTGAGACGCCCTTGTTTAGGACCAGGTGACCTTTAAACCAGTGCAATTTCTATGTAAACAATCTAGTTAGGACACACCCAATAGTCACAGAGCTTCTCTGAACAGAGTGAAGTAAGATCATTGGGAAGCCACCACATAACCCCGCCCCCCAGTATATAAGTAGAGAAGGTAGAGAAGGTAGAGAAGGTAGTTTGCAAACTAAAGCAGTATTACTGAGGATCTCTCTCAGGAACACTGTAAACCTACGTTTTTTCTTTTTTCCAAATACTTTTTATTGCTTTTTTGTAACAACAACAAATAAAATAAATACTCTTACATTCAAAAATTGTAAACCTACGTTTTTTCAAGCGCCAATAGGCCCAGAGTGTTCACTCCCTGCACAACTTTGCTGCCCTATTCAAGGTGACCCTGGAAAGTCAGTAACACATTACACACACAGGGTAGGGAACCTCAGCAAATCCCCTCCTGCTCTTACCTTATTCAGCACCCGATCAAATCCGGGAGACTCCAGAAGCATTTTCACCACCGCGCGGAGAGACTGGATCTTAAGGTGACTCATGATTCAAAGTTCCGACCTTCTCTCGAGCAAGGCGCTATAGCCAGGCTTCTCACTAATGCAGTCAAGTAGTTGGGGGATCTCGGAGTTGCGGACAACACGAGGCAATTGCAAAGATGCAGGATCCCTGAGCAGCAAATTGGCCCTTCGGAGCTCAGCGGCGGCCCTGGAGAACTGGAGGAACGTCTCTTGACAAGCCCCACCTCCCTCGCTCGCTCCCAGCGTTCTAAAACTTGCTACTCCGCGTTCCATTCGCCGAACGTTCGCCGCCTTCGCCGAATCCCCGCCCACGGCGCCTACCCTTTCACCTCCCAGCAATCGGGGCGGGCTGCTAAGCGGGCGGGCGAGCGCAGTAGCTTCAAGTGCCTTGCCCGTGCTGCGCCTGCGCGACATTTGAGCTTCGAGGGGCGTGGATTTGCAGAAGCTGGAAAGCCGGTGGTGGTCCTGAAAGAAAACAGGGAGCGCGAGCTTTGAAAAAAACAACAACCCAACAAGAAGAACTCACAAACAGGCAGATGGATGTGGGCAGCGTTGCTCAGGGGGTGGAGCAGGCGACCCCGGAGCAGAGGACGCCGGAGCAGCAGCTGCAGCCTTCCAAGGAGGAGGAAGAGAAGGAAGAAGAGAAGCGCAGGAAGCTCCTATGTTTGGAATTTGCCTCCATCAGCGGCAGCGATCTAGCCGTTGCTCAGTGCTACCTGGCAGAGAATGACTGGGATATGCAGGTATGCCCTCGCTTCTCGTTTTAAGCACGTGCGTTATAGATCCCGGCGCATGGTCCTAGCACACAATCAAACTCTGCCTTTTGGGCCTTTGTTGTTTGTTTGTTTTTGCAGAGAGCGCTGAATTCCTATTTTGAGCCGCCTCTTGAGGAGCAACCTATGGACGCGATGCCAGAGCCTCTCCCGCTGGAGGGGACCCTGTAAGTCTCCTGCCCCTGTAACTCATCCCTCTCAAGAAGACCTCGGGGTTAAAAAATCGATTCCCGCTTGTGTACAGATGCATGGGGGCCATATTGGTGCAATTGGACGGTGGTGCTGTCAGGGCAGTTATGTCAGAGGGGTTAAGATCCCCTCCCAGCCACGAGTTCCCCAGGGTGACCATGGGCTAATCCCTATTCTCTTAGCCTAGCCCACCTCATTCTCTTTGGAAGAGCATCACCTGCCTGCTGCCTTTACTCTACAATAGTACAGGGTGAGTCCTTTAAAAGAGGCCCAGTGGATACAGAGTATAGTGGTACCTTGGGTTACAGAAGCTTCAGGTTACAGACTCTGCTAACCCAGAAATAGTACCTTGGGTTAAGAACTTTGCTTCAGGATGAGAACAGAAATCGCACAGTGGTGGTGCAGCGGGAGGCCCCATTAGCTAAAGTGGTACCTCAGGTTAAGAACACTTTCAGGTTAAGAACGGACCTCCGGAACAAATTAAGTTCTTAACCTGAGGTACCACTGTACACATGTTCCACTGGGACTCACCCTGTATATGCCTCTGTAAGACATCCTAGTGGTATAATCATTAATATCTCTTGCACTTGGCTTGCCTGGCCCTGCCCAGGGGAATGGTCGGTAGTGTAGTCAAGTCTCTAAATAAGGGCTGGCTCCAGCAATTCTCCAGTTTTTAAGGCTTCCACAATGCCCATAAAGTAGCATTGTTTCAGGTCATTGTGGAAAACTTACATGTTGGTTCCCTCTGAGACCTGCCATTTAAATTCCTTCCCATGCCCCAGAGTTCTGCCAAACCAAGGGTGCCCTGGGGCACATTAGTGCTGCTGAGCACTTGGAAAAATGAAACTGAGTGGGAGAAAGGGGCAGGCTGCAGGAGTGGCCTCTGCTGCTAAGGTCCTAATCCAGATGGCAGTAACCTCTATCTGACCTACCTGGTACCTTCATAATCTCCACTATGTCAAGCTGAAAGTAAAGCCGTTTTCACAGCTGGCCAGCATCTCAGAATACCTTTCTTGAAAATATGAATGAGGAAGCAATCCCAAGTATGGGAAGCCAGAGTAATTTACATAATTAAGTGAAGCTAGCGTAGGGTATGCCAGATCCAAAGTCCGCTCAGGACTTTGAGCAAGCCTAAGACTGGCAGAAGGGAAATAAGTCTTTAATATAAAGTCTGATTTATGCCACTCTGTCATTCCTTTGGGTTGCCAAGTTGCTTGACTGAGATGAACCAAGTTAGGATCCAGCATATGTGCCCCCTTCCAGGTCCTCCCCCCCCCACCCCAGAACGCCTATTTTTCAGGGCTGCTGTAAGTTCTGCTGGTTTTGGCTTGTCGTCAGCTGAGCTGGGATGAGACAGTTACACCAGCATATCTCTGACTGAGCTGGGGTTGGTGACATGCCATTTTAGCCCAACTGAACTGGGAATCTACCAGCTGAACTGGGGACCTGCCACATCCTAACTCTCTCATTCTGGTGGATCTAGGGTTAGGATTACACCCTTTGCCATTCTTCACTTTTGGTCCAATAACTCATTGCTGTTATTTCTATTGCATGCATTCTCTTGCTGCAGTGCAGTGGTTAAGAGTTATGCATGATATCTTAGTTTTGAGCTGGGTGTTTGTCTTATTATTACTGGTTTCATTAGGGCTTGGATTATACAGTTGTATTATACAGTGTTTTATTATTTTATGATGGAAGCCAGCTTCAGAGTTTTATTTTTAAAGGTGGCTTATCAATATAATAAGTAACTTGTGTCTGTGTTTTCTAGCATTGACCTAACAGATGATTTGACCGCCGGTAAAGTTTCTCCTGCTGTTAAAGAGGCGGGTCTTAGCCCCAAAGAGGATGACAGCACATTTTCTTTAATTACCTGGAATATAGATGGCCTGGATTTAAAAAACCTGCAAGATAGGGCACGAGGAGTTTGCTCCTATCTCGCTTTGTAAGTATCTATCACAGCGGTCCTATGGTACCTTATTAGAGTGTCAGCCTAATTAAAATCATTGGGATTTATTTCAAAGTAAGCAAGATTGGGATGCACTTTTTAAAAAATCAGAATATTTCTACTATGCCATTTTTTTTCTTTTACACTTATCTGAATTGTAGAGCTGCCAAGAATATGTAAGCCAGCCTTGCCCAGTCTTGTGCCTCTAGATTTTTCTTTATGGCTACTCCTTTTGCATACAAACAGTTATATCTCAAGAGACAAATCTCAGGTTCATTACACTTCCTTGTGTTGCTTGTGCATTTGATTCCATAACTATATTTTTGCACAACCCTATGCGTGTTTGCATTGCATTGCAGCCATAATGTTATGAAGCAAGGCCAGTTGTTGCTTTTTACAGTAATTAAATAAGTTAAGAAGAGCACTGTAGGATCATTGTATAGTAAACAGCTTATCTGTTACAGTATGTTGCTTTATGTTCCATTACACATTCCGCTTTCTCATTTAGGTACAGTCCAGATGTGGTATTTCTACAGGAGGTTATTCCTCCAGTTTTATCCTATCTACAGAAGAGAGCCGTCAGTTACACAATTATTCCAGGTAAAATGAAGTTATAGTAATTTCTATACATTTTTAGTGGAGTAGCTGTGTTAGTCTGCTGCAGCAAGAACAATCAGAGTCTTGTGGAACCTTAAAGATCTATTTATTATGGTATAAGCCTTCATGGACCACTTGATTGGAAAAACAGTAAAAACCTCAATGGTTTATTGTCATATTTCAAACAGTGAAAATCCGGACAGCTTTTTTTAGTTTTTCCCAAAGATGTTGAGCTTTTTTGGCAAATTTGGAAAAAAAGAAAGTAGTTTTTGAGCTATTTTTAAGGAAAATCACCTAAACAACACTGCTGACATGGATTATCATATGTCCAGAATTTCCCAGACATTTCCCACGATTTCCCCCTGGACCCTGCTTCTGACTGCACTATTCTGGATATGTCCTGGAAAGTCCAGACATATGGCAACCTTAGATTTACATAACATAAAAATAACATAAACCACAGAGTTGTATATCTGAAAGTTGTTCCATCATTTCCAGGATGTCTGCCTACGCAACAGGATTTCCTCCACACCCCCCCCATGCCCCATCAAATCTGCTCTGAAGGGTTGGGGGAACCCTGAGAATAGATAAGGTGGGCAGGGAGAGGGTGTCCAGTTGCACAGGTGATAATCCATGCACTAAGGATGACTTTGATGGATACAACCCATACTTTAGTAGTCTAAACAAGGCCACTGTCTTTATATGGAATTTCTGAAGGAGACATTGTTGTTGACCTTTCCTTTTTCTGTGTTTCTCTCTTCAGGTAATACTGATGGTTATTTTACGGCCATAATGTTAAAAAAATCAAGAGTCAGAGTTTTAAAAGAAGAAATAACACCTTTCCCTACCACCTCCATGATGAGAAATTTATTGGCAGTACATGTAAGTGAGTTCTTGCATTTATTTATTTTTTGTTCTAAAGGACCTCCATACACACTGCCCAGGCTTGTGCCCAGGAGAGGTCACTTTGGTGCTGCTAACGCAGCAAAAACAACATGGGAGGCAGCAGTTACGAGTTACCGTTCTCTGCAGCCACAGCAGGTGCTGTGATTCTCCAGTGGTTTGACTTCACTCCTGGAAGTGCAGTCCATTGTCTCTTGAGACAGACGGATGCCATCAATTGCATAAATGCACCAGAAGCAAAGTAGCCTAAAGTCAATAAAGAAGTGCTCTCTTCCCTCAGCCCATCATCTTAAAATGTCTCTATTGTGGATTAAAATTTGGCCCCGACAAAGCTATTAACTAAAAGGTTAGTTGATTGATTAAAGCAGTTATAGCCACAGCCCTACCTGTTTGTTATCATGTTAGTCACAACAGTGACCCAGGCTAGGCACAGTACAGAAGAAACCAGAACTGGCAAGATCTATACAAAGGTCCTTGTCATCTAGGAAAAGCTCCACCTTTATGTTGTCCAAATATGGGGGACAACATACGGGAGAATTAACTGTTATTGTAAAGAAAGGTCTTGCTGCACTTAGCCCCGTGCAGAAAATGTAGTTTTATGCATCTTGTTCTTTCACGAGAAATTGCTGTAAAGAGTGGTGAAATCCTACTGCTGTGGCAGACCGTCACATGCAGAAAATGTTGCTTTATGCTTTATCTCTCTCTCTTCATAGGCAACCATATCTGGCAATGACCTCTGCCTTATGACTTCACATCTGGAGAGTACTAAGGGGCATAGTGAAGAACGCTTGAATCAGTTGAAACGGGTGCTTGCCAAAATGACGGAGGCTCCAGAGTCCACTACTGTGATTTTTGGAGGAGATACAAATCTCAGAGACAAAGAGGTGAACTGGAGCAAAACTCCTTAGTTGTGTTGTGTTTATTTGTAACTCCTTTCCTCATCTCCTAAAAATAACAGTTGCTTTCCCCACATATCACTTACGTGGGCTTTCCCCACCTCTGGTGACACAATTCCCCTTTGCCTATATATATTTTTAAACACAGGTTTTATTAAGGATTTTCAAGAACATGCATACAGAAAAGAAGAAAACAAATCATTCAGCAATACTCAGCAGTTGTCTTGCAAAATATTGACAACAAAGTAGACCTGACTAGCAGTAAGGAGCAATGAATTAAAGCATAAAACTACACAGTTCCCTTGTACTAAGTGATTAAACAAAGCCAGGGTAGCTATTTATTTCAGATAACACGTTTCTGAATTAGAACAGTGTTGCTAAGGAGCAGTGATGGTGCTTCACAACAAAATTGGTGGCTCTCCCAGTGAACCATATAAGAAGTGAAAAAATCAATCCATGGCTCATTTTTGAAAGCTGATTATTGGTAGTATATTTATAGTACACTATTAACACTTTCTAATTTTCTCCCCATCAGGTTGCTAAGTTTGGTGGTTTGCCTGACAACATTCTGGATGTTTGGGAATTCTTGGGCAAGCCAGAACATTGCCGCTACACGTGGGATACAAGCCAAAACACTAACTTGGATGCACGTTACAAGTGCAGATTGCGGTTTGATCGCCTCTTCCTCCGAGCTGCTTCTGCTGGCGGACAAATTGTTCCTAAGAGTTTGGATTTAATTGGGCTGGAAAAACTGGACTGCGGCAGATTTCCTAGCGATCACTGGGGTCTGCTTTGCAATTTTGATGTGGTGCTATAAGGGGGGGGGGGGGGACGATTTCCACGCTGTGTATGAAAGACATTGTTATAACCTTTCCTACACCCCGCCACATCCTGCTGTATTTTAAACCAATTCTGGAATTGGTTCAAATTTATACGCTTCAGTGGTAATACACTAATCCATGCGTTACTGGAATCCTTGCCCAGTGAAAGGGCGGGGAGAAGACTTTTAAATGTATACTCTTAAATTCATTCCAGATTATAGGTACTCCAGGATATATTTCCCTTCCAAGTTTCAATTCCAGTGCAAAATAGATAAATGAAAATGCTAGCCATATAATACTGTTTCAGTCTTCAGTTGAATAAAGAATAATTCAACACACCTTTCCATAATCTTATATTGAACTCAATAAAGGTAGGCTTGAAGGATTTTTTAATTTAAACCACTGTTTTCAGGTAGCCAATTTGGAAAAATAGCCAATTGTTTTAAGGGGGGGAAGCGGGGAGCAACTAACTTTATCTATGGGCTGGTAATCCTAAAACAATTGTTACATTGCTGAAGTGTCATATCATTTCCTGTCTGTGAAGAAGGGGGGTGTTTTTTCAGGATGAGCAAGGCTTGAGTTAGAGATCGGCATTATGGGTACTCGATGATTCCCATGCACCAGTTGGAGTGCCCAAACCTTGGAGCCTTCTGATGCTGATTCCTGTCAACCTTTCCAAATTAGCAGGCAATGAGAGGAGGTATCTCCCCTACATATCTCATCCTCTCCCTTTGGGAGGCAGTATGGCTTAGGCCCAAAGAGAGAGACCACTGAATCAGCAGTGCTGAAGAGAACAAGGTGGAGTCCAATGGAAACATACTGGCAAAAAAGCTAGGACTGGCACTGATGGTAATGACTCTTAAAAGTCAGCAGTCCTAAAATAGATCCGATCATGTAATCAAATCAGGTAACAAAGGAATTGCCTCCTTACCAACGTATTTTCTCCTGGAGCCCACAAAACACAAGGTAGTGATCATCCGTTGTTTTGAAGCCCCAACGGCAAGGTATGATTGCCCATGGGTAGGTAATTTGCAGTATTCCCTCTACGCGCTTGCAGTTTCCCTAAGTCACTGTGTGCTTGCAGGGAATTCTGAATTCCTCCCACTTCTGCATGTCGAAAATAGTCCTGCTACTGGATCTGTAGGCAGGATGTGATGACTGCAGAGTTGCTTATCTCAGCATGAGAAAGAGATGAGTCTCTCCGCAGGGCTGTCATGCAGAAGACTATTGTCTGTTTGTCCAGGAGGCAGAAGCAGGACCTGGTAAGGAAGCAGATTTCATAGGAACATTGGAAGCTTGTTGTTGTTTAGTTGTTTAGTCGTGTCCGACTCTTCGTGACCCCATGGACTAGAGCACGCTAGGCACTCCTGTCTTCCACTGCCTCCCGCAGTTTAGTCAAACTCATGCTGGTAGCTTTGAGAACACTATCCAACCATCTCGTCCTCTGTCGTCCCCTTCTCCTTGTGCCCTTCATCTTTCCCAACATCAGGGTCTTTTCCAGGGAGTCTTCTCTTCTCATGAGGTGGCCAAAGTATTGGAGCCTCAGCTTCACGATCTGTTCTTCCAGTGAGCACTCAGGGCACTCATTTCCTTAAGAATGGATAGGTTTGATCTTCTTGCAGTCCATGGGACTCTCAAGAGTCTCCTCCAGCACCATAGTTCAAAAGCATCAATTCTTCGGCGATCAGCCTTCTTTATGGTCCAGCTCTCAATTCCATACATCACTACTGGGAAGCTACCTTATACTAAATCAGACCATTGTTCAGTCTACACCAGATATTATCTACACCAGAACCTTTGGGCCTTTGGATATTGCTGAACTACAACTCACATAATTCCTGGCCATTAGCCTTGCTTGCTGGAGCTGATGGGAGCTGTAAGTTCCGACTGGCAGTGTTTCTCCAAGGTGTTTCGGATTTGCATGCAAAGCAAATGCTCTGCTACTGAGCTAGGAGAAACTTCTTAATTATGGGAGCTGTTTGATAGTGGAGCTGGCCATCTCAGGAGGTTGTGGTGGAGTCTCCTTTGATGGGGGTATTTAAACAGAGGCTGGCCAGCCCTCCATTGAGGATTATATAGTTGCAGATTCCTGCACTTAGCAAAGCACTGAACCTCCAAAGTTCCAACACACCATTCTAGGATTCTATTTATCTGACAGCTAAGCCAGTGGTGTGAACTGCCCAGAGGACTTTGGGCATCAACTATTGTTCTAAATAAATACAGTGTTTATTTTTACTTTTAGCTGTGAGTTCACTGCAGCCAAGGTTGCTTCCACAATATCTCTGTTCTTTACAGATGGCATAATTCAGGCATAGGCAAACTCGGCCCTCCAGATGTTCTGGGACTACAACTCTCATCATCCCTAGCTAACAGGACCAGTGGTCAGGGATGATGGGAATTGTAGTCCCAAAACATCTGGAGGGCCGAGTTTGCCTATGCCTGGCATAATGCATTCACTTGGTTATTATATTCAGGCAGTGTCGCTGCCAAGATGTTGCATTTCATGTACACATTTGCAGCTTAAAACGCAGTGAGGTTGTTCCCACTCTCCACTCTGCTTCAAGTGGCATTTGAGCACTGATGTAGCTGCCGGGTATGTCTTCACCTGATGTGCGCTACCTGTTTGGTTTCCCCACGCCTGCAGTCCTTCCCAAACTATTCCTGAAGCTGTCATCTGTGCAAGCGTGAAGGCTGTCTCAAATGATAATGGTAATGATAAACATCATCATCATCATCATCATCTAGCCTGCTGGATCAGGCCAATGGCCCATCTAGTCAAGCATCCTGTTCTCACAGTGGCCACCCAGTGGATTGTGTGAAACCAATAGGCAGGACCCAAGCACATGAGCACTCTCTCCTTTAGTATTCAGAGAATTACTGACTCTGACCATGAAGGCAGAGCACAGCCATGGTGGCAAGTAGTCATTGAATTTGCTCCATGAATTTCTTCTGTCCTCTTTCAAAGCCACCCAAGATGGTAGCCGTTGCTGCCCCTCCCCCCGGGAGTGACTTCCATAGTTCAGGCGCTGTCCAACACACTTCAGCTTAATCGTTGCTTATATAAAATTGGACATAAGCTTGCTTGAGGGAAAATGCACAGAACAGGAACATTTCCCAATAAACTACAGGATAGATAGGACTTGTGGCTAACATCAAACACCAGCAGTGGGAGTGCTCTGCTCCAGTGCTTCCTGCTTGACCTTGCATGGTTTGTGGTGATTTTCCTGACTTAAAACGAAATTTCAAAGTTGTGTCAGACTTTTCAGTGTTTTCTCTAAAGTATGCTTTTTAAAAAGCAACACCTTGCTCTTCTGCAGCTGGCCCGATGTCAAGAAATTAAACAACTACATGACTTTTAGAAAACTTCTGAAGGCAGCCGCAGCCCTTTTTAGGGAAGTTTTTAATGTTTGATGTTTTATCGTGTTTTTAATATTCTATGGGGAGCCGCCCAGAGTGACTGGGGAAACCCACCCAGATGAGCGGGGTATAAATAATAAATTATTATTATTATTTTAGCCTCTTCTAAGGATGCATGAGGCGAGTTGGGTGGAGCTCAAGCATCGCCCCCTGGTGGCGGGGTTGCGATCCAGCTCCAGACCATGGATGGCGGATGCGCTTTAGTGGCTGGGAAGGAGGAAGGGAGACCGACCGTTCCCTGTGTCTGTTTTTTTGTTTTGCTTTGGACAAGAGCATGAAAAAGACTTGCAGGCATCGATCGCCTATGCTTTGCTAGCTTGGCCTAATAGTACGCACACCCACTTCCAATTTTTATTGCCCTTGATTACAAAATAATAATGATAGTAATAATAATAATAATTAATAAATCCTCCAACAGCTCCTGCTCCGTCCTGTAAATCTTTGGGAAGACAACGAGGAGGAGCAGATGGGGCACTGAAGGATGCAGCCGTACCCTGCCGAAGCATCAGCTGCTGTCCCTGGCGCCGCCCGATCTCTCTCTCTTTCCTAGCCCCACCCCCTCCTCGCCTCGTCTCTAACCGCCAGGTAAGAAAATCTGAGCTCCCCGCCCGCTTCCATCGTAGGTCGGTGCTGGCGACTTTGTGTCGCATGCAAAGGGAAGCCCTCGCAAGCCGTTTCTGCTTTCAGTAAGTGGGGTGTGGTGGAAAAGGGGTGCGGGGTAGGTCCAGCAATCGCTGGAAGATGCATTTGCTTCAATTTCTCGATTTTGCTCTGGCCCTGGGTTTTTGTCTTGAACACAGCCAGCCTCTGCTCCCAGCAAGGTGAGATCTGCGTAAGGATTTTGCAAACGCAAAGGGGAAAGTCAAATATGTTTCATCTCTCTCTCTTTCCTCCCCCCCCCCCCCGCTTCCCCCGCTGCAACAAAAACAAAAAACCGTGGTGGTCTCCAGGGGAAATGCATTTCTTCCTTTTAGTGCCTAGCAATTTTGCAAAGAGTCTTTCTCTGCAGCTTCCTCGCCGTGACAGAGCGCTTGTGCATCCGTCACTGGGGAAAAAACCCTGAAGGTAGATATTGTCTGCCTTTTGCATTCATCTTGCAACAAGGAGTCAGATGCATGTCTGCCGGGCTATGTTTTCACATTGCTGTGTGTGGGAACCTCTCCCCCGCCTGCTGCTGAGCAACTAGACGAAGTTGATGGAAAGAGCAGCAATGGCTGGTTGCATCAAGTGATGGGGGACATCTCATAAAAATATCTTCTGCAAGGTGTAAAAGTGGCTTCTATAAAACAATCACTTGCATGTTCCAAGTTACTTACAACCTTTTGGCTAAGAGAAACCAGAGGCAAATGATTTTTGTTTGTTTGTATGGGATGCACTCATCCAATTTTGCACCAGATAAGCCAAATGCTTCAAAATGTTTGTGAGAAGCACAGATCAGGGTGATAAGAATTCAGTACTGGCAATATCCCATTTAAAGATGAAACGGAATAGGATTGGGAGACAAATATAGCGAAACATAATGTGCATGTTTACTTGGGACAGCTGCATGCGCCGGTGACACTTAATGGACTGCTAAGACTACATGGTTCCCACAAGCAATACTTAAATTTTTTATTTTGTTTTGTATTGCTCATGTTTGAAATTGGAATGGCAAAAATAGATGCGCCTGGTGAAAATGTGTTTTCAATTTAAAATGGATCTTTTCCGGTGTCCATAACACACCCCAGTGGCGTAGCGTGGGGGGTGCAGGGGGGGCCAGCCGCACCGGGCGCAACATCTGGGGGTTAGGGTTAGGGGGCGCAAATCCACGGGTTAGGGGGCGCAAATTACTTGCCTTGCCCCGGGTGCTGACAACCCACGCTACGCCACTGACACACCCAACAGCTCTTGCAAGTGTTGCCCCCCAGAGACTACAAAGCACTGTTTTGCCTGAAGCAGGAGTTCCTATCCCTGCCGTCTGTACATATAGGTGGCCATGTTTATAAAGCAGGGAACGTCTTTCTGTTAGCCTCCCAATGCCCCCTAAGCACCGGCAGGAAGCATGGAACGCCTTGCAGTTCCTTCTTCACTTAAAAATTAAGAAGGTAATAACATCTGGTAGCAGATGTCCTTCCAATATCACTAGGTCCATCTAGGCTCAATAGCCAGCCTACAAATTTGGCAGGAGCATACCATAAAAGTAGGGGGGCAGTTTATTCTTATGTACACATTAATGTTTTACTTGTATTAATGAAGGCTATATTAATAATGATAATGATCATAATTGCTGGTACCTGCGCAGGCCCTGCAACAGTGTCAGGCCAGGCTGGAGGTGAACTATTTCTAGGTGTGCCAGAACGCAAAAGGAAGACGTCCTGCTGACCTGACCTTCATTCTTCACCTCATTGTTCTTCACCGCCTTCCTTGGCAGTCTGTTTCACTATTGAACAGCAAATGTTCTTCCTGACGTGGTTTCCAGGCTCCTTCTCATCCAGGCAGTGACTAGGCCCAAACCTGCTTAGCTTCAGCAAAGATTGTTGCATCAATGTGCCTTCAAACCACACCCTTGGTCTAGATTTTGTTGTGGTCCAGCATTGCTTAGGGTGAAATAAGCATAAATCTCCTTTAGATCAATGGAATTAAGGGGTAATTAAGCTTTCCCTGAATACAGAGATCTTTAAACCCCAGGAGTAGCTTTATAAGCTCTGGCTATTTCATATCGACAACTGTTAAGTGCTTTTCTCAAGAAGACACATGCGTAGCATGGTCATTAAGAGAGAATTATCTTTGTGGCTTGGCAATTTCAAGTTGCTTTCACACACACACCCCTTAAGAAACATACATGGACTTTTATCAGGAAATAAGCAACCAGCGTAGATTTTCACTGTAATGTAGCTTTTGTAAATATAGAAAAGACTGGTTCCTGTTGTCCTCAGAAATAATGAGTTAAGATGGGATTTTACTGTTTCTCCACACTTGGAACTTCTTGCTAAGTGTGTATCAGAATTGGAGTCAACTCCTCCGAAATGGGGCATAACATAAACATTCAAATAAATAAAAGTGCTACCAATGGATTTTGGCAATTTTTGTGTCTTGGGGCTCCTATTAATGGTGTCTGACCTTTGATCAGCTGTCTGTTACTACACAGATTAAGATACCCTTGGAAAGGCATTTAAAACTGGATGGCTTCAGAAGTGTAGGTTATTTCAAACCAGGTCTATTTCTACTGGCCTTGTGTGTCACAATATAGCATAAATTTCCTTTTAATAATGGCATTTTAATATCTTGCCGGAGCAATTACACTGCTCATTGGCTCCTAGCATGATTGGTTCTTGAAACTGCATAACCTTTCAAAACCTCTCGTCTTTAGAGCTCCCTTGCTATTCAAGGCGACTTCAGCAATTGTTAACGCAGGCATTTGACTAGGCAGCTGTCATATCTGCTTAATTATTCAGTCTCAAAATGACCTTTTAAATGAAGCATCTCCCCACCCCCAGTTATTTAGCAACTGAGAATTTGGTGCATATCTTATCAGCATTTAGCTGAGTGGCTTGATGGCTGTTATTACCCCCTCCCCAAAATAAAAGCTATCAGGATTATTTGCTAGCTGTGCTTTCCGTCGTCATGCTTGCACATCACGATAAGCCAGAGTAGCTGGCTTTATCATGATTTATTCTGAAAGAGCAGCAAGCTTCTTCAAAAGAAACAAACCAAGTTGGCTTCCCATGGTTCTGAACCTGAAATGATGGGGTTTCTCTTTAACCAACCAGCATTGTCAGCCAGCCTAAATCATGGTAGGGAGTTGTTGTTGTTGCTGTTGTTGCTGTTAGTCTTACAAATCTTGGCTTGATAGGAACAGTGGTGGCTGGTAGGACAGAAGGAAGGGAGCCCAGCAGTAGGTGGCGCCAGAGCAAATGACAGTTGCAGCCAGCTAATATTCAGCTTCTACACAACCTCCTCCCTGCTGCGTTCTGCAAGGGCAATGGTGTCACTAAGGAGGAGGAGGAAGATGGCAGACAGTTCTACTCCTGAACTAATATAAAGAAACTAGGGAAGTGGGGTGTGTGTGGTGTGTTTGGCTCAGAACAGAATGAGGTTGGTGTGGCAGTGCTCCATTTGCCCAAATTGTCCATCTTCCCCTGGGTAGGGAACAACTAAGTAAGATCCCAGATTTGGATGCTGCATCAAGCCAAGTTAATTGTGGCTCCCTGGTTTCTTTCTCTCATTCCCAACAGGGGAGGAAGAGAGTATGAGTTGTCAGTTTCACAGTAAACCATGGCTAGGCAGCGATTTTTCCTAGCCTTTTCTGTTTTTTTGTCACTGCAATGAGGTAATGTTTGCACACTATTATTTGCTTGCTAATTAATGTTCATCACAACATGTGTCCCTCCCCTTTGCTCCCCTGCAGGCTCCCAGCTGGATATTGGACAGAACTGGCAGAAACGAAGGGGTTTTTTTAATGCAAAGTCTTTAAATTGCTCCCTGAAACTGAGGTTGATCTTGCCTGTTGAAGGAAGAATGGCTCTTGCGCTAGAACTAGGAGCCCTGTGCTTACTCTTGGGAATTCTAACAGGTAAGGCAAGACTCTTCGTACTCATGCTGTATAAATATAATAAACCATTATTTTGCTTTTGAGGCCAGGAGAGAGAATAAAGGTCTGCACACAACCCAGGTTCTCCACTGTGCACAGAACCTCAAAATAATTTCTGACTTGCAAAGACTCCCAAATGGCTTATGAAGATTGTGATAGAAGTAATAGAAGTATCTTAGCACCAGCTGGAGAGTCTAAATGGATGTGCACCGTACAGTATAGACATGTCACAGTTGCTTGAGCAGTTCAGTCCATACCTCACAGTAAACCATGGTCTGAACCAAGGGTCATTGCTTGTTTTGCTCCCAACAAACATTTGGTAAGCCAAGAAAACCGCTTGGAGGTTTTTTGTACAATCAAGCATTATTTAAATTTTATGAAATGAATAAATTAATAAGAACAAATATTTGCTTCACTTCATTGCTCGTTTGTGGCCAAACAACCCATGACTTCTTGGTTCAGACACAGCATTAAGTCAAAAGTTGTGGTTTTCTGCTCTCTCTCACTTGTGCAGAGGAGTGAAGCATTCACAGGAAACCATTAACTTTGGTTTACCATGATGTGTGCATGCTATCATTGTAAACACTAAGCGGCCTGAATTTCTATTTCTTTTAAACCCTTTACAGACCATTTGTGCAGATTGCTTTTGAGGTTTTCCCTTTTTCAGAGCTTTATTTTTATTTGACTCGTTTTTTTCCTTGCTCTCGTTTTGCCTCCCCTCAACTGCTCAATCTCCATCTAGAAACAGGGCTCTACTCTTCCTGAAGCAAATGATTTCCCCCTCCCCTCCAAAGGCTTCCCGTGTTTCAGAGAAGAGATGGCGGCTGGGCACATCAGTAACATGAAAGTAACCCAGAGATATAATTAAATCCTATTTATTATGTACAGGAGCTTAAAACCACATATAGCTTAACACTGGAGCCTTGGATGAATTTCTGACTTTTGCTTGGTGAAAGATTTTCAGAAGCCCTGCCAAATGTTGCCAGAGTTAGTTAAGCCTTTTTCAGTATGTGGTTAAAAAAATTCTTCCCTCGCCCACACCAGAGGTATAAATCTGTGAGTGATGATCGTGGCTAGTTCAAACTGATCTACAATTGTATGATTTTATGAGTAAGTGGTTTAGGGTTAAAAGTTTGTTTGTTCATACATTGGGAGTATGGGGTGTTAGGGGAGGGGTAGCACCTCTTATGATGGATGCGGGTAGCGCTGTGGTCTAAACCACAGAGCCTAGGGCTTGCTGATCAGAAGATCGGCGGTTCAAATCCCTGCAATGGGGTGAGCTCTCATTGTTTGGTCCCAGCTCCTGCCCACCTAGCAGTTCAAAAGCACATCAAAATACAAGTAGATAAATAGGTACCACTCTGGTGGGAAGGTAAACGGCGTTTCCGTGCGCTGCTCTGGTTCGCCAGAAGCAGCTTAGTCATACTGGCCACATGACCCGGAAGCTGTCTGTGGACAAACGCCGGCTCCCTTGGCCTGTAGAGCGAGATGAGCGCACAACCCCAGAGACGTCCACGACTGGACCTAACGGTCAGGAGTACCTTTACCTTTACCTTTTAGCACCTCTTATGGGGTACCACTTCAGCAGGGCTTGTCGCCTGGGCAGCCCAGGGCCTCTACACACACTGCCTAGGCTCCCCCCCCCCCCAGGGAGATCACTTTGGTGCTGTTAACTTCACCTCCGGAGGTGCACTGAAATCTTCAGTATGTTGCTGACGTTTTCCTTTGTGATTGTGGGCCTGTGAACCATCCCAACACCTCTCATACTCTGGGAGCTGCTAACTAGACTTGCAATGTTGATGTCGTGAATGCTCAGTTAAAGTGTTCCTTAGTTTTCTGCCTCCATTCAGTAATCCACTTATTTTATTTTAAATTTATGTATCTTATTCCTAATACTCTGTCATCTACGTCAGTGATCATCAGCAATTTTCCACCATCAGTTAGTCCTCGACCATTCCCTGGGCTCCATGAAAATTGTTTCTTACACTTGTGTTAGAAAGGCTGTCATTTCGCATTTATATAGTTGCTGCAACTTTACGGACCGAATAATGTAGCTTGACAATGCAATTCTATACGCACCTAGTCAGAAGTAAACCCTGCTGAGTTTATTGGGGCTTGCACCATAAAGTGTACATAGAATTTCAGCCTTGACCACTGAAGTAAAGGCACAGGAAGGTATAGATTTAAAATTTCAGCCAAGTTACAGAACGCTGTCATTACACTGTCATTTTTCTGACGCCTTCGCTTTAGCTGCAGTCCTATTACATGCTTACCTCTGAGTAAGCCTCACTGAATTCAGTAGGGTTCACTTTTTGAGTAGACATAGTTTGCCCTGTTACTTTTGTTTGTCATGTGTCTTCTATACAGTTTCCCCTGTTTTTTTTAAAATGGTTTTTATTTTTTCTAGTGTAGGACATGCTGAGGCCATTTGGTGATAAGGCAAGATATAAATACCTTAGATAAATAATACCGAACAGATTGTCCATGCTTTCCATACCGTCTGTAAAGCTGAAGCCAATTTGACTCACATTGTTGTTAAGGGAATAAACTGGTGCCTGTGTCCTGTTTCTGACATCTTGCTTTCATCCAGTTGTCTCTACCCACAAGGCCTAGAAAACTGCCATTTAAAGGTAATTACAGCTGAGACCTAGATAGATGCATTTAAGTTCATAGTAACAGAGCCAAGCCCAATGCGTATTTTGGATAGAGAGGCCACTTGTATGTGGCTCAAAAAGATTCGGTGGAAGACACTTTTAAATAGATATCTGTTCACTTGCTGCATACATATTGAAAAGGGCGAAGGCTGTGTCAAATGTTCTGCTGACTCACTGACAATGAAATTAAAGTGACTGTGTAAAAATCATGGCATTTGCCATTATGTTTTTATTTTAAGACTGGGATATTAGAGATGCCCCTCTTGCTTGGCTACCCACTATTGGAGGCAGGATGATGGGCTTGATGGATCTTTAGTCTGATTTGACAGGTCTCTTGTTACATTCACTATTAAGAAACTAATGGGATGAACTTAGCTAGGTGGAGATTTTTTAAAAAAAAAATAATAAAAAATAATAATATAATACAGTGGTGCCCCGCAAGACGAATGCCTCGCAAGACAAAATACTCGCTAGACGAAAGGGTTTTCCGTTTTTTGAGCTGCTTCGCAAGACGAATTTCTCTATGGGCTTGCTCGCAAGACGAAAAACGAAAACGTCTTGCAAGTTTGTTTCCTTTTTCTTAACACCGTTAATACAGTTGCCACTTGACTTCGAGGAGCAACTCATAGAACGCGGTGTGGTAGCCTTTTTTGAGGTTTTTGAAGACTTTGGTGATTTTTGAAGCTTTTCCAAAAATTCTTTTAAACTTTTAAAACTTTTTTGGGGGGGGTTTGGATTTTGGGTTGGGGTGTTTGGAATTCAAGGACTTGGTGTTGGGGAGGGGTTTGCAAGAATCTGGAAGTTTGTGTGTGTGTTTTCTGCATTTTTATGATTTTCTGTGACCATTGGGCCACTCTGCTGTTTTTTTAAAAAAATTCTGGATTTGAATTTCTGTGTGGTGGGTGGCTGGGGGAACAGTTGAGGAGGGGTTTGCAAGAATCTGGACACTTGTGTGGTTTTTTTCTGCATTTTTATGATTTTCTGTGACCATTGGGCCACTCTGCTGTTTTTTAAAAAAAATTCTGGATTTGAATTTCTGTGTGGTGGGTGGCTGGGGGAACAGTTGAGGAGGGGGTTCTTCAGCAAGAAGCAAAGAGTGGAAGAGGAACCTTCTTCGAGTTGTCCCCCAGAGTCTTAGAAAATGTACTGTACACTTTGTTGATTTTTAAATGTTTTTCTGTCATGTTTAGAAACTTAATTTATTGTTCCTTCAATTTTTGAAATGCTCTTTACAGTATGTGTGACTTTAAAGAGCACTTAATAAACTCTTGTTGTACCAAATTTGGCTTTGTTTGGACTCTTTTTGACCATAGGAACGCATTAATTGAATTTCAATGCATTCCTATGGGATTTCGTGCTTCGCAAGATGAAAAATTCGCTAGACGAAAAAATTCGCGGAACGAATTAATTTCGTCTTGCGAGGCACCACTGTATAATATAATATAATATAAATAGGATAAGTGCATTTGACAGCATGAGTTTTGGCTTCTAAATTACCAGCAAACATATAAGTCGTATATGGATTACACCACCACTTCTGCAAGCCAGTTTACACCATGTTGTTCATACAGTTAAACTTACGCTGTCCCTCCCAAGAATACAGCAGAGTCAGAGATGATATGCTGAAGTGGCTTGTGCAGTGCTCAGCTCCCGGCTTCCTTATAGTCCTTATTCATACAGTTTTGCACCTTTATCCTTTGCATTATCCATCCACTAACTTCAGACTTCCACTGTTTTCGGTTTGAACTACTGTCCCATCTGCATGCATGCATGAGCAGCATGGGCGTAGCCAGGATTTTTATTGGCGGGGGCAGGACTTTTGTTAAGGGGGCCAGAACCGATGTGATTGGTCAGTTAGTTAAGTATTTCTATTGTTTTACTTGATCTAAGGGGGGCAGCTGCCCCTCACTGACCCCCTTGGCTACGCCCATGATGAACAGAGTGAAATCCACCTCCTTGCTTGTGACAGGGGTGGGTTTATGTGTGTGAGTATGAAAACAACCACATCTGCAAGCCATACCTGCAAGGCCAACTGTGAGAGTTTATCCCCTCATAATCCTCACCTGGCTGGGAACGTTAGCAGTGATTGGCTGGAAAGGACCTTCCAATGGGCCCCATCTGTGTGGTTTTTCATTGAGTTCCTTCATGCCCATGTGGCGTGGGATTGCAACATAAAATGCTGTAGGTGCATTTTGGCAAGGCTTGAGATGCCTTATGCGACTTGATTCTGAGGAAGAGCTCAGCAGCAAAAATAACAACTGACAAAGTATAATTGGGGGGAACAGACTGGGGGGGAGGGGGATCAAGGTCTTAAAACACCATCGCCACATCATTTACTGTTAATTAGTCATTTGTGTACTGTCTGAATTGGTTCTTCAGCAGGATCCCAGAAATACAGTAGTTTGCTGAAAGCAGAGAATGGCTCTTTCCCTTGTAGAAGTGCCTAACCCTGATTCTCTGCAAACCAGATGCTCTCTTTTTCAGTGACTCAGCAGGCTGCATTGCCTAGTAAGCTTCTTTGTGTGCTACCCCTATTTCAGTGGCAGCTTAAAAAAAAAAGACCTTTCATTGTACCTCTCTCCAAAATAAGCGAGATGGATGCAGTGATATGTCACTTCAAAAAATAGGGGGAGCAGGCTCTAGTTGGAAAACCATCTTTTGCTCTCTGCTGGACAAGAGCTGTGATTTATTTCCCCCCCTTTTCTTAGGCTAGTTTGGAAGGAAGGTGCAGTCAAAGAAGGGATCTGATTCTTGTTACTTTTAATTGAGTTTTTAATTCTTTGAGTGACGATTCAAGTGATTCCTTGTTGATAAAGTGACTACTCTCTAGGCTACATTAAATCAATATAAATTAATGAAGCTTTTTATTTTTATGAGAATGCATTGTAAGGGGAAGGACTTTTCAGTGCTCCTGCTCTCTTGTGATATGAGTACCTATCATTTCAGGGTGTTTCTGCGAACAGTGCAGAGAAGGCGCCAAGTATTCGGATGCAATAATATCTCCTAATTTAGAAACGATGAAGATTATGCGGGTCCCCCATGCTGTGTCGGTGTTAGACTGCACGGCAGCCTGTTGCGATCTTTCCGACTGCGACTTGTCCTGGATGTTTGAACGGCACTGCTACATCGTCAGTTGCCAACGTAAAGGGAACTGCGAGCCCAAGAAGATGGAGAAGGTGAAGTCCTCTTTGACTTTTGTGCTAAGGCCTCCCCAGAGGCCCTCTGCACCGCTGGGATACGGGCAGGTCCTCCGCCCAATGGCGCTGCAGGGAGACCCATCAGACGAAGTCAGCAGCCTGAAGGAGCTGTCCTTCCTCAGTCGGGAGGAGAGCCCAGACTACCCGGATGAATATGGAGATACGGAGCAGAACCCCTTTCGGCTGAGCCTCAAACCTGAAGAGAAGGAGGATGTGAACTATGCTGACTGGAGTTTGTTGGTGGCAACTGAGAATGGCTTCAATTCTTCAGGGCTCAGTGATGGAGACAAACATGTTGACCTGGTCAGAAGTGAAGAGGAGAGAGGTCCTTTGGAGACTCCTACAGGTGCAAATGAATCCAAGGGAAATCATATCACTGAACGTCCTGGAGAGTTGCCAGAGATCATGTTGGGCATGATGGAGAAATCTGCAAATGAATTAGGTTTTCAGCCGCCTGATGAAACCAACAGCACCTGGCAGGAAGAGGTATGTTACCAGTATTTCATTTTTTGAAATAGCATTGGAGTAACATAGAAATCTGCAAATAAAATAGTTTGGTTTTCCACCAAACTAGATTTTTTCCCCCTGAATTCTTTGGTGGGAACCCATGCCTGTTAAGATGGAATAAAATTGATAAAAGGCTTGCGGTGCTGGTGGAATTTTGGCCTAATTTTTGTTTGAGGCAGTTAAATTCTTGCTCATGTAACCGGGAGTTGATTTTAAGAAACGGCCCTTAGTTAATGCGGAAAATTAGCAGTAGTCTTTGTTGTTTGTGAAAGCTGAAAAGCCTAGATTAGTGCTGATTAATCCTAGATTAGTTTAGGAAAGCCTAGATTAATTTAAATACACTTCCTTTCCCCCCCCACTTGCGTTGCATATCTTTTGGGCAACTCAGACAAATAAGATTTCATTGTGCTAGTTGTACAGAAGGACAGGAAATTTCTGTCGCCTGGATTTAATAAGCATTTTGCTCTGTGTGCTATCATATCTCACTTTACTGTTGGTCTCCTATATAGCTATGAGGGTGCCAGGTGATGTACTGCTTTCACTCCTTGTAGAGGGAATTATTTTGCAGAATTTGCATGGGTGTGTGTTTCTTTATCTCCAGCGGTCCCACCCTGGTTTTTTGTTCAGTTTTCATAGCAGAGCTAGATAAATCCCAGTCATCTACTTGCCCAGGTACTTAAATATTTGATGCTGGGACTTGGGAATGTACAATGTTTCTCATCCCATATGTCACTGGTAAATGCAATTGATTCTAGCTGTAACATAATTTTGCACTTTTTCTTCCAATACAGTGTTTACGATGTGTGTCATAATGTGAGAGGGGAAATATACACAATAATTATATATTCCTGCAATTCATCTTGTAGGTTCTAACAACTTCCCATAATCCTTCCTCATCAGACACCCTGGGGTTTCTCTCCACCACTGCAACACAAACTCAGACATCAGACCTGCGAAATTTTATGCAGGATGATGCCACATCCCTTCCCACTGGCGCTGTTTTCACCCAAGCTACTGCCACAGATCAAGTATTGTTGCCCACTTCTGCCACCAAAGATGGTAATGTAAATTCTTTTGAGAATAAGGCTGCAATCCTAACTGTGCTTATCTGGGAGTAAACCCCACTGAATTCAATAGGAGTTACCGTACTTTTCTGTGTTGTAACACGCCCCAATGTATAAGAAGCCCCTTCTTTTTTGGGACTCCAAATTGAGAAAATGGGGGGAAATTGCCCAAACTTGTTGTTGAGCTTTTTTTTTGGGGGGGTGCCAAAAATCGCTCACCCATGGGACCAACACAGCCGATCACACGGACATCAACGAAGCGACCAATCGTCTGATTGCTCACCGAAAGCAAACGCCAATCGCCCACCCAATTGCCGCAGCAGCCAATATCCTGCGGAACTTGACGCAACAATCAGTCACCCGCCAAAACACCACTGACAGTCTCCGGCTCATAGCAGCCACCAATCGCCCGTCCAACCTCATCATTATCCATGTATTAATAATAATATTTTTTTTTATTTATATCCCGCCCTCCCCAGCCGAAGCCGGGCTCAGGGCGGCTAACAACAATAAAATAGTGCAACATTCTAAAAACATTTCATTATAAAAATTAATTAAAATCAAATTGATGGCAACCATAAGCTTAAGTTCTGTAAAGATTGCCAAAGGAGGGAGTGGGGAGACAACCCCACTTTTTGTGCTTAATTTTTCAAGAAAAAACATAGTCTTATACACAGAAAAATACGGTATTTCAGAGTGGATGTATCTAGGACTGCACTGAAATTAGAAGTGCTAACTTCTCAAACTGTTGCTTGAATCAGGCTTGTAAAAAACTACTTAGCTGCTTGCATGTGGTGAGGAAGAGAAGAATCTTTTAAAGCAGGAAGAAATCCTTGTGCTGAATAAATTATCTGCTTAATGCTTCATCAAATAAAATGCATTATTATTATTCTTATTATTTTATTATTAAGTTTAAGCTTCAGAGGGAAGATTCATCAAGTCTTGATGAGAAAACAACTGTCCCAAACCAATGTTATTAATATACTTAGAATCATAGAACTGTAGAGTTGCAATTGCATGCTTTACCAACTGAGCTATCCCAGCTGTTTCAGCAATAGAAAATTCTTGCTATGCTTTCCTCAATACATTGTTTTAAAATAACTTTTTAAAAAAATTATACGCAGTAAAGGAACTCCTGGTGTCGGCTGGAGATAATCTACAAGTAACTTTACCAGAAAACGACGTTGAATTGCATGCATCTGTAGTCACACCATTCCTTTCAGGTGAGTTCTTAATGCAAGTGGGATGGAGGAGAAAAGCACCAAGTTGCTCGTCTTATGCTAGAAACCATGTAGAGACTATCGACAAAAATCTGAATAAACTATGGTTTGCCCAAACCAGTTTCCTTCCACATTCATTTGAAATGGAAAACTATAGTTTGCTGCAAAGTGAAACCCCTTATTTCTTCCTCTTGCAAATGAAGGGGTGGTACTGCGTGTGAATTCAAGCATGGTTCACTTGCTTTGTTTAAGCTGGGCCAATTATTCTCTCGTAAGATTCTAAATTATTCAGATATTAAATGTGCAAAGTCAGTAAATGTATGCAAAACTGGGAAATCTGCATGAACGTTGTTGGCTGACACAGCTAATGTTGAGTATCAACTTTGTGTTTGGCACCAACTTTTAACTGCGAAAAAGGTAAATAAGGTTTAATAGCTTTATGTAAGCTCAGGGAGAACAAATGAGGGAAGTAAGGATAGAAGTTTTTTCAGAGACAAAGTCATTTTAAACTGATGGGAAAAGTTAGATTATTGCACAGTATGAAAGTCAGAAATTCTACCAGTAATTCACACATATTAGCTGGCTTATGAGGTGTGGCCATTCATACTGATTATGTATAAAAACTTCGCTTGTTGATCAGTTTGGCTAGTTCAATTTTTAGGAAATAGGGACAGTTGCCAGTGATCATGCATGCACCACAATTCTTCCATAACTGGTCCCAGTTCAGATACTAATGCAATCTTCACATGATATAGGATTGCCATTTCATGTCTTCATTTCACTGTACCCCATGCTGATGTTCATTTGTGCGGAGGACTTTCTCATGCAGTTTCTACCCTTCCAAGTAGAAGGGAAAATAAATTGTGTGAGCAGACCATCACTGTAAAATGTTCCGCTTATACCTTAAGTGGTGGAAGGCAGTGGGGCCTTACGTTTCTCTGCCCCGTGAAAGCTTGGCGAACATCAGAGCCAGGATCAGGTCTCTCTTCCAAAGAAGAACCATAACCAGTTGCTGTGCTGCTTCCTCCTTTTCAGAATCGGCCTATAGTTATGAGTGGAGCTTGATGAGTCACCCTGATGGTTACAATGGTGAAATGGAGGGCAAGCACACGCCAACGCTGAAACTTTCTCAAGTAAGTGAGCTGCTCCTTAGGGAGATTTGACTCGTGTTTACCGCAGGGTGTGGCAAAATGCACACTCAGCTACGGTGGGTAATGGCGTTAGAGATGCTTTGCTGTAAGGCAGTCGTGTCAGTTACAAGTTGCCGTTGTCAATGGGCCTATTTCTCTCCAGATTAGGGTGGTGTTCCTGGTGGCTGGCACCAAGGGAGATTCCTGAAAATATACCTGTTGGCACCTAAAGAACTTGGTGCTGTTCTAGCCCTGGTGTCAGGAGCCAGAGTCAGGAGTAGGTCTGTAATAAAACACCTGGTGCCCGTGAAGTTAACTCTTTATTCAAAGAAACCAAAACAGTGCAGGCCTAGTGATCCCAGCAACTCTTCCCAGTAGGTCTTGCATCATTGTGGCAGTTGCAAGGACCAAAGGTCCCCGTTTTCACACTGCTAAGGCTACTTCCCCTTGTTTCTCTTTTCTCTGCCCTCTTCATTTCTCTGTGTGTTCTGGGAGAGGAGCTGGTCACAGCAGAAGGGGGAGATTCCCTGGCTTCTTCAGCAGCCTGCCTCGTCTCTGTCTCCCGGCCTGCCTCCTCTCCTGCTTCTGATTCTGGACTGCTCTCTGCCCCAGCCTCTTCCTGCTCACTAAACCCTGTCGCCTGAGCAACTCTTATACGTAGGCAGTTCAGGAATATGGTAGACTATCTTACTGGCTGCGCTTCCAGTCTCTGCGATACTTTCTTGTTTCTACGCAGCTCATACCCAGTGCTACCTGTATATATATACCATTTTCCTTTATTTCAGCTGTTAGAGGTATCGGTTGGTTGCTCGAGAGCAATCAGGCAATATGCTTCAATAGTCTGTTTTAATGGTTTCTTATTGGTGATAAAAACCATTAGAATGCAGAGCGCCTCTATTCCGTGTCTTGCTCATTCACTGGCAGAATCTGAGAGTGAGCGGTCCTTAAACCTTCACTAGCAGAGTAGTTTCTTGACGCCCAGTCTGCGCGTCCCCTCTCTGCGCGGACGCCTACTGCACAAGGAAGGCGTTTGTAACGGGGGACCTCTCTCCTCCCCGCTTTGCTCAGGCAAGGTGTCCTGGCACCGCCTCGCCTCCTCCGAGCCCTGCATCTCCTCTCCACTAGAGGCGTGGCTTCCTTCCTCCGCTGAGGAAGTGCTGCTTCCCACAATCTTTGGGGGCTCTCTGTAATCCATCCGGCTTTTCCCCTCTTGCCCCTGAGCCGATGGCAGTTCCCTGACATCAGCCTTCTGGAAGGCACAGCTGCAATGTTCTGAGTTGCTCCCCAGCACCCCTAAGTCATTCTGGGTGGTAGCAGAGATGCTTCTTCATGATGATAATTAAGCTCTGGGTTTGATGCACACTCAAACTTCTTGCATTTTTTGTTATATTGTGCCATGTGAAGTCCTATGTGTTACCGGAGATACATTAAAAAACCCTCTGTTACAGCTGCCAGTAGGTGCCTATGTCTTTAAAGTGACTGTTTCTGCTGAAAATGCATTTGGAGAAGGATTTGTCAATGTCACTGTCCAACCAGGTAAATCAGTTTTTCAGACAGTTAAAACTAATATCCTCCTCTCGCCATACCTGCATGCCAGTTTGATGAATGGTTCTTTTAATCAGTTCTGAATTTCATCAGAGAGTGAACAGCTGTAAAAGTTTTACATTTTTATATTGCATTTGTGTAACACTCCTCCTTTGCCTTTAGAGGGAACCACAGGGTGGTAAATGTTCAAGTGCATCCAGCCTTGTAATTTCCTGCTCTTCTGATTTTTTTTGTGGGGCAGTTACCCTAGATGAGCACTTGATTTGCACATTCTATGTTAGTGTTTCCCCTCCCCTCTTCTTGCTGCATGTTCAGGATCTACAGTATAGCATTTGGGGGCAAGAAGGTGGAAAAGGGACTCAAGTTGCCCATGTAAATAGTTTTGTATTGAGTGCTGGGTATGACTTGCCCACTTGCATGGGCCTTTTGGTTTCTGCACCCATCTCCCCCCCTTCATTTTGGACCCATTTATTATAAAATATGATGAGGTGCAGATGTATGTAAGCCTCTGTTGTGGTGTACTTCACATATCCAACAGTATGGGATATTGAAATATTTCTTATTCCATGTTTATTCCTCCAAGGAGTTTGTGGTGGCATACCTGGTTATCCTTGTCCTCATTTGATTTTTAGTCACAACAACCTTGCAAGGTAGAGTTAGGCTAGGGGACTGTGACTGGCCCAAGGCCCACGCAGTCATCTTCCTGGCTGAATTGGGGGAATTGGACTCTGGTCTTTGCCAGCTTAAGAATTTAAGAAACCTGGGATTTGGGTGGTTTTTTTGGTTGTTCCCTGTAACCGCAAGCCAGGCACAATTTATCCAGTTTGGGATTGTACCAGAAGGTGGCTTTGCTAAATCATAATTTACAAGGATCGGTTTTTCTATTGGTTATGACATTTTTTTTTTAACCTACTGCTTTTATATTAACTGTTTAATCTTGTTCAGCAACTAGTGAATGCTTTTTGGCTGTGGAATAAGCACAAAGCTATCTCAGGCTGATTGAGTCGTGCAGGATGGCCTTATTTAATTAAGCATGGGGTTCTGTTTCTCCCCTTCCCGCAGCTGTCAGAATAAATCAGCCGCCTGTTGCTATCGTATCTCCAAAAGCCCAGGAAATTTCTTTCCCTACAACTTCTGCTTCCATTGATGGGAATCGTAAGTACCAGGCAGCAACTGTGGCTTTGCAGTGTAATTAGAATTGCTCACAGGGATACCAGCTTATTAATTTATGATTCCGTGGCATTTCCTTTCCAACACAGAAAGTACTGATGATACTGAAATAGCCAGTTACCACTGGGAAGAAATTGAAGGCCCCCCTAGAGAAAAGAAGGCATCAGCTGATACACCAGTTTTACATCTGTCTGACCTCGTGCCTGGCAATTACACTTTCAGGTGAGAGGCCTACATTTTTGCGTTTGGCTCCTCAGACCACAACTCGGGCATGGACAAGTCAGAGGAAAAGGCAACCAAAGTTCTTTGTTTAAGTTATTTAGTTAGTATAATGCCCTTCACCTGAAGATCACAGGGTGGTTCACAACATAGAAATGGAAAACAAGAACACAAAATGTGTAATAGTAAAGAACAAACCAATAATCCCCCTCCCACAAATACATTTAAAAGGCCATAGAATGTTAATCAGCCAAAGGCGTGGTTACAGAGAAAAGTTTTGGTCTGGCCCATAAATACTGTATATGTAATGAAGGTGCCAGGCGAGTCTCCCTGGGGAGAGCATTCCACAAACGGGGAGCCACCACAGAAAAGGCCTGTTCTCCAATTGCCACCCTCTGGACCTCTTGTGGAGGAGGCACATGAGGAAGGGCATCAGAGGATGATCACAGGGTCTGGGTTGGTTCCTATGGGGAGAGGCGGTCCTTGAGGTATTGCAGTCCTGAGCCATAATGATCAAGGGGGTGGTGTGACCTCCCCCTATGAGGAAAGGTTGCAGCATTTGAGACTTTTTAGTTTAGAGAAAACATAAAAGGTAACAAGATAGAAGTCGGTAGGTTATACATGACACGGAGAAAGTGGAAAGAGAGAAGCTACTTCTCCTCTCATGACCCTAAAATTTGTGGACACCCAACAAAGCTGAATATTGGAAGATTTCAAGGCAGATGGAAGGAAGGTACTTCATCGCACAGTCCGTGTTTAAACTATGGAACCTTCTTCCACAGCAGGCAGCGAGAGGATTGGATAAATTCATGGAGGAGAGGGCTATTGAGGGCTGCTAGCCATGATGACTGGTTCTGAATACCAGTTGCTGGAAACCACAGGAAGGGAGAGTCTTGTTCTTGTTGTGCTCGAATCCTGCTTGTTGGTTTCCTACAGGCAACTGTTCAGCCATTGTGAGAACAGGATGCTGTACTAGATGGGCTATTGGCCTGATCCAATGGACCTTTCCTATGCCTGACATTGTATATTACCTCAGACACGGAAAAGGTGGGTGTGGTTTGCCTCCAGCCTGGCAGGCCAATCTCGAAGGCCTGATGGACCTAGGGTTGCCATATTTCAAAAAGTGAAAATCTGAACACAATAGTTGTTAGGCTTTCTTTGGCAAAGTTGTTGAGCTCCCCCCCCCCCCAAAGAAGAAGTTCTTGAGCTATTTTTAAGGAAATTCACCAAAATCTAGACTTCCTACATGGGTTGTCATACGTCTGTATTTTCCCGGATATTTCACTAATTTCCTCCTGGACACTTCTTTTGACTGATGTATTCCAGCTATGTCCGGGAAATTCCAGATGTGTGGCCACCCAAGATGGACCTAATTAGGTCCATAGTCTCTGGATTCTGCGCTCCTGAGGTAGAAGAAATCCGTGCACCTGAATTTTGAGAATGGGAGAAAGCACACATTCAATATCATTAATTATTCACATATCTTTTCTCTTCCTTTTTAGGTTAACAGTGATTGACTTCAGTGGAGCAGCTAACTCTACAGAAGCCTCACTGAGAGTCCATGAAAAAGTGGATTTCCCTCCTGTTGCCAATGCAGGGCCAAATCAGGAAATCAGTTTGCCTTGCAACTCCGTCACAGTGAATGGAAATCAGAGCAGTGATGATTATGAGATAGTCAGCTATGAGTGGTCCCTGAGCCCGAAAAGTCGAGGCAAAGTGGTAGCAATGCAGGTAAATGGAGATCGTCTTGCCTCATTTAATAATATCCACAACCCCCCGCCCTCCGAATCCAGTAGCTTTCAGATCAGGAGTTTTGTGGTGCTTGGTGAAAACAGGCAAAAAAAGCCTGGTTGCACTTTGTATTGTGCAGGAAATGGTGAACATTACCTTGAAACACTTAGTCTCTTCTATTTTTGCCCTGGCTAGGAAGACACCTGGAAACCATACTTAGAGTGGACCCTGTAAAATATTGCATGGGACTTTAAAAATTAGTCATTTCAGTGAGTCTACTGCGACCAAGTCTGGATCCGACCATCTGTGTTTAGGCAAACCATTGCAAAGGAGCAATAGTGAGTTTTGGACATGGTGACCACACTTAATGTCACAGATGTTGAATTGTTGCGTTCGAAGTTCTGCAGAATATTGTAAGCCTATTCAGGTGGTTGTGAAATATTGGTACAATATTTCTGTATAATGCAGAGGTTTTCTTTCTGTGGCACCCCTGTGGGGCTCAGGAGCCCAGTTATGTCACCCCTTGCCTGCAGAGCTGGCAGCCCCTCACCCCTTTTTGAACCCTCCCTTGTGGAGTGTTCCCTCAGCCTTCTCTCCTCTCTCCTTGGGAGTCCTCCGGGCAGCCACAGCTGCTCCCTCTGGTCTTTGAGCTGCCCCCCCAACCTCAAAGAGAGGTGCCTCCTTCTACTGCCCCACAGGGGCATGGGAAGCACCCCCTGGCCAGCCCCAGAGACACCATTTGCCTGGGAAGCTTGTAGCCAGGTCTGCTGCAACAAACAGCCGCAGAAGCCTTTGGGAGGCAGAGATGCAAGAGGGCATCAGAGGAGGCAGAGAAGGAAAGAGGGACAGAGACCAGTGTTCTCGCAGCACCCCTGACCCATAGTTGTCAACTTTTCTCTTTTCTTGTGAGGAATCCTATTCAGAATAAGGGAATTTCCCTTTAAAAAAGGGAAACATTGACAGCTATGCCCTGACCACCCCAGAGTGCCACTGGTTGAAAACCACTGGTATAATGATTTGTTATGATAATAGAAAGCTTTATACTATTAACATTTGCCTCATTATTTCCCAATTTTCCTCCCGCACCTCGTTACCCAGGGGGTGAGGAGTCCCTACCTCCAGTTATCGTCCATGCAAGAAGGCGAATACACATTTCAGCTGACTGTTACTGATTCTGCTGAACAGCAGTCTACAGCTGAAGTCACGGTGATTGTCCAGCCCGGTAGGCAGATTTATAGTATATTTGACTTAACAGAACATCCTTCAGCTGGCTGGCTGTTGAACCTCTATGTACACGAGCTAACAAATCTAAATCTGACCTTTAATAGTAAGTGGAAGGAGGAGGAGGAGGAAAGACTGCTTGCTTGCCAGGCAGCCTCCATTATTTAGGAATGTGCTGAGCACAGAGGCCAGGCAATAATAGGAGCTGAACTCACAAATGCCCCACCCACTCTATAGGGCTGAAGTGCTTTGTCAGTTAGCATGATTTTTTTTAGGTTAAACCTAGTTCATACTGGCATTCAACATCTGCAATACGTTGCCTGAGTATTGCTGTCGCTGATTCATATCTCATTGAGTAACTCATGGAAAACCCATAAGACTGCAGCTTTGCCATCAAAGGTTGCTTCCAAGTAGTGGCATGGCAGATGAAAGAATTAAGCCTTGCGACTGCTTTTTCTGGGCCACCAGGAGGAGGTTGCTTGTCCCTCCTGGAACACATGGCCGCCAGGCCAATTTCTGTCCTTGATGTGAAATAGAACTTGAACCCTCTACTACTGTTCACAGCAGATTACTGTGAGGATGTTAGAATTCCTGCTCCATGATTGCAGTCATGGGATTTTTGTCTATCACATGACGGTATATGTTTTGACTCCACAGAGTGGGAAGTGAAGGAGACAGGCTGTTTGTGTTACTGTGTTCTGTGAAGTGGGACTATTGTCCTTTGTTCTTTCTCCTTGCTGTCTGATGCTAGAGAGAGAGGGAGCCATGTTGCAGCGCTCCATGTGTGTTTACTCCTCTGTTTACTAGGAGAGGGCACGCTTGATACTCAGGCATGCTCTTTGCATTGCTTTCTCATCCAGGACACAGGACGAGAGGTGGATTAAGTGATATTCCAAGTCACTCCTGGTACCGTTAATACAATAGCCCTTTAATACTTGGGAGAGAGGATAACCCTTGTCAGTTACAGACTAGAAAACACAGACTGTATTTTGAGCAATTTTTGCTTTGTTTCACTACAGAAAAGAATAGCCCCCCAACAGCCGTGGCTGGGCCAGATAAGGAGCTGACATTCCCTGTCCAGAGCACCGTTCTTGATGGAAGCATGAGCACTGATGACTTAGGCATTGTTTACTATCACTGGGAGAATATCAGGTATTTTGTAAGAGTGGAGGAACGTATCTGGTGGGGCCAAACTAGTGTCTCCTACCATGTTACACAGAAGGAACTTAAAAGCTTGGGGTGGATTGGAACCATTTAGGCCTACTGCTAGTTTCTGCATGAACCAAACAAAGTCCCAAGTTTATATGCATCAATATTGTTCATGCCAAATACTGGTTTTTTTTTTTGTAAAATGCTAATAATTGTCCACTAGACAATTATTCTTCCAGAGGAAGAATGTGGTAGTTTAATGAGAACTTTCATAATTCAGTGAAGATGAATGTACTTTTCTCAGGGATTACCATTTGATCTCAGAGGCATCCCGGTACATATCACAAATATCTCAAAGCCACTCGGATTTCTGAACTGAATTTTGAGGCCTCTTAGGTAAAGTTTCTGGCTGAATCTGAAAATGGCTGAAGAGCACTGACTTTTTCCTTAAATTCGGAACTCGAAAGAAGCAACCCGTGAGTAGATTGGAATTCGGACTTTAAAATATCTATCTGTGAATTTGATACGACCGGGGGATGTGTTAAAGGGACGTCCGCACCCCCTTCTGCAGACGATTTAAAGCAATAGCAGGAGAACTAAGTTGGAGAGTCTACCCCTTTGGGGTGAGTTAAAAGACATTAACTTTCACGATTTGATAAAAGAAGTTTTGAGCTGGAGTGTAAGAGTGGAATTTTAGAAGTTTTTCTCTTGTGGTGTGTAACCCCCCTTCCGGGCCCGGGAGCGTCCTGCCTTTGAGCCTGTTGAAGAGGAAGGAGTTTGACAGCTGTTAAAGCTGACAAACGGGCAATTTAAAGTAAAAAAGCGTGTTATTTAAGATCTCCCTGGACTAAATGTGATACAATTGAATTAAAGTGGTTCGAAACAAAGAAACAAAGAACGAGGCAAAGGACTGTTGGGAAAAGATTACTAAGTAACCAGATTCCCTCTAGGGGAATTCTGAGACATTACAATGGCTGCGGATGGAAATTTACTAGCTGAAATAGAAAGAATGTGTTACTTTGTGGGAACTTTACAAGAGCAGAGTCTGGCTATGAATAAACAACTTACGACCTTGACTTCTGGAATAAGCAGCTCTGCTGAATGTATTGAGGATCTGAATGAGAAAAAATCTGCAGCTGAACCGGAACAGATATCTCAAGAATTGAAGGAGACTAAACAAGGAAAGGAGAAAGCACAGATGGAAAGTACCAACCAGAAGCCTACACATGTGGATTATAAACAAGAAGACCCTTGGATTACATGGATTACAAATCTGCAAAAGATGCGAAAGATGAAGGAGGAGGCCCCTGGAGTACTTGGAATTCAAGAACTTAAAAGAAAGAAGAAATATGATGGGGGCCTCCATTCTGAATATGAAGGACTGGTGGAACTTTTGCAGCAGTTGTCTCTAAGTTTTCTTGTGGGAAGAAAATCTGGCTTGACTGGGACAGAACTCCTTCGAGATCCGAAGACCAACATAAAGGACTACCAACAAAACCGGCGGAGAGGGACTGAAAGAGACTTGAAGGCCTCGGATGTGAGAAATCCAGGCTAAGAACTGTTATTGTAGAAATGTACTTGGGAAGGGACGAACCGGGGATGGGAGGGGGGGAAAATAGAATTTTAAAAACACTTACGATTTTTGGGTCTAGTCAATATGATTGATGCTTAATAAAAAATGGGAAATCTGAGCCCAACTTAGGATAGAATTTAATCTTCTACAAAAGATGTAATATTAACAGGGTAAGGAGGTAAAATAATAACTTGCTGACATAATTATGGGAATTGGGATGTATGAAGGGGGTGGGGGAAGTCAAGGACCAAAGTTAAGAAAGTAAGATTTTTTGAAATTATACATGTTTTTGTCTTTGTCTTTTACGTGTGTGTTAGAAAACCTGCAAGCCTTGGCCTTTTTAAAACCGCCATCCATTATGTAAGTTTGCAAGGAGGCTTGCAAGTGAATTTCAGGCCCTCAAGTGAATATCAGTTTAAAGAAGTAAAATGCCAAATTCTACCTGCTACAGATGGAATGTTGACACTGTTTAAACCTGTTTGACGAGGTAACCTGAAGAAGCCAAATGATTTGCATTTCTCACCAGTTTCAGTAGCTAGTGTGGAAAGTTGCTATTGGCTCTTTTATTCAACATGAAGAAGTATTCTCTTAAAGCTTCAAAAATGTTCATGCCACCACCCCTTGAACTTGCTCCATTTACTAAAATAGCATTTTTTGTTTAAACTGAGTTGAATCTGGTTCCTGAGTTATGCCTTCCTCATCCTTTTTCTTTTTGCTCCGTTGCAGTGGGCCAACCTCTGTGCAGATGGAAGACACTGATAGCGCAGTTGCAACCGTCACAGGCCTGCACGTTGGAACCTACCATTTCAGACTGACCGTCAAAGACAGCCAAGGACTAAGCAGCACAGCCACAATCTCTGTGACTGTCAAGGAGGGTAAGGCTCACTGCCCCATTCGCATTTGATTGGAGGTTTATAGGCTCCTCTCCCAACAAGGAAGTTGAGTGCAAAGCAGCTCACAACAAGAAACAGCATTTGAAAACAACATAGAGCAGTTCCATTAATATCACAATATAGTCCTATGAAAAATATTAAAGCATCAGAAAAGCAACCAAGTATTTTGGTAAATGAATTATTTCAGTGTGGATTTTGAGCCCTGCCAAGTTCTGAGAGTCTTCTTCATCTGAGCAAGGCATTTGGGATACTATACCAGGCAGAGGGCCTTCTCGGTGGTGGCGCCCGCCCTGTGGAACGCCCTCCCACCATCAGATGTCAAGGAAATAAACAACTATCTGACTTTTAGAAGACATCTGAAGGCAGCCTTGCTTGGGGAAATTTTTAATGTTTGATTTTTGTGTGTGTGTTTTTAATCTGTTGGGAGCCTCCCAGAGTGCCTGGGGAAACCCAGTCGGGTGGGTGGGGTATAAATTTATTATTATTATTATTATTATTATTATTATTATTATTATTATTATTTCCATTCCTATTCTTTTATTTCCTGCTCAACTCTTCAAAATAAAGCTCTTCCTATCTTACAATTTTATTGTTTAGAAAGCAACCGCCCACCCCAGGCTCATGCAGGGGGCAAGCACATCCTCGTTCTTCCCAATAACTCCATTGCTTTGGATGGTTCGCAATCTACTGATGACCAAGGGATTGTGTCTTACCTCTGGATTCGGGATGGCCAGAGCCCAGCAGCTGGGGTAAGTATTTTAATAATTTAATGAAGCCAAATTGAATGTATTGTTTAAAAAAATCCAAATCCAAACACCGTACTCTTTGCTTGCATTGCTGCCATGTAACAGTATGGCCCACTGGATCCAAATTGGACTTGCATGGAGCAGCCTTGGGCAAGCCGATCCGAGTCTCAGCTTTGCAGTCTTAAAATAGGAGTAGAAGAAACCAAACCCATGGGTTTGAAGATGCACTCTTTGGCTGTAGGAAGGGTGGGAGAGATGTTGGCAGACTCCATCGCCCATCATCCCCAGCCATTGCAGTCAATTCTCATAGATGGTAGGAGCTGCAGTCTAACAACATGTGAAAAGCCACAGGCTCCCAACCCCTGACCTTACTTTGTTAATGTGGTTGTTCTAGGCCAATTTGTGGTGGGTAGTTGTAAAATCTTGGGCAATTTTTATCTTGCCTTTGAGTGAATATTAATCTGAAGCAGTGTTGACTTCTCCTTTTGCAGGATGTGATACATGGCTCAGATCATGAGGCCATCCTGCAGCTGACCAACCTCGTAGAAGGGAGTTATTCCTTTCACTTGAAAGTCACCGATGGCAAAGGAGAGTCAGACATCGACATGGCTACTGTAGAAGTGCGGCCTGGTATGAGGACGTTTATAGCATGTTGTCCCTCCCAGATCTGTCCTCTTCTCCTATAAGCAGCTTACAGCAAAGATCTTGTCAGGCCAGGTGACCCATTCACATGCGAAACCTTGGCTCGGTAGCTCAGTGGCAGATTTCCCATTGCTGCTAAAAAGTTGTTGTGGTTTGATTCCATTGCAGTTCAAGGCAGGGGCCTAAAGCAGATATGAAGAACAGTCCTTTCAGAAGTCTTGATTCATTTCATTTCCAGTCGTGGGTGGAGTGACGATACTGCTTGAAACCCACTTTGCAAGAGGTAGCTCTATAAGCAGCTTATAGATCAAATCAAGGCCTTCAAATCTGTCCCACTCTGCAGCCAAAACTTTGTTTCCTCCTCTCATTGCCATAGCCAGCACACTTCCTTGGTGGCTCTCTGATCCTTACCACCATGTTTTCTTCATGAGAGCATACATGGCCTGTATGGTAATGCAATAAAGGACCCTGATGAGGTGGCCATCGTTTTGAGCCAAATTCTACCCTATGTTGTGGCTAGATGAAAGCTTCTATTTGTTGGTTAGCTGCTTTTAATCAAGGTGCATCCTGACAGGCTAATAGTGTGCAGGTAGAAAAGAGAAGTACAATGTAAATGTAAGCCTGGTCTCATGGAGACTCACCTTGTTTTGCCTGCTCAGCAAACCTATGAAAAAATGGCCTCCGATTCCATAAGCAATAACATGGATTACTTTTTATGCTGTGTTCTCACATACCTGCAAATACTGATTTGGATAGTCATGATGCCTTTCATTTTATTATCTTGCTGGTCCCTTGTTTTCTGGGTTTTTGGTACTCCATTTCCTTTCTGCTCTTCTGCTTAGCTGCTAAATTTTGCTAACCTTTATAAATTAATCCACCTGCATTTTCTGATGGCATGGGTGACAAATCGGAGGGAGATGGGGAATAACATAGTTCCCTCTGAAATTCATGTGCTGCATTTGAGAATATAACTTTGTATTCAGCACATGATAAATATCTGCTTGGAACCTGCATGTTCCCTGTTTGTTATTGCCGACTGAAATTTGTAGTAAATACTAATTTTGAAACCTGACATCCACATGTCAAGGCAACATTTGCCATGCTCCAAATGAAAAGCACTATTTTTGCATTCACAGATCCTAAGAAAAATGGACTTGTGGAACTGATCTTGCAAGTTGGAGTTGGCCAGCTGACTGAACAACAGAAAGACACGCTTGTGCGGCAGCTAGCAATGCTCCTGAACGTCTTGGATTCTGATATTAAAGTTCAGAAGATACACACTTATTCTGATATCAGGTACAGAGATACCAAAAATAGATGTAACCCAAAATACTACAGACCAATAAGCTTTGTTTCAATGGCAAGCAATACGTAGAGCAGGTATAAAAAAAATTGGGCTGACTCACTGACATGAGCCACTAGCAGGGATGCGAGAAGGTATAATTTTCCATTCCGCTGTGTATTTTTCACATGCAGCACTGTCCGTTCCATTGCAGTTCATCTTCTGCCAAAAACAATGCTATTCAACTCACTGTAATTACATAAGTTACATTGTTGTTACGCTATCAAAATAACTTCATAGGAATGCTGCAGAACGATTGCCGACAGGAGTGCTCAGAGAACTGCACTGGCTGCTGGTTTGCTAATGGGCCAAGTTCAAGGTGCCACTATTAGCATATAAAGCCCTTAACAACTTAGGACCAGTTTGCCTACAAGACTGCCTTTCCCCACATGTGCCCACTTGACCACTCCGATCGGTGGAATATGCACTACTGCAGATGTAAATAATATTTGCAACAATCAAGTTGCAAGAACTTGATTGTTTTAGTGTGGCAGTGCCTGCACTTTGGCTCTCCCTGCCTACTGGGACCAAGCAGGCACCTTCACTGAACTGTTTTCGGCGCTTGCTAAAAACATTCTTGTTTAGACAAGGCTCCTCGGATGTCCAGAAAGTTGAGGTAATTTTAATGTTTCAGTATTTTAGCTTCTGTTTGCTTTTAAGTATGGTTGCGAGTTGTTCTCGATTTTATTGTTTTATCTTTTCGTAAACGGCTTTGAGGGCTCCCTGCCCACAGTCAAGTGGTGTATAAATTTTACAAAATAAAATTATTCCACCCCATTCATTTCCATGCACAGGAAACACAATGCAAAGGGTGGGGGGTTGTCTGAATTATGTATTGTTTGCACACTGAAAGTAACAACAGTGAATACTGACTGTATTTGCTGTACTGATTTCTATTCCAGAAATGGGACTAAGCAAACATTGGCAATTCCCACTCTTGTTTTTCTTTTCATTTCAATTCTCTGACATCCCTTGCGTCTAGTGACCTTAATCTAACACTGAGCAAACCATATTTGCCTTTAAAGTTTACCAAGTCAAGATAATAAGTTGATAGGTCACGGTGAGAACAGAATGCTGGACTAGATGGTCTTTGGCCTCATCCAGCAGGGATGTTTTTATGTTATTAATTTTTTAAAAAAATTAACATGCATGAATGCTTTGGGATATGTAAACACCATTGTTCTGTAGCTAAAACTTGAGAAGGTTGCCCACTTTGTAGAAGACGCATGCTGTGTTACGGCCTGTTCAATCACGTGTAATTTCAAACAGCTAAGGACGGCAGCTGATGCCTGCGTTTCCAATTGAGAAATAAAATTAAAATCACCGACTATCTCTCCCTGTTGCACAATCAGGGTCTGACTTGCATGGGGAGCCTGTGTGTGTGTGTGCAGGAGACTCTTTGCTTCAGAAGTTTGCCCTTTAGCACATCGAGGGAAGGCACTGGGTTGAAGTGGGCAGGGCTTGGCAGACCATTTGTCCTTGTGACTGCCATTGCACGAGTGAACCGAAGCCCGGAATAGGGGTTGTGCAAAGGCCAAATCAAACAGTCTGATTGTGACAATATTTCTTAAATTGAAAAGCCAGCCCATTTGAATGCTATAGTCCGGTTATTTACAATATATACATCCTCTCTTCAGCACAGCTGTTGTGTTCTATGTTCAGAATGGCCATCCTTTTAAAGTGATGAAGGCAGCAGATGTTGCGCAGATGCTACGCTTGCAGCTCTTGAAGGAGAAGCCGGACTTCTTGCTTTTTAAAGTGCTTCGCGTTGACACGGCTGGTATGTAGTATTCGTGTTATGCTGCAGAACAATACCAAAGCCCAATGCAATAATAATAATTTTGATGGTTTTTGCTGCTATAGGTTGCCTCTTAAAGTGCTCCGGACATGGACATTGCGACCCTATCACGAAGCGCTGCATTTGCTATCAGCTGTGGATGGAAAATTTGATACAGAGGTATCTTAACAGCGGAGAGAGTAATTGCGGTGAGTTGAGAGGAAACGGGTGAAGTGTTTCAGGCAGGGACTCTGAATAGACTAGATCTGTGATGTTGCCATATTGAATGCATAAGTGCATTAATGGTTCCTCTAATAACTTTGAACATTCTACTTCCACCTTCTAGAGTGGAGTATACTTTATGTAACGGCATCAGCTTTCATTTTGATTGTGCTGATGGCGGGGTTCGTTTGGCTCTGCATCTGCTGTTGCAAAAGGTAAATGATCTCTAATGAAGCTCGATACGAACATCCCTTAGTTCTATAGTCACCGAAATAGCGTAGAAACTTCGTTTGTACTCAGAAGCATCTACTGATAGGTTTGGGAGAATATTTGCCCTTTAACCACCCTGGGAGTTTGGCAAGTGGCTAATGGGAATTAAGGGGTGTCCAATTCATCTAAGGTGAGGCAACCATAAGAGATATGTGGCTGCCCATAGCACAATGGTGTAGACGCAGCTCCCATGTAAAAAACTATCTGTGTGAATAACCACCTGTACAGGTCAAAAACAGTTTTTCAACCATGCCTGTATGCCTTTGGTTTTGGTTTCTTGTAAACGGGCTTCTCCACATGGAGCTCCACCAAGGGGTCATGCCTGTTGAAGTGACCCCAAGTATGACAGCATGAATGATGCTGAAATGAGGAGGCACGCATCAGGAGTGGGGAACCCTTTAACGTTCCCTTCCAGTCAACCTTCTGAGGGAAGGTGGGAACATGGCAGAGGCGGGTAGGCAAGAGGCAGAAATGGGTTGAGCAACGAAAGTCCATGTTTTCTATTTCCACACACTCACTCATCCCTCTCTATTCTCCATCCAGGTGAACAAGAAGCAGGATCAGAGTTCAAGGAAATATTCTAGTCAGGCATAAACACTCAAGCAGGGTACCAAAAAAATAAAATAAAATGGTGAGGGGTGTGCCCTGGAGTGGGGTATGGCTGGGGAGTGGGTATGGCCTAGGAAGAATCATGAGGCCTAGTATTTCATCCTTGGTTTACATAATGTATATCCTTTGTGGTTGGGGTGGTTCCTAAGGAAATATCACCTGTGGGGGGGGATGGGTACTTGGTTTCCCAGTTTAAGTAGAATATTTCATCTTTTAGCAGAAAGAGGACTAAAATAAGAAAGAAAACAAAATACACAATTTTGGATAATATAGATGATCAGGAGAGAATGGAGCTCAGGCCTAAATACGGTATGTTTCTTTCCCCCTTTTTCTTTTCATGTCTTCCAACCTTTGCTACAATTCGTATGTGACTTTCTGTTTCTTGTGCTATTAATACAGACTTTTCTTTCGCATGCATCTGGCGCTTTCACATTTTAAGGCAGGATAGCATCTAATGGAGTGGACTGTCTCCGATAAAAGTCCCGGCCATGTTAAATCTCCCAAGTTGCAATAGCACTTGCATTTCCCTGCCAAGGAACCAAAAAATCACCATGTATTTCTTTTCAATTATTTCTGCCCCACCTTTCTGCAACAAAAGCATGCTGTTTCCTTTTGTTTGGATTCTGCTGCAACTGAAGTTGGTCTGAACTGGTTGTGGTTCAGGCCAATAAATATTGCTGTCAACATGCTCATCAGAGGTGAATGACAGCTACTGCTTGCGTCCCAAAGACAGGCAGTTGTGTTCCTTGATGATAGGCTCACAGGGCATGTGTGTGGGTAGTACTAAGTCATTGATTCAATCAGTGCAAGGATTTATCTGTGCAACAGAACACTCCCCTCTCTAAAACTGCTCTGAGAGTTTCCTCAACCCTCTGGAGTAGATTTGGGAACGGTACAGGGCACGTGTGAGAGGAAGTCCCTTGTGCTCGTCCAATTATTTAGTTGAGTAGCATCCCCACTCCTCTATTGGATCATAACAGAAGGAGCAGCAGACTCTAGCAGTGATGTCAATAAGCTTATTTACATGTCACCTGGAACATTGCATGGAAAGGAGAGCCAGTGTGCTGTAGTGGTTAAGAGCAGTAGACTTGTAATCTGGTGAACCGGGTTTGCATCTCCGCTCCTCCACATGCAGCTGCTGGGTGACCTTGGGCCAGTCACACTTCTCTCACTCACCTCACAGAGTGTTTGCTGTGGGGGAGGAAGGGAAAGGAGAATGTTAGTCGCTTTGAGACTCCTTCGGGTAGTGATAAAGCGGGATATCTAATCCAAACTCTTCTTCTTCTTCTTTAGAAAGAGTTAGCACCCCATGTTCATGTTGGATTGCTTGTGGTGGTGTGGCTCTGGGTGATGGTTTATGGTAGTAAGACGTAACATTACTTCCTCAATTTGACATTGCGGATGAGATAACGGAGATCAAATAGTAAGCAGACGTTGCAAAGAATCTTCTGCTTCCTATCTCCTCCCTATCTCAGGTATAAAGCACAGAAGCACAGAACACAATTCCAGCCTGATGGTTTCAGAGTCAGAGTTTGACAGTGACCAGGACACCATCTTCAGCAGAGAGAAGGTTGAAAGAGAGAACCCAAGGAATGCCATGAATGGTTCCATGAAGAATGGTGTCTCCTTCAGCTACAGCTCAAAGAACAGATAAATGAAGAGGCTGCAGTGGAAGGACACGTGCTAAAGCTATGCTGCTGCTCCTTCACCACCCCCCTCCCAAACTATACTGGTGGGAGACGGGATGATAAACTTCCAGCATAGTAGAAAAGGAAATGGACGCGGTGGACTTTCCCCTTCATTTCTTTAACCAGTAACGTATTTTAACTCGCCACATGGGTTAGGTGAAAGGGTTTTCAAGTCTAAAAATGGTTGGAGATGGTTTCCATATAAAAGGTTATTGCTCAAGACTGTTACATTACAAGGAGCACATAGGAAAGCTACCTTATATTGTTGTTTCCTTTAGAAAACAGTGGCTATGCATCTGTACAAAGACACACCAGTATGCAAATGTACCTTGAGTTATTAAAAAGAAAACCAGTGTGCGGCTATAGCCTCCATCTCCTTCCGGTCACTTTTAGTTTAATAAATAAGAGGGTTGATGAAAAGGGGGTTTTGTGACATCTGCTTTGGTAAAGCAGTGGAGTTGAAATCATTTTTTCAAAAGACTCAATGCATTATCTGAAGCAACCTAACTGCAGTAAAGGACGTTAGTATTTGGATAGCAGACTTCCTGTCTGGCAAGCCCAAGTTGCTGGAAGAAAGGAAAGATCCGAGTAAAATTTCAAGCCTGGTGCTACCTTCTTGTGAGTGGATGCCACACTTGGGAGAAGGTTCTATACTTGGGAGAAATTGGTGGCACATGCCATATGCTACCAATTTGACCCTCTTCTGTCTATTTTGCTGAAGAAAGGCTTGCAAAATCATTCCACGTTCTTTGAAAACTGCAGCTTTTGTGGGTACATTGATTTGGTAACCGGTCCTGGAAGTTTTAACTCCTTTCCTTCATTTGCCTTGTGAAGTGCTGAGAGTAAATCAGATGTGCTCAACTCCATTGACTGTGGCATTCTGTGTAGTGAAAGTGTGGGCCAGAAATCACCTAGTCTTAATATCTAACAACGCTCATAAAACATGTTTACTGAACAAGAACTAATTGTCATCGGGTTTCTGTGTGTGCATCAGCACTCTCCCTTCATGATAAACACGAAGATAAGCACAAATTTGTTAAAAAAAGGTTTAAATTTCATGTTAGGGGTTTAACCCAAATGTTGCTGTAAACAAAGAAGAATGGGCTAAACAGAAGTTTTAAGGCACTGTGATGATTTTTACCCCTGGAGAGTAAAGTGTCATGTGTCTCAAGTATTGAACAATTAGCGATTCAGCTGTTCTTTACCTGAAGTCACACAAAGCAAACATATATTACACCTGTGTAACCAATTTTTCTCAATATACAGTTCAGCTTTAGGAACCTTGGTTTTGTGTCTTCTAGAAGTTGTCTGTGCAACTTGAGGGCTTGCATATCCTTTCACCAGCAGAAGTTGGTCCAATGAAATAAGTGGCTTTCCCATTTTGTCTCCAAGGCAGAACTAGTGCACCTGCCTGGTCCTCCAGGTGATGGTACTACAAACTCACATCATACCTGACACTTGCCTGTGTTCACTGGGAGCTGGAGCTTAACAATATCTGGAGGGTCACAACTTCTCCAGCCCTGTGTTGAAGAATACTCATACCAATGTAGGATTTTTTTATTTTTTTAATACGCTTACAAAATGTCACAGATCTGACAGTAGATGTGAATGTCCACCAATTTTAAAGTTAAACATTTATTACACACAGCTGTTTTCCCAACACCCAAAGCAAATCTACACACAAAAGTGAAATGTAAGAATTCAAGTATCACCTTCTGTTAGTGAATTACTGTATACAAATAATAACTCTTGTTATTTTTTATGTAAACATACCATACAAATGCATATTAACACTTAGCTGATCCAGCCCCAAGAGAAAATTTCTCCAATAAGGCTAGTAGTATCTTGTTACACTTGAACAATTTGTGCTTCTCAAATGTTTTGCTTCTTTTTCCTCAAAAGAGGAGCGTTGACAAGCTTGGGCTGTATTGAATCCCTAGATTGTTTTAGTTTTGTATTTTGTGTTTCAGATTTTGAATTACATGTAGAGCAACTGCCTTAAATAATATAACAGGAAGCATTTCTAGACTTGTCTGTAAGACTGTAGATCAGACTGTGGTATTAGCCTATATGCCCACAAATGTAAAAATTATTGTTGCTGGGTTATTTAAAAAAGTATGTAAGATTATATAGATTAATTATTCTTCCTCAGTACCATTTGACAGTGATTTCCTCAGGAACTACTCAGTTTGCTGGCTTTACAGACCAAGCTTCATCTTGGTTGTAATTTATTTTTTTTAGGAATAGCAATTAGAGCTACATAATGTGCTTTTCAGGAGTCGCTATAGTGCCACTATTTAACCTATCCCTAATATAATACAGCAGAACCAATGTTTTGTAGTACAAAGTCACCCAAAATAAGCTTAGCTGACCTGTATCAATTTTGGAGGTTAATGAACATATATGAAAATAGGGAGAAACAAGCGACTAGTTGTGTGTGTCCGAATGAGATCTGGATTTATGTTTCTCCTGAATGCTGGATGCTCATGGCTACACTGTGAACTACTTCTCGAGCCAAGTGGTGTCTCTTAGAACTGTCAGTGAAATGGCAGAAGCTTCGCACTTAAGGAAGACCTCAAATGTTTGTTCCAAGCCCTTTTGGTTCATCTGAAGCAGCCCTTTGGATCGCAAGCAGATTTGATAGGGAAGGGGATTGCATAGCTAAGTCCACTTGAAAACATATTGCAAAATGTCAAATGAAGTTTTGCAATGTAAATAAAGTGCATGTTCAATTGAATGCAGCAGTAGCAAAGCAGAACTGTTAAATCTTTTTATGTTTCGAACGTAACAGCAGCTCATACAGAAAAGGCCTGATGGAGCACATGCAGGTAACATTAAAGCTCACTGGGAAGAGCACAAAAGTGCTTTTATCTTGTGCCATCAAAAGTCTTAACGTGTGGTGGTAAAATAAACAGCTTTTGGGATTCTAGCTGTATGCCACTGTTAACTCAAATAGGTTCATGGAGGAAGCTTTAAAGTCCTCCCACATAGCGCCCGCCCCCCACTTTTCCCCAGGTCTTAAGCTTTTTCTCTTGTACCAAGTTAACTGCTTTCTGTAATCTCTAGAATGAGCAGGAGGGCCATGGAGGATCAGACAAGTCTTTCAGAGAAGAAATATTACTTGGCAAGAATAGACATAGGAAACAGAGCTCTAGAGCAGTGTAATGGGCTATGGAGGTGTGAGGTTTTGTGCTGTGGCGCTTCAAATAAATATTACTTCCTTGTGGAGCTATTGGTCCAAGTTGGTCTCAGTGCATTACAGCTTTTGCAAGACACAATGTTACCCCACCCATACGAAACAGTTTATGTTCGTATCTCTGTGCTGTTGTACTAATGCATGATAATTTGGTCACAAGGCTCAGCTGCTAGGAGCAAATCACAAGTATCTCCTTAGAGATGCTCTAGTCCTATTGTAAGTAATAGGGAGGATTCTGTCAGAACTGTGCATATACCTTCAAGGCCATTTTTCAGCTCCAGCCAATAGCTGAAGAACAATATGAAAAAGTGCAATACATCCTTCCCTAGAAAATATTTCCTAGAAGCCCTAAGACAGGCACCCAGAAAATAATAAAAACATTAGAAAAAGAAACAGTCAACATTTGGCACAATTATTCAGTTATTTCACACCTGGCTCAGTGCATGAGAAAGGGTAAATGAGGATCTTTTTCCTACTTTGCTACTCTCCAAAAATCATTTATTTCTATCCTGCCTTTCCCCCCTAACAGACACTCAAGGTAAATCATACATCTTAATTAGTAAAGTTTTTCCAAATTCCTCTGAAACACAATAGGGAATTGAAACATTATTTGTCCCTGCATTATGGTTAAGACAGGTAATATAAATCAACCTATATTCCTACAACCTGTGTACACAGAATACCAGAGTTGTTCTATATGTATCGTCATGTCTACAAGTAATGACGTTTCTACAAAAACATTATTACTTCCATTTTAAGAGGGAATGAAAAATCACAAATGATCTTGCTAAAGCTTATGAATGCCCCAAAAGGTTGTTTTCTAGGCATTCTGAATAGGTTAGACTCCTAACAATTGGCTACTATAAACCTCCAAAACAGACATACTTTATTTCCAAATATTCATCAATACCGTATTTTGAACCTTCTCTTCCCAGCCCAGATTGTTTTACGCCACCGAAAGGGCACTCCACGGCAGACACGATGCCTTCATTAACGCCCACCATCCCAACCTCAAGCTTCTCTGCAACTCTCCAGATCTGGGCCGGGTCTCGGGAGTAGAAATAACCTGCAAAATACAGCATTGAATAGAAAACAGTTTGGAGTTTTTTGTTTGTTGTTTTGCTGGGAGAAAGGTCATTTCTCTAAGCTTGAAATTGTAAAGTCAAGATGTGGCCTGGTAGCTTGAACCATACCCCATCTTGCCTCCTTAAGCATTGTAGATTTGCAGTGTTAAGAACTCACATACCTGCTAAGCCCACGTTGGCTGAATTTGCTATGGCAAGAGCTTCTTCCTCTGTATCAAACCTGCAAAAGTATTAATAGGAGATGTAAATAATAATGGAAGAACTGCTTTATTGCAAGTGGTGTGCAATTAGAGGCCTCTCCCATGGGAAATTCGTGATGGCATCCCCACCCTCTCGACTGACGCAGATTTCCATAACTTCCCATGAATTAAGCTAGTATAAAAGTTACACGATGTGTTCCAACATCAGCAATACATTTGCATGTTTAAAAATGACACCGATTATGGGAAGATTAGTAAATCCTATGCAGTTTCATCAGGTTAAAATAAAACAGGGTGGGGAAATGGGGAAGAATTTTCTAAAGGTGACATCCAACAATGGCTATTTCCTTGCACAATAGAGACTTTTACACCTCTCTGCTGCAGCACCCCATGCAGTCTAGAATCTGGGGAAGTGAAGTCCATTGGTGACATTAAATTTTGCCCTAAGAGAAAAAGGTTGGGAATGGCTACCAAAACCACCACGTAATTTCTTGAGTGAGCATTTGCTGGAATATAGCTAAGCAAATGCAAGACCTAATGTAAATATATTTTGACATCCAGGTCACTCCATAGTGTTTGGAACATATTAGAAGAGGGTTGGTGGTGTGCCTCACCACACATAATGCAAACAATATTCCCACACTATGAGACAAGACTTCCCAGTAAGTCAACATTTGCAACATTTTAGCACATCCAGAAGAGTTTCCCTCAGGAAATCCCTTGGGAAAAGTCTGTTCAAGCACTACTATTGTTGTTAGCCGCCCTGAGGCCGGCTTCGGCTGGGGAGGGCGGGATATAAATAAAAAAATATTATTTATTATTATTACCTACCGAAGCTATATAAGAAATAAAAATAAAATTGAGGCACCAGAGAAGTTAGAATGTGGGCATCACTGTGAAAGAGGCAAATGGCTTCATTCTTACACACTTGTGCAAACTTCAGGACACATGAAAAATGATCATGAAAAGATTGTGAAAAGTGCTAACAGATCAGAAATTAAAGGCATAGGCATTTTATTGTATTTTGACATGGTTTTGAAATACCTACCTTTCTCAGGCTAGCCACATAAATTGGATACATAAAACAAGATTATGCCTGGGATGCATACCACTAAAGTTTTCAAAAGAAATCTAAGGTGGCACCTCATTATATTTTATATACATAAATATATAAAGAAACACAAAATGACTGACACAGTCTGTGCAAATTTTCTACCCGAAGTTGGGAAAGGGGTGCTGTTGTCTTTATACACGGCAATATAAAATAAGGGAAAGTTCCCCACTGCCAGCCAGATACTTTTGCTCCACATAATCCCTCCTGACTGTCGCTGACTTTGAGAAGTGTGAATTAGCAGTGAAGCCATCACTATATGAGTAAACTGTATTGCACTTCCATGACTGCGATGGTTCCAAAAAACACAGCTGCAATTGTGGCTATCGCAGAGTATATTTGTGTAGGGACAGTTCCTTGCCAATTCAAACATTATACTTGGGAGCGTGATCCTTAATCCAGGAATTGTCTGGAAGGGACGCATGTAATAAGTAGGAGAAATGTCAGCTGTTTCCTGTTGTGAACTACTTCTATGCTTATCACAATCCATTTTGCCTCCAAGTGTGTAATATGGTAAGGTTAACAGGAGTCATTATGCAGAAGAGTATCACTGGCAGAAATTGCCATTTTTGATGTAATAATCAAAGTTTGTTAATGTGTGATCTGCAGAATAAACTCTTACTTCATAACTGGGGCCAAAGGACCAAAAGTCTCCTCTTGTGTGCACAACATGCGTGTTGTGACATTGCTGAGAAGAGTTGGTTCAAAGAAATTCTTCCCGTAACTGTGCCTTTTTCCTCCTGTAACTATGGACGCTCCTTGGGAAACAGCATCGTGAATATGTTTTTCAACCTGAGAGAAACAAAGCAAGTGCAGTGTTAGGCTCTCCCACAAAAGGGTGGTTTTCATATCCCAAGTAATAATAATAATAATAAATTTTATTTACGGTATATCCCGCCCTCCCCAGCCGAAGCCGGGCTTAGGGCGGCTAACAACAATAAAACAGTACAACAGTACAACACAACACAACACTCTAAAATCATTCATTATAAAATTAATTCAAATCAAATCAATGGCAATGGCAACCATTGGGCCAGAGCTCCACGAAGATTGCCGAAGGAGGGAGTCAGGCTGTGCCCTGGCCAAAGGCCTGGTGGAACAGCTCTGTCTTGCAGGCCCTGTGGAAAGATGTCAAGTCGCGCTGGGCCCTAGTCTCTTGTGACAGAGTTACACCAGATCGGAGCCACAGCCGAAAAAGCCCTGGGCTCTAGTTGAGGCCACCCTAACCTCTCTGTGGCCTGGGACCTTCAATATGTTTTTATTTGAAGCCTGTAGGTTTCTGTGTGGGACATACCAGGACGAAGAGGCGGTCCCGTAGGTACGAGGGTCCTAGGCCGTATAGGGCTTTAAAGGTTAAAACCAGCACCTTAAACCTTATCCTGTACTCCACCGGGAGCCAGTGCAGCTGGTATAGCACAGGGTGAATGTGATCTCACAGCGAGGACCCCGTAAGGAGTCTCGCTGCAGCATTCTGCACCCGCTGGAGTTTCTGGGTCAGTCTCAAGGGCAGCCCCACGTAGAGCGAGTTACAATAATCCAGTCTGGAGGTGACTGTCGCGTGGATCACAGTGGCTAGGTCAGGGTGAGAGAGGTAAGGAGCCAACTGCTTAGCTTGGCGGAGATGGAAAAATGCCGCCTTTGTTATAGCTGCAATCTGCGCCTCCATGGAAAGGGAGGTGTCGAAGATTACACCCAAACTCTTAACGGACAGTGCTGGCACTAATTGCGCCCCTGCAAGAGATGGGAGTTGCTCCTCCAAAACCCATATTGTCCTGTCCCAGCCACAGGACCCCTGTCTTCGAAGGATTTAGCTTCAACCAGCTCCCACGTAACCATCCAGCCACAGCTTCCAAATATCTGGTCAGTGTGTCTGGGGCCGAGTTAGGATGGCCATCCATCAACAGATAGAGTTGGGTGTCATCAGCATACTGATGGCAACCCAGCCCCAAACTCCGGACAAGCTGGGCGAGGGGGCGCATAAAAATGTTGAAAAGCATCGGGGAGAGTATCGCACCCTGAGGTACTCTACACACTAAGGAATGGCGCGATGACAATTCCTCCCCAAGCGCCACCGTCTGTCCCCGACCAGAGAGAAACGAGCGCAGCCATTGAAGGACTGTGCCCTGGATCCCCACGTCGGCAAGGCAGTGGTCCAGGAGTTCGTGATCGACCATGTCGAAAGCTGCTGACAGATCTAGAAGAATCAGCAGCCCCGACCCGCCTCGGTCCAGCTGTCTACGAAGATCATCTGTTAGGGCAACCAGAGCTGTCTCGGTCCCATGACCAGCGTGGAAGCCGGACTGGAATGGATCCAGAGCCAATGTTTCATCCAGAAACCCACCAAGCTGTTCAGCAACCGCTCTCTCAATCACCTTACCCAGGAACGGAAGATTCGAAACCGGGCAGTAATTGGTTAGATCTAAGGGATCTAATGATGTTTTCTTTAAGAGCGGGCGCACCACTGCCTCCTTCAGTTCTCCTGGGAATGTCCCCGTGCCAAGGGGCAAAATGATGATATCCCCCAGGAGGGCCCACACCTCATCTGGACACGCTCTAATCAGCCAAGACGGGCACGGGTCGAGAGGACAGGTGGTGGGCTTTCCAGCTCGGAGGAGTCTATCCACATCGGCTGGGGATATCCGGTCAAAGTGGTCCAATACTGGACGCAAGGACAGTCGAGGGGCCTCCAGTTCCTTTATTGTATCCAAATTGGCAGGGAGGTCATGGCGGAGCACAAGACCTTCTCCGCAAAAAAGCTCGCAAATGCCTCACAGCTGTGTGTCAAATTGTTATTTAAATTTGGCTGTCCCTCAAGGGACGTTAGAGACCTAATTATACTAAATAATTGCGCCGGGCGAGAGCTAGGGGATGCAATGGAGGCCGAGAAGTAAGACTTCTTAGCAGCCTTCACCGCCATCTCGTAGGTTTTCATAAAAGCCCTATAAGATGTTCTTGAGGCTCCCTCACGGGCACCCCGCCATACTCGCTCTAGCCGTCTGAGGTCCCGCTTCATTTTCCGGAGCTCCTCGGTAAACCAGGGAGCCCGGTTTCTGTGGGGTCGCAGAGGGCGCTTAGGTGCGATCTCATCGATGGCTGCCAGGAGCTGGATATTCCAGCCCTCAACAAGCTCAGTCAATGAGTCGCCAGGGGGAGCAAGGTCCTGCAAGGCTTGGCGGAATCTATCAGGGTCCATAAGCCTCTGCGGGCGAGCCCAAATCGGCTCGCCACCTAAGCAGGGTGGGGGTGGAAAGTCAATCCTGGCTTTCAGAGCGTAGTGATCAGACCATGGCACCTTCATCGAAGGAGACATGAACACATCTATACCTACGCCAAAGATCAAATCCAGCGTGTGGCCTGCTTGGTGTGGGGCCCAAAACAAATTGGGAGAGCCCTAGTGTCGCCATGGAAGACACCAGGTCCAGAGCCTGTGAGGAGGGATTGGCATGGATGTTGAAGTCCCCCAATACCAATAGGTTAGGGAACTCCAAGGCCCAGCCGGCCACCGCCTCCAGTAGGCCTGACAGGGTGGCTGCTGGTGCGCTAGGTGGCCGGTACACCAGCCAGACAGCCAAGCTCTCCTCGGAGCCCCACACTAGGCCAACACATTCAATGCCAGGGATCGATGGCGATGGTAGAGCCCTGAAAGAACAATCTTCCCGGATTAATAATGCCACCCCTCCCCCCCCGGCCCACAGTCCGCGACTGGTGGAGGACGGAGAAACCCAGGGGCGCCATCTCTCGTAAGGTAACTGTTTCCCCTTCGCGCACCCAGGTCTCCGTCACACAAGCCAGGTCGACCCCCTGCGAGGTAAAGAAATCTCGCATGGTGGCAGTTTTGTTGCCTATAGACCTGGCATTGCACAGCACCAGTGACGGAGGTGAGTAATCCTTGCTCACCCTACCCTCGTCCCTCGGGATGAGGCGCAGATTGGAAGGGATACGAGCATATCCATATCTCGATCCCCTTCGCCTATAACATCTGCCCCCACTGCCATACCTCCCACGCCCCTCCACGGTAGCAATCCCAAGCCTCATATTAGCCTCCATTGATGGCAATTAATGTTATTCTTTCCCAGCCTAAAACAATAAAACCTTAAAACAATAAAAACAAAACAACCCCCCCCAGAAAACAATAAAACAATACAAATAAAAACTGCAAAAATAACAAATCCATCAAAATCAAACAAATTCCCAAGCCCACCCAAACATCCATCCCACCCCCATATATAAAAAATCTAAAGGGAAAGGAAAATTTTAAAACATGTTAAAAAGAACTCTGCGTCCCTCCGGGTCCTCCTGGGCAGCAGCAGCATCAGTGGCAACAACCGTCCTTGTGAGGCCCCACCCTGGGCCAGATAGTAAGTGGCAGGAGCAGTCCTTATGAGGCTTCAGGCCCCGCCGTGGGCCAGATGGTGAGTGGCAAGAAGGAGCAGGGCCCTCAGGCACTCACACAGGGGAGTCCTCCTGGGCAGCACAGCACAGCAGTCCTTGTGAGGCCTGTCAGGCCCCGCCCTGGGCCAGGTGGTGAGTGGCAAGAAGGAGCAGGGCCCTCAGGCACTCACACAGGGGAGTCCTCCTGGGCAGCAGAGCAGTCCTTTTGAGGCTTCAGGCCCCGCCCCGGGCCAGGAATAAGTGGCAAGAAAGAGCAGGGCCCTCAGGCACTCACACAGGGGAGTCCTCCTGGGCAGCAGAGCAGTCCTTTTGACGTTTCAGGCCCCGCCCCGGGCCAGGTGGTAAGTGGCAAGAAGGAGCAGGGCCCTCAGGCACTCACACAAGTAGAATTCTGTAGTTCGTTATTATTCCATTGGCACAGCCAACAAACGTAACTTGGCAATACCTCTTCGTACCACAAAAAATTTAAAAACAAAACACTTACCTTTTCCACAGCTTTTTCATTAATTAGCGGTCCCTGAGTTGTCCCTTCATCAAACCCATTGCCAATACGTAGCTCTGACTTAATGGCTCGTGCAAACTTTTCTACGAATGCATCGTGGATCCCTTTTTGCACCAAGAAGCGGTTTGTACACACACAGGTCTAAAGTCAAAAGAAATAGCGTTTGTTTTCAGTTAGGCATACACTAGTGCTTTGTTGTTTAATGTCATGGGCTCCTTTGGGAGGAAGGGTGGGGTAAAAATTTAAGAAATAAGCCAAAATGTTTAAATCAAGATCAAATGTATGCTGGAAATGTAAAGAGAAAGAGGGAACCTTTTATCATATGTGGCTGATGTGCAAAGTGGTAAAAGCATTCTGGGAGATGATATATATAATGAGTTGAAAAAAATGTTATAGAAAGCTTTTTCTTAAGAAACCAGAAGCTTTTCTTTTAGGAATTTTAGGTGCAGAGATTCCAAATGACCAGAAGACATTATTCATGTATGCGACTACAGCTGTCTGGACTCTGCTAGCTCAGAGATGTAAAGAAAATACAGTCCCTACCAAGAAAGATTGGCAGATAAAATGGATGGACTATGCTGAAATGGCAAAACTGACTGGAAGAATCAGGAATCAGGAAGTATCAAATTTTAATAAGGAATGGTGAAAATACATAACGTATTTTTAAAATTTATTGTAAACTATTAAACTCATTAGTAGGATTGACATAAAACTGTGAAATGTGCAATAATATTTGTTGACATATCCTACTGAGCTCTGTTTGTGCTTGGCTGTGTATCATGGGAGGCATGGAAGCATTCCGTTTTACATGCAAATGCTTTGGTTTCTACCTTCATCAGCGACACAACTGAGTTTCATGAGCAACAATGTCAGATTTCAAACTAGATTCCAGTGCAATAAATGCTGAGGGCAGAAGTCTTCAGAGGGCAACACTAGCTAACCACAAGAGAGGTTAAAAGTAAAGGAAAAGGCAAAAGTTTTAAGTACTGCCCTCCAAATTAAAGCCAAGGGTTTAGTCTGTACAGCTAGTGTAGACTCCAAGTGTCCCAGAACTGGACTTCCACCCAAGCATGAATAAACTCCCCTTGAAATCAATAACACTTCTAAGTAAATCAGAATGTAATGGTCCCACTGTAACTGAACTCTGCTTAGTTATAGCTGGGTTGTATTCTGAACTGTCAGACTTATTATTATGACACCTGCTTTTTATAGATCAAGAATGAGGGGTGAAACGTCTTTGCTTGTGTCCACCCCCCCTGCCCCAGTACAAGGCATAACCAAATTTGTAAAAGAGCAGTGCTCAAATTATCTGCAAGTGTGGTAGGGGTGAAAACAGGGGAGATTAATCTCACCTGGCCTGAATTTCTGTATTTGGAAGCCAAAGCTCCTGCTACCGCTTTGTCTACATCAGCACTATCAAACACTATGAATGGAGCGTGTCCTCCGAGCTCCATGGAGACCCTCTTCACAGTGCCAGCAGCATGGCGCAGCAATATCTGCAAGTACACAGGAAACACAGAAAGCTGTACACCTACAAAGATGAATTATACAAACTTAGCTTTTTTTGAATGCCGAGAGAATACTCTGTAGTTGAAATCACAAGTTCCCTATTAAACTACCTACTCATTTTTCTAATCTAAGGAGTAAATGTAGATCTCAAAGTCTTCAGTGCTTATTTTAGATGATGATGATGATGATGATAATAATAATAATAATAAAAAATAGTAGTAGTAGTAATAGCAGTAGTAGTAGTATGCCCCAGCCACTCTGAGCAGCTTCCAACAACTTTTAAAACCACAGTATAATTTTCCTAATTATACACAGTGCCCAGCCTTGGACATGGGGTGTTCTCTAAAGCAATAGATGTGAATCTTTGAAACAGTCCCATTCTTTTTAATACCACTTTGCATGCATTAAGACACTGGTCTGAGATGAGTTGATCCAATTATGTAAGTGAATGGAAAATGACTACTGGTTTTAGACTGAGTTTCAAGGGATGGCAGTAAGGGTCAAACTAGACAAGACAAGATATAGATATAGATATAGATATAGATATAGATATAGATATAGAGATAGAGATAGAGATAGAGATATAGATATAGATATCTTTTTATGTATGTGACTACAGCGGCACGGATATTGATAGCCCAATGTTGGAAAGAGGAAAAGATCCCAACAAAAAAAGATTAGCAAATTAAGTTAATGAAATATGCGGAAATGGCTAAATTAACAGAGAAACTTAGAAATCAAGACAATAACAAATTACAAAATGGGAATGGGAAGTCTTTATTGCATATATATCAAAGCATTGTATACAAGTTGATACATTAGCAGGATTTTAAGAAACATTTGCATTATTATGATAAAAGATAGAACTGGATACAATTAGATGAATAATATTACATGGACATGCATGAATTAATCATAAAACAATGGAACCACGGGAGGGGGTAGAGGGAAGTCAAGAGAATTGAGAAATCCCACATTTGGATGTTCTATTGAATATATAAACAGCACTGTGAAGTTTTTAATTTTTATTTCTTTTTATTTTCTTTTAAATGTTTATTTTATTTAATGTGATGTTTGTCATAATGAAAATCAATAAAAATATTATTAAAAAACAAAACAAACTAGACAAGATAACATCTACCCAATTAGCAACTTCATTTTAGCTATGTATTTTAGCCACAAATTTGCAGCAGTTTATGAGCCAACATTGAGAAGCTTACCTTTCCTGTAGCCGTTGAGCCTGTAAAAGAGATCTTGGCTACCAAAGGATCAGTGCACATCACTTCCCCAACCGCTACTGCCTGTTGTCTAGAACAGGGAACAACATTATACACTCCTGCAGGTATTCCAGCCCGATTTGCAAGCTGCAGCGAAAAAATAGTGGCATGAAACTGGTTAGAATTATATAATAATGATAAACAACAACTGGTTAGAATTATATAATAATGATAAACAACAAGCTGAAGATGGTGCTGAGCTTTTTCTTGTTGCAAGTGTGTCACAAGCATTTAAAAACCACACATAATTTCAATAATCTTATTTTTAAAAATAACCAAAAAGTTAATCTGCCTTTTATATAGTGTATGTGAATGCTTTTAGATTTTTATTCCATTTTTAGCTTTATACTGGTTTCAGTCTTTGTACTATTCTACAAATAACTCAGAGTGACTTAGAAAAAAATGACTAGTAAGTGCAATAAATAGTAATAATTAATCCACTGTTCATCAATATAAAAATCTCACCTCAGCAAGTGCTAAAGCAGATAAGGGTGTATCTTCTGCTGGTTTCACCACCACTGTGCAGCCAGCTGCCAAAGCAGCACCAACTTTCCTTGTAATCATAGCACTTGGAAAATTCCACTAAATTGAAGAAACAGGTGCATTTAAATGCTGTGTGCACATTGGTGCAATAAAACAACTGGCAAGTTCTGAAATTTGAGGGGGAAATTAGCAAGATAGAAAGCTTTTAAGATCCTTGGCTGTTGTTTGATCCATCTGCTCCCAAGATCCTGGCAACTTCTAGATACCATCAAACCATGTATAAAAGCCACTCTCCTTTCCACCAACAAAATGGGACCTTAACTTCCACTGAATGGTTTGGAATCCCATTGTCTCTGCAGAAACTGTGTAGTTACCATGTAGGGACGCCAGATACCAGAAAGAAGACTCAGCAAGCCTACCATTAGCCCCACATCTCAAATTCACTTCCCTGGGAACTGCATACAATCATGGCATTGCAGATGTAGCCCCTTTGCTGGTGACTTTTAAAGTGACCTTAAAAATGCCTTCTATTGCGTTCAGCTAGCTTTTAAATTTTGTTAATTTTATGCTGTTATTAATTTTAGTTGCTCCAGCACAATTATTTCCAGTTGTGGGCTGTTTTAATTAACAGATATTTATACTTACCCCGAGAGACTTATGCTAAAGGACAGGATAAGCCTGAGAGTGCTAAAGTACTTGCTGAAAGCTCAGAAAGCATAAAGAGGACTGGGTGAGTTTTCCAGCGAGTGATGCTTCTGTAGCTAGTGAGGTTTTCTTTGTCGTTTATCCCCAAGTCCTAGCATAGGTATGGGACGCGGTGGCGCTGTGGTCTAAACCACTAGCCTAGGGCTTGCCGATCAGAAGGTCGGCGGTTCAAATCCCTGCAACAGAGTGAGCTCCCGTTGCTTGGTCCCTGCTCCTGCCAACCTAGCAGTTCAAAAGGACGTCAAAGTGCAACTAGATGAATAGGTACCACTCCGGCGGGAAGGTAAACGGCGTTTCCGTGCACTGCTCTGGTTTCACCAGAAGCAGCTTAGTCATGCTGGCCACATGACCCGGAAAATACTGTCTGTAGACAAAGGTTGGCTCCCTCGGCCAGTAAAGCGAGATGAGTGCTGCAACCCCAGAGTTGTTCGCGACTGGACTTAACTGTCAGGGGTCCTTTACCTTTACCTAGCATAGCACGTATATTTCAATGCATTTAAAACCTGTATATTGTGTGCAAAATTTCAGTTTTCATTGTAAGAATTTTAATTCATTGGCCTCGGGGCATCACTAATCCTGCCTCTTCTGAATATTAAGAGTAAAAGTCTGACTTAAACAGTCAGCTGAACTCACAGGAGTAATGATGGCAGCAACTCCCACAGGCTGCTTAAGAACTAGAACTCTTCTGTCCTTTGCAGAAGACGGGATGATGTCACCATAAATGCGCCGAGCTTCTTCAGCAAACCATTCCAAGAAAGAAGCAGAATAAAGAATTTCACCCTGTGCTTCCTTCAGGGGTTTCCCCTGTGAATGATTCAGAATGCAGACATTCACATGCAGAGAACTACAAAACGTCTCTCCCCCAACAAAATGATTACAATGAAGGATTTGTGTGATCACGTTTGTTTTTCATTCTAAAGTGCGATTTTTAAATGTCTAAACTGCCTTCCAAGTGCTGGCACTTGCCTTTAAAGTCCTCCTCCATCTGATACAAACCTTAAGAGTCGAAGGCTTAGACAGTCTCTGCATATATGAAGGAGATGTTGTCTTAGAAATGTGGATTTAAACTCATATTTGCCAAGATAATGTACATCGTAGGATGCACGCAACCAAGAATTAGTGGGCAGAGTGCTTAACCCCTCCTACGTCTGCTAGTTCTCCTCTGCAAAAAATCCTGTCCACTAGGCAATTTCCTTTTCAGCTGGGTTTGCCTACTGTTATTACCTGCCTGAAGGAAAACGTTAAGCACTGCTAAGCAGAAGATGGGAGGATGCATGGAGTCTTGCGGGGAGAAAGTACCTGGTGTGAAAGGGTAAAGTCCCCTCACCCGGTCTCCTTAGAAGTTTCCCTGTTGACCCCTGAACTATTTTTATGAGGGAAATATGAGGTTGGACCTCCATATTTCTCTTGTAGCATCTACTTTGTATTTCAGCCTTCCATGCTGTTTATGTTCAGTTACTTAGGCCTTCTTCCAAGAGCCTTCACTTCACAGTGTTAGAACAGCAGCAATAAACATGGTCTTCACAATTGAGTGCTCCGAGGCTATGGAATAACATCCATGTAGAGATTTGGAACTGCTCTCCTTCATCAACCTTCAATAAAGTACATAAAACCTAACTATTTTAGAAGATGTGAAGTTAGTTTCTGAGATGTTTAGAAGCAACACATCCATAATTTAAGATTACTAGATGGTTGTTTAAATGTCCTGTGGCCATTTCGACCTCAGGAAAAGCAGGTTAAAACATATTAAAAGAAATAAACAAGCTTGCACCTGCAACCCTACACAAACTTTCTTAGAAGCAGATTCTTCGGAATCAGGTCTTCTGTGTTACTTTGGGGGGGGGAGCTTCAAAAAGTCACACATGAAAGTTTCTGCATTTGTCGTGACATATTGCAACATGGAATGATGTCTGAACTGCACCCATTGATTGCTTCACCTTCTAGGTGAGATTCTTGTAACTAGCTTCCTGAAATTCAGCCCCAAATCCCTGAGGAATATGTCCCCCCCCATCTTTTTATACTTACATTCTCTGCTGTTATGATCCTTGCAAGGTCATCTTTATTCTCTATCATCAAATCAAACCATTTACGAAGTAAAGCAGCTCTTTCCTGAAAAAGAAATAGTGTTTTAGCAGTATCACTGCCAAGTGCAAAAATTATTGTTACTCCAATATTACTTGCATGCTTTACAGTATTTAAATTTGCTTGTCTCCCAATAATCCTGCAAGTAGATTCAGGTTCAATTCTAACAGGACTACTAACAAAAGTTGATAAAATTAAATTTGGTGTGCTCTGGTCCATGGGGTCACAAAGAGTCAGACACAACTAAACAACAACAACATGCATCTCCACTCAAAGATGGAACTTAAGTATTATAATTAATACATGTATGATTTCCCCATGTTTCTTACGTATTGTACATAAAGTACCCCAGGGAACGTAGCTAATGGGGAAACAAATGAACAAATAAAGGATTTCCTTTACTCTGAAGGTGCAAGTTATTTTTTTATTATTTACTTCATTTATGAGTTGCTTCCCATGAGACATCCCCAAGGCATAATAATGTATATACAACAGTTGGTTATCTACCCCAGTAGAATTTTTTTTCAAATCTGCCCCAAAACAGGTATTTGGCGCTTAGAAAGGCAAAATAAAGCCTATATATTTAAGGCCACCCTGCAAACCACATTTACTAGAGAAAAAGCTCTTCTGAATGCAGTGGAACTTACTATATGCATAGCCTTATACGACTTCAAGCAATATGTCTCTGGACCACTTATATTGCAAGAAAAACATACATGTGTACTGTGCCAATATGCTTGATATTTTATGGAAAGCTATCATTAGCTGTCAGTGATGCCCAGGTGGTTAGGGGGAAACACTCTGTACCAGGGGTGCCAACTTGAATAAAATATTGGGATGGGGACAGGTAAGCCCCACACCACCTAATCGATCACAAGACCTGGCACACACACACCTTTTGACCATCACCTTTGTACCTCAAATATTTCATTAGGTTTCTATGCTATGTACTTAGGAGACACTCCTTTTTTAAAACAAACAAATCACTAAACTGATTAGTTGCTTGTCACCAGAAGGTCTACAAGCAACTTGCAGCAAATACATAATACCAAAAGGGAAGAAATTGATTGATCGCCTAACATAACACTTACGGGGGAAAAACAACAACCCTCACCCTTCCTATCAGGGCTGGATTTAGGTTTGATGAGGCCCTAAGCTACTGAAGGTAATGGGGCCCTTTATATGTCCAGCTTCCTTTGTCAACAACAAACTGTCACTGTTTTTTTGTGTTAAATATATGCTGTATGATAATTTATGAACCTAATAGGTATCTAAAGTCACTTGCACATGCAGAATGTAGGCACCCTATATATAGAAATGAGCAAACCAGTGATATTTTAGGGAGCAGGCTAGCAGGCAGGGCCCATTACTTACATCATATTTGTTTTTCATCTTATATTTTGGAAATGTACATCCAGGGTTTTTTTCCCTTTAATTTTTTTGGGGGGCCCTAAGCTATAGCTTGCTTGGCTTATACTGTACGCAAATCCGGCACTGCTTCATATAAATAATAACAAGCAGCACCGACCCATTCCTCTATCTGCTGCTTCTCCAGAGCAAACTCCGGTTGAGTTTAAACCCTGGGGGGAGGTCTCTTTGAAGGAGGAGCATTCCCTTTCTCCAGAAGTGGCAGACGCCTTCTGCATAACCCTGTCTCGGTGTCCCCACGGCGCGTCTCGAAGGGCGTGCGCGCGCGTTCCTCCCCTATGTGGGGCTGCCCATGACCTACAGCTGATGCCGGTGGGTGGCCACATGGCAAGGAAGGCCGGGCTCCTCTCTTTTAACAGCTGTGCACAAGGCGCCGGCGGGCATCCATCCCTCTTGCGCACAGGCGCAGGAGGGAGCCTGGAGTGGGGCTCTTGCATGCTCGGCTCCCCCTGCCTTGGAAACTCTCCGCGCGTCCCGCAAACCGTCCCCCTTCCTCACCTTGGCAGACGCCCCGCTCCAAGCAGCGCCGGCCTCGTAGGCGGCCCTCACCGCGGCCTGCGCCTCCGCCGCCCCGCAGTCCGCCACCCGGCTCAGCTCCGCGCCGCTGGCCGGGTCCCGGACGGGGAAGGCGGCCGCCGCTTGCACCCAGCGGCCTCCCACGAAGCCTCCGGTGCGCACCAGGGAACTGGCCAGCGCCCCTGCGCCCGGGCCGGCGCTGCTGCTGCTGCCGAAGCGGACACCGCCGGGCGCCGCTAGCCAGAAGCGAGAGCGGCGGGGAGGAGGAGGGCGACCGAGCGGGGCTCGGAGGCCCAGCGACGCCCAGCGAGTCGCCATGGCCTCGGCGCCTGGGAAGGGGGTTGGAGAGGGTGGAGCTGGGGGCGGGCGAGGGCGAAGGCCCCGCCGAGCGTGGAGCTCCTCGGCAGGCGGGTTTCCCGGGAGCGAAGTCCCTGAAGGCTGCAGCGCCACTCGCGCTTACTCGGGAGCAAAGCCTCGGTGGAACTTGCTTCCAAGCAGAGAACTGCACAGCGCTGCAACTCCGGGCAAATGCACTTGGGGCCGTGCTCATCCAAGGATTTAGTGGTCTTTAAGCATAGGAGCCAACTCCTAGCGACCAAGGTGCCTTTGCTTCCCCCCTCTATTAAAATATTTGAATGGCATTGCCATTCGAATAGTGAGCATGTGCCGCGCATATATTGTTCAAGGTGGCACACCTGTCTTTAAGCCACTCTCCTGTGCTTGCTTGCTGGAGAGATTCGCCTTTAGCCCAAGCCTGCGTCGTCTCTTTCATTATCATGTCTCCGTGCGAGTGCTGCTGCTTTGGAGGATGCTCGGTGGCAGAGCATCCTCTTTGCACGCAGCAAGTCCTAGGATCAACCCTAGCCTCTCCAAGTAGGGCTGGGAAATAATGCCCTCTGCCTTGAACTGCAGAGCCATTGCCACCAGCCAGTGTAGGCAATAGCTAGGAGATGCCCTGGCCCAAACTGGAGAGTCACTGCCAATCAGTGTAAGCAGTGCTGAACCAGAGTTGAGAGTGCTTGAGAGCAGAGCTGTGTGTGTCTTGCAGCCCTTAAGCTAGCCTGCTCCCCTTAGGGAGAGTGGAGGATTGTTATGTACTGAGTTGTGGAAGCCAGATTCAGCTGCCCTTCCAGCTGGTTTCTGCCCGGGCATGGGAAGGCACTGCCTTGTCATTTGCTTTGGGGCAGCCCTCAGTTTGGGTCTCTTAACCTGGGACTGGCCAACAGCTGTATCATATCTGTTCCCCCAAATTTGTGACCTGACCATTAAAAAACATTTTGCCCTGCCTCCTCACAGATAATAATGTGGTTGCCAGTGTAATCATGGTGGGTTTCCCAGTTGATGGAATGGGTGAGGTCAAACACAGCTGTGGCAGTGCATACAGCAGCCTTTGCCAACCAGGTGCCCTCCAGATGTTTCAGACTACATCTCCCATCAGCCCCAGCATCATATGGGACAGGCTAGCTCAGCGGTCAGCAAACTTTTTCAGCAGGGGGCTGGTCCACTGTCCCTCAGACCTTGTCGGGGGCCGGACTATATTTTTTTGGGGGAAAGAACGAATTCCTATGCCCCACAAATAACCCAGAGGCATTTTAAATAAAGGGACACATTCTACTCATGTAAAAACATGGTGGTTCCCAGACTGGCCGCGGGCTGGATTTAGAAGACGATTGGGCCAGATCCGGCCCCCGGGCCTTAGTTTGCCTACCCATGGACTAGCTCCATCAGGCCTCCTCTCCCCTCAGCTGTCATCAGAGGCAGCTGTTCCAGGAGTGGGAGAATTTTCCCCTAGTACAGGAGCTAATGGGCGACACACACAAAAATGACTGTATGAGTACAGTCTTTGGTCCTGGTACTTTGGTATTTGCTCCCATATAATGTGTGAATCAGCAGCAACACTTGTGAATGTAGTAAAACTCTCCCCAGGGGGTTAACTTCTACTAAATGTTCTTATTCTTATTCTTAATGCATTATGGACATTAACAGAACGAGACACAACCATCAGTATTTTAGGTTGTTGTTTTTCAGTGAAATACGTTATTTTTACTGATATCACCTGCATTAGCAGAGAACGGTTTAATGAACAATGGTGCGTTGAGAGAGAAGGAAGGAAGGAAGGATGCCAAACATCATACAATAATATCCTTTCTCTGTTCTAGGCATCATTTCACAGATATCAATAGAAAAGAGACATCGTATTAAGTTTCGTTGGGACCGATTCTTGTCTCAGATCCGTTGGCTGATACAGGGGAAACTGGCAACACATTTCCAAATCATGTGAGGGCTTTAGTTTATGTGCCAGTCACATATTTGATTACGAAATGCACTGTAGCCCATATTTCAAAGGTCACAGTCCTCCTATTGAAAGCATCTTGAAAACCATGGTTTATAGTCCAGAATATCCACAACATGGAAGCTTTCAAGATCTGGTCTGTTCTAGCTGTACTTTGCAGTTTTTGCCGTGAAGGTACACCATGCGGCTTGTCAACACATATTGAAATAGGTAAGATTTGATAATAAAGGCATGAGTGTTGTGAAGCATCATAACAGATAATTTCTGTAATCTGACCATTATAGTTACCAGGTAAGTGTTATTTAAGGGGGGGGATATGCAGCAATTGTTGAATAAAATACTGCAATTACCATGTTATTTTAAACTGCTAGCAAGGCTAGGGCTGCATGTATCTAGAGAAGGTGAAATGATACCAGCATAATGCAAGCTTGGCATAGTTTATTAACAGAAAACAGCATATATGTGTGCTATCTTCAATCATATTAAAAAATCTGAGTATCTTAGCCTTCAGGACTAATTTTTATATGCAGAAATTAGATGCTAAATGTTTTCTGAGCTTTCAAGCCTTTAAAAAAAATATGCTTACCTTATAATTTATCTGCCCGATATTTGAGAAATCAAGGGGAGAGGGTAGCTTAAGAATTAGAAATATATTTCATTGTGGAATTTGTGTCTTAAATGCGGAGGCTTCAGTTGCAATTCATTTTGTAATGAATTTTCAGCTACAAAGTTTATGGCTAGGAGGCAATTCAGGCATTTAACTTCTTTTATTCATGCTTTTGTTCTAGTCTTTTGCACAAGGCATCTTAAAACAATACATTGTTAATACAACAAGTGAAATTTGGATTAAGCAATATGGTCAAATTGAAAGACTGCTGGAATGGGTAGGATAACCATGATAAAAATAAACACACTACCAGGATCATGTTTATTTACAAATTTGCCATTACCTGTTTCTTCATAAATTTTGTCATGGCAAAATAATAGATTGTGTGTGGGTAAGTAAGTTAAGGATATCTCCTGATATTCTTTGAGAACCAGTAGGTGAAGGCAGTGGCGTAGCGTGGGGGGTGCAGGGGGGGCCGGCCGCACCGGGCGCAACATCTGGGGGGCGCGCTCGCACTCGCAGCTCTCTGCCACCTGCTAAAATCCACGGGTTAGGGGGCGCAAATTACTTGCCTTGCCCCGGGTGCTGACAACCCACGTTACGCCACTGGGTGAAGGTTGTTTGACATTTCCTGATATTAAGGATGCAGCAAAATCTGGACACTGTAGGGAATTGCATATTTCCCAGAGGAGGGTAAGTGATCTCCAGTTAAGTACTTCAGACCCCCTGTTTTTCAATTGTTTTTCAATCAGGAAGCTAATGTGATGTTATTTTTCTAGCTCACAGAGCTCTGGAATTTTTCAGCAGCCCAGAAGGAAATGTTAACTATCGCAAGGTAGGAAGCTTATGAGTCTAACATTAAAAAGCATTTTAATAAATATTTCCTCTTTCTGGTACCTTCTCCACCTACCCCAGCACTGAGCCTCCTTCCATGCCTTTTCTTTTTGTAACTTTTACAAAAATTGTCCAGACCATAGGCTAGGGGTTAGCCACCCCATTGTAAAAGAATTGACATTTGTTCATCCTTACCAAACTATGTAAAACCTTGTTATATTTACCTTTAATATTTTTATGAGTATTTAAGAGACAGTATTTGAGTGATTTTAACATTACCTAGATGTGAGTATTAAGTACTATATTGTTTTAGTACTTGAAATATTGGTAATATGCAACTAGTAATATTCTCTCTTCCCCCTCCCCTTTTCTCTCTTACTTTTATTTCTGTTTCTTCACCATTCTCTTGTCCAGTTGATACTAACCCACCAAGATGCCTATCAGGCTGGAAGCCTGTATCCTGATGCCTTTTATTCTGGTATCTGCAGGAATGGTAATAAATGGTTGGAGAAATTAGGTTTTTTCCCCTTGCCCCCCAAAACCATACTACTGACAAGTAGCCTGATTAATTTACTAGTTGGCTGGCTAGGGGTCCATATACAGTGGCCTCCTGCTGCTGCCGTGCCGCTGGAGCATGATTTCTGTTCTCATCCTGAAGCAAAGTTCTTAACCTGAAGCACTATTTCTGGGTTAGCTGAGTCTGTAACCTGAAGCGTATGTAACCCGAGGTACCACTGTATATAAATTGTAACTATGCCAGTGGAGAGTCCGAAGAGAAGAAACCACTGTTCAAACAACAAATGCCAAGGAACACTGCAGGAGGAATTAGGAGAATAATTATAGTTGCAGGCCAACAACTTCTGGGGACCCAAGGTTAAAGAAGCCTACTTTAAAAGGTGCAGGCAGAGGAGATCAGTCAAGGCATTTGATCATTTAAACCGGCAATCTCTTTTTACAATTCCACGTTCCTTTGGTATGAGTGCATCTTGGGTTGATACGTTTTATAATTTATACTATGTGTTACTGGCCCAACTTTTTGTGAATGGGGAAAATATTTTGGAGAAGAATTAGAGGAACAACTCTGGCAACCAATTTGGAATAAACTACTATTTGGATGCATCTCAATTAGAACCCCAAGAAAATTCTTTAAATGTAGCACATCGCTGGTATATGTACCCAGCCCGACTGTATAGAATTAAGCACAACACACTCAACCTTTGCTAGTGGAAATGCAATGAAGTACTGGCTCTCCAATCCACATGGGGTGGTTTTACTGAAAAATTATTCCTTTTTGGGAAAAAGTTTTTTCAAACAATCAAATGATGGGACAATTGCTGCAACCAGAAAACCAGACCCCAAATTAGCCCTACTGCCATGTTTTATTCCTCGGATTAAGATCATAACCAATAAAGACCTCTTCCTTCATTTATTAACTGCAGCTAGATTAGTGATTGTGGAAAATGGGAAAACTTTAATTGCAAATCTTTTTGAAGCCCGGATTTCGCAAGTATGGGACATTATGCTTTTGGACAAATTAACCGCTTCACAAAAGGAATATCAGTTGAGGGAGTTCACACCTTCTAAATGACATGGTATGCTTTTATTGACTTTGTTAAGACAATTGAAATTGGTTTTCACCCTCCATCGACTCATGGAACCTTACGGAGAGACATGTTCATTTGATTGGCTTTCTTGGAGCGTCTAAAACTGCAACCCTCCAATGCTATTTTTCTTTCTTTTCTGTACAGCTACTAATCTCTGTTTTACTTGTATGGGTATGTTTTGTTACTTGAAATTAAAAATCAATTAAAAAATTATCATGAAATAATGTTGTTCTTGTCTGGTGTTTCAGGGCTGTTCCGTCAAGTATCTGAAGACACTCACTGGGCACCTTTTCTCAGTACCAGTGTCCATTACATCAGAAAGAACTATCCTCAGCCCTGGGGAGAGGTAATAAATCCCCCATAAATTGCGCAGGCCGAAGGCCCTGGTATCATTCTTTTCATAAATCTTATTGTTCTTTCCCTTTCTCATTTGTACCAAAAGCATTTGAAAGAGAAAATGCCAAATTAAATTTGACGTTTCATAATGACTAGCTGTAAAAATGGCAGCGTGCATGCCCACTGAAGATGCTATATAAATAAATAACATACCACATAGATTTCTCCCTTGTGTTGGTGAAAGCATAGGCAAGGTTTCATCAGCAAACATGTCAACTAAATGTCTCCAAATACCTTTTGAGAGTTTGGTTTCAATGCACTTAATGCAGAATTGCTTGTTTTTGTTTCTGTTGTTTAGGCCACAGAGAAACTGGTGGCTTTCCTCTTTGGCATCGCTTCTCATATGGTGGCAGATGTGAGCTGGCATAGCTTGGGGATTGAACAAGGATTTTTACATGCCATGGCAGCTGTAAGTGGTGCCTTATTTTATTATTAGGCTCGGGTCATTTTTTCCTTGTGACTGAAGCATGCAACAAGCATATTTTATCATTTGGTTTTGTTGTTCCCCTTAAGTGACAATCGCATAATATCTGGGGTGGGAGGGAGAAGGATGGAAGGAAAGATCCTTACTGCTGTTCATCTTTAAAAAAATTAATTGGTTGGATGTTCTCTGTAGTACAAGAGAACAGGGAGAGCACAAACTCTTAAGATTCTGATGAGTAAGGATGGTTGTTGAGTAGTAGCCATTATGGTTTGGTAGACATGAAAGAAACACCTTGGCAGTTTTGGAGGTAGCCAGAGAAGGAGACAAAAGTCTTGAGTTTTTGCAACTGATTGGCTAGGAAATCCTGCTGGAGGAATCCTGTATGTGGAACTTTATGCAAAGGCGAGGGTGAAAAAGAAGCTTCAGGGGTCTGGGTCATCTCCTATGTTGCTTTGTATCAAAGAGGAGAAATGAGAAATTTTGATTCTGTTCATGTTCCTGTTTCTTTGATGTAAATAACTTGTTTCTATTTTTCCTAGATTGATTTTTATGGCTCATATTCAGATGCTCACGCTGCTGGTGATTTTGGTAATTTATTTCCTTATGGATCCTGGAATGTTCTCCCTAAATTTCCATTAAATTCCTGAAGGTTCTTACAGAAAAAACTGATATCACTAAGGTTTCAACGACTTTATCCCTGAAATAAGTGATTTGTTTAACCATGGCACTTGTTTCTTTCTGCATAGCTTGTTCAGTTTCACATGGGGCATTTCAGCTGGCTGAGATGCTTGACTTAAGGCCCTTAAGCAGACACTGAGAAACTTGCTCAGGTTCTGAGCATAAGGGAGAGGACAAATCCAAAAGTATGTGGCAGACAGGAAGAAATGCCCTTAATGGAACTGAGCAAGCTAGAAAGAAACTAGTTGGGCCTGTGGAGGTGTTCCAGATTTTGTTCAAATTTAAAAGGCGGGCAAAATTCTTTGTATGGTTTTTGCTTCAGTAAGTTGATGTCTTGCTCTCTTTTCGCCCTCTAATTTTAGGAGGAGACGTGCTGAGCCAGTTTGAGCTTGATTTTAGTTATTTGGAATCAAGTTGGTAAGTGTGCTATTTTCAAAACAGAGAGGGTGAGAGTGAGAGAGAGTGTGCAGGGAGCAGAGGGTTCAGAAGCAGAGACAGTGGCGAAAGATCCATGGTTTAACCACTACCACCAATGTGGTGTTGAGGAACCAATGTTACAACATTATAACCAATGTTAAACATTATAAGCACTGCAACCAATGTTATAACATTATCCTTGCATCAGGGAGCAGGTGGCACTGTGGTCTAAACCACTGAGCAAGCCTCTTGGGCTTACCAACTGGAAGGTCGGCAATTCGAATCCATGTGAGGGGGTGAGCTCCTCCCATTGCTGTGTCCCAGCTTCTGCCAAGCTAGCAGTTCGAAAGCACACCAGTGCAAGTAGATAAATAGGTATTGCTGTGGTGGGAAGGTAAACGGCGTTTCCGTGCGCTCTGGCTTCCGTCATGGTGTCCCAGGGCGCCAGAACAGTTTAGTCATGCTGGCCACATGACCTGGAAAGCTGTCTGTGGACCAATGCTGCTCCCTCAACCTGAAAGCGAGATGAGCGCCACACCCCATAGTCGTCTTTTACTGGACTTAACTGTCCAGAGGTCCTTTACCTTTACTTGCATCAGGGACTCTGGGGTTGAAATTATCTTGTCTAGTTTGTTCACACCTGTTGTTGCCTGTGGCTTCACCCGCTGGGGAGGGGGGCGCTGCGGATGGGTCCACAATTTTAGTTGAGGACTTGATTTATGCCAATGAACTTTGTTGGTTTAAATAAGAAACTCCGCTGTTCAATATATTTAGGTATGTGCCAGTCAAAGATTTACTGTCAATCTACCAGGAACTTTATGGGCTGAAAGTAATAACTGAAGACACGATTGTTGACTGCACGTATCTGCAGTTTCTTGAAGTGTAAGTCAAGCTAAATGTTTCCATTTTTATTCCTACAGCAGTGCAGGTTTTTATTTTATATTTAATTTTATTATATGTTTGATCCCTTTTTTTAATGAAGAACATACTAAAAATCCTCTCAGTATAGTAATTGAATGAGAAAATAAATAATTTTGGGAAAGCAAAACTCAGTGTGGAGGACACTGGGCCGAAACAGAGGAAGTTTGTTGTTGATGGGTTAGACATGCAAATAAGGATAGAGCAAGTGCCGTTAAATGATGAGAATTGGAGAAGAAAAGGTGCGAAAGAAGAAAGTTTAAAGTTGTGATGCGTGTTTTATTTTTTGTGGAAGGGATCTCCCATAAGTGGATGGGCCAGAGTAGATAGAAGGACAATTGGTTGGTTTTTAAAAAATTTTTGCTTTGGTGCTAAAGGAAAGATTGGAAGGGACTGACATATTGAAATGGGAAACAGATAAATATTAAGGAGGAGATGTCTCAATATATACATTTTAAAGGAAATCATGGTGTGGAGTTGAAGGAGATGCCGGAGGGATGTGGACATATTTTAACATTTGCTGATGGGCCAGCAATTGTTGCCCTTATTCTAAACATTTCTTTGCACTGCAGACTCATATCAGGCTGTGTGTTTAATAAATATAGTTTGGGTCAGATCATTATTTCAGCTGAATAACAAAACTGGAATAACCAATTTGTTAATGATTTTACTGAAATAAATGCGTTTAGCTGACAAATGCCCTTGTTATCTTTCTACATAGTGAATACTGCTTCCACATTGTAGTGGCCCACAAAGTCTGTGTTTGGCGTAATCATAAACTATTATTTAGCATTATGGGAATGAGCTGCAGGGAACCTTTCCTTCCTCAGTGTGCCCATGAAGAGAAAAATCAGAAGTTTCCATTTTCAAGTTTGATTAACTCAAGTGTTTTGTTATGTCAGAACTCATGCAAACAGGTTAATCTTAAAAATGGTTTGCTGAAACAAGCCAGCTTCGAACGTTAGGTAGTTAAACTTAACCACAGTTTAGGGGTTGGACGTAATGCTAAACTAAAGTTAATAAAAAAAGGAAATTAACTTTTGATCACCTTGGAGGTTAGAGGGAAGTATGTAAGCCTGTGACTCGCTTTGACTTGCTGCTGTAATGATAAACCGTAGTTTGTTGCAGCTAAATACTTTTATATGCAGTGCTTTTTTCTAAAAAATAATGTTTAGGAGTACTTTCATTTTCCTACTCATATTGAAATACTGCCCCTCAATGAGGCCAAACTTAGATTCACAAAATGTTTAGGGGTATGCGTCGCCCTGCGTCCCCCCCAGAGAAAAGCACTGTTTATATGGATTGCTTTAATTATTCCCTCCCCATTAACAGTGGAGCTATTAAGCAGTGATTTTAATAATCAGCTAAGAACTGAATATGTTATGTCTGTATTTAAACTGTCAGCTATCTTTATATAGAGGTACTCAAGGCAATATAAAAAACAACAACAGCAAAGTAAGCACATAGGTGTATATAAAAAGTGTTTTGTGCACTGAAAAGTTCTACACGGATGGTAAATAGAGAATACTGTACTTTCTCCTGCAGGTTTGGCGAAATGATCACTGTCGCTAAGGTAATGTATTTTTGTTGAAAAAAGCTTTCTTGAATGCTATTCTTGAAATTCTCATCTATCTAATTAATTTGCATTTCCATTTTCATAGCTTTACCCCATCTATGCCAGGAAGTCCCCATTTTTGGTGAACAGATTCCCTGAATATTTTCTCGGTGGTGTGGATGATATGGCATTCTCATCAAATAACATTTTTGAGCTAACAAGTCAAATGTTAGAGAATGGAACAAGGTGAGGTGCTGGTTTAACCTCTCTAGACCAGGGTATACTACTCTAAACCAATAATAAAATTTTGCAGATATTTTCATCTAAAAACAGTGGTTCAGATAAGTTGTGAATTGAGCTGTGGACGCTATAATAATTCACATGTAATAGCCACCCATTAGCCTTCTAACATTTCATATGAAGTGCTGATTATGTTTGCAATTATAGAAAACGAGTTTAAGGACATCTGCTTAATTCTGAGAGAGGAATAGTTGTGTGGTTTAATTAATACAATACAATGCAAATCTTTATTACGGGCATAAACCAGCATAAAAGGGTCATTTAAAATCTGAAAAGTGTTTTGGAAAGCTAAAAGGTGTTAAAACAGAATGTGAATATGAAAGTCTATAAGAAATTAAAATAAGCTAAAAGAAGGGATAGGATCATTGGGCGGGTGTGTAAGAGCATAAAAGGTTGATATATAAAAGACTTTAACTATTAATTTACAGAGCGCTCTGATACGTTCATTAAATCTAGTTTGTGGCACAGGTCATCCTCCGACAAATTTTGAGCGCTGCTGTGCAGAATCTAGCAACATTCTACGTTGTAGCAGGATTGGTATCTGAGAGCAGCAGGGAGGTATAGAATTGCCCTGTGTGTCCTGGGTACTTATAAAGTAGTAGTCAGTATTTAAAATTATGCATTTAGTATAATTATTTGAAAATTTCTTCTTTAGTGGCTGCTTTATTCCTGAGAATCCTTTGTATATACGCTGTAAAGATGAACAAACAAATGCTGTCATGTAAGTAAAGACATAACGTATGTCTGCCTAGTTTGATCGGTTGTCTGAACAATATTTGTCTTTTTCATGTTCATTCCATTAAACAAAATTCAGGTCATCTACATCCTATGTCTCTGTTGCAATCTAGATCAGAAAAAGCCCATATTCTTGCATTTCCTATAGGAGATCTCCAGAGAAATCTCCAGAGCAGATTTGGGGGGGTGTAGGAGAGGAAGTGGGAAGGGCAAGATGGAACAGCCCCACTGCATTAGTGGAAGCCATACTGTAGAACTTTGGACCTTGCCCGCTGATACATTCTCAGTCATCATCAGCAAACTTTCAGATACTTTAAGCTTTTCATTTATGATTTTCCTTTGATGAATACTATATAGTTGGAAGAAACCTCCAAAGGTAGCTGGTTCAACTCACTACTGATGCAGGAAATCCACTGTTATAGCATCCCTGGCTGGGGTCCACCCATTTGGCTGGCTTTCCTAAAAATATTGTTAGAATAACTTAATTTAAAACAGAAGTTTACCTCTGGGCTTGTAGAAGATTGTTCTTATGGAACAAATGGAAATGGTTTGTTAGTTTTTTAGTAAAAAGCTGGCATATACTTGTCAGCACAAAACGGAGAGTTTGTGTTGCCAAAATTACAACCATAAATACATCAGAGACCACAATGGGCTAAGTTTTGAGTGAAATACTAAATTGGATCATTCAAATGTTTAATAAATTTTTAAAAATACTTAAAGCACAGAACTATTGAGTATTGTCAGAAAATGTCCATAAAAAACCTTTGTGTACATTTTGTGTTTTAAACATTGGACTTTTCCAGTTTTGTACTTAACTAAAACACTTATGACATTGTAATCTCTTGTAAAGGGCTATCAGTGACATTTATTCCATTTTTATGTTCCCATAAGCAAATGTCTAATTGATATTGCCTAATTTCAGCAGAATCAAACAGTCCAAAACTGAGCACTACAGACAAACGACTTCTTCAATGGCCAAATCAGTTGAAAAAAATATCAGCTACACAGAGCGAGGAGTTTATTTTGAAGTGCCACCTTGGACAGCAGTAAGTCTTTCTGGCATTTAGATATTAATGGTAAGGGATAGAAATATATATGGAGATACATTGGACACCAAGTGCCTTGTTTGTTGGCAAGTTGCTTTCTACGTATTCTTTGCCACCCCACCCACCCAAAAACCTATATATTATGTTCAGGTAATACGAAGTAGTTTTTTGTTCTGTGCATTTCATGTAAAGCGCTCGGTGTGAAGCTACCATATGTGAGATATTTCTGTTCACTGTAGCTTATGGGAAACTCTGTAGGTGCCTGTCATGTGATTCCAAGTAAACCTTCAAGTCAAAATGTATAGTAGAATATGCAAACTGGCCTCAGCCAAGAGGTTGTAACAATGGCTCAATATTTTAGCAGCACTGCGCTAGAGTTTAATTAACCTACTGGACAACAGGCGATCTCCTTTCTTTCAAGAGGTCATGAGATACAGCTAGAGTAGGGTCTGATAACATAGGACATATATACAGGACTTTTTTCCTGGGGGGGACGCATACCACTGAACATTTTGTGACTCTAAGTGTGGTCTCATTGAGGGGCAGTATTTCAATATGAGTAGGAAAATGAGAGTACCCCTAAACGTTTTTTTTAGAAAAAAGCACTGTGTGTGTAGTAGTAGTAGTACATATAATAAAAAAACAGCTTTCTAATGAAATTGACAGTAGCTGTGTAGTGATGTGCCAAAATCTAGCCTCCATTTTTTAAAAAAAGTTTGCTTCCTCTGAGAAAGAGGCTTCCATTTGTCTGCCTCATTCTCAGGATGATTACAAATGTCCTCGGCCACTTCAGCGGTGAGGTAAGCGTAACAATAAAACCCTGCACCCCCATGTGACAATTCACCAAAATGTTCTCTCCTTTTTATAATCTTTGAGTGCAATTTCTTTTTCGTTCATTGACCAGACAGTGATGAAGCAAAAACAAAACAAAAAAGTAGGATAAATTCTTAGCACAGCACTAACTGTTTGCAAGTGTAGAGGCATCCGTTCATTGCAGTGAGTCTGGTGTATTGCACTAAATATAAATTTGGTCCTTGCTGGGTCAACAACCAAAATATAATTATGAATGTGCTTGAATATTCCTTTATGCATTTCCCCCCCAGAATTATCTTCAGTTGAGCAATAGTTCCACTGCAAAAGGTTTGAGGAGAGTGTTGTCAGTGACGACACAAGGGTCACCGAAGCATGTCACCAAACCCAGTGCTTCATATTTTCTGAAAACTCCATATGCTAGACTTGGGTGGTGAGTTCTGATTTCTCCATTCTGTTTTTGTCTGATAGATCAGCTTGTATGGACCCAATACTATTGCCTGGATGCTTATGCTACCTGCATGTAATAATTATGCAGGGAAATTATCTTGTTGGGAGGGGGGGGAACCCAAGCCATTTTATTTGCAATTTAAAGGCATGTAATCCTGTCGATACAGGATTGGTATAATAAAAAAATTAAAACAGATTTTGTTTTGGATCTCACCTTTCTTCAAGGCCACCACAGCAATTACTCTTTTCTATAGACAATTGAAAATCTGCAAATGAAAATGTGGAAGTTTTAAACAAATGTAAACCAAAAGAGTAATTGGAATTATTTCACTCAATATGCAGGGCGTTGATTTCTGCTGACCTAAACCAGGATGGCTACGATGACCTGGTAGCAGGAGCGCCAGGATACAGCCGGCTGGGACACATTCAGATAGGCCGTGTATATATTGTTTATGGTAACGAATCAGGTTTGCCTCATGCAAACTTGGACCTAGACCAGGAAGCAGATTGCATTCTGGAGGTGAATAAGGTAGGAAAACAAGTCACACATTGGTCATTGAAAACATTTTGCTTGTGTTTCCGGTCATCTGAAAGACTGATGGCATCTTCTTTTCTACTAGCAATGCCATTAACTTCATTTCTAAAATAATCACTTAAAGATAAAAGTCCATTGTGAATAAAGAGCATTGCTCGCTTAAAACTATTAAGGACTCTTTACTGATGATCTATATTAGCTAATTGAAAGTAGTAGGGTTTGGCCATTCTCCTGAGTACTAGATTTGCATGGTGGAATGGAGTGTTGAACTAGGAGCTGGGTTTAAAGTATGTATTTAAAATACAGTCTTTTGTCACAATTAAAAAAAAAAGCTAAGTAACAAACAAAAAATCCAAAAATGTTAAGCAATTGTGCTGAACATTATATGAGCAGGTATTCCTTAAAAAGACAGATACGTTTTTAAAATGGGTGTTGGACTGCCATAATGATGTAGGATTCCTTCTTTTTAAGCCTTCAGCAAGGTTTGGTTCTGCTGTAGCAGTTCTAGATTTCAACGAAGATGGTGTGTTGGATCTAGCAGTGGGAGCCCCATCTGTAGGATCACAGGAACTCAGTTACAGGGTAAGAATCTCTGTGTGTGGCCTTTTTACAGTGTAAAATGTTAGTGCAGGTTAGTAAATATGGGTGATTCATAAGAGAGGACGTTAGCATGGCCCAAGTGAAATAAAGCAGACAGAATAGCAGATGCATCTGTTGGGATTCAAGCCTTTATCAGGAGAAACTGGCCACTCTCCAGGCACCCGGCTTGATCTCCTGTTGACCTCCCTGTCTGCATTCCCCAGCAGGATCCAGGCAGAGGTCGCGATAGGCGATCCTTCTCAGCGTGAGAAGAACACGCCCCCTCTTTCCTGCCCCCCCTGGGCAGGGGAAAGAGATAGACAGAAACGTATTTACATTCCTTTATTTCTGTCTTTGCAGCGTTACAAAAATCATGTCTGCTCTCTTCAAGCTTCAGCAGTCGAGAGACCAAAACCTCCTGTACTTCCTGTACAGCTCATATTACACTCTGCACTGTGAATTGACTGTCCCTCTGTTTCCCACGGAACAGTCCCAACATTCCCATTATGTTTTGCTTTCAAGCTACCAGCTCGCGGCCGCATTGCTTCTACATCGTAACATACATCTGACTGACAATCTTAGGACCAACCTGTTTTGTGAATGCCAATATCTGTGACTCACAATGTGATTCTGTGAATGATTAGACTAGGCTAGATTGCAGTTGTACAGTACACCTGGACGGACAGGTTCATGCAAAGATGAAAGGATGAGGTGAAATTGATTTCTTTAAAAAATTAAATAAATATTCTGGATTTGATTCATGCCCTATTAAAATTTTATTTTCTGTTGATCCAGGGCTCTGTATATGTATTTTTTGGCAATAGAGGACAAGGTTTCCACAGCCTACCAAATGTCACCATAGCTTGTCAAGTAAGTTTGCTGATGAAATGCAATACAAACATATAAGAAATTAAATCTAGGTTTTCTCTAGATCTATCCAGAAAAAACATACACGTGGATTCTATTATCATAATATATTTATTATTGCTTTCATTGGCACACAATATGTTAAATCAATGTCATTGTGTGTACCAATGTGTGCCAATAACTGTTCCTGTATTTTTATGAAGCACTGTTAAGTACAATGATGTAAGATTGAAGAAAAAGGATTCTATATTTCCTCTGTGTGTACTAGGGCCACATTTGGACGTAATAAACCATGATATGAATGTATCTTGCATGAATGAAATTTGTGCAAGTGTATGAGCAAACAAACAAGGAATTCCTTGGTTAATTATAGTTTACTGATCCATCCAAATTGAAATTATGCTTAATGGCTTCAGAACAAGCCACCATATATTGCCAACTTCAAACTATGGCTCAATATCCTGGCTTGTTCTGAAGCTGTTAATCATATTTACCTGCTTTAGATCAGACAGGAAACTGTAGTTAACGGAAGACTTCCTCATTTGCTTATGTGGAAGGAGAATCAAAGGGGTTGTTGATGCAATGATAACACTTGTTCCTATCTTGTCTTAAGCCAAGATATTGCCATCCGAACATGGCTTAGGTGTAGCCTTTTTCATTCAGCCATCCAAAGAAATGTTGCAAAAACACTGTCCTGTGTGGCTCATGTCATTTCCTTGAGTCATCTTGTATTACTTACATCATGGACTGGGTGGTGTGAGAGGTTTTGTACTAGGGCTGCTTTACTGAAATTTCATTATTGATTCAGGAGCTAAACAAGATGTCTTCCTTTCTTCTCCAATTTTCACCAAGATTGCCTTGGTGAAACACAACTCACTTGGCCCATTTTATACTCCAGGCAATAGGGTCTATAGTACAGACTTTCAAGATTGACTGCTGTTAGTTCACACAAGAAAGAAATAAAGAAAGAGAAAGAAAGAAAGAAAGAAAGAAAGAAAGAAAGAGAAAGAAAGAAAGAAAGAAAGAAAGAAAGAAAGAAAGAAAACAAACCACTCTCTTCCCCCGGTTTCTGACATAAAAAAGCACCTTCCTGTACAGTGTCAGACACAGGCCTTGACTTGTGCTTGTCCTAGGCAGAAAGGAACTCCCAAAACTATCTCCCTCTCCTACATATCAGCTCTGCCCTTGAGTTGTCCTCTTGCTCAGCCATGGTTCTGCTCAGTGATGATTTACTGTTAGTTTTCTCTCAGGTTTAGAGAAACTATTTATCTGGAGCCTGCAGGTTCCTTGTCCTTCTGTCTCTAGTCTTCCTCCTCTCAGTTTATAGCCGCTGCAGCACAAGCTCAGGGAGACTCTGAAAACTTATTTGAGTTGGACAAGCAACTACTAGGCCCAACAGACTGTACTAGGTGGGCTCAGGCATACAAAGCTTCCAGACAAAGGATAGTGAGATGCTATGTAATGCCCTGCCCTACTCCAGTATTGCCAGACCTACTGAAATCTCAGTTTCCTTTTGCAGGAAATATACTGTAACCTTGGCTGGTCACTGCTGGCAGCTGACCTTGATGGCGATGGAAACAATGATCTCGTAGTTGGTTCTCCTTACGCAGCTGGTGGTGGGAAACAAAGAGGATTTGTGGCTTCGTTTTATTCGTTTCTCAATAGAAGCAGCCAAGGTGACCTTTTTTTTTTTGCTGGAATTTATTTCCGCTATTTCATATGCTACTTTTTCTTGTGTCTTCTATTAGCTCCCTTTCAAATCCATCGTAAGACAAAGCCACAGTAATAGTCTAAATCCTTCTCCAAGTTATATTGCTGGTAATAAACACCGGACAATGCTTTTAATGCTAAAGGACCCTCAGCCTAAGATCCAGTATGAATTCATGCAGAAGGCTTTGTATACCATTCCATAATCTTCTGAGTCAAAACAGACTAGAGGGAGTTTTACAGTGCAACCCTATGTATTCCAACTCAGAAGTATGTCTTACTATGTATTTACCCCCTGGTGAGCATGTATAGTGACTGCTGCATCACTTGATGAACTGCACTGACCCTGTCCTGTTAGCATCATTGCAGAGACAATTTGATCTGACTCAAGTTTCAACATTAGTTTTCATGTATTAAAAAATAGCAAGAATTATGATCCAGGTAGTGCAGTATGACTGAACAAACCAGAAGACCTTGATCCTTTCATAAAGTATGTGATATGTACCAGAAACATATCCTCTGTTATCCTCTGTTTCTTGTTTGGTCTATCAGACCAGCTGTTCCTAACAGATGCTGACTGGATAGTAAAAGGAGAAAAGGATTACGCGTGGTTTGGATCATCACTCAGCAGTGTCCAACTTCAAAATACAACCTTGCTGCTTATTGGCAGTCCTTCTTGGAAAAGCTGTAAAAGGTATATTGCACTTAATTTTAGAAGTTTGTATGTGATCATACCCAGCCTAACATTGTGCACTTTTAAATGTAAACTAACCCTATGCAGTAGGTTAGTATTATTTCTAAATGTGTACTGTTTTAATACTTGTTCTGCTTATTAGAGGTCGTTTCAAACAAGCCAAATACCTCTCTTTTCCTAATGCTCCCTGATAATGATTTATAGACCACTTTTCAAACACAGGTTTCACAGAGCAGTTTACAATATATCCCAACCATTAAAGATAATTGGTTATGTGTCCAATGTTAGAATCATACTCAAAGTAAACCCATTTCAGTTTATAGAAATGACTAAGTCTGGTCCATTGATTTCAGTGAGTCTACTCTGAGTATAACTTACCGTATTTTTCGCTCTATAAGACGCACCAGACCACAAGACGCACCTAGTTTTTGGAGGAGGAAAACAAGAAGAAAAAAATTCTGAATCTCAGAAGCCAGAACAGCAAGAGGGATCGCTTTGCAGTGAAAGCAGCAATCCCTTTTGCTGTTCTGGCTTCTGGGATAGCTGCGCAGCCTGCATTCGCTCCATAAGACGCACACATATTTCCCCTTACTTTTTAGGAGGGAAAAAGTGAGTCTTATAGAGCAAAAAATACGGTAGTTGGATGCAACCTATATATGTAAAGCAGTATTAATCAACATAAAGCCTGCATGCTATGTCTGGTCTGCCATAGCTTTCCCCCGGTCTGCATGGCCATTTGTTGGCATGTTATGATTTGTTTGCAAGCTGGATATTTGGGGGGGGGGGAGAGAGAATTGGGGACAATCTTCTTATAACGAAACTCTCCAGTATCTCTTTGGAAAAATAAATAAAACACAGAAATAAATATTTGTTTATGGTCCATTTAGAGACTAACAAAGTTGGGTCATATGCACTACTACTTTGGGGAGAGAGTTCCAAAAATATGGGGCCACTACTGGAGAGGTCCTGATCTTATGCTCACCTGTCTGATAAATCTTGGGAAGAGGACAGTCTTAAGGCCTGATCAGGGTCATATAGGTGTAGGCATCCTTCCAATTTATGCATTAAAGGTCGATACCGGCATTCTAAACTGGGTCCCGAAACAAATAGACAGCCAATGCATTTGGTACAGCTATGCTATGAATGCCTGGCCTCTTAAGCCTTCTAGCAGCTGCAATGGCTGCTAGTTGGTGTTTCCAAAGTGGTTTTTAAAGGCAGCCCCAAGCAGAGAAAATTACAGCGATCTAGTCTGGATAGAACTAAGGCATATGTAACTCAAGCAACACCCCTTCTTTAGCTACAGTGGCAGACCGTAAACCAGCCTAAACTGCCCCCAACGCCACTTAAATCTCTATAGATAATATGGAGCCCAGGAGAATCCCCAAACCATTAATTTGCTATTCAAGGGGAATGCAATCCTGCAGAACTCTTGCAATTAAAACTCGTTATTTAAATTAAGACGTCACGTTCAAAATACTTTAGATTCTGAACCAAGAATATTTTGCCGTGGTGGTGCTATCTCTTGCAATTACTTCTTCTTCTTTTTTAATGTTCCTCATATTTCAACCATCGTGTGCAGTAGTCTAAGCTGCTATGTCTTACGAGATACCAAGATGACTGTTGGAAAGGTATACGGCTATATCCCACCAAGCACGCAGAGCTGGTTTACCTTAACCGGAGATAGGGTAGGTCTTTTTGGTACCTCTTGAAATGACAAATAGAAAAACATGCAAGGAAGACTCCAGCCATGGTGTCAACTTATTATTATTATTTGATACACAGGAAATGGGGAGACTTGGTTCATCCTTGGCCACCGGCTTCCTTTCTGTAGAAGGAATCCCCAGGCAAGTGTTGGTAGTTGGTGCACCATCACAAGGTATGCAGTACTGTCCTTGAGTCAGTTTTTTCTTTGCAGTGGTTTTACTTCTGCAATACACCAACAAGACTGATCAATTGTTTAAAAGTTAAATAGGTGCTTGGAGTCAATCATCATGGGAATTGCAGAGCAGGGAAGGTTTAACCAGCAGAGAAAAGAGGACTAGGAGAGAAAGAGACCTCTGATTCTACCCACTGCCATTTCTGGGCCAGTCTGCTGCTGAAAGATTACTCCAAGAGAATCCTGCTCTTGACAGGGGGTGGGGAAAATCCTGGTTGCTCTCCTATTTTCAAAGCTTTAAGGACTGGATGTTGGCAGTTCTGAAACACAGCATGTATGTAGCATCCAACCCCAAACGGAGGAACATCATGGTTTAGCAGAGCAGCAGGTCACAGCTGAGTCTGCAGTTCTGCTGCTCACACCAGCTGTTTCAGAATGTAGAGGGACAACAGTGTCGCACAGGACTTGTGTTGACTTCAAGCTGGGGCTGCAGAGGAAGAATCTTCCCTTGCAGCCTAGACTTGACAGGGCTTCAAAGGCAACATTGGGTTGTCGTGCAGGGTGACAGAAATAAAGTGCCAAATTCAAAAAGCACCCAGAATTCTACCTGTAAAGGAAAAACCAAGGGTTCTTGCAGCAGCTGCAACTTGAGGTTTCCCACACCTGTTATTCATATATGTCTGTCTTTTTGGGTCAACAAAATCCTATATGAGGGAAAGTCAATTTTCTATACACATTTGCTTTCAGATAATTACACTAGAGCAGGTGATGAATAGGATTCTGTGGTGTCGCATACTTAACATAAAGGGTGATCCAGTCAACTGTCTTCAAAATGTGTATGGCAAGCATAGGCAAACTCTGGCCCTTCAGATGTTTGGGACTACAATTCCCATCATCCCTGAACACTGGTCCTGTTAGCTAGGGATGATGGGAATTGTAGTCCCAAACATCTGGAGGGCCAGAGTTTGCCTATGCCTGGTGTACAGGAATCCTCTCTTGCTATGGGAGGGCCACATATTCCCCCTTGGGAGGGCCAATATGCCCAATGTCATGTGAAAGTGAAGACTATATTGGGTTGGGTTTAGTATGTAACAAACTTCTCTGCAGCGAGTCAGACCATTGATTCACCTTGTCCATGACTTAGTTTTAAAACTCTCCTGAGTCTTGTTCAGCCCTGCTTCCTGAACTCCTTTAATGTAGGTGATCTCAGGCATACAGAACCTTCACTTTCTCAGTGAGCTATAGCTCCACTGCTGCCTCCAGATGAAGAAATATCTATGTTGGATTGAGAATGTTGCTGACATTATGATTTTGAGAGTGGACCCTTTGTTGTCATTGTGAAGTTAATGTGTAATTTCACAAAATGGAGATGACGGAGCCAAAGTTTCCTTGCTGTTAATTCCGGTTATAACCTGCCGTAGACAGTGCCCATCTGTTAATGCCAATTATCGTTGCCATCTCCCAGGAACAGCAATGTGACCCCCGTCATCTTGCTTGGCTTCTTTCAGACAGCACATCTAGGATTGCATTTATAAGCTCAGTGCTGCACCAAGCAGGAACTGCTTTGATGTATGATTTGACGGACCCTGCCAAGCCATTTCTGCTGAGCACTTTCAGCGGGGACAGGAGATTTTCACGCTTCGGAGGAGATGTGCACCTGCGTGACCTAAACAATGATGGACTTGGTAAAAACGGAATCCTCATAATCAGTATCGTATTTCATTTGTGAAGCACCTAAAATTACTAGATGTTGTGAGATGTGATATATATATGTTGTTGTTGTTTAGTCGTGTCCGACTCTTCGTGACCCCATGGACCAGAGCACACCAGGCACTCCTGTCTTCCACTGCCTCCCGCAGTTTGGTCAAACTCATGCTGGTAGCTTCGAGAACACTGTCCAACCATCGATACACACACACACACACACACACACACACACACAAAAGAACAGGAAGGGTGAAATAAGGGGACAAAGAGGAAGTGTGAAACTGTCGCGAATTCCTCGTGGCGCTTTTTAGCGAAACGCTCAGAGTCCCAGGTTTCTTTTCAGTGCAGTCTTTTTAATGTGAGCTATATACAAGTATTTACAAAAACAGTCCATACAGAGTACCTGCTCCTTAAGGCAAACGAATACTCTCCACCACAGCACCACCACACCACAGCACAACCACCATTACTGTTGAACAGGCTTTCCTTTTAAAACAGGTGATAGCCAATCACATTCCTGCTGAGTCACTCTGACCCAGCACTTCACAGAGTATTGCATCAGCCTGTTGAAGCCTGCAGACTTACTCATCATCCTGCGAATCGCAACAGAAACAATAAATTCTGAACCAAGAATTTTAACAGCCTTATGCATATATAGAAGGAAAGGCTAGATCGAACAAATGAGCTTGATTTAGAAAAAAGTGAAGAAAAAGGGAAAGCAGCAGAGAAATCCAAACAAAGAGGCCAAAATACAAGTGTACTTGCAAGCCTGGGCCAGCACCAAGAATTGTAGGGTCAAAAGATGCTCCAAGCACTCTAGTGGGGAACATTAAATGGGTGATCTCAGACAGAAATTCTAAAGAAGATCAGAAGTCTAGCAAGGGTAGTGAACTCACAGCCCTTGAGCCTGACTAGGTCCCCCATGCATATATTTTTTTACCCACAAATCCAAAAATTTTGGTGGTGGCAGCAAAATGGCTGGGGTGGGCTGGGGAGTTGGAAGGATGCTGGGGTTTGAATTTCTCTGCCAGGACCAGCATCCTGATGGGGATGCAAATTGCCTCTTTTTTCATCCTATTGGATGAGTGTGAACAAAGTGGCAACCTCAATCCTCAGATGATCTGTTTGGATCAACTGGGATGGGGAGTGGGTGCTGTGTTCTGTGTCCGTGATGTCTACGTATGTACAAAAATGTATGTGGAGTGGCCAAAAACTAAGACGACTAATGGGCCAAAAAACATTAGTCACTCCTACAGTAAAGGGGGAGGGGGGAATTAAGAGAGAGGAAGATAAACGCATATTCACCTGTTTGTGGCTTGTTGTCTGTAATATTGTCTGTGGACCAAGGCCTGCTTCACATGCAATATGGAGCAATAGTTTCCATTGCTCATTGCATTTGTCTGTGGCAGACACCATACCACTTACAAATGCCTGAACAGAGAAAATCCAAAAACACATTGGCGCTAGGTATGCCTATTTTACACCAGGCGTATTATTTGTGTCACCATGGTGTTTGTCATGGAGCAACATGGGTTTGGATCCAGCGGAGCCATAGTGGAAGCAGAAGACACAAAGCAGGCTTGTATATGTCTGGTAATTGTGTTCCCAAGTTTGTGTATGCCTGCGTCCAACGAAGTCTTTAAAGGCCAAAGCTTTTGCACAGGGATATCCAGTGCAAGTTAGTTTTTGTCTCGGTGTACAATGTGATATATTTCCCCCTGCTGCGAATTTTTGCAGATGAGATCATTGTGACCTCACCTCTTCGAGCAAAAGACATCTTATCTGGGCTGTTTGGAGGAGAGGCTGCACGTGTTTACATATTTAGTGGAAACCAGACCACCTCTGGACATGTGACAGACAACTGCAAATCATGGACTTCGCCTTGTCCTGAAGACTGGGTAATGCTACAGCAAATGCTATAGGTCTTTGTGGTGTTGTCTGCTTTGGTATATAAACAAAAGTACAGAGGTACCTCTGGTTACGAACTTAATTCGTTCTGGAGGTCGGTTCTTAAGCTAAAACCGTTCTTATCCTGAGGCACGCTTTTGCTAATGGGCCTCCCGCTGCGTGCGCATTGGAGGCACACGATTTCCGTTCACATCCTGGTGCAAAGTTTGCAACCAGGAGCAGCTACTTCCAGGTTAGTGGAACGCAGAACCTGCAGCATTCGTAACCAGAAGTGTTCGTAACCAGAGCTACCACTGTAATAAGTGTTTGCATTTGAAAACTCTTCGTGTTTCTCCTGCTCAGCAGTTTATGAATATCTGCATCATAGTAGTTGACTTCTGTGTTTTTATATTGAAATAATTCTCAGTGGAGCAAACGCTAGATACCATACATTTAATTGATTTATCCACCTTTAAAAACCAATGTAAAAGTGATTCTCTCTCTTTTTTCTGTTCCAGGCCCAGTATGTCATCATTTCTCCCGAGGTGAGCAACCAAACTCTGAAAGGATAAATTGTTGCTTGGGCTAAATAAATTGTGGGTAGAATTAATGGCTAACAATTGGGTCCTTAATGCATTTTAACCAGTTTTAACCATTAAAACTGGAACCATGTGAACAACAAACTTCCTTGGTGGGTTCAAAACACAGCTGAATTGATTCATGAAGGATATCTTGCAATTTCTATTTCTGACTCAATGGGGTCAGGAAGGATCTTCATCTGAAGAAGATTACAATGTCACAATTAGGGACAGGATGCTAAATGGTTTGGAAACTGAACCATCATCCCAAATTTCACTTGAGAAAACTTAGGGTCCATTCCCAAGCACATTTATATTTCACTGAATTTCAAAGGATCTGCGGCTAAGCAAACATGGTTAGATCAGGTTGAGCATGATAAGGTTAGCTGTAAAGTTTCCAATTGACTGCAGACCTAAGCTATTTTTCCTCTTGCTGTATATAGCATATGGTTTTCATCATTCACACAAATGACATGGAGCAGTTTGTTCAGTAGGTATCTTTGCGTCCTGAACAAGGATGCTCACAGCATTGCACTTGGTTCTCTGGTTGTAGCAAACACTAGCTGGGATTATTGCACTGGGTGGTGGTGACCCTGCTTATGGGAACTGAGTTGTGTTAAAGATGATCTTTGGTCTGTTAATGAAAATAACTATAGTGAAGAAAGCAAGCATTAACACTGTCAAACAGTGCATAACCGTAGTTTTCTTGTTGCAGGAAAAATCAAGATTTGGGAGTGCTGTGATCACACTAAAATCTGGAGAAAAGGTAGGCAAACAAGCAGTGCTGGTTTTCACAATCCCATCTGCAGGGTGAATCATGGGCTACTTGTGATAACTTGAGTGTTTCTCCTATGCCAGCTGGGTAAGAGGCCATGCCTTGCCTGCTTTTTTCCTGCAACACAACCATAGGGAAGTAGCTTAGAACCAAGACGGTTCCACAACTTCCTTGAGACCACCCCAGTATGGTGAAGGTGGGAAGCATAATCACTTGACTTCCTTATGCATGGTGCCCAGTTGTACACAGGGGTGATCTGTTTTGCCCTGGCAAAATGACCCGCTAAAAAAAGAAAAAAGTAAGGAACTGAATTCTGCTGTATTAATGGAAACTTTCTGTCTTTGCAGACTGAAGTTGTAGTAGCAGCTGAGAGAAGCTCCCTAGAAGCTCGGCTAAGTGGCAGCCTTTTTCTCTACACCTTTTAACTGCCATGCTTCCCCACCAAGCCTCTTTTCAGCAAATCACTCTTCACTTGTGTAAAATTCTGCCCCTTTTGAAAATGGAGAAGCATAACTCGCGTACTCTTTAACTGGCAATTGAACAGCATTAACATTTTAAGGAATGGAAGCAGAGATCTAAAATTACTTATTACTGTGTTTAAATTTCCTTGCTAAGCGTAATAATGAATGGAAATCCTTCTAAAAACATAATGTCATTGCTTCAGACCATGAGCTGCTTTCAACTGTTTACATGCGTTTTGCGTACACAGAGGCCTATTTTTAAAGTATTTATTGCAATATACACTGCAATGGAGTAGATTGAAGAAGGAAGCCCCAATGAAAATGTGGAGTTGCACAGAAGACAGTTTGGCAAGAGCACATTTCCCCAAGCCTCGCTATTGATTCCAACCTTGATTTGAAATGAACCACTTCTTTAACCTGTACTTGGAAGTGGGACCGTTTCTTCTCAAATTAGGCCAGGCTCCGATACATCTGTCTGAAAAGAAGTGGAATTGCATTTTTATCCCTCTTCTGCCAAAACATAAATCGCCCATGCTGAGTTACTAACATCTACATGGCAGCAAGAGCAGTTGTTCAACCTTGAATATCACTGATGTCTAATGGGCTAATGGGTGATGATTTAAAGTGCTCTCCTGTTAGGATTCTGTCCACCAACCAGTAAGATGCCTCTTCCTTCTAGTCAAGTCCAATGGGACTTAATTCATAGGTGCGTAGGACTGCAACTGAAACTATAGGCCATGGTACTTCCTAGGTAAAGCCAGTGACAAGCATGTAACACTTTTTTCTGATATTAAGAAAACCTTCATGCATGGAATTGCACACAATTGCATGGTAAATTCAGGAGGATTTAGAAGCTGACCCACAAGATTCACTCAGCTTCTACACCTATTTAAATAGCTTCTGTAGCTCAAAAGGTCTCAAGTGCGATTCTTGGTAGCTCCCATTAAAAGGATCTTGTAGTAGGACCCTGTTAGAACACAGACAATACTGGGCTAGATGAACGAATAGTGCAAGCTGGTTGGTGCAAAGGCTGCTTCCTATTTAATCAAATGTAATCTAATGACAAACTATTTCTCCAGATTCTCTCTGTGCTATTTAGGCTAATGATTAATGAATGTGCTGTCTTGATTTTTCTTTTTAAACCTTATCCCATGTGCAATGTAATAAAAACAGATATTCCCCTTTGAGTGGTATTTCATATTCATTCTGAACTTTGCCATCATTCTAGATGTTATCAGAAAGTTAGAAGGTAAACTACTAACTGTGCCACAGATTGATGTTTCTTCTGGTTTTGTTACTTTGCTTTCAATAGAAGTCTTGGGATTGATGGCTCTTCTCCCTGGTTTTGTAGGATTGGGGCTTCTGATGAGGTTCAGCGGGTACACACATAACAGGCCCTGAGCCAACAGGGCCCCTGTCGCTTACATTTTTTTTAATTAAAAGAAAAAGAAACATAGGGCAATTGGCCATGTCTGAAGAAAGTTAGAAGGCAAAGCGCAGAGGCAGTTCTAAGGCTTCAGTACTTCGCAGGCCGCACCACTGCTAAGAATGCTTATTCACCATTGGTAAGCAATCTGAAGAAGAAATGCTGATCACTCTCACTTGGGTCTCAGGTGTATGTTTGTTCAAGTACCCTCCCCATCCACATGATTTCATTCACTTCCCAAGTGTGCTGCCTTTACAGAGGAAAACACAAGCTGCCGGCTTGGGTGTATTTTGCTGAAAAATAATCTCCCTTAAATAAACGAGGGTTCCTTCTTTTTAAGAAAAAAATGGTGCTATTGCAATCTCTCCCCACCCTGGTTTTCCATGTTCCCCCATCCATTGATTTGCTTTTCGTCACTGGAGTGTTATTTATTAATATACAGCAACCATAACCAAAAATATAAAGTACCAAAATGAATCAGCAAATACCTTACAGCTTGCAGCAAGGTAAAATTCCTATAGATTGTACTTTTAATAGGAACACCTTTTTGTTTATTACGGTTATGTGTATGTTTTTCTGAGAGTTGTGAAATTACACACATTTGTTGCCTGTTGTCTTCCCCCTTTTATCTCCACAACACCCCTGTTGTGAGACAGGCTAGGCTGAGTTGGTAGTTCAGACACCAAAGTTGTGAAACTGTGCATAACTTAAGAAGTATTATTATTATTATTTGCTTTTTTATCAGGGTTGCCAAATGCTGTATTTTGGTTTTGCATATTGTATTATTTATATGATGTTAGCCGCTCTGAGCCCAGTTCCGGCCGGGGAGTGCGGAGTACAAATAAAATAAAATAATAATAATAATAATAATAATAGCAGAACTATGAAATGCTGGCATTAAAGAGGGCTGCTGTGAACAACATTGTATATTTGGACCTTGCTTTCCCACGCAAGAGGTCAAGGCTGTGTGCATTATCCTCCCCTCCCCACCTTTAATCTCTGCAATAGGACCCACCCTATTCCACTGTGATTTGTTTTCTAAACTGTTCTAAAAATGAATTTTACATAGTTGTAACCTGCCCTGGGACCTTATGGTAAAAGCTAGGTAAGACATAATTTATTATCAAATAATTAGCAACAGCCCTGTGAGGTAGGCTAGGCTACATTAATATATGTACAAAAGCAGCATTTCTTGCCAATAGATTGCAGGTTGTGTGGATGCCCAATCTGCATACAGTATACCGAGCCCAATAAATCCTGTTGGCTTCCCTGTGTGTTTCCCCTCTACAGTTGGCCAAATGAACAAATTAAAATACAGCAAGTTGTATCATCTTCAACGGGACCATTTTGAGTTAAAGCACCAACTTAAAAGCCTACAGGTAGTGATAGTTTACGTTACCCAGGGAATAGAATTTCATCTACTTAAGTTACAACTAAGCAGACAAGGAAACCCAGTGTTTTTAAAGTCTCATTGCCCTTGCCAAAATAAGGTACAGAAATCCAGAAGTACTGGAACAGGTTACTTCTAAGTTTCGGTGGTTGTGCATGCACTGAATTGAGAAATTGCGCTTTGTGCATGCGCAGAAGCACTGAATCGCAACCCGCATGTGCGCAGACACGGGTTGCGAACACTGCAGGTTGCGAATGTGCATCCCACATGGATCACATTCGCAACCCAAGCGTCCACTGTATTTCACTGTAGTCAAGAGGATAAGCTTGATTTTTCAGGAGGCGTTTTATTAACACTGTCCTCACAATCTCTTAAAGAATACAGTGGTACCTCAGGTTAAGAACTTAATTCGTTCTGGAGGTCTGTTCTTAACCTGAAACTGTTCTTAACCTGAAGCACCACTTTAGCTAATGGGGCCTCCTGCTGCCGCTGCACGATTTCTGTTCTCATCCTGAAGCAAAGTTCTTAACCTGAGGCAATATTTCTGGATTAGCGGAGTCTGTAATGTGAAGCGCCTGTAACCTGAGGTACCACTGTATAAGAAAAGCCTGCTTGATCAGGCTAATGGCCCATCTAGTCCAGCATCCTATTCTCACAGTGGCCAACCAGATGCTGTGGGAAACCAGCAAGCAGAACGTGAGAACAGGAACAACTCTCCCTTCCTGTAGTTTCCAGCAACTGGCATTCGGAAGCATGGAGGCAGAGCATAGCCATCATGGCTAGCAGCCACTGGTAGCCCTCTCTCGCATGAAATCGTCTAATCTTCTTATGAGAACATAACTTTCTACATACAGGAAGCACACTGTTTAAGGACAGTATGGACAGCCACATTTCCACTATCTATAAACTTTACCCATGAAGTGATAAAGTGTGAAAACCAGCATTTACAGAACATACAGTAAGATTTCTGGATTGGATTTTGCATTCTTTGGAGGGAGGAAATCATTATTACCCATTTTCTTGTGTTCCGTAAAGATTACACCAAACGGAATTTCCTACAGGAGACATCAGATGAAAAGCACCTTCAGCTCATCCAGCTGACTTGTGGAATTCTGATTCCTACCGTGGTGCACAAAAGTCGACTGCACTCTTCTCTCGGCAAAGCTTCAGGTTTTGGTGGTCTCAGCTGTACATCTTTGGCATGTCATTAAGAGTCAAAGGAGAAATCCCTGCTACAGTATTACAAGAGAACACAGTCTAAAGTTCAGTTATTGCAGATCTACCAGTACTGAGGTCCGGTCAGTGGTTAGTCAGTGTGCTTCTACTTGACCCAAGGGGTTCTGTTTTAATATCGCTTTTATATTCCACCTTCCCATTTGCTGGCTGAGTTCTTTTCAGCAGAGCAGGGATCTGTGGAAGAAGAAGAAGAAGAAGAAGAAGAAGAAGAAGAAGAAGAAGAGGTAGGATGGGAAAACAATTCAGTAGTCAGCACAAAAGAACTCTGAAATCCACTAAAGGAAGACTTCAGTGGTGTTACCTTGAAAGGTAACTCGGAAACTATAACTAATTCAGAGTGCGGCAGCTAGACTGGTGACTGGGAGCAGCTGCTAGGACCATATAACACCAGTCCCGAAATAACACCTACATTGGCTCCTAGTACAGTGGTACCTCGGGTTAAGTACTTACACCACTTTAGCTAATGGGACCTCCTGCTGCCGCCGCACCACCGGAGCACGATTTCTGTTCTCATCCTGAAGGAAAGTTCTTAACCCGAAGCACTATTTCTGGGTTAGCGGAGTCTGTAACCTGAAGCGTATGTAACCCGAGGTACCACTGTACGTTTCTGAGCACAGTTCAAAGTGACCTTTAAAGCCCTAAATGGCTTCGGCCCTGTATACCTGAAGGAGTGCCTCCACCCTGTCATTCAGTCTGGACGCTGGTCTTCTGGCTGTTCCCTCACTGCGAGAAGTGAAGTGACAGGGAATTCCCATGGCTCTCCAGGCAGAGCAGGCATCAAGACTTGGAATTTTATCCCTTATTTACTGCAGTCTCTATTCTAGTCACTTCAAGGTGAACACTGTTGCACACTTCGGCCCCTGGCTGCTTCTTTGCAGACATGCACAGGGAAGAGTCTGAGAAACTGGCAAATTGGGGAGAGACAAAGGTGGTGGCACAGTGTAACTTTCAGAGAGGTCCTACTCACTGGTGGAGGCACTGAAGGTTCCAGATGTCGCCCAAGAAAGGAAAGCAGACGCCGCCAAATTAGGCCGCTGCCCAGAAACATAAGTCCTGTCACCAGCCAAAACATTCTGCGGTCCTAGATAAAGTTGAAATGTATAGTTAACGATGCAAATCATTCTTTCAGAGAAATCACAACTCTTCAAACCCTTATCACGTCATTTTATTTTCACCACTTTGAAAAAGCAAGCTATCTCCCAAGATTACACTTTTTCCAGCTGAGGGCAATTGGGAAGAGACCTTAATGCACAGCCCGGCAACTGGATTTATGAGCAAATTTGCATTTAAGGCTTAATGTGGGGTATGGGTAAAGGGTAAAGGGACCCCTGACCATTAGGTCCAGTCGTGACCGACTCTGGGGTTGCGGCGCTCATCTCGCTTTATTGGCTGAGGGAGCCGGCGTACAGCTTCCGGGTCATGTGGCCAGCATGACTAAGCTGCTTCTGGTGAACCAGAGCAGCGCACGGGAATGCTGTTTACCTTCCCGCCAGAGCGGCACCTATTTATCTACTTGCACTTTGACGTGCTTTCGAACTGCTAGGTTGGCAGGAGCAGGGACCGAGCAACGGGAGCTCATCCCGTTGCGGAAATTTGAACCGCCGACCTTCTGATCGGCAAGTCCTAGGCTCTGTAGTTTAACCCACAGCGCCACTCGCACCCCGGGCTATGGGTACTGTCCCCTGATTCAAAGTGGGGTCCCCCGCACAATGGCGGGTTCCTCTCCTCTCCCCTATGCTGAAGCTCCCAAACTAGCTAGAGATTTTGCTGAACGACAAGGGGGGCGGGGAGATGGTCAAGTGCCGAAAAGGAGCTGGGAAGTTCCTTTCTTTAGACAAGCGCCCCCAAAATAAGTCACAGTAGATTGTACTGAACTTCTGTGTTTTCAGACCCCAGGCAAACGCTTCAGTCTTCTATGCATTTGATCTAGTTCACTCACTTGTAAAGCTGAAACACTTTATGATGCAAAAATACATAAGGATACTGCACATTCATAAAACGATGCAATTTTTAAGCCCAATTAAAGAGAAATATCTCCAACTGTTTCCTAAAGATGTGAGTAGTCTATAGATAAACACTGATTACTAAGCACAAGGCTTCACCTTCCTATTTGATATGGATGTGGATGAGAAGTTGCACATCCAGAATGAATGGTACATCTCATGCGATTCATTTACAATCAGAATTGGGAACTGTGTGTGGTTTCATAAGAGAAAAATGAAACCCTTTTTTCAACAGTGCCTTACCTCTTCGAATGAGGATTCCAAGTTCATGCCGAAAGCTACTCCTATCAATCCAAAGAGGGAGAGGGAGAAAGTACCCATGGTCAACTGCAAGTTCAGCCTCATCATCACATTGCGGTGGCTAAAGAGGAGTGAAAGGCTAGTTAGTATTTCACAGATCCAAGTATCTCAGAATAGTCTACCTCTTTTTCATCCAGAACCCAGACAGGCCTGGGAATTCAGATTAGAACACATGGAGTTACTTCAGACTTAATGAAATAACAAAACACATTTTATCGGCATAGAATTCAACTCATCTGTTCAACTTGATATGAAGAGAAGCTTCATAAACATAAACACCACCGAGCTCAAGTTTCAAATGCCCTCCAGAAGGTGCATCTAAAATTTTAGTGGGCAGAATGTAACGTGCAGCTAACCTGTCTAAGTTGATAAAGATGATGCTTTCAGAATCATCAATCAATACCCGAAGCTCACGAGCATCATTGAGAAGATCTTCTGCCTGCCTGTAATAATTCTCCAATAGCAGCTCCATCTCCTCCGCATGGTCAATTCCAGACAGACTCTCCTCACTGTGAATAACAACAACAACAATAGATCTAATTAAAATGCCAGCATACCAAAAATCGACAAGCTGCATCCCTCCCAAGTGGAAGCCTAGACCAAAATTCATCTCCCACCCTAATTCCTAGCCTTTAGTGTTGGCACACCATACAAAGCAATTTAAACCAAAACTCAAAATATATAGAGTATCTGTTCAACAATCTGAAGCAGCTGATAGCCTATAACTGGCTGTAAATTTACCTTTAAGAAATAAGGTATTTAGTCCACAATTGCAATAGTTGCCATACCACCTAGGCTGCTGACAAAACATTTCTTTTGCAACTTGGTGCCACCACAGCACTTGTTGGAATGTCTGTTCTTACAAAAGCAGCAGCATTCTGTGCAGCTAGTCCTCTCCCAAAACTGAATGCTAGGAAAAAAGACATCTAGATGGTTTACAGAGATGCAGGAAATGCCACTTCCTATACCCAAACTTTCACAATGTTTATGTGGCTAATCCCATACATAGTCCTCGGATACAAAAGCCTTGCCCAACGTAAGCATCCCAATGTATACTTACAATACTTGGGGGTCTGTCCATTTAGACAGGCACAGTTCTTCCAGCACTTCTTCCTCGTCTAAGATTTCCAAGAGGGTCTCTTTGAAAACTTTAAGATCTGTTTCTAACTCTGACAAGCTAAAAGCAAAGGGGGAAGAATTAAAAACCAACTGCTACCACCAAGATGACAGTCAAGTGCCATTTCATAGGAGATCTGCATGCACAGAGGAAGAGTTATCTGTGGACCTTTAGCTCTTGCTGGGATACAACTTCCATCACCCCCAATCTTTGACTATGATGTCTGGGGCCGATAGGTGTCCAACTATGTCCAGAAGGCTATAGGTTCCTTATATCTGCTATAAAGCCCTATATGGCTTGGGAACTGGGTATTTTGATGAACACCTTTCCCCATATGAACCCTGCAAGTTCATTAAAATCTGTGGAAGGCCCTTCTCTAAGAGACCCTACTTTCAGAAGTGAAGCAGTTGGTGACCAGGAATAGTCTTTTCAGTGGTGGCCCCCGAGTTGCAGACCTACATTAGCATCAGTGATGCACCAGGTTCAAACTGTTCTCTTCCCCAGGTCTTTTAATAAAGGACCATTTTATAATGTAACTGTTAGTGGGTTGTTGTTTTTTAATAACACCAGCTTGCTGCTTTTTTATTTTCTGATTATTTTAGGATTGGGTTAATTTGGGGGGTTTTTTTGGTATTTCTTTTGCATTTTCATGGGTAACTTTGTGGACTTGCTTAGGGGGAAGAGGACTTTGTAAGCATTTTCATCTATAAAAACAAATGGTACCTCAATTCTACAAAGGATTTACATGCAGATTAGGTTTCGCTTCTACAGCTAGGCATAGCACACACTCTCTTCTCCATTCATATTATACAGTCTTTTTTATCTTCACAACCATCATGTGAAGGAGTAATTTCCAGACAGGTTGCCATGTTAGCCTGTTGCAGCAAGAACAAGTTTAGGGTTCCTCTTTTACAAGTGAGGTAACAGCTGCTAAGCATTTCAGATTTGGGATTTGACCCTAGAGCGCCTCCATCCCAGGTGAATAGTGTGCCTGTGCAAGATTCAACTATTGCATAGCTCAAAACTCAGGTTTCATACAGAAATGTCCAAGTAGGTCATTCAAAAATAGGAAGGAAGTCTCTCTTACCTCTTTCCATTTTGCAATAGGACATGGACTTTGCTCCTATCAACAGATAAAAGCTTAGGGTCCACTAAAGCATCCAGGGTCTCAAGAATCTGAGGCTGCAGGTTGTTAAGTCTCCCGTGCAGGTAGCTGATCTAGATAACAACAGGATCCTTCATAAGAATCAAAACAATCCTTTTAGAATGTCTTGGGTCATTGAAGCCTCTTGCTCAGCAAAGCAGGCAACACAGTCAGACACTCCTGAAATCCCTGAAGCTGACAGGCATTTCCCAGCAAAATCAGCAATCCAGAAACACAAATACTGTAGCAAAGTATTTCTAGGGATATTGGGGACAAGTGCCCCAAAGAATATGATTAAACTATTTATGTATGTAACAACAGCTGCCAGAATCCTATATGAGCAGCACTGAAAGGAATAAAAAGTCCCAAACAAATAGGAATAGATTGCAAAGCCAATGGACTTTGCAGAACTGGCAAAGCGGGCAGCAAGAGTGCAAGACCAAAATAATGAACCTTTTATTGAAGAATGGAAACCCTTTTTGGAATACTTGAGAAAGAACTATAAGAAGAGTTTGGATTTGATATCCCGCTTTATCACTACCCGAAGGAGTCTCAAAGCAGCTAACATTCTCCTTTCCCTTCCTCCCCCACAACAAACACTCTGTGAGGTGAGTGGGGCTGAGAGACTTCAAGAAGTGTGACTGGCCCAAGGTCACCCAGCAGCTGCATGTGGAGGAGCGGAGACGCGAACCCGGTTCACCAGATTACAAGCCTACCGCTCTTAACCACTACACCACACTGGCTCCAATGAAATTGGAGTCAAATGAAATTGTGGGCAGGACTTGAATTAAAAGCAGCGGATTCAGAATGACAATAAATGTAACAAGAGGAAATACGTATTAGATATAGTCTTGACATACAACGCAGCAGAATATGGGTGGGAACAAAAACACCACGGAGGTGAGCCTGGGAAGGCATCTTGTTTATTTTGTAAGAGAAACGTATATTGAATTTGAAGTTAATGTGTTTAAGCTTTCAAAATTGAAATTTTTTTATTATTTTATTTTTTAAACCAACCATACTGGCGCAAAGTATCAACATATTTAAATGGTGTATGATGGAAGTCAGCTTGAACACATGCACCCACTTTCATTATTTAATAAAATAAGCCAGTTCTATCCCTTGGCTGCGGATGAGGCATGTGGTCAGGTAATGTGTCAGCCACTCACTGGCTAAGGTGCTGTGTCCACCATTAGGGTGCCCTGGGAGCCCTAACAGCTAACTGGAGGAAAGTGAAAACTCCTTCTCATAAGGGTAATGGAATAGAGTGGAGACTTCTTTCCTTCACCTCTGCCAGATTTAAAGCTGTCAATCAGGGCTGGACCTGGCCAGCTTATAGGCAGACCATGTTCCTAGTTAGCCTTCCTCAGCACTGTTAGAATTCCTGCTCCATGGCTGCAGTCATGGGATTGTTGTCTTTCACATGATGGTGTATGTTTTGACTCCACAGAGTGGGAAGTGACGGAGACAGGATGTTTGTGTTACTGTGTTCCGTGAAGTGGGACTGTTGTCCTTTGTTCTTTTTCTCTTTGCTGTCTGATGCTAGAGAGAGGGAGCCATGTTGCAGTGCTCCGTGTGTGTTTATATGTAAATAAAGTAGATTAGCCAAAATGCTGAGTTGCTGAGGTCTGTTACGAATGATGTGCAAACTCTGCGGATCCCTAAGTGTGTTGGTGTCGGTTGGCATCGGTCGCTGTGATGTTTGGGCTGAAGAAAGCTTTTGAAGCTCCCGAACGATTGACCAGGAGAAAGAGAACATGCCAGTTGGGCATGTGTCTCTACCAGGGTCCTACTTGAGTGTAGGCTGAACTCCTGACAAGCACAAGATCACAGCAACTTATTACTCTTAATACAGTAAATGCATGGGTGCTTACCCAGTACTGTAGTATTGCTTCGATAGCTCTGAATTCAAAGGGCAAAGAATATGTCACAAGTTGACCGTCGCCAGCTAGCTGAGGTGCCAGTTCCTGGAAGAGCCATTTTTCCAAGTTCAAATTGCGATAGTCTAGGATTAGGAGATACTCTGGTGTAATCACCGCCTTCAAAAACTGAAAGAAGCAGAGGATAAAATCAGTTGGGCTTTTGTATATTTGCAGACTTTTCGGTTACATGGTGCCAACCAGCAGTGGCTCAAGTGAGGGGGGTGGTGCGGCGGGCAGTGGCACCCTCCCACCACTGGCAAGTTCATCAGAAGGGGGCAGAGTGAGGACTGAGGTGCTTCAGGTTGGAAGTGACAGCCCCACAGGTGTTGCTGCCAACGTGGAGCTCCCCAAAACCCGCTGTTGCACTGCCCCATCCCAAGGGCAGCACCACCATCAGGAGGACATTTTCTACACTCTGCCCCCCCCCCCAAGACTGGTGGGATACTGCCAGGGAGACAAAGTCCATCATGGCCCCCAAGCCGCCTCCGGACGTCCATCGATCTCCTGTAGACACGCAGTATCAGCAATTAGCGACACGAGCTCCAGAAATAGCCTGCCACATTCCAGAGCCGATGCACGCTCTATCAGCAGATAATGCACAGCGAAAGATGCACGCAGGAGAGTATTATTTACAAGTTTATTCAGCATTGGTCAGAACAAAGAAAAACATGACTGCCTGCTTCAGTGTCTCTGACACAGAGAGAGAAACGAAAGCATAGACACAACATAAACTTCCTGTGAACAGGAAATACGCAGACTCTGTGACTCACAAAGCCTGCTCCCTTTTAAGGTGGGACGGAAATATCCTAACAAAGACATCATGGGCACAAACTCTGTGGAACTCCAGGGAACCAATCTAAACCCATATGCAACTGCTGGGTGACCTTGGGCCAGTCACACTTCTTTGAAGTCTCTCAGCCCCACTCACCTCACAGAGTGTTTGTTGTGGGGGAGGAAGGGAAAGGAGAATGTTAGCCGCTTTGAGACTCCTTAAAAGGGAGTGAAAGGCGGGATATCAAATCCAAACTCTTCTTCTTCTTGTTGTTCCATCATTAAGTTAAAACCGGAAGGGCGAGGGTTAAGACCTGGATTTTTGTGCAGGCTTTACATAGTGTGTTGTTGGTTTTTTGCTGATTTCCTGATAGTAGCAGATAAATGCAGAACTAAATATCTGGTTAGTGTTTGGTTTCCTCCTATTGCTGCTCTTCTGTAGGCTTAAATTTTATAGGTTTTCTATCCCTTGTTGCTTTTACCTGTTTTTTGTTTTTTTTAAAAATAATTTCTGGTTTTATTTTAGATGCTGTTAAAAAAAAAGATGAGCATTGAATTTCATATTGTAGTCTGCTGTATATATAGCACCACTTTTTGCAACTGGGAAGTTAAATTATGAAAATTATTTTTGAAAACAGAACTGCTCGCACCCCCTCAACCTTCTCTCACTGCCCATGTAAACCGACAAATGTATAGAAAGAGAATCTGCCCAAATGACGCTGACATAAAAATGTCACACATAGAGCAGGTTGGAAAAATGGAAAAACAGTGTGCACGTTTACCATATTGTCTTACACTGAACATAACCAAAAGACTTTATAATCTGAACAACAAAAAAGAGACATTGCACGTTCTTTTGTATTTCATGAAAATCTTTAATAAAAATTCTTCTTTTAAAAAAAAATTGAATTGTTCAGGTGCACTTACTTCCATTCTCATGATAATCCTGTTGTTCCTGGGGGATACACTGACTTGATGTTGAAACCGTAGATCTCGTGCTTGGAGACTTAGTTCCTGATATAGCTCTGTTTTCTTTCTTTCTGCCAAGGAGGAGTTTATTAAAAAACAACAACACAACGATGTGAAATGATAACAAAGACCACAGCAGCTTCTCAAAGGCATCACTCCAGCAAGCACAAGACCCAGAGAAATTAATGGAACCAGAGTATGGTCTGAGTCCACATGACACAGACACCTTGTTGAAATAAAAGTACCGTATTTTTTGCACCATAACACTCACTTTTTTCCTCCTAGAAAGTAAGGGGAAATGTCTGTGCGTGTTATGGAGGGAATGCCTACGGGTGGCATGCCTACGGATTTTCCTCCTCTAAAAACTACGTGCGTGTTATGGTCGGGTGCGTGTTATAGAGCGAAAAATACGGTAGGATGGGATCCTGCTTGCAAACCCCAGGTCAGGCATGTTGATTATATAGAAAAAGGTGGTAAACAGATGTGCTAAGGGAACAATCCTTGAAGAAGCTGGCATAAAGCAAGCCAGGGTAAGTTAAGCTACTCCAGTAAGATCCAAACCATGTTCAGCCGTGGGGCTGCTGTTGCTCTGCTTAAGCCTGGCAGAGGGAAATCAACTCTTTAAAATAGTGTTCTATGCCTGGTTGCCAGGTCATTTGAGTAAGCTGAATGGGATCAGGATCCAGACTAGCTCCACCACCACCCCGGCCCAGCCCCAACCTCTGTTGGGGAACTTACATTGGCCTCAGCTGGCTGAGCCAGAATGAGCAAGTTACCACAGTGAATCTTTGGCTGAGCCAGGGTTGGGCTGAGCCAAAGATCCGTTGCATCTTAAGCTGCTCAACCTGGCAGATCTTTCCACAGGACTGCCCTCTAAATAGATAAAATGATTTATGGATTAGCATCCAGCAACCAAATAGAAAACAATCAACACTGCTGCATCAGCATGTCTTCAAAACGTCTAGGCTTTGTTGAGTTCAGAAGTAAAGAGAAGACTAGAATTCCACCTACCGTAAAAGCTTATACCACCTTCTTTATCGAATTTCATCTGGAAAGAAAAAAAGAGAGAAAAATCAGTATTGCCACATTCTTAAAAAAACACTAGGTAAAATGTACAGAATTCATATGATTTAGATGGCCATGCTATTACTAGAGGCAGCATTTCTGCTCTAAAGAATTAAATATCCAGCTTAATTCATACCTTGGTTACATATATCTCAAGATGTATGCAGTCTAGGTATGCAGAACTGAGACTTTGCAGCTGCTGCTGAGCTCCAGCTCCCATCAGCCTCAGCAGCCAGCATTGCCAACTATCAGGAAGGACGGGAGTTGCAGCCTTTCATCAGCTGCAGGGCCACAGGCTCACCATGCCTGGGTGTGGTGTTTCCACCCCATGACACAACCTTTTGAACATTCGTGAAGTAGTTCTAAGGTGAGAAATGATGATAATACATCTTTTACTTGTGCAAGGCACACGTGCTTCTAGAAGGCAGCACACTTTTCTCAACCTTGAACAAAGAGGGGGAGACTGGTGACCACTGTCGAGTCTAATGAAGATGGGCAATATTTACAAGTTAAAAATGCTTCACAAATTAATGTATAAGAGTGAATTGGAAACAGCAGCAAAATGCACAAATGAGTCAAGCCCAAATCACTCCTGGGCAATGGCATCAATTAACTTTGTTGGTAGAACAGTCATTTCCATGACGATTTTTTTTCCATATGGCAATCCCACACATGCTTATAACAGAATAATAGAATTGCAGAGTTGGAAGGGACCCTGGGGATCATCTACTTCAATCCCCGCAATGCAGGAATCTCAACTGGATTATACATGACAGATGCCTGTTCTATACAGGGATCAAACTTGCAACCTTGGCATTATCAGCACCATGCTCTAACCAACTGAACTATGTTCATTGACGTTTAGTCCCCAGTAAGTGTTTGGGGGTGTGGGGCAGCAGCCCCAGTCCACCCATACATCTACTTCTTTTCTCTCCAATGTCTTTAAAAGGTAAAAGTAAAGAGACCCTGACCATTAGGTCCAGTCGTGGCCGACTCTGGGGTTGCGGCGCTCATCTAGCTTTACTGGCCGAGGGAGCTGGCGTACAGCTTCTGGGTCATGTGGCCAGCAGGACTAAGCCGCTTCTGGCGAACCAGAGCAGCGCACGGAAACGCCGTTTACCCTCCCGCCGGAGCAGTACCTATTTATCTACTTGCACTTTGACATGCTTTCGAACTGCTAGGTTGGCAGGAACAGGGACCAAGCAACGGGAGCTTACCCCTTTGCAGGGATTCGAACCGCCGACCTTCTGATCAGCAAGTCCTAGGCTCTGTGGTTTAACCCACAGCACCATTATGCTTTTTTTCTTGTTCCTCTCTCAGGTCTCTCCTCGGGGTCTTCTTCCTTTAGCTTCCCCTAAGTTTCTAGCTGCCATTAACCAACTCTGCACCCCCAAAGCTAGCGTTTTGTGGGCATCTTTCATGTTCTTCTTCAGACTTGCCCTGCATCCCATAGTAACAACTGGAGGAAGTACTTACCACTGAAAACACTGGAGCCACACTCGCTAAAGTGGCTTGAGACACGTCTGTAGTAAAGTGTCGAGACAGATCATCTGAAGGAGGGTGAAAAGAAGTTCCAAGCTGTAAATTATATATATTTGCTGATCTCATATATGTTCAGCAACAAGCACCACATTGATCATGAGTCACAGCTCATCATTCCTGACAAGATCAATGATTTGCATATTATTTGCATCTTTAGACTGCAAGAGCACCGATTAACATGTTTACAGTTCTTGATGCCAAACTAGGTCTCCATATACAAACTAGGTTAGCTATTACTTTAAGGTTCGAGGAAAGTTATTTTATTTTTGTACTGGGTAACTAATTAAAAAAACCAATTGAAGTTGGGGCTAGGAGAGTCAACCAGAACAAAGTTCCCAACTTCTAAAATCTTTTTTACTAATGCAACGTGGAGGCAAATATACAGGAAGTGTGGTGCACGGACAAGTGTTTCATACACATTTCAATGCACTTCCCATGGGTGCTGGCCCATTTAACGTATAGCACTGCATTTTGCGCACACTTACTCGTACTGTGTTTTAAAGGAGGGGCAAAATGTGCTTTTATAGTGCAATCCTCTGTATACCTACTTAGAAATTAAGCCTTACCAACTCCAATGGGGCACAAGGCCAGGTAAGCATGTACAGGATTGCAGCGCACTTGGGGCTCAGTGCCACAAACACAATGGGCCTTGCTTCAAGTATGGATACTTGCAACTCCTGTCACTTGTATCTGGCTCAAGTGTCACGGTGCAAAGATTTCAACCCAACAGTAAACGAAGACCAGTTAACACCCATGTTCATCCACGCTGACCGTTTTCACTGGGCAAAGGGATTTCTAGGTCAAATTCCTCCAAGCGCGCTTCCTCACGCAGAGTGGTCTCCATTTTATTCAGAGTAGCTGCACTCAAATGAATAACGGTTCACTAAGGTAGGTCCATTTGTTTCAGTGGGCCTACTCTTGAGCAAAACCTAGCTGAATGCCAGCTCCACTATCTACTACATTCGTGCGTAAAAAGGTTTTTGCTGAATGCCAGCTCCACTATCTACTACATTCGTGCGTAAAAAGGTTTTTGCTGAGCTTGGTAAGGCTGCGTGAGCCATTCGGACAGGAAAAGCCCTGGCTGGGCTTCTTCATTCGGTGAGCAAGTCGCCCCGGAACTTCCTCCTGCAGGACCACGAACAAACTCGGGCTGCAAAGCCGCAGCATCCCCGGGCAGGACGGAGAACCTGCCTGGGGCAGCGCGTGACTTACTTGCGCGCAACAAGGTCCGCCTGCCCTCCGGCTCGAGCCGGCATTTCCCGGGCCTGCCGGCAGCCCACGCCGCGACATCCGGCAAGCAGCAAGCGGCGCGCCCTCGTTGCAAGAAGCGGCGGCTGCTGCAGCAGCAGATCCCCGAGGCGAACACGCGCAGCGCGACGGGCCGCAGCCGCCGGCTCCACAAACGGGCGCACTCCATAAGCGGCGCCGCTCGGACAAGGCCCCCCGGCCGCGCTTCCACGTTCCTCGGGCGCGCAGGCGCTGCTTCCCTTCCGCCGGCGGCACACGTGGGAAGGGAGGAGCGGCCTTCGCGTTTGGTCTCCCGAGGCGGAGCTTCTGCACTGACGGGGAGCTTTGCGTCGCAAAGAGGAGGAGGCTTTGCGTGGCGTGTGATTCGGGGATCGTGAGCACCAGAATCGGGGGAGCGGGGAAGCCCCTGGCCTCCGGATCAGGCACCAAAGATGCTGCATCATCATATTTATATTCCGCCCATCTGGCTGGGTTTCCCCAGACACTGGGCGGCTTACAGCATATCTAAAAAACATTAAAAAAAAATCGAAGCATTAAAAACCTCCCGATGCAGGGCTGCCTTTAGATGTCTTCTACAAGTTGTGTAATTCTTTATCTGAAGGGAGGGCGTTCCACAGGGCGGGAAATAGCCCGATATCTCATTTTGATTAACTACCAGTGTTTTTCTTTTATTCCAAATGGGCTTACCGTAAGCGCACGTGAACACTTGGGGGCGTTTTCCATTTAATGTACAATGCAGGTGTAAAAACGTGCATGGAAAGCAGGTCGTGTTCAGTGCCGGATTTACGTATAACCTAAACAAGCTATAGCTTAGTGCCCCACTCTCTTGGGGGCCCCCAAGAAATTTAAAGGGGAAAAACCTGATGTACATTTCCAAAATATAAGCTAAAAAACAAATAAAATAAAACCTACATACAGCAACAGTGTTTTGTGTTGTGTAGGCTCCTATGATGTAAGTAATGGGCCCCGTCTGCTAGCCTGCTCCCTAAAATATCACTGGTTTGCTCATTTCTATATATAGGGTGCCTACATTCTGCATGGACCAGTTGCATGGCAACAGGTAGCATGAAGCTGCAAATGGCTTTAGATACTTATTAGGTTTATAAATTACCATATAGCATATATACAACACCAAAAACATCGACAAATTGTTGTTGAGAAAGGACAGGTGGCTATATAAAGGGCCCCATTATCTTCAGTAGCTTAGGCAGGCTTCCTCAACCTCAGCCCTCCTGGTGTTTTGAGACTACAATTTCCATTATCCCTGACCACTGGTCCTGCTAGCTAGGTATCATGGGAATTGTAGGCCAAAAACATCTGGAGGGCCAAGGTTGAGGAAGCCTGGCTTAGGGCCTCATCAAACCTAAATCCGGCCCTGGCCGCATTCGTTATGGCCTGACTTCCTTGGACCCTGCCCGCCCTACATTTAACAGAGCCAGATCATTGCTGCTCCTGCCTCAAATTATGTTCTTGCACTGACTGCGGGAATCTTTCCCTGCCGTACCTGGAGATGCCCCCAGGACTGACCTTGGGACCTTTTGCATACAAAGTCTGCTTTCCTTCTCTGAGCACCCACTGGCTACTTTTAAAATAGGCCTTCTGTCTTCAAGGAGAAAGAGGATGTTTAACAGAGGAGCTGGACTGTACTTTGCCTGAACACATAAACAACGGAGAAAACAATCATTTGTAGGATTTGTACATGAAGCCGAGACATGGGTTAATGTATTTATTTCAGGGTCGTTCGTAGGCTAAGTGGCTGCTGTTCAAACAGGAAAGGATTTCCATGTGAATGTCTATGGCCTCTAGAGGAAGAATTCTAAAAGATTTACAACATGAAAGCATAAAGAGAAGATTAAACTGTTTACAAGATTTTCTTTTCTGCATTTCCATCCACAAGACAGCAATATGAAGACAAGAAAAATGTCATTGAACAGGCTAATCACTTTGGTCCATGTTCTCATGATCCTGGTTCAAGCCAGGGCTCTTTTAAATTTAAATTTTAACTTGTTTTAAATCCAGGGGTCAAGGAGTTTTGCACATCTTAATTAATGTGGCAACATTTTTGTCTTGTGACGCCTGACACACTGCTCAGGTTTCTGGATTGACTTGGAATGCTCATGTTATTTCCCCCCTTTCATTTCTCTCTTGACCATTTGCAATCAAAATCATCCTGTCACAGCAGCCTTTCTAGCCAGCAGGGAGAAGGGGGCTGGAAGACTCTGGTGGGTGGGGACAGCATTTCTAATCTTTGAAAACAGTTTGATTTAATGGACTGAGTTTATTTACATATCACCTTTCCACAGTGAGCTGTGTCCAAAGAGGCTTCTGACACTCATCCATCGGAAGATATGGCTGGTATAGAATACAGTTGCCCAAATCTTACTGGTGTTAGGACCGGAAGATCATAGACAGCACTTGGTCAGTCTCACTGGCTAGCTGCAAACTTCTTGTCTAAATTCAAATGGCTGGCTGTTGCACTGTCTTTGCTCATCCTGTCCATGTTCAGGATGCCAGCCAGCTGTGCTTTCTTACAGGATAATGTAGGTTGCAAGATGCTCAAGCAAGTCGATTTACTATTCTCTCCTCCCCCCTTCCCCCCCAAATGACACACCATTTTGTGACCCCTCAAGTCATTAGGCTACTTTGAGCTGGGGAGGTTCCCCCCAGCTTAATTTTTTTGGGGGTACTCTACTCTTGCATAGCTTTAAATTCATCTGAGCATACTAATATCTTCTTGTCGTTTCCTGAGTTCCCCCTTTGGTTCCAATCCTGTCAGCTCTCAAGCACCCAAATTTACTGTTAGAAGGAATGATGATGGTAGCGAAACCAGTAAACCCTGCTGAAATTTCAGATTTACTCAGAAGAAAGTCCTTCTATGTTTAACGGTGCTTACTCCCTAGTAAGTGTGTTTAGGATTGCAGCTTTAATGACAGATTTCTCCCTCTATTTTAGTGGGCGATTAAAAATTACTTTCAGATCTAGGGAATTAGTTTGAGTTTTGTGTGCCTGCAGCAGGTGGCAGTATATGAAATAGTGAAACAGTGTTTGAGATGGCTGGATGTCAAGGATACAACCCAAACAAAAGACATTAATAAAATACCATGTGGAAAACAAGAGCAGGAGAGCACTAGCAGCTGTTTCCCCCCAAGACCTGATCCTGTAAATACCCTGGCAGTTATTCTTCAGCCTATAAAAACAACATTTTTTGGTGGTACCATATAGACGAATAACTTTATCTTGGCAAAATATTTGTGGACCACAGCCCATAAAAATCCTCAGCTGCTTTTGCTGCAACAGACAAACACAGCTATCCTGGGGCATGTAGAGATCAGCAGGACTATGCAGATTAAAAGTCCCCTCACTAGCCTAGCTCAGTTGGTTAGAGGCCTGGTGCTGTTAATGGCAAGGTTGCAAGTTTGATCCCCAAATCGGACAGTTGCATATTCCTGCACTGCAAGGGGTTAAACCAGATGATCCTCAGGGTCCCTTCCAACACTTACAATTGTATAAAACAACCCATTGAAAGAGGAAGCACATAAAGCTGCCTTTGTAATGTTTTAAGCATATTTTAAAACTGGCATTTCATCAGTACTTGGGACAAAAAAGTTCTTTGGACTGCAGCCTTACTTAGGAAGTATTGGAATGATAGTTAATGCAAGTGCAGATTTTTTGGGGGGTGGGCAGAGCTTATTTTATTTTATTTAACCAAGCTCATGTATATTTCAGAATATGAAAGAATCAAGAGCCTGTTATTGTGAAGATTTCCCAAGTGAATTGTAGTCACATCCCTTTATTGACTAACATTCAATGCAGCTTCTGCTTGAGTGCAGGAAGCTCCTGCAGCCAATTGGAAGCCGCCCCTTGGTTTTTGAACGGTTTCGGGAGTCGAACAGACTTCCGGAATGGATTAAGTTCAAGAACCAAGGTACGGCTGTATTATAGTAGAAATTGAGCCAGTGAATGTTATAGGCTTACCCACCTGTGCCTTTAACAGCATCTTCAAGTGCCAAAATGATAGGGTGAAGCTTTTTGCAGGGTAGAGGTAATATTTATCGTTGCCTATTAAGGCCTATAAATTAAGCTACACTGGTAGAATGAAATGTCAACTGTCATAATACCTTTAGCGATTATTTTGGCATTACAGAATGGTAATAAAAATGAATCCAGATGTGTGGTATAATGGTGCTATGGCACAGTTACATAACCTTACACAGTAAAGCATATTTAATTGTCAAAATGAGGTTAGTCACAACTATTCTTTTCATGTTCTAGTTTGGGAACTAAATTGTCTTGTTAGTGCGCTGGTTGAGGAAAGGAATTCTAAACCATAGTAGAAATGAGAATCTTGGAGATGCCCTTTAATTTATTCTAGATAAAGGCCTGTCAATTTTGATGGGCGTGAGTTGATAGAGGTGTGTTGCAGCCCTTTCCTCAAACACATTCTCTTTGTGTCTTTCATTTCCCACCATTCCATCTTTTCCTGAAGCCATTGCTTCGAAACCTGGTCCGGCCCCTGCATTTCCAAATGTTAGAAGACGGTGTCAAGTAGAATGTGCTGCTCTCCAGACTTCATTCTACAGAATACAGTAGGAGTCATTAAGAGCTCAGACAACCACCTATGTTCATTTTTTGTTGTAGTAGTAAAGTCACACTAGAGGGTGACAGAGTGCTAAGAGAGCAGAGGGGGAATGTTAAGAATAAACTTTGCTAGTTACGGATGACATTAACCTCCCACTTCGACCCACCCTTTGGTAGGACTGTATGAAAAATCTTCTTGGAGTAGCTTGCATGCTAACAAAGAATTCTTCTTTCAACGTTACTGAGCAGAGAGAAGCAGTCTCTGTGTGTGCAGTTTTTCTTCTTTCTGTTTAAGGGCCACTTTCTTTCTGTGGCAGACTTGCATTTCATAAGGATCTTCTCACCTATCTTCTGACTTCTTCTCCAATACACCTCAGGAGACCAAACTTCACTTAAAAATAAAACAACAGCCTGCGGCTAATTAACAGAGTTCGTACAGGGGTGCAGCATTTACAACGAAAAGGAAGCTGGCATGCTTTAATGGCTCTCGTCGCCTTGTAATTTAATGTTTGGACAGGGAATTTTATGAGCCCCTGAAATAACGGTGGCCCATGTTTTAAAAATAATGTGCAAATGCCATCAGTATTTCATTTGCTCCAATTAGCACTAGTGAGTCGGAGCGCCCAGTAACGAGTAATTCAAACTGCTGATTAAGGCAGTCCAATTATTCTAGAA